ATTAGGGTCATTAGGGTCATTAGGGTCATTAGGGTCATTAGGGTCATTAGGGTCATTACGTATTAGGGGTTCCAGCCTCATTTTCATCACGACTGCATCATCATGCTTTAAACCCTACCGTAGTCTTCCTATACGGAGGAGTACAAGTCTTCCCATTCCCAGAGGTTATTGACACGCCAGACCATACATAAACTGCGCATAACATACTCCGTATGCTACACAATAGATCAAGACCCCTGGGGTCACTCAACAGACTCATTTTAGCTGCCCTGCTACGACACTGCTGCTGTTCACTTGCAATGAATATCTAAAATACTCCCATCGATCATATTCACGGCTCCTCCTGGAAAGGTCATGCAACCCTCACTGTCGCTCACACCTCGTCCATTCTGGCCCTGCCGCCACCTGTTCACATGTCGGTCTCCAACGGTATTAACCACGCCGTGGACTATCTCGACTCTGGTGAGAACCCAAGAATCTTTCCCATTACAAGGCTCTGATCGCAAACCAATCCAACAGACAACTATGACCCCATCGAACATCTAGACCAAATCTTCTCCCACCCCTCTACCCTTTCCTCCGTCACCCAGACTTCCCATGCTCTCCAAGTCTACCAGAACGACCTGGACGATGAGATCGACTTGCTTGAGGAAGAGCAAATCCAATCCAATGCAGAATGTCTTCGCCGCATGGAGGCTTCCAAGTCCGAGCTCTCCGAGTTGTTCCAGCGCATCGAGAGTGTCCGCGAACGAGCCATTCAGACCGAGCGCAACATCACCGAGATGACCGCCGACATCAAACAACTAGACAATACAAAGAGAAACTTGACACTGTCTATGACCGCCTTGAAACGCTTGCAGATGCTGACAACCGCCTACGAACAACTCCGTGCCCTGGCAAAGACTCGACAATACCGCGAATGCGCTCAATTGCTTCAAGCCGTCATTCAATTAATGGCCCACTTCAAGTCATACCGATCCATTGACCAGATCGCAACGCTGAGCAGAAATGTTGCAGACATACAGAGAGAGCTTTTGGAACAGGTTTGTGAGGATTTTGAAATTACTTTCACCAAGGAAGAAGTTGGCCAGAAACGAGACTTGCTTCAAGAGGCATGCTTGGTGGTTGATGCTTTGGGCGACTCAGCCCGATCCAGATTGACCACATGGTACTGCAACACACAGCTTCGTCAGTATCGACATATCTTCAAAGGCGACCAAGAAGCCGGTTCCCTTGATAACATTGATCGAAGATACGCATGGTTCAAGAAAACCCTCAAGATCTACGATGAAGAACACGCCGCCATTTTCCCTAGCAATTGGAGGGTCAACGAGATCCTGGCTAATGTCTTCGCTGAAGGCACTCGCGACGATTACAAAGGTATCTTGAATCGAACCACTCGAAATGGTCAGACCATAGATGTTCGATTACTTCTCTCATGTCTTCAACAAACTCTCGACTTTGAACATGGCCTAGAAAGGAGGTTCAATCACACATCAAGAACTTCCATGGACACCATGGCATCTGCAAGTGATGCACCGATCTTCGGCCAGCCAATCTCAGATGCCTTTGAACCCTATCTTAGCTTATGGGTAGACGCTCAATCCAAGGAACTGGGAAATCTCATCCCCCAGTACCGACAAAGACCCCCGAAACCTCCAGATGAAGACTTTTCCTCACAACAAGTCATCGCTTCTTCCACAGAGTTGTTTAATTTTTACCGTCTCTCGTTGGCCCAATGCGCCAAACTCTCCACGGGCCAGCCACTCCTCGACTTGGCCAACGTCTTTGGCCGCTATCTCGACCAGTATGCCCAGCAGGTTCTTCTTTATTGTATATCCGAGAAGCCGTCAGGTGGCACCCCTTCTAGGATTCCCTCAATCGAGGATGTCATTTTGGTTCTCAACACCGCCGATTACTGCTTCAACACGTCAAATTCCCTCGAAGAGAAGATCAAAAGTCGCATCGATGAGAACTTCAAGAACCAAGTTGACTTGCAAAGCCAGGCTGATGCGTTTATGGGAATTGCCAGTGCAGCAGTTCGAGGCTTGGTCCGTAGGGTCGAAGTCGATCTGGAGCCAAGTTGGAGAGAGATGCGCAATATTTCGTGGTCCAAGATCGAGAGCTGTGAGGACAAGAGTTCATTCATCGCTGGACTACAATCTCGCATCAAGGAACGCTCGGCTGAGATTCTGGCCATGCTTCACAAGCAACAATATGCGCGCGCGTTCGCCGATAACCTCGTGGAGCTGGTTGCGTCCGCTTACGTGTCCAACGTGGCTTTGTGCAAACCCATTTCAGAAGGTGGCGCAGAACAGATGCTCCTTGACACTCATGAGATCAAGAACACGTTGACACATTTGCTGCCCGGCACGCCGCCTCCACTTTTCCTCAAACGTGTCTCGGCCACGTTTAACAAAATCGAGCCTTTGCTCAAAGTCCTCCAAGTCCGCCCATCCCCTCCCGAGGCTGTCGTACAAGCGTATCTGATCCATATTGCCGATCTATCCGAGGTCAACTTCCGAAAGATCCTTGAACTGAAAGGAATCCGCACCAAATCAGACCAGAGCCAGTTGGTGGAATTATTTCAGATGCATAAATTCAGCCCTCGATACAAGGACAGTCTAGTCGAGCGCTCACCGCTTCTGACATCGTTGAACATGTCGGCCACCTCGGCTCCAGGCAGTTCTTCTGCACTGGGAAGTGGCGCAACATCGACGCCGGCGGTCGCCTTGCACAACCTCTCCTCGTTGGGCAACTCGGCCGCAGCCAGCTTGAGCACGGCCAATCTTCCTGCCAACATGAAATTCGATGCCTCGGCCCTGATCGACCGTTTCAGTAGTCCCGCGCTGGGTGTCAATCTCCCTGGGATCGGCACTCCTCGAGATGGAAATCACAGTCCCCCTTCGATGGCCGCCTCTGTTGCGACCGGAGGGTCAAGCATGGGAATGGCATCACATGCTCCCACAGGAGATGGGGGCTTTTCGGGCGCCGAGGCTGGTGCTAAATTGAACGAGAACCTGAGAAATATCGGCAAATTCTTCAAAAGAGACCTCGGTGGTTTTGGAGGCATGGGTCGATTTGGCAGTAAAACCGTGAGTCCAGCGCCGCCTGAGGACCGGGCCTGATCATGTATTTGGATGGTCGATGGTGACGGAGTGAACACACTCTAGAGATGACAGGTCCACGTGGGACTTTGTCAGCAATGGCCTGTAGGGATCATGTATAGAGTCAAGTAGTCAGAGAATTTACGTGTCGGTGTCTGTGTCCATGTCCGATTTACGGTTAGATGTACAAACAGAGTGGCAGAGACGTCGAGAATTCAAGATAGTTGGACCATGGGTTTGTTTGTATACATGTATTTATGGATGACCTGTACCAATTTGGAGGGATGCATGTCTGGCCAAGGGCCACAGTCCAAGGGCTAGCTAATGGCTAATGGCTAATGGCTAATGGCTAATGAATGATTTCTCATGAGACATGAGTCATGGTCACGATGACGATGATGGACCTGATCATCACGTCTACGTGCTTTTTGTACATTTACATATCGATTGATCAAACTTTGTCGAGGATTTCTGATTTGCCCCCTTGCTCGATTTTTCCAATTCTCATCCATCCATACATTCAATTGATTGATGCTCGATCGATGGATCGATCTTTGATTCGTTGTATCCTCTTATTGGATTCCGTCCGTTCTCGAGAGAGTCGTCGTGCCCGTGTTGACTTGATCTACCTCGGCGGTTGTGGCAGAAGGGTGTGATTCTGGTCATAGACTGACTTCAAGTGTAGGGACCATGGTGAGATTTGGTCGATGTGGTGATACAATTGTGGAGGATTGTTCCTCATTCGGTAGGATGACGGTATCTTTTGTAGGGATTGTTGACCCTGGTTACATGAGATGCTTCCGATCTGCCACTATACACCAGTGATGTATGCCTCTGGAGGGATTTGGTTCGCGGTTCGAAGGTCTTGAAAGTTGCGGATGGCGGCGGCGTAGTCCCAATTGTTTGCCGTTAGACAATTCTCAACCCATTGCATTTTGAGGCGGGTTTCAAAGGAGAATTGAAGTCCCATTTGTTCCCGCTGTAGCTGCTCCATGGATTTACCCTCTTGTGGCAGGCCGAAAGTTGAGCCTGGTGGGAATTCAGGATGCGAAGCTGTTGGCTCGGGTTGTTGTGGTATCGGAGATGGGTTTGCAAAAGGGGTTACGGCTGGGCCGGCTGGAACTTGAGCTACCTGTGCCACAGGCTCCCCGTTGTACATTTTGAGCTTGGGATACCACTTCAGCAGTGTGGGTAATGTGTTTGGATCAGCAGCGACAGGATTTCCGGTTAGGATGAGGTGTTCCAATTCCCGAAATTGATTTTTCCAGAAGCGCATCTCCTCTAAGCTGGGGATCTGGTTACCGGCCAGGTCGAGATTTTGGATGGTGGGAAAGACGCTGGACAGGTTCAGAATCTCCTTGACGGATGTGATGTGATCGTCTCGTAAACTGACACTGGTGACGGACTCTCGCCGCTTTGAGGGTGTCTCCCACACACTCCGTTCACACATGGCAAAGATGGATTTCCATACTTTGTCTGGAGGAGAATTGACGAGTTCGGAGCCAGTGATGAGAGGATCCGCAGCCAGGGCGTTTAGGACTAGATGTTTGTCGGCAGCATTGTAACGAGCACGGATGATGGAGATGATGAGATTTTCCGCTTCAGAAGTAGCAGAGTCATTTTGTCGATGGTGTTGTTGCGCTCGTGGGCCTCGCGGTGGCTGCTGGGATGAAAAGGGTGAACTTTGAGGCTGAGAGGAGTGATTGTTGTGAGACTGGTGGGGATATCGCCCATCACTGGAATTCTGGTTGTGCGACCGATTGCCTGGGGGACGGGCTTCCTCAAGGACAAGAGTTGCGCCGGCAAAGGTGAAGCCGTTGAGATGATAAAAACGGTCTTTGTCATGTGAGTTGACAGTGATAATCAGTACCGTCTGCCCAGCACGTCGATGTTGTAATAAAGGTCGGCCGGCCTTCTTCTCCAAAAACACTAGAAGTGATTCTAGACCCTGGTCTTTGTTGGAGGATAATTTACTGCTGGTCCAGCCTTTGACGGCAATCTGGTGAGTTGAGTCATTGCCATTTGTGACTCGGCTGGCCAGGGACATGATTGAATGCTATCGCGCGGAGGCGGTGGGTGGCGATGACTTTGGATATCTCGACCAAGATTGCTTAAGATGGGTGCTCGTAGGTGATGGAAAAGATTGGAAAAAGTTGATGATGGCGCGAATGCGCGAAAGAACGATGTGAGATTGACGCTGAAAAGAAAAGAGACCGACTGACAAGGCAACTGATATGATGAGTACCCAGCACCGGGCACCTGACGTGAAGGACGACAGATTTGTGTCAATGTGTTGGAAGACGAGCGATGAGTGTGGAAATTCATTCACATCTCAAGACGAATTCAATCCAAGATTCACAATGCCAGGCGAAGTGGCGCCTGGTTGCACGTGATCATGACGCTATACCCGATGCAGTGGCTGCCTGTCACTCTCGACGGTGCACTGAGAACCTTTGTCAGACAATGATAATTAAACCCTCCTGCATCTTTTATATTGCAGTATTTGCCCACGACATGCCGATTAGACATGTTGCTCCCATTGTCTGACAAAGAATCTGATATTAACCCCACAATCGCCGCTTTTGGTGTTTCTTTGTGAATATTACTGGTCAGGTCCTTTCGCTCCAAGGCACTATTCACACACTTATCATTAGCGTTGGTTAATGATTGTCTATGTATCCCATGGAGCGTACAGTGGTTGTTGAACAATGTCATTCTCTAGCATCTATCATCTTACACCGTCTTTGTGGAATCATCTATTTGCGCGCTGAAAGCCTTGGTCGCCATTCCATAGCTTGATTTAACCGCCTCACTGGCATAGACTCTCATTCCTTTCTCGTAGGCAGCCGTCACGCTCGGAGCATAACCCCCAGCATCGTGAAGAAGTTGTCCCAACAAGGCCGAGTCTCTAACCGCTGTATTGGCACCAATGCCGCCGGCAGGGGTCATTGAATGCGCTGCATCACCAATCACGGTGACTCGAGCCTCATTGGGCCACTCTGGAACCCCGGTTGGTGTCGAACACGTGATCTTCCAAAACGCCGCCTCGGACTCGTTCATCTGATCAAACAAAGGCTTGAAGCGTGGGTTCCAATCCTTGGTTAGTTCCTTTGCAATGTCGGCCGCGGTTTTTCCAACAATGCTGTAATCGTCGTTGGGTGCCTTGATAGCGCCAGGGACGCCAACCATGGTCCATCCAAACTCAACGTTGGGATCATCCATGTCATCGGGACGAACGTTGGTGATGATGGAGACGCGGCCACGAGGGTTTACATCGTCCACCACTCGGAACACCCCCTCTCCCAACGTCTTAAAGGCTGCAGTCGGGGACTGGCCGTGGATACCTCGCGCACCCAGATCATAGACCTTGAGAAGTCCACCAGACACCTGTTTTGCGACCGACGAGTATATACCTTCGCCACCAACCAGCAAAGCGCCCTCGATGGATTTGGTGCCGTCGGCGAAAATGGCACGCACACCGTCCTCCGTCAATTCATAGCCTTTTACGTAGCGGTTGAACTGCACGAATTCCTCACATCCCTCCATGAAGAAACGTCTCATCTCACCTCTTGCGATGCCCACAATCAGACCCTCTCGAGAATTAAGACTCTCATTCATCTTATGTTGCTCAAACACTTGACCTGTGATTGCGTCTAGTCCGACGAAGCCACTCCCCCCAGTTTTGCCACATCGCTCCCAGAAGCGCTGGAATTCCTCAGGGCCAAGGACTTTTTCAATAGCATCTAGTCCCTCTGTCGACAGGCGAAGGCGATACCCTTGACCCCGGAAGGAGAGGGAGGCATCACGCTCAAAGATGTGGAAAGGGATTCGTGAGCGGAGCAGGGAACGAGCGAGGAGGAGAGAGGCGAGTCCGGCGCCGGAGATGAGGATGGGCTTTTGGCTCATGATTTTCTACCGGGGTGTGATTGAGTACATGCCGCGGCTCCAAGGGTAAACGGTGGACTCTGAGGTCTGAAATCTTCACAGTATTTGTACGAAAGAAGTAAGAAACAGCGCTTACCTGGTTGAGGTGGGTTATTACCAATGTATTATAGCCTTCTGCAATGGTACAACAAAGGTACATTTCTAATCAGAATAGATGGTGTCTTATGTCGTCAACGACTGATTAGCTTTGGGCTTCCCGAGTTGAGTGTCTGATGTTCGGAAACACGGTCTGACGGTGGACCGAGTGGCCCCGGGCGCCTAATTTTGGGGGGAACTCTAGGGTCCGCGTTACGCCCGAGGGGCCCTCGTCCCCCCTTCGATACCTATGCCACGCCCCACGGCCTTTGGGAACCCTTAGTAGGCTCGCTCACCCGCCAATTTTGTGCTCAAGTCATCAAGCATCTGTTATGTCATAATTAAAGAGAGAAACATGCTGGTTACCAGTCACTCACCAACTGCAGAAGAACTAGACTGAGGACCTGCTTCAGGTACGATAAACGAGGAATGCTTACGAGAGAGGACGACTACTACAAGACACACTAACCAAGGTGCTTGACGTTCTCATGTCAGCCAAGCACAAGCGAAAACGAGACACCACCACTGCTTCAATCTTCAGATTAGACAGCACCCAGGATAAAGGGGAAGGTGACAGGGTAGACATTGAGACTTGACCAAACATTCCACGACACAAATTCAGGTTCCTGACAGGGCTGTATTATTGGACTGCACAGTGAAATGGGCGCCGTCAGCCTTATGTCAGTTTGATGGACACATTTGCAGAGACAGGGTGTGGCTAGAATTAAAATGTAAAAGGCAAGGTTGAGAGTTTGAGGTTGGTGAGTATCTCTATACATATCTTCCCAGGTATCCAGGTAGGGGTGCAGTACGCTCGTGGGCTCTAACAACCACCCACTTAGGCAGAAATAGCCGCTGTCAGACGCACATGGATTGACCGGAACAAATTGCCCGGGCGGTCTCCTTCCACCCATCAACAAATAAATATATCCGTCAGACCACTACGAGTGGCACTACCGCGTTCACATTTAAAGAGAACTTCGAATGATTGCTAACTGCCACGCGTGTGAGTCAACTTGATTATGTTGGTTCTAGAAGACATTCGAACTCGAAAACCCAACTCACTACAGTAGTAGCACATAGACATAAAGTTATAGATTTCGTGAAGGCTATCAAAGTCATCGGGCCAGACCTACAGTGGGCTTTCTGCAGCCTCAGCCGCCTACATGTGACAACGTCATTGCCGATTGGATCCGTCACAACAACCCATATTCGACTTGGGCCTGTGGATCTGTGCGGGCGTGGGCGTGGGCGTGGGCTTGGATATCGCAGCCAACAGTGCCAACTCACCTCACACCTCTCTTATTCTTCAGCGTCGACTATGATTGGTATATCCTTCTCATCAGATCCTTGACGCGTACCTTGCATATTCCCTCTTCCTCATTGTTGAATTCCCACCCTCCCGAGGCCCGACGCTCCATCTCTACATGGCTCTCTTCATCACCCCGAACCCTGTCGCCTTCGCCCTTTATTCACCGCCATCTTGTCCAAGCATCTTGTCGTGCCTGTTGCACCACCATGTTCTGGACAACGCCTCAAGAGAGTGACAAAGACGATCAAGACAACCAAAACGACCAGAATGACCAAAACCAGTTGGAATACGCCCCTCCCAACCAACACGACATCGTCCTTGCGCGTTCTCCCCAGGGAAGAACCCTTCTGCCCGCTCCTGCCGCCGCCCTCGTCAGTGGCATTACAGGCTTGACTTCCTTTTATATTCGTGCCGGAACAAAAGTTGGCGGATGGGGACTCTACGCAACGAGGGAGGCTACCTTGAAGACCTTGTCCGTAAGCCGCAGTGTCTTGGAGACCGTCTTGATTGCCGCTGGAAGAGATGTATCATATCGAAGTAATGGAGATCTCGGGAGAGCCGAGGCAGAGAACCTCCTCGAGAAAAGTGTATGTTTTTTGCACCGGACACCCCATCTCACCTTGTGCCTCGCTCTCATACTGACCTTCTCCCAGATCTCCGCCCTCTATACAACCATATCAACTGCCTCTTTCATCGCTTCAGCCAGTTTCTTCTTGACAGAAGCCTCTCTCAACTCCGTTTCTGGTCTTTCAATCCAGGGCTTGTCAACCCTCAATGCTGTCCTTGGCCAGACAGAGTCTTCACGCGCCGTAGCTGCCATCATCACCCTGATCCGCGATGAACTTAATAGGCCTGAAGCCGGAAATCGGGGAGAGGTCGTCTCCTATCTCGATCTCATCACCGGCACCGTTGGCTTCGTCTTACTACAACGATGGGGCAGGCGGAAGACACAATTGGATTTCAGGAATGTCGGTGGAGAAGAGACAATATGGGATGCAGTTATTGATGATAGAGGTTTTCGCGCTGATGTTGTCGGCACCAGGAGAAAAGGTTTGATCAATATTCACGGCGCTTCAGCAGGCCCCACAATGACCTTTGGATCTCCCGACGGCGAAGATGACTTTGAGGCCGTGGAGAGAGCAACTTTGCATGATGTTCAAGCCCTTTCCACCTCCCCAGACAGCCAGACTCTCCTGTCGGAAGAAGAAGTTCGAGACCTCATCGAGAAACAGCTGCCTCCAGGCGCTCGAGCTGTCATCACCGCCGAGACCGTCACGGCGAAAACCATCAAAGTCGACATCTACGACGCAGACACTACTCACATCGAACCTCCGCCTGGCACCGTCATGGTCGCGGAAAAGTTGAATCACGAACAGGAAAACAAAGGGTTGGGCCGTTCTCATCCTCGCCAGACTGTCATATTCCGAACCGCACTGAAACGGTCCAGCTCGACTGATCCGCCTCTCGGAGAGCTGCTTCGGCTTACAAGTGAAGAAACTATCCATGATGATACTCATGAACAGCCTGATCCTGAGGACATCTTGGAAATGAGTCCTGTTCCAAAACGAATCTCTATTGCAGAGAACCCAATACACATCGAGCCGACCACGTTTAGCGACTCGGATCACTCCACGGTCATAGATGCAGTGCAACCTCCTATTCCTCCCAAAATCATCCCAACGGGGGTCAATGCCAACGAGAAAAGAAGTCGTCGTCCAATTCTCCCAGACCGTAAATCATCAACCACAAAAATTTCAGACCACATTCCTTTAATGAACAAGAGCCAGAAAAAGAAGCATCCTCATGCAGACAAGAAAGAAGGTGGAGTCCTCAAAAAAGCACTCAAGTCTCTCAGCCCTACTCAATCATCTACCGCAATCAAAGATATCCGAAAGCCAGACTTACCTCAGAGGTCACAACCCGCATTCACCCAGACGAATGATTTGCGAAAGCGTGCATCGTCAGTCGTACGAGGCGATACAACACCTCGAAAAGGGATGGCTTCTTTCAATCACGGACAGTCACCGACCACCAGTCCAAGCTTGTACCGGACGGCCCATCAGGAATCGAGTTATTTTGCCATCCAAAATCGAAGAAGAGATTCATCTGTGTCCCAGACCACCGAAACATTTTCTGTGCATTCCGTCGACAGCCGCCCAGGCTCGCCCACATTTACTCGAACTCATACCCGGGTTGTCAGTGGTCTAGCTCAGACAAAGTCAGAACTCGCTCTCTCAATGAAGGAGGCCGACACGAAAGTAGACATTCCCAATGGCAGCACCCACCACCGTCGCTCCAGATCCTTCGTTCCAAGCCTATATTCGATGGCAACCCGAGATTCTCACGAGGCCATCATCCTCGCACCAAAGTTTCCACTCCCACGCAAGTCAATTTATGAAGACCAGAACATTTTGAATGCCCTTGCCTCTGAGGGAAAGGTCCCGGGCATCTTCCCGGACCGCCATCTCGTGAGGACCGTGCGACGGTTTTCTCGCTTCGCATCAGCATCTTACGGTTCAAACTTCCTTCGAGTCATGGGCCTGAGTTCCAACGAGGAGCAGTTACGAAATTCTACTGAGCTCTTGGCCTTGAATCTGCACCATGAGCACGATTCATTCTCGTCTCACACTGGTTTGCCTCCCCACACCATCCTCCTTTCTTCCTTTTTGGACCCCCAGGGTGTGACTGGCAACACTGATTGGTCGCCTTCGGCCATTTCGCCGCTGATCCACTTCATTTCGATCGATGACGATTCCAAGGCCGTGGTGCTCACCTGCCGTGGAACTCTTGGCTTCGAGGACGTGCTCACTGACATGACCTGTGATTACGATGATCTTCTTTGGCAAGGTCAGAAGTACAAGGTTCACAAAGGCATTCATGCATCTGCCCGAAGACTACTGGGAGGCAATGGTAGCCGCATTATGGCCACAATCCGCGCAACCCTGGAACAGTATCCCGATTACGGGCTCGTTTTGTGCGGCCATTCGCTTGGCGGGGCTGTCGCCGCGGTTTTGGCCATTCTGATATCTGAACCATCACAAGATGAGTCCAAGACTGGTTTTGTGACGAGCTCTATGCCAAAACTTCTGCCTCAACGCACCACTACGAATGAGTTCTTTGAAGATGCAGCACGACCCATTACGCTTCCCGCTGGACGACCCGTACACGTCTATGCATATGGAACGCCAGCGTGTGTATCAGAGCTACTCCGAAAAGCGACCCGTGGCCTCATTACAACGATCGTCAACAATGCCGATATTGTGCCTTGTCTGTCACTCGGGATCTTGCACGACTTTCGAACGGTGGCTTTACATCTAAAGACTGATACCAGTGACGCCTTTGGTTCGCTCAAGACTCGAGTTTGGCAACGCATCAAGAATGCCGTCATGTCGTCCTTCTTCAACAATTCCAATGGACCCCCGCCTCCAGAAAATGTGGCTGGTGATGGCCTTGGTGAGGACACATGGGCTTGGTCCGCTCTAAAGACTCTTCGCGCAGCAATGATCAATGACAAACTGGTGCCGCCAGGTGAAGTTTTTGTGGTCGAAACCAGTCGAGTTTTTGATCGGCTAGACCCTGATGTGGCCAGGGAAGCAGTTTTTGGACCTGATGATTCCAAGGACGACCGAACCGAGAAATTGTACCGTGCTTTGGGTCGACCAGCGACACGAGTACAATTGAAATTGATTCGAGACGTGGAAACAAGGTTTGGGGAACTGAGATTCGGACGAGATATGTTTGGCGACCACAGTCCTGGGAGATATGAGGCCGCCCTAGCGTTGCTAGAGAAGGGTGTGTGCGAGGATTGATTTCAAATTATCTACTTGATATTCATGTCGGCGAAGTACGCCTGACGATTTGATGATATACGAGGGATGGGTAATATCTTACAGTTGCATGAGGCGTGATATATTACTACTAGGTACTTGGTAATGTGACGAATTAATAAAGCGTTTTGGTCTACTGTAACCACTGATCACGGACATGCGTTGTCGTTCCTTGCATCTAAGAATATCATTTCTCCTATCATTCTACTGTTGCATGTCCATCTGTTTTGTATGCTTTGGTTGGTCTACGAGGTATTTTGGCCGTCGTTTTGAAATTGCAATTCGAAACGGGATTGGAGCCGTCGCCTCCACCTACGGTGTAATCGGGGGCCGAGGGGCTTGTTCGACGGCATCGGAAGAAAAGAACAGTTAACGGATCCTGTCATCTCGGGCCTCGGAGATCTTCTCAGGCACCAATCAGTCATCTTCGATCATAATATTTCCTCATCGAGTCATGAAAAAGCAGGTGAACACAGGGCAACAGCTGCAATCTCTAGGTTTCTAAAGATCTTCAGACGTTTTAGACTCACCCAACGATCAAGATGGCGGCTCAACATTCAATGAAAAAACTGAGACTTGTCGGTACGTTGCCAGGGACAGAACAAGGCGATCGCGACACGAATATTGACGCATCTTCGTAGGGCCGCTCGAGAAACATGCTACCGCGCGTCATGCTCTCGGATTTTATAACAATCTTGGTGTTACAGGAGTTTACTCGGCTTCCGCCGACTCCTTGACCTCACAAAGCCAATTCCGACGTCTCATTTACGACGCTGTGGCTCAAGTGATAGCGATGCATCCTAGTTTGAGTGCCGTGCCCTTAGATGAAGACACGAAATCGCCATATTTTGTGCGCCTACCCAGCATCGACCTCACTCGAGCTGTCACCTTTCTCACGCGAAAGAAGCCTTGGACATCCGAGAGCCAAGAGCATGACGCAGAACTTGATGAGCTACTTGAGCGGCAACATAATCTCAATTTCAAAGAGAGTCTAGGCGAGATCCCGTTTTGGCGTCTGTTGATCATTGAATCGAAAGACGATCACAGCTGCTTTGTGGCTGCCTTCATTGTTCACCATGCCCTCGGAGATGGAGCTTCGGCGCTTGCGTTTCATCGGTCATTCCTCTCGGCACTGTCTACTGTCTCGCATACTATGGCAACGAGCGAAGAGAGTGAGGCTGTAACTCGAATTGTGCCCCCTGATGTTCCACTCCTTCCCAACCTAGAAGCTCTTCATCCATTGAAGTTGACGATACCATTCATAGCCCGGGCACTGTGGGGTCAATGGTTTCCAGCAAAGTCCCGGGGTTTGTGGGCAGGACGAGCCGTCAGCGACGATCCCTCAGTCCGTACGACTCGGATGTCTACCTTGAGATTCTCCCGAAGCATCACCAATGGGCTCCTGGCCGCATCTCGAGCTCATTCCACCACCCTCACTGCCACGATCGAAGTGGCCATTGCACTCGCTCTATTTGCACATCTCGATGCCAACGAGTATTCGACCCTACGCGGGAACGGCACAGTCGGACTCAGAAGGTTGCTTCCACCGGATGTGATTGATGACGACTCGATGGGCACATTTGTTTCCCGATATGTGCAAGACCACCACCGGCCGACAGGCTTGACCGGCAAAGGAGCAAAGAACGAGAATCTCATAGACTATTTCTCCTGGGACGAATCGCGCAGCGTCAAGGCGACTATTGCATCAGAGCTGGCGAAAAATGGAACCAATGTTGAGATCGCTCTGTTGCGCTGGGTCAGTGACTTCCACCAGTTTTTCAACGGATGCATTGGACAAGCGAGAGAGACAGGCTTCGAAGTTTCGAATCTCGGAATAATGAAGCTACAACAAAAAGGCGCGGATAATCAAAGCCACCCTTCTCCCTGGACACTTGGACGAGTCGTCTTTAGCCAAAGCGCTGGTGTCACCGGTGCTGCCGTGCAGACATCACTTGTGACTGGCATTGACGGAGAACTCAACATTGCAGTGACTTGGTTGGAGGGCATCGTAGACGGTCAGTGGATCGCCGATGTGTTAAGGAGTCTGGAGAGATTATTACAGGACCTAGCAAAGTCATAGAGACGCCGGGTGTTCTATTATTGCGAAGAGAATCATGTGAGTAATGTCTAAAAACCACTTTGACAGACACAGCACTTGATTAGATGTGGTTGGTTACAGAACAGGTGGTAGACTTATTGCCAAATACGTGCAAATAGAAAATAAATACAGTATATTCAAACCATGCTCTCAATTTCTCATTATAATCATAACCTCAACAACACATGGGGAGAGCAGGTCACTCGACAAAGCAACACAGGTCCGGAGAATAAAGTGACACTAACTTCGTCATGGGCTGAGGGATCTCATTGACTAGATGTAACCATGATGCCTTGGACGTGACGCGGTACTATCGCAAGGCTGACATTGAAAGGGGCTCTCGGGGTGCATCTTGCTATGATTCTCCGCACACTTTCTTTGACTATAGAGATCTCCCCTACAACACACCGTACGCGCGCTGCAAATACAAAAGCCGGCTCACTTTTTAAAGCAAGACTGGCTGAAACTTTTACATCACACTTATAGAGACGTGCTTCTACACTTTATGCAACATTCAAAGCTCTTACGTATACTACTAATCATTTACCATAGCAACTTCACTTGCATGCTTGACACATCTCTGAGCTTCATCTGTGGTGCAATCAACCCTACTGTTTCCATATCAATGGTCTGGTCGCCCATTAATATGAGTATCTGAAGTTGAGGTTGGTTTTGTCGGTCAAGTCGTCTTCGTATGCGTGCTCGAAATTCTCTACAAATCCTGCATCATCGCGTTTCTTGTTGTTGTGTGCACAAAAGTAGTAGTACGCGATGATGAGAAGAACCATTGCCACCTGCGAGACCATGACAAAGGTGCAACCGGTGTTATAGTGAGGGGCTTCCTCGGTCAAAAACGTGAAGGGCGTAACAAAGTTTCCTAGGCTGAAGTCAGTCTTTGAACCGGACCGTCAGCCGAAGAGATGTGAACATACCAATACAGTAGCCAATGAACAGGCCCGCAGACGTGAGCGTTCGTTTGGTGTATCCCGCGACATTGATCATGGATACGTTCATCAAGATGGCGTAGGCGGCAGGGAACCAGTTGAACCAGTAGAGAGCGAACAACCTTCCTCCATGTGAGTCGATCGGCAGTTTCCAGACGAGTAGAATCGACAACAGCATGAAGATCTCACACATGAGCAATGCGGCAAGTCGTAAGTTTCGAGTCGCCAGGAACCCTAGAGTCCAGCAAAGTCCCAGGGTCGTGATGGTGCCAACGACACCAGTGGGGAGAGTGAGCAGAATTGAGTTGAGCCCACTGAATCCCATCCCTCGAATAAGAAGGGGCAGGAATACAGTGGTTGTGCTGCTGATGGTATTCATAAACAGGGCCATGAAGAACAGCAGCCAGAATTGAATGCCCGTCAAGAGCTCAAAAACCTGCTTCGCCTTGAAATGCGTGTTCTTGACGCCCGTATTGTTGCTCCGAAGACGTGACACTGCGACAAACTTCTCCCTTTCGTTCAGGCTTTTGGCATGGACCGGTTCCGGTTCCATGAAGAAGAAGATCTATTCTTGTTAGAATGATAACAAACTATATTTATCGTTGATGATGAAAAAGTAGGTTGCCAATAGCCTTCTTCAAAAGGACATTGGAAACATTGTAGGAGGCGAGGACCGGTGCAACTCACTATTTCATTGTCAGCTCGGCTCAATCTATGCAAGAGTGTTAGTAACTTCCTTACCAACTAAACTCCACAGGGTTGTGACCACTCCTGCAAAAATGTACATGTATCTCCAGGGCGAAAGCGTGCCTTGGACATGACCAAATCCATAGTTTATCAATGGCGCGGGAATTGCTACAATAGCAGCTGCGGCGAACCACAAGCCCTGTCACGAAGGTGTAAGTATAATCTTTACTATACTGGCGATGAGATGTAATGAACCTGTCTGAAGCTTTGCTCGGGCTTGGTGTACCAACTTCCAACGACAGTCATCCAGACCTAGCCGCGTCAAGTCAGCAACATTCACATAACCTCTCGGGAACATAGTCCTCACCGGAGAAACACCGGATTCGAGTAGCCCGAGAAAGAATCGTTGTGTGTAGAGTGCTTGGTAGTTATTGCACAGTGCTGTCGCGAGCACACAGAGGCCCCACAGCAGTACAATGGCCGAGATGACGCGATGGACCGAGTACCTCTGGGCCAACAGAACCTGTGGATACGCCCCCACGATATAGCCCAGGTAGAATATGGATGCAGACCACGAATATCGATTTCCAGTCAATTCTAAATCGGTGATCAGTCCAAAAATGGCCTGCGAACTGGTCAGGATAAGAGACACGTATTTCGTGATAGCAATAGTTCATATGGAGACAGAGTGCACAAGTGAAAAATATAGACTTACAGCATGCGATAGCATATATTTGTCGTAAAATTGGATTCCATACGTGATGGTAAGGATGACCATAAGCCGACGATCGATTTTTCTGACAAGGCGTTTCTCTTCTTCGGCGGTCCATGTCGAGGCTCCAGAGTAGTTGGCCAGAACTTTGAGCGCTTCATCATTGTGCACCGTATCTGGAACCACCGTTTTCAGTTCAGGGGCACCTTCTTCGTTTTGTGTGGTGTCTAAGTACTCCTGGTGGATGTCGTTGACTTTTTCAGTCGGGTGAGTCATGGCGACGAACTATAAAGTATCGATGAAGGTCAGATCGTCGAGGGATGAACAGTGAGTCTCGGTTACCGATGGCTAAAGTGGTTTATACCAGCTGTTTACGGGGAAGTCTGGAGAAGTATGGGGATGGGGTCTTCCTTGAGCTATATCCTCCTTTTCAAGTGGATACGATGTGGTTCCCGGGAGCGGGTGGTCCACGACAATACGACTGGGGTCCAGAAACCGGAAAAGGGTCAATCTTCACACCATCTGACGGTCGCCGAGCTCTAAGAACTTGGTGAAACTCAAGTTCGGCTTTAACGTGTACTCAATTATAGTCTAGAGGAAAGGTTCAGCCCCTGGAATTCCGGTGGTGGTTCAAACAACATCCACCTGGACCACCACCCAGATTCCGACGTCACATCATCACCGAATTAAATTCTCCTAACACGGTGGACAGCTCACGGTGAATCTAGAGACCGCTTATTTGGCTGGTCAATGTGCTCTACATGGCCTGGGTGGATGAACAATACTGTTTGCTGTCGAGCCACAAGAAACATCCTATGAAATAATTTGCGATGGCTCAATCAGTCAAAAACTTGAGTCTCCGTGGAGGTGCAGTTGTCCAATCTGGACGAGTAGACAAGGAGATAAAAAAGACATAGTCGAACTGACTTGAACAATGTGTTTCTCCTATGTTATGCTAGAGTGTTTCAAATTTCCAAATTTCCAAGCAGTGTATGCCAACCACGTTCTATGGTGGGCTGGTGGACTTATCAATCACCTAACAAAATGATAGGTGGATATCGCTTCCGTTTCTCCTATCTGATATTCGAGCGAGATCAGACCCCTGATCTTGTCTTAACGATGTGTAGAATACAAGATGAAAGGTTTAGCCACTTGAATCGTTCTTTATATAGCGGCAAGCACAAAAAGCTATACTAGTGGAAATTTACCAGCGCCTTTGGAAAATACATTTTTGGGGTCATACTGTTTCTTCAAGGCCAGTACTCTCTCGAAGTTGACCCCAAAGATGTCTTTCGCTGATGAAGAGGCAATGCCTATGTCATATAGTCAGTAAAAGGAGACGAAATGAGCCTTGTGTGCCGCTACTCACCATCATAATTGCCATATTGCCCAACCCCATCTCCCGACCTCTCGACATCCTGGGAGTCTACGATCTTTCGAGCCGCATTCCTGGTCCATTCTCTGCACGCAATGTCATTTTGTTCTCCCACCCATCGTGTGCTGAAAAGAATATTGTAGTGCTCGCCTCGGTTGGCAAAGGACATGGCGGTCTGGGAGACTTTGTTCACCACTCTTTGAGAGAAGAACTCAAACAAGATAATGGTCTTGATGGCATCGGGGATCTCGGTGATAAATTTGAGGTAATCATCCAAAACCTGCTCTGCTAGCTTGCCGGATAACGGCACCGTGAACGCTGCGCCTTTTTGGGTTTTGCGATCGCCGTGGGTCGAGACCATGTTGAGCATGGCGTTGACCTCCTCGTAGGGCATCTGGCGCGTTCTGTCGACGATGGGCTGCAGGTCGAATAACGGTTTGTAGTAACTCAATGCTTCCTCCCTGGTGCCATTGTAGAATAGCACCGTCAGGACGGCAGGCTTGCGGGCCGGCGCTGGAGCTCCAATACCAAACACCATCCCACTTTGACCCTCGGTCGTGGCGACGACGTGGTTTGCGAATTCCACTACTTTCTCAATCTTGGACGTTGGAAAGACGAGCAAGCCACCCCAGACGGGATTTTCCTGCTTGTAACCGCGGAACGTGAAGCTGGTCACCACTCCAAAACTTTGGCCCGCGCCTCTTAGTGCCCAAAACAAGTCGGCGTTTTCTTTCTCTGATGTCTTCAGGATGCGTCCGTCGGCCAGCACGACTTCAGCTCCTAGCAAATTATCGATGGTCAGGCCATACTTCCCAGTCAGCCATCCATAGCCACCACCGAGTGTCAAACCTCCGACTCCCGTATGGTTGACTGTTCCTCCCACGGTGGCCATACCGTATTTGGCGGCGGCAAGATCGACATCCTCCCAAATGGTGCCTCCTTGCGCCGTGATTGTCTGGTTTTCGGTGTCGATGGTCACCTGGCGCATCTTACTCAGATCAACCACGAGCCCTCCTTCAGTAGACGAGGAGCCAGACGTGGAATGTCCTCCGCCCAGGACGGCAACTTCTAGACCCTGGTCTTGCGCAAATAGCAGGCTCTTGGCAATATCCTCCGCTGTAGTGGCTTGTACGACGACAGCCTGAACATGGAAGATCTGTAGTTAGAACCGGGTGATCGCTGATATTCGTCGGAGAAGGTGCTCTGACTTACGGCTCGCTTCTCAGCCGCCTCTGACCATCGATGAAGACTCTCGGCATATCCCTCTGAGTCCGGGGTTAAAATTTTCGACGCCTTCAACGACGCCCTCAAGTCTTGAACGGGTAGGCTCAGTTCGACTGAACCCATATCTGGCAGTGGAAGATTATCAATTCTTCAGGGCAAGCTTGACGTGTATTGTCTGTGTTGTTTGATTGCAACGGTCACGGATGACAATGCAGATCGCCGTCCTTATATGAGAGCAGCTGTTTACGGGAAGCTCTTTTCGTTGAGATCAGCCTCACCATGTACGGCTTTTAGTCATCCCAGTTTATTCACAGTTTGGCTCGAGTGTAAATGTTGCTCCATCTCTCCGATCCCCGTTCATAAGTGTGGACATTTCGGAACCGGGGTTGATGTGGTGGCGTCATACCAATCCCCACTACGGAGTAGTTAGATGCCTGTCTACGAATACCCCAGGTTGCGAGCCGAAGTCTACGGCTCCAAGACGCGGAGTCGGGTGAAAGTGAATTGATAACCTCTATGCAAAACCTCAAATCAGATGGAAATGGCTATGCTTCATTCCAGCTCCCTGCGGGTACGGCAATAGTCTACCCCGAACGGAGGGAATCATGGCTTTGAAATCGTCTGTTTTCCACATATCCAGATGCTGCTGCATGGATGTCCAACCCACAACCGCAACGCACAGATCTGCCTTTCTCGTCGGACTTTTGTCGAAGTCGAGCTGGGGAAACGTGTCGGTGGTGCTCAGGCAGTAAAACCCCGGCTGGACTTCGGCAGCAACATCTTGAGTAACACACTTCTTCATCCGCTGAATACATTCCCAATCTGCAACGATTTCCTCTTCGGTACGATTGCCCTTCAACGTCAATGTGGTGACATCGACACACGCGCTGGCTTTTAGTCCACCCACTTCAGACAAGGTAGGCTCCAAAACGGTTTTGATCTTGAGAATCTCAGGAGTTCCCAAAGCCAGAGGTTTCAAGCCTTCGATGTCCATCGTTGCACTATTATTGGACCATTCTGTTTTTGCACAGTCAACAAGGCCTTTCAAAGGATTGAATACATCGCGAGGACGTACCAGTGATCCATGTGATTGCGTTCTTGTCCTCCTCGGACCTTCCCCAACCTGACAGTACAAATCCCTCCTGCTCTTTGACTGCCTGAAACGCTTTTAGCAAATCTTGACCTTGTTGGTTGGATGGGTCTTCTGGTTTGACATCGTCTGGGACCGTCAAAAATACAAACTCGGTCTTTGCAGTGGGCTTGGTCATGTTGACTATAGATCTCGACTCTGTGTCTGGTGATGATGTCGGAAGGCTTCAATGGAAGAGGACAGTCCTCTAACTTGATGGACCATCAAGTATTTGATTAGATCATGTAAGCTAGGCAAGGCGAGCGACCCTGTCAGCCCAGTTTCGATGTATCGAGATCATGCGTCGCACTAATTACTCCGTCCCTTAGACAATCATTTCGCCAAGGGGCAGTTTGGTGCAGATCTCGGAGTTCGGGTGGCGGGTGGTGGTGGTTTGGACCTCGATCCGCTGAAATCTCTCGACTTGGAATGCACTTCAACCCCGCGATCTGTGATAGACTAATGCAAACCAACATGGCTCAGAAGAAAGAACAGGCGGACCAGATGGCGCTCTTGTTAGTCGTGCACCAAGCTCATGATGGTCGGTGATGTATTTGTGCTCGTATCAGAACCTCCTTTCCGTGGTCAGGGGTGGCGATCCGCGTCGGAGACAGCCGCCCTTCATCCGCATCATACTTACAGCCAGGACCCGAGGTACGAAATCTTTTGTGAAAGAGGGTAGATTTCAAAGGCCAGAAATTCAACTTGCCTTTATTTCTTAAGCAGAATGGGGAATAGGCGAGTTTTCATGCGTTATGCAGCGTTGTATGTTGAGTTTGAAGTCATCCGCTTACAGTAACTGAGGGTGAATGTGGTAGGATTATTTAGGCTTCGTTGGCGTGCAGGCCGAGGGGGCCTCGGGCCCGATGGCCTCTAAGAACAACCCCTGCATTCCCCTAAGAATCGCGCCCGTTTGTTTCTTCCCCGCACATTTCTCTCCCCACGTATGCCCGGAAAATCTCTGCTGGGGAAAGGAAGGATGGAATCGTATAAACCGCAGTTGCGATGCTCGCTTCACTGGTGCCCCACCAAGCATTCTCGCTCACACGTCTTGTCTATCCTACGTTAAAGGGACTTTTAATCTTTGTCACCAAATTCACCCCATTAGAAGTTCTCTGTAGCAAAGACCTCATGCATTCGTGTCCAGTCTGCCTCAAAAACTTCTCTCGCAAGTATGCGCCGATAAACAGCGACCCAAGTCAACCTGCTGACCAATTGTTCTAGAGACAGCTTCAACCGCCACATGAAGTTGCATGAGGCAGGTCGAAGTGAAAAGAGGTGGTCTTGCGATCGTTGTCAACGGTACTCACAGCTGGTATTTGGAGATCTGTGGTCGTTGTACTAACGAATCCAAGATCCAAAATCAAGTGTTCTGCTGATCGACCAAAATGCCTGGCTTGCCATCGCAGTTCTGCCGCTTGCACATATCCAACCAGGTCGCCAGCTGGCCGTATCACGAAAGATTCGAGTCAGACATCCAAACCGACGCCAACCACGTCGGCAACGGAGCTGTGGGATGCTTCAATCACGGATATAATACCCAACCCGCCAGACTTCACCACGCCGTCAATGAATTGGGCTTCTGACGGACAGCAACTAACGTCTGACCCGTCGCCTCAGCAAACACTCGATCTTTTCGGAAGTATGGGACCTCATAGAAACTTCTCAGAGGATCTGTTCCATGATTACGAAGTGCATGACCTTGATTGGATCTTTCAAAACATCTGTGAGGATGATGAAATCAACTTTCCCAGTCCCGCGGCAGAGCGAGACCTTCATAATTTCTCGACTTCTTCAGCCTCATTGGCCGAAACGCCTCTAAACGCTCAAGAACCTGCATCAACCTACCAAGAGAACGGTCCGAGCTCGGAAAACTGGCTGTTGGACCATGCAATGCTACCAGGGCGACCGCTCGCTATTCCGAAGCTAGGAGCAGATCGAGTGGATCATCAAGCCTTGGGCTCTCACTACCAAATCGAACGCATGACCCAGTTAGACAGAGAACGAGTCCAGCACTATATCAAATTATCCCTCGAACGACCCTTATGGAAGAGCATTGCAACCGATTATTTTCCATCCAAGGAGAAACTCGACCATTGTATTGACCTATTCTTCGCCAATTGGCGTCCGGTACGTCGAGAGCTGTGCTTTTGAACCTTGTGTTGATCAATCCTCAGGCTGTCAGTTTCGTTCATCGGCCCACCTTCGATCCAAACGGCGCCCCTGAGCTTCTCGTGCTTGTAATAGCAAGTATCGGTGCCCGCTTCACACGATTGAGCGGCGCCCCCCAGTTCGCAACAGCTCTCGCCGAAATCGTTCGGCGTCTTTCCATATCAGTGGTACGTCGAACATCTTTCTCACCTGCATGATCTCTGACACTTGTCTCCAGGTGGAGTCCGATCCTGACATCATCAAGTCGGAACCATATTTAACCGCACAACTGTTACTGGGAAAATACGGCTACTGCAGTGGCGATCGAACCCTCTTCAACAACAGCGAGTCGGTACGATGCTCTTTGGTCCGTCATGCAAGGAACACAGGTTTATTTTCTCCCTACAAGCCAACACGAACGGTAGAAAACAACACCCAATCTCAATGGGCGGCATGGATCTATTCCGAGCGTCGAAAACGACTTGGCTGGGCAATATATGTATGTCCTATACCATGTGGCAATTGTCATGATTGATTGGTCGATCGATCCCCAGTATGACTAACGCAGTGTACAGGAGTTTGATGCCTCGGTTTCATTCCTTCACAATCGACGTCCAACAATGAGCGTAGGTGATATCCGACTCAGTCTGCCCGAGGATGCTGCCCGCTGGGAAGCGACGTCAGCCCATGCTTGGAAGGCTCTTGTTCCTCGAACATCGACTTTCAATGACCCAGTTAGTTTCCGCATCGCTATGCGAAGTTCCTTTGACACCAAGCTCGCCTTGGACATTGAGCTCCGAGATCCCCAACATTTTCACCTGATGGTGATAACGCTGGCTCGATTCCTCTGGTCTATTAAGGAGTTGCAGAATTCCCCTCTCATGGACGTTGTGCCGGAACAATGGCCTCTCGTAGCGCACAAAAATAACCTTCTAGAAACGATGGACAATTACTCAACCTCGCTAAGCAACCTTCGAGCGACGGTCGATGAAAAAGAGCTGGCCCTTCAGGTTGAACGGACATCAATTATCCACATATGCCATCTGTACGGTGCCAGTGATCTCATGGATTGGCTTCCCGCCTTGCTGCGCACATCGGGGATGAATATGGCAGCCAAAGAACGGATGAAAATCTGGGGTCAAGAAGACCCGATCAGGCTGCGGAAAGTAGCTTATCACAGTGCCCAGATCATGGCCATTAGTCGAGATTTCCCATTCAATGCCCCCTACGAACCATTTCATCTATTTTACGCCGGTGTGGCTCTCTGGTGCGTCGCGTCATTACTCGCCGAACCAAAACACGACCATGTCGACCACGACAACCACGACAACCAACGGCCAATTTTTCTAGACCGTCCCGTCACGACCGGAGATGTTGAGCACCTGCGGATATCGAAATGGATTCAAGAAGGCGGAGATCATGTCATAGTCGGTGTTTATGGAGTTCCAGTTTTAGGCAATCCGCATAGCCCCGTGCAAGCACTGAATGAAACGATTCGAATTCTTCAGGACATGCGCAGCTGGGATTTGTCGATGGCTTTTGTGAATGTCCTACGGCAGCTGCTGAATAGAGAGTCGGCGCACTTGCAAACCCATCATCATCAGATAGGTGGAGCGATGCGCTAGGAGCATCATTAGTGGCAGGTATATACGAAGTATCCGTATCTAATTAGATGGAATATACCAGTCTTCGCCCTCTAATTCGTCCCGCCTTCAAATCTTCCAAACCCGACACAATCCCCGCCAACCCTCCATATCTCGCCTCGGATTTGAGAGGCTGTAGCTGTCCATTGCCGAGCAGAGATTCGATCTTGATGGCAAAGTTCTCGCCGAACGCAACATGGTCGTCGATCACGGGGAACGTTGGTGCGCCGGGCCCAAAGGAGAACGGCCTTCCGATGACGGTGAATGAGACAATTTTGACTGACTTGACGTTCTCGTGCTTCAGTGCTGGTCCAGCTGAGGTGAAGCTAATGTATGTTCCTGGCTCCGAGCCCATTGCTGCCGAACAGATCGTTGCAGACTGGGCGTCGGCGATACAGTCAACCGTGTACCGTACGCGTCCAGCCGTGAAGGCCTGCAAGGCTTGTTCGCAGATTTCGTCACGCTGTGAAAAACTAATAGTGAGCGATTAACTTCCTTTGAGGCGCGAAACCGTGACAGCAGAATTGCTCCTACGATGGTAATGGTGCCCAGAGGATTCAGGTATGAACTTACATAGTCGAAGAGTACGTCGGCACCAAAACTCCTTACCAGGTCGAAACTGTCCTTGGAGCACACGGCCATAACCTTCATCCCAGCCCTGCCGAACTCAAGATGTCAGTGACTGAATGACTGATAGTTTTGCTCTTCTTCATGGAAAACTCTTATCACTTACAACTTTCCCATCTGGACCAACATCAGTCCTGACGATGACGCTCCACCATATACGAGCAGCATTGGAGCGTTGCTTGACCCTTTGTCAGACTCTACGGGTCCATTCGGTCCGGATGCCGCTCCGCCCTCCCCTCCCTGCAACAATGATCCAGGCTCTGACGCCGGCTTCGGCACAGCAACGCCCATGACATGTTCGAGACAGAATCCCGCCGTAAAGGTGGGAATGGGTACTGTGACGCCATCCTCAAAAGACAAATCTTGAGGAAGATGCAGCAACACATGTGCTTGGACGACAGCATACTCAGCGAACGCGCCATCATCAGGTCTCAGGATGTTCCTTCCCTGCACCATTCCTGCGACACGGTCTTGAGGTTTCAGTCTCGTCACGTTCAGACCCACGGTCTCAACCACGCCCGCAAAGTCACAACCCAAGACTGTTGGCACTGGCGGAGCCCGGCCGTAGAGCATCTTCCAGTCATATGGGCTCAATGCTACCGTGTAGATTTTGACGAGAACCTCCCCTGGGCCGGGAACAGGAATGAGCACTTGGTCAACGACGGCGGTGCTTTGAGCTGTTTGGCGGAGTGCCTTCATGGTTGTTCCCCTGGCCATTGTGGAGAATCGAGAGCATGAGCTTCAAGCTCGGTCGGACTGTCGATTACGAGTCGTAAAATGATAACCACAGCCCGTTTGTTCCACCTATACAATCCCCAGCAAGATGGCCTTGCAGTCCGCTGGATAAAAGGCCCACCTGCTACCAGAAGGTGGAACTGTATATGTCGGTCTAGCTACGACTGCCCATTGCCGAGATCTGTTCCAGGTCACGTTTGCCCCTGAATCGCTGATATTATGTGGAATGAGTTCCAAAACACCGATGCAAACCAATCCTATTGCTCACCACACAGCCACACCACCTCTGCTCCGAAGCTTTTGACCCTCTTCGGTACCCACTCCCACTCACAGCTCCGACCGACATTGGCTATAGTGCATTTCCCGGGGTTCGGACTGCAGGATACAGTTTGCACGGAGAATCAGAGTAGATGAGAATATCTGATTGTTTTCATTTCTAGAGGAGATCTCGACCAGCATCCTGAGGATCAGCTTCCCCAGAGCAGCGTCAGTAAAGCGGCATTAATAGATAGGTTACAGATCAGAGCCTGTAACGAACCACGCTTGAAAGTCCCAACGGAATGCCGATATCAGATGCACAGTGCGTGTTTCATGAAATATACTTAGTCTTCACCTTCGATAGCTGTTTGTGTTGTTGTATCCTGGTATTGTCCACAACATCGCATAAAATCTCTAAATGTAGCTGTCATATAACACCTTGCACTATTCATCTACTAATCTATGCTTACATCCATCATATACTGGCAAGGGCGTACCGAGTTCGTCGGCCTTGATAGAAAGAGCCAAGAATCTAGAATACCACCTGGCATGACCCAGCGCGCCTCCAATATACCAAAGACCTGGTTCTGGAGACAAAATAGATCATGTTAGCTGTCATCGTGGATTGGCCCTGCTATATAGAGGCGATTGAAGGAGCTAGTAGTAGACTCAATCGATTTGGGAGTGACTTACGCGGCACAGGCTTGAACGCCCCAAGAATCTCTCCTTCCTCGTTGAGACCGAAACAATCGCCTCCTCGATCGGCGATATCTTTTCCAAAAATCTGTTCGACGTGGTTTCGCAGGTTGCCCAGGAATCCAGTGGCAAATACCACGACGTCGGCTTCGACTTTTGTTCCGTCCGCAAATTCTAATCCTTCTTCGTAGAATGAAACCGCGGCAGCATCTGATTTGACTTTGATCTGGTATGAAGTAGAATGTGTGAGTTTGAGCATGAAAAGAGATGAAACTCAAGGAGATCGACTCACCCATCCTTTGGAGATTTTGGCGGAGGTTCCAACATCGATATAGTGTCCACCTAGGCGAACATTGATCGCATCCTGGATGTCACCGTAGGGATCAACTTTGAAGCCGGCACGTTCAAGAGCATCCCATCTTTCAGGTTCGGCTCGGGCCATGGCATGAAATGTGTTGGCCGATGTGAGACGAGCAATAGACACGGGATTCGTGAACATGATTCGATCGCTGGCTTCAGTCGGTAGCTTGGTATTGTATAATGCTGCATCACCATATCAGATACTGCCAAACAAGGTCGATGCTTGGACTGGTAAATTGGGCTGCATGCGCTTGGTAAATTCCTTACTATGGTATCTTGCTTCAATATATTCGAGTGGTAGCACGACTGTGTCCCCCGAAAATGTCAGCTTAAGCTTCTGTGTAGTTCGCTATTGCCAGGATTCGGCAAACTGAGCTGAGAGTCATACTCACATGTTCGACTTCTCTGCACCATTGTGACAGTCATGCCTGTCTCATACATGTCATCGGCCACATCATGGGCTAAATTCACCGGTCAGCCACTCACTAGCAAGATCCATAGATCAAGCTCTATCTTACCAGTATTTGCTGTGCCCAAGACAATTCCAGCCTTGCCCTTCCACGGTTCAGCCGTACTGTAGTCTGCAGAATGCAACACCTGACCCCGGAATTTATCCTTTGAGTCCATTTAGCTCGAAACGCCTTTTTTCAAATTGTACATTGAGTGTATATTTACCTTGTTTGCGAGAAGTGGCACAACTGGGGTTTGGGATCCTGCTCCCGTGGCAATCACAACGTGTTTTGCCGTGATGACCATAGGAGTGTCTTTTCTGTTCACAGCCAAAGTGTAGAGGCCTGTTTTCTGATCCCATTGACCTGAAGTAACCGTCGACGACAGCCAGATGTTCTGTGATGTCATGAGCGTCGTTAACATATTGGTTATCGGTCTCCTGTCCAATTCTGATGACTTACAATCCCATACTTCTGAGCCCACTCCCGATGGCCCTTGGCAAGGTCCTCCTTGCCCAGATATTCTGGATAGGAGGGCCCAAATGTCCTATCGAAGGGTAGATGCGCTACGGTTGATGTTAGTTGATGTTGGTTCATGTATGCCAGAGAGGACTCACAGTATTCGCGGATCGTGTGAACTGTATCAAGAGCCAATAGGTTAGTGGTTCAAGTCGGTCACGAAGTGTTGACCCATGCAGACATGACTTACGTCTCGCAGACTCATATCTTAGACGCCACGCATCTCCAACTTCCGCATTCTTCTCAATCACGACATACGAGACACCGAGTGCTTGTAAACGGCCTCCAGTACAGAGACCTGCTTGACCACCGCCGATAACGACGGCATGAAAATGCTGGGTGTTGGATTTTGCAGATGTTCCATTCGTATCGGCAGCGTTGTCCGATAAGGGGTTATCATGAGAATCGCCATTGCCGTTCATCATAGAGTCTCTATTTCCATTCTGTCTGTGATCTTTCGATTGCTCTGATGAGATGCCATTCGAAATTGGTGAGCCTGGAGGCTGGTAAATATCAACATTTCCGTGACCGGGTAGTTGCTCAAGCACCGTTCTCAAAACCCAAATCCTCCATCCGTCACCAGATGGAGTTGAAACCAAGGACAAGAAACCCGAACATTCCGTGACAGGGTTTTTGGTGGTGAATCTGAACTTGCATTCCAGATACGACGACTCCGGACCAGTGGAAATGATTTTACCGCTCCCTGCAATGTATCGCCCGGACGTGGGTTGTCGATGTTCCTGCAATATCAACCACTGTTGCGCCACGTTGGTGTCAAAGTAGAACGTTCGGAATGTTCCTGTCAGTGCATAACTGTCACGCCACAAGGCGTCCTCGGTGAAGCATTCCTTGGTCAACGCGGGAAACCTCTCAACCATCGACTTGGCCACGGATTCAATATCTAAATCTGCGGGGATCCGCGACGTGGGCAACTTCCCAGGCAGTCGTTCCAAAATCGACTTCTTGGGCTTCTTGGAAAGCAGCGGTAAAGGATTTGCTGGAATTATCGCCATTGTGATTGCGGTTGCTGTTCTGCTGGCCTCGAAACTTGAAGTGGCGACCTGAGTTGGGAAGACAAGGTTGTGTGCTTGAACCAAGCCTAGATATCGCTTATCATGACGAGGACTTTACGCCTTCTATCCATTCTGATTCTCACGATTCCTAGTCTGCATAGTTAGCCCCATAGTCGATCTCGGAGATGTGGTGGCATATCCAGGCACCCGGTGCTCCGTGGATGTCAGCTCGCCCCGCCAAGCTGTTCCGTCCCTCAGTAAAAGAGTCAAGGTTTCCGGAGACCTGGGGTCAGCCGATGGAGGAAAGCCTACGCCTTGTGGGTGTGGTTCTAATAAGTTGTTACCTGTGCGGAAATCCATGATCTTTTCGTGCTCATCGGAGGCAAGGGAAAACTGGACTAAGTACACCTAACACATAAATTATACGATAACGGCTCACGGTCATTCCCGAACTCCCACAACATTGAGTCTTGTTTAGCCATCAAGACGCCCTTAGCAATGCTGAAGACGTCCATCTCCCTCGCCGCTCCTTCAGCCGTGTTGGGATTATTAGCCTTGGTACTTTGTTTCGTTTCGTGGGTATTGTTTTCGAGCTTTCAGAATTACTACCGCCTCCGACATATACCGGGGCCCAGATGGGCCAAACTGACCAGCTTTGGGGTTACATGGAGGTTCCATTATGGCAACGAGACTTTTGTCGACCTCTGTACTCGACTTGACAAAGAATACGGTCCCGTCGTGCAATGGTCATCCAGGAATGTGTTGTTTAGTGATCCTTTGGCAATTCCGACTATCTACGCCACTAGCAACGTTTGGAGGAAGGTAAGGTGTCTGGAGTGAAACCCCTGAGTCGTCCACGTGTTGATCATTACCAAATCCTAGGCTGTGTCTTATGAACCGGCAATTCCAATCATCAATGGAGTACTTCAAGATTCACTTACAACGACAAGAAACGAGGCTAAAGTTTCGGCGATCAAACGACACATCAACGGGGCATTTACTCCACGGGCAATTGGCGAGTATGAGACACATGTGGACGAAGGAATCAATCTTTTGAACTCGCGACTCCGCTCCCATGCACCCGTCGTCGACTTGGTGCGATGGATCAAATTCTTTGCCTTTGAGACTATCTGCCGAGTCGCCTTCAGCGAAGTCGATCTCGCCGAACACCAAGTTGAAACCATACTCGCGGGAGCCAGACAGCGATTTGATCATTGGTACCGATGGTTTGCTACTCCCTGGCTCGAGAGGCTCATCTATAAAAACGCCTTTGTTCGAGGAAGAGGGACGAGTCTCTTGGGTTTGCAAGCCTTGAAAAGAATTGACGAACGAGCCCCCAAAGCAGAAAGTGAGAGCAAGTCGGATCTTCTACAATGGTACCTTGAAAGCCAGACCAAGTCACCAGATTTGATAAATAAAGGAACGGTGGTCGGACTTGTCATCTCAACCATCAACGCTGGGGCCGAGACCACCGCATCAACCATGGTTCAAATTATCTGGTTTTTGTTGAACCACCCATCGCGGTTCACGGCCTTATTGGAAGAATTGAAATCAGCAGATCTCAAGTCGCCTCCCTCGTTCGAGTCGGTACAGAAACTGCCATACCTGGACGCTACTATCAAAGAGACCATGAGACTACACTCTGTGAATCAAGCGCCCTTGGAGAGAGAAGTTCCTCCCGGCGGCGCCCACATTGCCGGTGTCTACGTCCCGGGGGGCACGGCCGTTGCTTTGAATTTTGCTGCTCTCCGACTTCGTAAAGACGTTTGGGGATCAAATCCTGAAGAGTTTCGGCCTGAGCGATGGATCGAAGCAGACACGGCCACCAGGGCCAAGATGGAACGTGCCTTCTACGGCTTCGGGTTCGGAAAACGAGTCTGTATTGGCCAACACATTGCTTGGATAGAGATGAAGAAACTGATACCAGAACTACTGTTGAATTATGAGGCAGGTCTTCTCCCTTTAAGCAAACCATTTTGGACAACGCCGTTTTTGAAGGGCTGACAATGATTGCAGATGCGATTAGCGAAGCCGGAAAAGTCCTTAGATTATGAAACGACTATGGTCGCGCTTCCAAAGGATCTCTGGGTATCTATCACGCCACGGTCGAGATGAAGGGATGGGGCTTGCCTTGATGAAATGAATCAAGTTGTACAGTTGGTGTAGGGGTTCTTTTCTAGGCAAAGGAAAATGCGTTGCTAGGCAATGCACACTGATCGAATGTGTTCTAGAAACACTCTCTGTCATGGAGATGAGGATAAGTGACAAATGTAAACGGCAAGCCAATTCATCATTTATTGCATGCACTCCTGGATACAGAACTGACCATCACCTCTTGATCCAAGCGACAACTTCGTGACCCCATGCTTCCTCTGCTTCGATCTCAGATCCTAATGCCAAGGGCGGACTGATGTGATTGTGACCTTTGATTTTCAAATAGTCGACCTCGACACCCCTCTTGGCCTGCAGAATCTGCACAAATTCCTCCGTAGTTTTAATGATGTCGTCGGGATCCCATTCACAACTACTAAGCAACAGACGAGGCCAAATTTCAGCGGAAAATTCGCCTGATTCTTCGCATCGGTTCAGCGATGCGACCGGGGAACGATCATCCACGTCCTCTTGTAAGTATGCGGCAAGAGCCTGTCGGAGGGGAGCAGAGGAAGCTTTGAAACTGAAAAGCGCACCCAGGATGATCACGCCAGACAGTTTCACGCCTCCACTCCCAGCCACGATGGAGCGTCTGAACTCGCAAAACGCAGGCTCAAACAACCAATGGGCCACGTTGATCCCTCCAGCTGAGTTGCCGAAGAGATAGGCGTCGCATGGCTGGCCCTGATGATTGTCCACGATCCACTTGAGCGCGGCCTCGATGTCTTCAGCGCCCGTGGGGAACTTCCCGCCATGTTTGATGAGACGATAGTTAAGGCAGATGGTCTCGATGCCGGCGCCGTCGGCGAAGAAGTGACCCAGATTCTTGTAGAACAGGGGTTGGGCTTCGTTGACTTTGTCTCCGTTGGCGAAACCACCACCATGCATGAATACAAGAAGCGGTTTGGGAGTGTCCTTTTTTGTCGTCGTTATTGACGATGATTGATAGACGTCGAGTTCTTGACGAGGGTGAGGTCCATACTTGAACGTCTCTCGTTTTGTTTGTTGGATTTTCGATGCATTTTGCGCAATCAATGGTCCATAGACTCCATACGTTGGTAGGACCACTTGCCCGATAGTTCTTCCAAATGATGGTAGTTTGTCCATGGTTTGAGCCTGGCACTGATCTCGACGCCGAACACTGTCGTTGTTGAGATAAGAATATCCAAGAGAATCTAGAGAGATGAGTTGGTCAGAAGTAATGAGGCCATGTGATTAGAGTCTATAATGTTCAGCTAAAACACATCTCGAATAATAGTAGTCATTTGTTTTCTACGGTGCCTTGCGTTGTATGTTGTGTCATCACCATTGGATTGTGTTGCTGTACCACCACATCTCCGAAGTGTGATCGGAGGGAGTACGCTATCTCACGATTGCCTCCACGTCTGGGTCTTCCCAATCCCAAGAACCTGGTCCCAATTGACTGACTTGCCATTGAACTCTTCCGAGACTCCGTCCTCCACCAACTTGACGAACGCTGCAGCAGGCTGATCGGGTGACAGTAGCTTCCCACTCAACTCCAGGTCTTGCAGAAACTGGCTGATATTCTTTGAAAATCCAGCTGAGTGCGTTGTTAGCATCCAAGGCAGATCGATTACAGCAGATTCGCTTACGATCTTTGGTGATTCCAGCCATATTCTCGGTAGCCACTGCGCCGGGAGATATGGCAATGCTTCTCACCTGCGGTTCTTCCAGGGGCAGACATGAGCAGAAATAGTTGACCACTGCCTTCGTGGATGCATAGCAGGTCCAGGACTCAGTTGGGGACCAACAAACTCGTGTCGTTGTCATGAGGATGTTACCATTCACTTTCCTCAGCTCTGGCAGAGCTTGCTGAATCTGAAGGTTTGCATTAGACAGGAGTCTCTTCATGTGCATGCTGTAGTACATGTTGCAGCGCAGGAAATGCTCACAAGATCAATAGAGGAGAAGAAGTTGACGTCAAATGTCTTTTTCCAGTCATCGAGAGCAAGTGTAGCTAGCGGCCCAATCGGCCTGACCACGGCAGCATTGAGGATGATCGAGTTTATCTGACCACCTTTCTCGACTGCCAGCTGCACGGCGTGTTCATTCGTCTTATTCTGAGTTACATCTCCCTGAAGAATGTGAAGTCGTCCAGCGCTATCCTTCTCGAGTATTTCCAACTGGCGCGTTTGTAGATCGACGGCGACGATATGAGCGACTTTTGCGGATTTTAACAGTCCCTTGGTGATTGCTAGGCCGATCCCATTGCCCGCGCCAGTCAAAATCCTGGTAATACACGAATCGGTTAGAGTTTACAAGTTGGGAAATGTCCGCCTTGCAATTGTAGCTTACACAACTTCTGTGGGCCCCAAGCCCATTGTGGTCGTGTACGAGATGGTCGTTTTGCTGGCGCCGATTGAACAACGACGATCTTTCGTACCCAGGAACTCTTGCGAGTCAAGAGACTATATGCGTTCTGTAAACATTCTCGAAACTTTGACCACTGTCTTTGGGCACGCTTAGTACTCCGAATGCATTCTCACGCTACGGCAATGACCGTCCGAACAATATTGGCAGCTTTTCGGGGATACGTGGAGGGGAAGGCATCAGAGGTCATCACGGCCAAGAGGCCTCAAGGCCGAGGAGCGTGCACTTTGTCATCCACCACCTCAAGTCCGAAACTTTAATCTGTAGGCTCTTGGAGGCCTCTAAAATGAGTCAACTGATTTTCAATGATTTGAATGATTTCTATGTCTCTATCTGACTGAAGAGAAGGAGTTGTGGGAGGTCATGAGCGACGCTGGAGGAGAGGTCTGGATACCACACGTGACACCACGTGACACAACAGTCCAACATAATCTGTCCTGGCTACTGGGATCGAATTTGAACTTTCCTTATGTCTATGAACCACCTCTTGCACACTACTTATTGCGCGGACTGATTAGACTATCGTTCTTTTGTGGTCAACCGATTAAGCTTATCCCTTCATAAGAAACAACTTCTGTTAGTGACACGCATGGCTTAACCTATCACCTTACTTATTAGAGGCCTGGAGGTAGGCGTCGTATTCTTATTATACTGTACCGCGTAGCTAACCTATCATGGTTAGTGATATAAAAGCTTGGCGACAGCATGAAATATTTCCGATCCCAATTGTGATTAACTTCATCCTCTAATTCACACCTTTCCAGGTCGATGGTTTACTTGAACCAGAGTCTCATGCGACCTCATCAATGATCAGATATTCTTTCTGTGTATCATCAGCACTTCTGGCGTACAGGAGACTTCATACTAACATCTTACCATCTCGTCTCCCTCTAGACTAATCTCCTACAAGAAGTTTCTATAATTGTACGTTCTACCCCCAATCTAATGGTCTCATTCTCGAAACGCTCCCAAACTCCCATCATGATGACTTCAAGAAACTTCACTGCATTAGGAAGAGCCGGAAAAGGATGCATGTCTAGCGAAAAAGGAGGCATCGTCAAATGCCCTCCTTTGGTCGATATCATATCGTCCTAGCTTGGACTGTCGTCGATGCTTAGAACAGTTTCTCTGACAACACGCCTCAAGTCCCCCTTGTTTCTCAACGCACCGCTGTCTCTAGTTATGCCGAGGAACATCATGGACTGACTTTCAATACGCTATAGGTTTTCCCTTCACATGCTCTTATTCTTACGATGCGTACATTGCACGGGATTCTAGCCCTCCACGGCTTCCAAGAACTCCCGTGTGCTAGTGTTACATGGCTTCTTCTTGCAACGCTCTTTGCCACGACGCCCATGCTAGATGCAGCAAGAACGCAATGGAGTGATTCTTCCCATCGTGAAAGATCGATGGCGGCTGCTTCTAAATTGCTTCATTTCTATAGAAAGACAAGGTGCACCACTTTTGATCTCATAATCTTTAACCGGTGTGCGACTTCTTCAATCTGGTAGACCCTTCGTACAAACCGCGATCGATGGCAGCCGCGACAGTCAGTGTGCCTCCAATGACGGCACAAATTCCGGTCAAGAAACTGGCAAAAGTCTTTGGTCGCACCTCACGATTGATGACCTTCATGGGACTGATGTCGTAGGAGAAGAAGACGCCCGGGATGCCCCCGTGTGCATGAAGCCGTTCCTTATGCCCCTCTGCAGCATCGTTGCCGCCCGCCAATGATCTCTTATGTGACGTGACAGAGTACTGATGCGTCTCAATCGATCCTTGGCTGCCTGCACCCTTGCCCTGCATCCCCAGCGGAATGAGGTCCGCGAGGCTCGAGTGTTTCTTTAGCGATCTGTCTTCGTCCCAGCCAAGGGGAAGATATGAAGTCGAGACCACTTTGATAAAATACATGTAGGTGAACGCCACCTCGTCAGTCTCCTGGAGGTTCGCGTCGAGCGGATCGGCGTGATGATGATCACTCCATTTTTGCGCCCCTTCTCCGTCAAGCTGCGGCCCAAAGCGAAGCGAGTGAATCTCGTGGGTGAAGGTGTGGCCTCCTTCCACAGGCGATTCAAAGTAGTTGTTGAGGTCGTGGACGTGCATGTTGCCATTACTGAAGCTGCGCCCGGGGGCGATGTGGAAATTCCCGACGACCTTGTTGACACGGATAACCCCTTCGATCCGACATCCCTCGTTTCGTTGAGCTAGGAGCCGCTCGCCATAACCTTCTCTTTCACACTGCTCAACACCTTCTCCACGCCCGAATGACCAGCTATTTTGAGCGTAAGCCTCTCGGACCTCGTCACAAGTGTTGCAGCACCCTGGCTTTGCAGCATTCGGAGGCGCTGGGGCGGAGTAACACGAGCCGCAATAATTCGGGTCGAGATGGACGGCGTTGTCCTGCTGGTGTAGTTGTAGCGCCGTGGTATCGATGACTCGTGATCCCTCTGCTCTGGGAGATAGCCTGACTTTGTTCACCCCATGGACAACGCCTGTCTGTTGTTCGCCGGAAACGTCCATGACGTCGAGCGTTAAAAGTTCGCACGGGATTCGAGGGAAGGTGACGTTGAGATGTATTTCCATCTTCTCTCCTGCCAGGCCATATGTGTCAGTCTGTGAACAATGAAGGGAGTTTCCCACTTCAAGTCTGGGGTCCACCTACCACGTCCCTTGTCGACGATGAGCTCAGGCTGCACCAGTATCCTGCGGTAGTCCGCCCATTCTCCCCAGATCAAGTATAAGATGAGAAGAATCGAGGTAATCGTCACAACACCACCAGACGTGGTCCGTACCCGAGCGTCCTCCACGGTCTTGGTGAACGCATCGAGGCGGGTAAACCTCGATTTGACAGGCATTTTAATGATGAATAAATGTGACGCGCCAGAAGCGCAGAAACGCCACAGGTCAAGTTCCAAGCGTCCAAAACATCAAAGCATTATAGCACGGGATGACTGGTTGTAAGGAGAGTTGGGCTAGCAGCGATTCCACGCATTGTCTGTTCAAGTGGACAGAATGTTCGATTCGGGCAAGACGTGAGCCCGGAGAATTTACTAGGGGCCGGGAGTCTCAAGGGATCGTGAATCTCAAAGGTCCCACTAGAGATCCAGCCGTACACGTGACTATAGTCCTGCCAAGGCTCGGCCGACTTTCCACATCATCCATCACCCACAAACAATTCAGCGCCAAACTTTTGGCCAGGTAGCGACTACAATCCTGTAGCCAACACAGAAGATCTCTCAGAGTTCATTCAGGTCACACGCACCGTCAAGATGGCCAGTGAGTATGCGCAACAGATGATCGAGACTTGTAGACCTAACTAGTTGCAGAATCCAAGAACTCGTCTCAACACAACCAGTCGAAGAAGGCTCACCGAAACGGGTATGCGATCTCTCGTTGCTACACGGGCACCACCTGCGAAGAATCAAAACAGATCAGCTAACTGGAGCTTCTCATGATAGTATCAAGAAGCCCAAGACCAACAGATATCCTTCCCTCAAGGGCACAGATCCCAAGTTCCGAAGAAACCACAGACATGCTTTGCACGGAACGATGAAAGCGTTGAAGGAGGCCAAGGAGGGCAAGAGGGACACGGTGTAAATCGCGCATGGGGGACCTTTTCAAGATTTTAGCACGAAGATCGAGAATCGAGAATCGATACGACCAATATCAACGCATTGTTTTGCCGGTTCAACAACCCCGATCCACATGAGCGGCGACGGTCAAGATATTCGGATCTTTCTATCAGCGTCAGTGATCCGCGACAGTCGATGACGGCGACACTGTCCCGCTTCCTCGGATACAAAGAGTCGTGTCACCAACTTATCAGGACAGGATTGATCAGGCAGCAATTGATATACTCCAAGGTCATCCAAGTTTCATTTTCCTTGAGTTTGTTTTGGCTCTCCATCTCCCCCCAATTCCCGAAAACCCTACGGCATTTGTGTGTACAGCATCGTGCTTATCTACTTCCATGCGCGATGTCTGAAGGAAATTTTCTATCGTGCCTATATGAATGTTTTATTGCCTTCCAATTACCAAACACTTACCTTTCAATTACTGGTGGAGGATGGTGCATGGACGGAAGGCAACAATTGAAGCCCTGTTGAACCAGCAGAGTTGCGACTCTCGAACGCAAATGGCTCATTGCGTCTACAGGCATGATCCTTGGACCGCCAAGGCATCACGGTTGTAGGGGCTAATAGCCCGTCGACTATGTTGTGTACGTGAGCATATATCGGACGGAGATCTGTCTCTCCTTCTGCACAATTCAGAAGGGTAGCCGGTTGCCCTGTCTCAATGCCAGTCGCTTGACTACGTATGAGTCTGACTGAGCACTAGTCGCTACCACATCCCCTTCGCTCGCTATTTGAACACTGCGATACCCATCTCATGATCGTGCCGCGATTTCTACCCTCCAATCTCCACAAGCCAGGATCGACAAATTGATGCAGTGACATGAATGAGGAACTTGTACGAGTACGTGCATACATAGCCTGGTCTGGTCGGCTCTTCTCGCCTGAGGCTCTGTGATAATTGGCGAGGCAGGGGGCTGGTAACGCCATGATGAATGCTGGCCTTCGCACGTTGCAAGCTACAATTTAAGCGAGATGTCTTGAAGCAGGCCATGTGGTACTGTACGTGTATCGAGTAGAGCGAGACACGCCTAGACTGACCTTGGTCTAGTCAAGTTGAAACCCATCAAGAGCCACTGGCTAAAAGATGTATACATAATGCAGGTACATATCACATTACATAGGAAATGCGTAACTCTGATGGGTTTGCACATTCCCGTGGCACGGTCCCATGAGAAGCCCGGGTTGAGAACGAAAAGGAATGATTACACAAGGTTGATGTCTCTGTGCATGAGACCCATGTGCGTCGGGAAGGAACGGTAGGAATGGCGCTGCCCTTGCAAGCTGTAATGACTCGAACGAGTGTCTGCGCGGGACTGCAACATTTTACTGGGGCATCGAAAGCCGGGGTCGTCGAGTTATGGTGCCACCATGTAACCTTGTCTACTTCACTACTAGTACGCAGGAACGAGGATGGAATGACATCCGCGAAGGATCAAGCATTTCGGCGATGTTAAAAAAACTGAGCAGGGGAATGTGCGCTAGGGATTCATTCCAATCCTGGACTAGTTGGTCGGAGTAAGGTGTATCCACTGTTTCCAAAGATCGAGATATCATCCATATTTGTATGTACGGAGTACTGTAGTGAAGGGAGAAGGGGATGAATCGCCTAGTGGCAGAGGAAGACCTAGCATCTGAAGGGGATGGTCTGTTTTGAGGCAGGAGAAATGAGAAGATTGTTGACATGTAGGCTTCAGATGAGACAGCCACGGAAAGTCCGTTTTCCCTCCTCTCCTCCTTCCATTCGGGCCTGAAAAAGCTATTTGAAGTGAACGACCATGGAAGGCACGATCGAGGATCAAATTCACACCTCTTGCCTTTCGGTTGGGTCTGCAAATATTTAGGCTGTCTGACAGCAAGAGCCAAACGGCCGGACAAACGCTAAAAAAGTACGCTAAGTTGCACACTAGAACTGGATCCAAACTCTAAAGGTGCTTCACTTACGGAGTATACGTGAGCAGACTTCTACCCCGGCATTTCGTATGAGTACGAATATGCTTATGCGGTATGGAGACAGCGAGGATGTTCTTGCTGTGTTCCGCTAACCGGAAGCAGTCCGACCCTTTTCCACGGCTTTTATGCCGCATGCATGCATACATCCTAGGCACTGATAGTGTCAGTATGGCTTGACAGGGCACGTGGTTCAACATGAGGGTCTAATATCTGCAGTGCCTTGTACGGATACACGATTGATGGTTGATAGCCCTGGGCGGCGGGGACGTTTACTAGTACCCCCGTTTGGCTAGGGGTCAACAGACACATCCTCGGCTCAGGATGCCGCTTCTCAATCGACATATTAGCTCCGTATGTATGCACATGTTCATCATGTTAGGCGAGGGGAGCCCATCACTAGTATGTGTACGCGGATGCGGACTTGATGGACTTTGTAGCGGGGAAGTGGCTCTCATGCATCTCTTTGAGCGTCTTCCTCTGGCCTCGGCATACATGTCCAAATGGGATATCTGTAAAGTCAATATCATTATGTCCTCCGTAGTTAGGAGTCGCCTTAAGAAGGACATGGGATCAAGGGTGGGTGGCGTAAGGGTTTCGACCAAGGCCTTTGGTATTCCGTCATCTCACCCGAACACGTCAGTATTGTGAAACCTTGACCATAAGTACCCACTTCCCTGTCGCCCTTGGCCTTCTGATCAGTGCTTGTGCGTGGTGTCATCGACCTGAAACACCTTGAAGAACGTGAGTTCCTCATTAAAATGGCGTACTCGGTAAAACTTCTACACACAGATGCATACATAAGCAGGTCATGTCAGCCTGCTATCATTTTCAGATCCCCCTTTTCAGTCAATTTATCCCGTCATGGCAGATGAGCTTCAATCTTGGAGAGTAGTTCACATACTTTTGTGTACATAGACAGAATACATTTTGGCCCTGATATCCTAATTGGTCCACAAGAAGCTGAAATTGCAGATCATGTCCATCATCACCAACTTGAGTCTGGAGGATTGGACCATGTCAGCACTACTAGTCCTCAACAGTACTGAATGCAGCAATGCCCTAACCACTTGAAGATTTGTACATGCATCAATTCTTAAGACTTTGTGGCTTTCCACAAATTGTCAAGACTGGTCGGAGAATTTTACACCCCCGAACCCAGAATGGTAGCTACCAGGATGGATGATGATCGAAACCAGAAATTAATTCTTTTGTTATCCATGACACTTTTGAAATGGCTACATTCAGCTAACGCTGACTGATCTAAGTTATCAATCTCACATTACCAGCTCCATCCACACAGGCCTGACAAATAGACGTGTTATTGACCCGAAACCAAGGGACCCCTAGAGATTACTATTACTGTCAAGGGCCATGTGACTGATGGGTGGTGACTGATCTATCATGATGCTTGCTACCAGCATGCATGCCAGGAGAGGCAATATTGATAGGTGGTTTGAAAGCATATCACACCGGCGTCCGTTACATTCCCGTTGAGGCTGTGGCAGATCAAACCCGCGAAGACAATCATCCACGAGCCGAGATAGAACTCCTCGCGAAAAAAATGTGGTGAATGACGTAGAGTTTGATATTGAAACGCTTTGGTGCATACACGCTCGAGAGCCATCAAAGCTCTCATGCCCAATTCGGTGGTGTTTCTATGCTTCACAAGACGCTAGCTAATTGGCAAATGCTCGACAAAGTATATTGTAAGAATGTTTGCCACTGCTAGTCTTCAAGGCTCTGAATCTCACTACCACAGGCCTCTTATTCATCTCCTCATCGCCATAGTTTCAGATCGCTGTTATACATTGGTCACAGCCTTGCAGCCAGTGAACTTCTTAGATCTGTCCATCTAGTCCCGTCAAATCAGGACTCGAAGCGGCCGAAAGGGAAGGCCTGCGCAGCATATTCCTATCGATACAGATGAAGTCTCGGGTATATGGCCACCGAGACCTACTTGATGCTTTTCGCCGTGGGGCGTCGCGCTGTTTCCTCCAACCAAGAAAACTCAATATCAAAAAGATGAGCACCCGGTGCGCCGTCGCAAAAGTGACTGGTGTTGTATTTCCTGTCCTATCATGTTTGTCGATCCATGTATTCCCCAGTCTAATGATTGGTGAGCTTAGACCCCCTCAGCAGACCAGACTGCTCGTCTAGTCTGAGGACGTCAACCATCAGCTGTTGCTGGTTTCATAATTGTGTCGCGGAAAGTACGGGACTCGTGACCGATAAAATGAGCCATGCCAGCGTGTTGCACCATAAACCTGGCTTTGACTATGCTTGCACGATGCCCGGCGTTGGATGGCTCTGGCCGTTCTCGCGCAAGGCCATTTTGCAGATTCTTAGATGGAGATAGGTGGTCTCGTCAGTCTCATCAAGAGAACTTGGCCATAGGATGGCTTGATTTAGATTCGAACTCGGATGAAGCGGCGTGTGTCGACCTTGGGTCCCAATCCCGGCCTGGAGCAGAGGTTTGTGGATACGAAAAATTCGAGACTGGATTGACATATGTACGGGCCCCCCCGAAATAGTCTCCCTTCATATCAGGCTCGGGTGTATATGGTGAGCGAGCGAGTGGGCTCGTCAGCGCTCGATCTGGAGAGGTGGGTTTCAGCGTCGGATGATTGCCGGCCAATAATTCGTACGTACGAGGGTCTTCAGGCAACGGTCTGGCATCAGCCGAAACGAACTCGTTCTTTCGACGAAACCTGGTCCGGAAAAAGTCTTTCCATCCTTCGACCATTGACCATCGGCCGAAAAACACCAGGCACCAAAATCCACTCAGCTGTAGAGCCATCAGCATCCTCGCCATACAAAATCCAGATCAATGATGTTACTCACCCCTAGTACTATTAGAACAGCGAGGACGACAGCTTCAGATTCGACCAGATCTCTGGTGTACTGCAGGCATTGGTCCCTGCCCCCTTGTGTGGCGACCAAACACTGCAACCAAGATTCCGCCCTCCTGAGCATGTCTGGGTTGACTTGAGTGCTGTTGTCCATCGAAACAAAGACGACAGCAAAGAAGACGACCTCTCCAATGATGACTAGAACGATGGTTGCGCCGCGCCACTGGAGCTGCACGACCCTTTTCACCCTCCTATACGCTTGTCTGGCCGAGAGCGTTCTGACACTACCAGAATATGTTGGGGCCTGAGAGCTCGTATTGGTGGTCGTCTTGTCGTCGAGCAAACTCCGAATATAGACCTGGATGCAATATCCAATGGTAATGAATTGTAATACCAATGCCAGAGCCGCAAAGGCAAGGAGAGGGCCCCAAAAGTCCTGTAGCGCGTACTTATGGTTGATATGGCAGACATTCCCGAAGCGGTATGAAACCCCTGTCAAAGCGAGAGTGACGGTGAGGCCGGCGGCAGGGACAAGCCAGCCAAAGGCCAAAGCCGCGTAGAAGAAACGATCTCCGGGAACAACTTCCCAGCATATCTGCAAATGTAATGCCAATGCTCGACAAAAAATCCAGATGACAATTGCCCAGCCTCCAAAAAGCAGAAATGCGCCGCTGATGGCACAAGAGCCGTTGGACCTCATGTCGTTAGGGGTGATTTCGTTGAAGCATTGTTCTGGCTTGGTACCCAGGGGAATGATGAACGCAAGCTGTACGGTTCATGTCAGTGGAAAGGTTTCTCGGACCGGCTGGAGTATGCAATACCTCAAGAGATATGACGCTCAGCGTGGCACAGACACTTAAGTAGTGTCGGTGCGTGTACTTGACGGGGAGAACGATGAACGATAACACTAGGTAGACAGAAAGAATGAAAGCTGCTAAATTGACCCAGTTGGCAATGGAGGTCCTCTGTTCAAATCCTAAAGACGTTGAGTATTGACTCGAGTATGGCAGTTTGGTCGTGAGAGACTGTTGGTCTTACCCTGGGAATAGGTCCAATCCGTAACCGGGCATGGGAGACAGCAAGTTGCGTTTCCGAGTGCGGCAATGGGCATGCAAAATCTCCCCGAAAGAACTGCGTCAATGTCAGTGCCAGTCTCTCGGCCGTTTGAGACGGTGGGACGGCTACATACATCCCCCGGTCTCTGGGAAGAGAGCCTCCTGGAGGAATGGCGCAGGACAAAATCCGCGCAGATTCGTATCTGTAGGCGAAGACATGCCCACCACAATTGAGGCTATCTGCCAAAGGTTCAAAGCGACCTCGATCTCTACACGAGCATGACAGCGACGGAGCAAGCAGAATAGCTAGAACGGGATTTCTTGTTGGTGAGAGGGTTAGGACCGTTATGAGAAAATGGGCGGCAATGAGAAATGGCAAAGATGATGTCCGAGTAGAAATGCGGACAGGCTAGCATATGAATGACAGGTAACGGGACGCAAAGGAACCGGTGACTGCAGAAGTCCGGGGAGGGGCTCTAGACCTAAGAGTCAGGGAGAGGTGACGACTCACGAGAGGACAGAGGACGTGAACGAAATAGGCGTTATGACTAGCAGGAGATTTGAGCGGTGGGTATGGATTGAGGATTGGCGATTGTGGGCTCCGGGGTGTTGAGTGGTGTCACAGGTTTCTTTGCCTTGCAGCCCGTTTGAGGGAAAAGGGCATTCTGGTCAAAGGCATTCGACAAAAATTTGGTGGCATTTTGTGTAGAAGAAGCCAATTCCAGCGACGTGGGATCAGTACGAACAGTGTTGTGTGGAGCATCGTCAGATCCACGCTCCGTGTCGGTGGAAATGGGCCGCGGCGCTAAGGGGCTTCGGGGGTTCTTCCATGGATCCGTCACGAGGAGGGCTGCCTTGGTCTCATAGCGGGCTCAGAGGAAAACTACTGGCGTTGAGGAGGCTGGCCTGAGAGGCAAAGGTGAAAGAATATGGCAGAGAAGAGGGCAAATCGAGCAATCAACGGAGGGCTATGGCCACTGACGAAATTGTTGCTGCACAATGCATGCGTGTTTTGCCAATGGGAGGGTTAGTCTCAAATTGTGTTGATGGGGACGAATGGCAAGAGACAGAGTGCAACATTACCTGAAAAGATGGCAACAAATGGTGCACAGAGGAGGCATGTTCAGCGTAGGATTGGATGGCATGTTCGTGAAATGCGACGTCGAGGTCGGGCGACCAGGGATGGAAGTCTCCAGGTGGAGGCGCATGAGACAGGGGTTTGACGGCCAGGTACCAAGAGTCCAAGAGTGGAATGGGTAGTACATGGCAGGGATAGTGTCATGGGCACATACGGAGTAGGCTAGAAATCGTTGTCGGTTGTAGGATGTTCAGGATGCTGGGGACGACAGGGATGCAGATGCACCGCGCCCGTTCCTGAAAAGCCGAGGAACTTGCCCTGAAATGGTGGCTGAGATTAGCGGCCGGAGCGGAACCAGGCATCAGGTATTGTTCGATTGTCAGACTTCTGGATTTTGCCAGGATCCCTGAAGCCCGAGGGATCTCTACATGAGTATTTAGAGAGGTGGTCTGTACACGAGAAAAGATTCTTCAGTTGTTCGTGTTCGCGAAGAACACGCGTCAAGATTCATGCGGAAGGCGTGATGGACTGCACCTTCAAAATTAGGTATGCTCGAGCTCTCTAACAAACCTCGGGACTCTTGTATGTACTTCCCTCTGTAAAGTAGGCACCTTAGGTAGAACCCCTGTCGCTGGGCTTTTATGCGTCCCACGGAGCACCTGATAGGCGTCTTTTTCGGGCGTTCTGAACAAACAATAGGCGAGTGAATCAGCTGCACAGGCGACAATCACAGGTAGTGCCAATATACTCCCCGGGCCTCCCCGACCCATCAAGTCGGCCACGGCCGCGATGTGTTCTTGCTCCTGACCAATTCTCCAGTTATCAAGTCGATCACTCGGGTATGTACGTACATACTCGTAGACACTTAGGGACTTGTACATGTTATCTTCATACATCATACCACACTTCCACAATCCGGTTGTTCTTGTAGTATCATTCACCGCCTACTGACCTCGAATCATCGGTAGTGGCAACCTGCTATTCTTCCAAGGTCTGGAATCATCCGGGCCATGGATATATCTTCAAATCTTCGACCCACGATTTGTATGCGTTACTTAAAGTAGTTTGCCTAATGTCCCAATGTGAGAAAGGGCGACTGGCATTCTATCGACTACATAGTCCTTCAACCAAGATGTTGCGATCCCCTCGCTTATCGCATGACATACATACTTGCATAGAGAAACATCTCCTGTGTGAAATCGTGCAATGCACCCAAATGTGTACAGGCAACATGTGGAGAATAAGTCTACCCCCAGGACGGCTGAGATGAACCCTTCGCATGTCACGTCAACCACAACCACGGATACATCTCACTGGTTTCTAGCCCTCACGAAGCCTACCATTGGCCTTTGCCTTGTAAGAACTGAATCTTGTAAGATACACGTAGCGAGGAGCAGCTGCAACTAACGCTAAGTCACGGGATTACAACTCGCCCGACTCCAGTTATTTTACTGAGGAATATGTATAGGCTAAGATTTACTGTTGGCTAATCATTGTTCTAGGCCAATCATATCCCCTTGAAAGTTTATCCGAACGGTGGTTTTGACCATAAAGAACAGGATGTATTAGTACCTACTCCACTTCGGTCCGTAGGATCAACTCATCCTAAATACGAGTACATCTCCGTAGTTTGGCTGAGCTATCGGCAAAGCAAGTCACGCGTCTTGTAACTCGGCTCATTACTAGTGGTTCAATATGCCATGGGTCAGACCTAACAACACAAATGCCCGTGATCGTTGAAATCGACTAGCTTCGTATTCCCTGGGCCAATCATAACCTCCAACTTGCAATCACCAAGAGCATTGGCTGAATTCTTCCTCATCACCTGAGGCCTTTCCACAAAGCCAGCAATAATTGGAGCTGGTGGGAATGATCCATGAATTCGTATGCTCATAGTGCTTCCACGTTGAATGCATATTCCTTGAATTTCCCCCAAAATCGTTAGTCACAAGCACGTCATTCCGGTCCCTCCTTTGGCCTGGCACATGAGAACTGTGCAGGCTTCTATCGCAGTGTTGAGCATGCAGGGGCTTCTGCCAGGGGGGGCGCGTTTGTGAAAACAAGGCACCTCAGGTAAAGAGATTCCCATTTTGAAGGAGTTCCTGGGTCTGTCAGGAACATCATTACCTCTGAATGATGAATGGTATATGCTCTTTCGTGACGTTAACACCACCCTCCCTTGAATCACTACAAATCTGTGGCAACAGACTGTTTCCTTGTCTCATTTTCACGACATGTTTAGAACGCGATCCTAGAACGATTGATCAATTTTTGTCGGGCGGAAAATCACCCCTTTGAAGATCTTACCACAAACTGCTCCAGGCTTGCCTCGAATAATTCGTTGTCGACCCCAATACCGCCAGGATGCTCGACTGGCGAAAGGGGATTCTTGACCACGTATTCCACATAGCAGTTGACATATATCTGTTGCAAGGCTATCCTCATCGAGCCGGACTTTGTGTCGGTAAGCATGACAAATTTTGTGTTGGTTGGAGTTTCGTAGAAATGGAGTTTATATTGGGAAGTGCGATAGGACAAGAAGCTATAGAATTAACGTCAGTAGTCTGGTAGATCATGGCATTCCACCACAGAGAGAGAGAGCCCGCCCACCTATCATCTTCTCCACCCAACTTGCGGACCATGTTTCGTAGAGAGAATACTGTGCCGAAGACAAGTTTGGCGTCGTCCTCTGCGCTTAGAGTAGGGCGATTTGCGGCAGTACCGTTGATATATGCCTGCGAAGATGACTTAGGAAGTCTGGCTGTTGTGGAATTCGCAGGGCTGGCCCATCGCCTCTTGTAAATACAGTCGGCTGGAGCAAAGGCAGTCTGTCAGCACAGAAGTCCTTCCTTTTTCGAGGCGGCTTGATCATCGCTTACCATGTCTGTCGAAGATGTAGAACGAGTAGACCACCATCGTGGATGGAACGGCGGTGTGCCTGTCGGAGCCGTGGCGGTCACGTCGTGATGATTTGGTTTTGACGTACACGTAACACGCGCTCGCAGAAGGGTAAAGTCTCCGAATGTCTTGTCGACAGACCCTCGGAAGAGATTGCCGGAAAGTGAAGTTGGCTAGAGTTCATCCAGGGCAAGTATTACACCAGGTGGCCGCAGCCTGCGCTTGCTCGATGGCATTTCCAAATGGGTTGTAGTCTGAGGGGCGCCTCCAACGCAGGCCCCAGTCCCTTTCTTATCTTTCGACCGTACATGTGCACACTCGCCCACTGTAGTACTCACTCCGTAATCACCAGTGGCACTCAAGGAGCGGGGTGAGGGGTAAGCACTGGACCCTAATGTCAATGATTGGCCCTATCGACCCCTCAAGCAATGTAAAAAACTGCTTAGAGCCTCCCCTAAGGATTCTCACCTACAGGCTCAAGGGCCCTAAAGTTACAGATTGGTGAGCAGCGACAAGTTGTCCTATTCCTTGGCCTTTATCATATGGCAGGAGCTGACGCTGGTCCTGGCGCAGGTGCTTCCATGTTCCAACAGAGGCACGCCAACTGACCATTTCGTACCTCTACCTCGACCCCGCCATCATCATTGTGAGGCTGCAAGTCTCACAGGTCTTGTCCCAGCACCGTTTGACTCGCTCACAATAGGAAGACAGGTGCAGCGGGATCGAGGTGGCATGATTTGATCCTGTCCTCGCGACACAATCACACCGCCGGCAGCCTTACCGTTCACTAACTCCTCTACCATGTCCAACACCATGTCCAACACCACGTCAATCCAGTCTCTTCTCTAGACTCTTATTCCTTCACATCCTGGCGGTTTTATCGCCCTGCCTTTGAGCCGTCAGCGCTCTCATGCTCTGGCGTTCAAGTGCTTTGATTGTCAGATGTCGGATGCGGCATGGATTTCGTTGCGTCCCCTACATCAACATTGGCGGAGGACGCCGCACCCGCTCGCAGTCTACCTGTGATTCCTCGAAAGCCCGTGCCTCCTCCGCAAACACAGGTCGATGACCGACCACCGAATGAACCTGCTCAAGCGCCTAAGCCTCCAGTGGTCAAGCACCTGCAAGTTTCTGATATCCCACGCCCTCTGGACAGGCCTACTGACATGTTCTCTGATCCAGATCAAGTCCCGAGTATTCCAGTCCTCTTCGTCACCACCGCCGCACCCCCTCTGCTCCACGACAGATCAAGGTATTCCCCTACGCCTCCCGAATAAGAAGTTGCAATCGCTGTCGCTGACAGAATAAATCTCAGGAGTCTCTCAATGCCCGATCGGAATACGTTACCAGCCAAGATGACGGTGTGGCAGAGCATCGCATCAATCAATATATAATCAAGCAAGAAATTGGAAGAGGATCGTTTGGCGCCGTTCACCTGGCGGTCGACCAGTATGGCACCGAATATGTGAGTCTAGCTGGTATTCACTGTCCCAATTGCTTACACGAGGCTAGGCTGTCAAAGAGTTCTCTAAAGCTCGCCTACGAAAACGCGCACAATCTCACATACTCCGCAAACCTTTCACTCAACGCAAGCAGGGGGCGCTCCAGGGCTTTAACTCGCCTCTGCATAGAAATCCTCGCGAAGACGTCCATCAGATGAATGCAATCGATCTCATTAAGGAAGAAATTGCCATCATGAAGAAGCTCAACCACCCGAATTTGGTATCCCTCATCGAGGTGCTTGACGATCCCACCGAAGACTCGATGTATATGGTAATGGAAATGTGCAAAAAGGGCGTCGTCATGAGGGTTGGCTTGGAAGAGAGGGCAGACCCTTACCCTGACCATGTTTGTCGATATTGGTTCAGAGATTTGATCTTGGGCATTGAATATCTGCACGCTCAGGGAGTCGTGCACCGAGATATCAAACCCGACAATTGTTTGGTCACCGACGACAACGTACTAAAGGTAGTCGATTTTGGGGTTTCGGAAATGTTTTCTAAGGATTCTGAGATGTTGACCGCCAAATCCGCTGGAAGTCCTGCCTTTTTGCCACCTGAACTGTGCATTGCTCGTCACGGAGACGTCTCTGGCAGGGCAGCAGACATATGGGCCATGGGTGTCACCTTGTACTGTCTGAAATACGGGAGAATTCCATTTGAGAAGGCCGGCATATTCGAGCTTTATGATGCTATCAAAACGGAGACACCCAATTTGGATGACGAAAAGGACGATGATTTCCGAGATCTGATGACTAGACTGCTTGAGAAAGATCCGGCAAAGAGAATCAAAATGCCGGAGTTACGGGTAGGTCGTAATGACTCAAAGTGCGGGTGATAAGCTGACAGTGTGGAGGAACACCCGTGGGTGACCCAGAGAGGAAACGACAAGTTGTTGCCAGAGGCAGAGAACACCTCTGATCTCTTGGAACCACCAACTGAGGCTGAAATGAATGCAGCAATCACTAATAACATGAGAAATTTGCTGACAGTCGTGAGTGGTGACCAAGGTTATTGTGACACAAACAACAAGCTGATGAAATTTAGGTGAAAGCGGTAAACAAGTTTAAGGGTTTACTGGAAAAAAGCAAACCTGCCCCTCTAATGTCTATTCTTGGGGATAGTGCGGACGCGCACTTTTCTTACCCGCCGACGGCCATGTCAGGGGGAAACGTCGCTCTGCCAGCCAAATCTCACAGCTTCGCCAGCTTTGGTAAGGAGGACGAGGCACGAAAAGAACAGATGGAGAGCTTGGATGAAGAATTGAACGACTTGAGATCGAGGCCAATTCCTACCCTCAGCGTTGATGACATGAGCACGGCCACTGAGACAGCTGGGACTTCGCACGCGCCTAGCCCTCCGCCGGCATTGCTCAGCGACACCAGTACTGACTCCGATGACGCGATGACCCGGATGGATGCGGCCGAAGGCACGGATTTGCTCGGGCCCAACAGCCTGCCACCGTTCCGCTCGATAAGACCTCCGCACGCCTTCACCACGGACGAAATTGGGACTCGCGGACATGCCAGGGACCCTTTGCAAGAGCAGCTATTTCTCTACATTGGGCCGTCCACCTTTGCAGGAACCAGTGCGTATAATGACGAGGCGGGCTCTTTCGTGCCAGATGGAGATACGGTGCCAGTGGTGAGTGAAAGCCCAGGTGCGGCAGACGTGGACATTTATGAAACGGCGTATCGCGATGAGATTGAAAGAATCATGGCACGAGCAAAGGAGCAAAACAAGGAACCCAACGTCTACCTAACGCGTCGGGTTGACGCGCGGTTGATGGCGATCAGCGGCTTTGCCGGGAAATGGGCAGCAAGGAGCGAAGAAGCCAAGAATCAATTCAAGGACTACACGCAATTTTCGGCACGGAAGGCGCGAGTGACCGAGGTCAGTCGCGCCTTACGACAAGCTGCACGGGAAGAATATGAGAAACGCAAGCAAGAACGTCGCGAACTGATCGCATCGGAGAAGTTACGACGGGCAGAGCACAAGAGCGGCAGTCGTGAGACGCAGCGAGTGGCATTGTCGTCTCAATCGACATTATCAGATGTAGATTCGGGGGCTGGCCTGCCGCCATCGCCTGGAGGACGGTCTGCAGCGTGGAAAGGTAAGGCGGTAGATAAAGGTCGGCAAGCCAAGACGTCATTCAGAGGACTTGTGGACAATTTCACCAGAAATCGAAGCAGATCAGGGGATGACGAAACCTGATTCAAGCAGAAATAATTTCATGGCGCGTTTTGAATCGTGCAGGAGCGACCGACAAAAAGGATTTTTGGTGCGCCACAGATGAAGAGCACCTCAGCTCGAATATTCAATGGGGGTATGACCTGCAAGGTCATTGAGCAAGTCTCATTATATATATTCCTGTTGGCTCGACATGGCAGAGTTTGGGCCACGTCATGTACTGGTAGGCAGCAGCCGTCGAATCCTTCTAAGGACATCAGGCTTGGTGCGAGAGCCATGCCTGACAGATTATTGCTAGGAAACACGATATGAACAAGGCTCCTCACACAGGGCATTACAAAGACGTAAAGTCGGATAGTTTCCTGGGAGAGAGAAAGGGTTTAAGACGGAACAGATGGGAGGAAGGGCATCAAGCGAGCCTTGGTTGGTATGCAGCGAACTGGCAAGAGAGAGAGACACACACAGCACTCAGTGGCCCAGGCGTTTCTTAAAAGAGGCCAGAGATTGGATGACATGACAGAAAGGGCGGCGATGAGATGAGAGGAGAGGCGAGGAGAAGGAGGCGAAAATGGGCGAGGGAAGGCATGGGAGACAGACAGGCAGGGCAAGGAAGGCACGGAGGCAAAGTTGAAGGGGCCTTGGCATTTCGTGATGTTTCTTCCGCAAAAAGCCTTCAAGGCCGGCAGGGCAATCTGCAGGTCATCTCATCGACTCTCATCCACTCTGTGCTTGTCTCCATCTACAGACCATTTCATTCACTCGCACTTGAATTCGTTACTTACGCTCTTTCTGGTTGTCAATCCTCTGTCGGTTTAGGCTCTCTTGATGGCTTGGGTGTGAGTGGTTAGTGCCTTGCAGACAATTCCTCCGTCTCCGTCTCCATATCTGTGCTTGCCGCGTGCACTGCGTGGGCAGCGTGGGCGTGGCAGGAAAATGAAACACAGTGCCATCTGACCTTCACTGTTGCTCTACTTGTCTGATCAACTTCACCAAACTACCATTTGTGTTATTCTTGGTCAGGTCGCGTCACCCACACCTAGTGACCAACTTGTTCTCGACCCCCGACCAAGTCGCTGCTTGTGCAGATTTGTGTTCCTCGCCTGCACGCTGCTAAGTTTTTGGTGTCAAGTTGCCCCTCTCAACCTCTATCGACAGAGCCACCAATCTGTTCTTTCACCCAACTCCCTCAATCCTGCTTGCTGGCCTAGGATTGAATCGTCAACAAGAAGACCTCGCAGTTCCTATTTCATCACCGAGCGCAGAGTCCAATTTACGGCCTGTTCACATTTGCGAAGTTGAGTTTGTCGGAAACTTCCTGCAACATCATTTTCCATGACTGCCCTGCCCGTGAAGGTTTTTCACCGCTTCACAACCCCCACATCAGACTTGGAATCATTTCGAATCCGAGCTTAGTTGCACCTCTCCTATCGACATGAGTTCTCCAGACCGAACGCCTTCTCCGGGCGACTTTGTAGGCCATGGTGAGCCCAACTCACTCAAACGCGAAGACTCACCCCAGTGTGACCAGGAAAGTGCGGCGACCAGCTCAACAGCCGCACTTCTAGCCACAGTCAAGAAGGAGCAATCTCAGAGCCCTTCAGATTACCCTTCACTAGGCAACATGCGTCTCAAAGCTTCAGCGTCTCCATCCACTTCCATGTCCTTGTCCAAACCTCCCGCCACCGCCAGGAACGACAGCTCGAATGCCAAGAAAGAACCCAAGGAAGCCAACGGCGTCACATCGCCTGCCAAAACAGAGCCCAGAGAGCCTGTCAAGCCCACCAAATCATCCCGCACCGCCTCCAAACTCCCTCCTCGGATCGCTCCTTTGTTTGACCACGTCCCTGATGCCACAGCAGAAGCCACATCGACATTCACAGTCATCGACGCCTGTACCTATCAAAACAAGTACCTTGGTTTCAGTGATCATGCTCTGGATTGTGATTGTTCCGAAGAATGGGGTAAGTCTCAATATACTCTGCTGACTCTTTGATGCTGATCTCAAGACGCAGATTCCATCAAAAATATCAATCATGCATGCGGAGATGATTCCGACTGCATCAACCGTGCCTGTAAAATGGAATGCGCCGACGATTGTAGCTGCGGCCAGTCCTGCCAGAACCAACGTTTTCTCCGCCGTCGCTATGCTGATGTCTCTGTTATAAAAACCGAAAACAAAGGTTATGGCCTACGTGCCAACACCGACCTCGGCCCTAACGATTTCATCTTCGAGTACATCGGCGAGACCATTCCCGAAGCCACGTTTCGCAAACGCATGATCGCCTATGATGATGAAGGCATCAAGCATTTCTATTTTATGTCCCTTAGTAAGGGCGAATTCATCGATGCTACCAAGCGTGGCAATCTTGGACGCTTCTGCAATCATTCCTGCAATCCAAATTGCTATGTCGACAAGTGGGTGGTTGGCGACAAGCTGCGAATGGGTATCTTTGCCGAGCGTCATATCAAGGCCGGCGAGGAACTCGTCTTCAACTACAACGTCGACCGCTATGGCGCAAATCCCCAGCCATGCTACTGTGGCGAGTCCAACTGTACTGGCTTCATTGGCGGCAAGACCCAAACTGAAAGAGCCACCAAGCTCCCTGCGGCTATCATTGAGGCTCTGGGAATTGAAGACGCCGACTCCTGGGATACCGTTGTTGCGAAGCGGCCCCGTAAGAAGAAGACAGCCGAAGATGACGAGGACTATGTCGATAGTGTCGAAGCCAAGTCTTTAGAGACCGACGGTGTCACCAAGGTCATGGCTGCTCTAATGCAGTGCAAAGAAAAATGGATCGCGGTCAAACTCCTGCAACGCATCCAACGCTCAAACGACGACCAGATTTGGCATAGGGTGGTCCGATTCCATGGCTACCAGATTCTCAACTCTCAACTTTCCGCTTGGCGAGACGATGAGAATATCATTCTCCAGATTCTTGATGTTCTAGATCGACTTCCTCGCCTGACAAGAAACAAAATTGTTGATGCAAAGATCGATCAAACACTGCAACCTCTGACCGAGCATCCAGACGATCGCGTAGCAGCACAAGCAAAAGCTCTGGTCGAAGACTGGGCCAAACTGGAGATTGCCTACAGAATCCCCCGCAAGAAACGTGAGGACACGACGTTGAACAAGATTGAATCTACGCCGTTTGAGAGGAGAGAGTCAGCACAAGAGAGGAGACGTTCAAGATCACGGTCACGGTCACGAAGCCCGCCCCGCGGACCAACTTTGCAAGCCCCATCTGGTCCAAGATCGCTCCAGCGTTCGGGTAATTTCTCTTCTGGCCCAAGACCATTTCCGCGAGGGCCGCCTCCGCTACCTCGGGGTTGGTACGCGGCTCAGGATCAAGGGAGGACATACTTTTACTCCGCCACTGGACAAACCACATGGACTCGACCGATTCACCCTGCTGATCAACTTCCCCCGCAACCGAAACAACCTCGGGAGCAGGATGTGTTGAAGAGCATCATTGAGAATATCGTCACTTCACGAGAGAAGGACCCAAAAGCTGCGACCCCCGAAACCCCGGAGCCTACCAAAGTCAAGAAGGAAGAGCGATGGAAATCCTACGATGAAGAGAAACAGAAGAAGTTGTACGAAAACACGGTACGTCCTCGCTCTTTTCTCTTCTTCTCCGCGCTCCTTGTGCACATACCTAATGCTGACCTTTCTAGCTCTTCCCTCATATCTCGAATATCATGAATAGGTACAAGCACAAGATACCTAAAGATGACCTCAAGCGATTTGCAAAGGAAATCGCTAAGAAACTCGTGGCCTCGGACTATAAGGCGGGTCGGGTTAAAGATCCCACCAAAATCGACGAACGTCAGCAGAAGAAGGTTAAGGAATTCTGCAAGCAATTTTTCGAAAAAGCTTATCAGAAACACAAGAAGCATGAGCAAGAAAAGGGGTCGAAAGGTCGGAAACCCAAGCCAGATGTGCCGACCAGTAGCTCTGGCCCCTCACCTGGTCTTTCTCCTGCTGCGGCAGATGATGACGCCGACGACGTTAAAATGTCCGAGGATGAAGTCGACATTGGGCCAAGCGAAAGCCCTTTGGACCAGAATGGGACGTTGAAGCGCAAACGCATCGAGGAACAGGACGCTGAACCTGCTGACTCATCAGTCAATGACGGGGATGAAGATGTCACAGCGTCGCCTGCAAAACGTCTCAATGTGGCCGTGGAAGGCAGCACACCCCCGCCGCCACCTCCACCACCGGCGCCCCCAATTGAAACGCCGCCGGCTAGCACCCCTCGCGAGGACAATGTGGACCACGACGTCGACATGGATGTCTGTAATAATCACACCAACATTCACGCCGACACCAATTTTCGGGCTAAAAGTATGGCAGACGTCTTAGCCGAGGCTCAACAAGAGGGCCTGGATGAGAACACGGTGGACATGGAGATTGAGTTGGGACAAGATAATAGAGGCCAGGCGTCGCTATAGGGCACAGATCAGGGGTGAGATGACTAGCGACCAACGAACAGCTCCCACGGGCAGGATTTGTCTCGGCATGAAAACTCGTCGACACTCCATTTGATAACAAGGACCAATTGGTCAGTGGAATTGGCCACGGCAAGACATGTAGGTCGACGAGCAGGAAGTGGGATCCCCTGCTGTCTGTTTTGGGGCGTTGGAAACGGAATTGCAACACTCTGTATATTAATATCACTGGGTGGGCACGCAGCCAAATGCTTGGAATGCATGGGCTTCTTTCTGACAGTGCTTCAACGGGGCGGGAGCATATTGACAATGAAGCCCACGTACTTCAAGAATGCGGCCAGATCGTTGCAAGCTCTGCTAGCACATTGTATGTATGTTTAAGGCGGAAACTTGGAATATCGACAAGAGCTCCAAGCTCGCGTTGAGGTACTCATTTAATCTAGCATGGTTACTGGAGTGTCGTGTCATTTTTTCAAGTAGGTAGGTTCTCAAGAGCTCATAACTATGGGTTTCCTGGGCACGACATCAGGTGGTGGAACATCAGGGGACTTGTTGGGGAGCATGACAGCCGATCTAAACCATCTGCTGGCACCAAACGGTTTGATTGAGATTACATCACAATTGGAATGTGGCCCTCGATCCGTTCTGCGGGAACAAGCTCGAACGATTAATCCCTGAAGGAAGAATATGTCACGTCTGGTGAGTCATGATGAATTGGCCGTTCAGGTAACGCCCATGTATCAACCGATGACCCACCGACCTGTTCCAGCTTTGCAGTCCTCTCTCTCTCTCTCCCTAATCGTGACATGCCCTTGAAATAAATAGGCTTCCTAGCCAGCATTGCTGCATTTCCTCATTCATCCATTGGCCCCTCCCAATACAGGTATTGTAGACGTCAGACAAAGGACTTTTCCCAATGAGTGACCTTGAAAATCAAAGTCATTCGTCGATTTGATACATGCACATTGTCGAATGCAGGTATCTGAGACTGCCCAAGGCCAGCGATGTTTTTGCTTCGTGCTTGGTAGCGCTCACATGGGCATCTCATGGAGAGCGCGTTCGCATCGTTGTTGAAGATGAATGGGCATCGTGTTGCCGAGAGCGGAAAGACGGTTTATAAGTCGTGACTCCACCATCTCCAAACGCCGGGAGGTGGCAAGTAGGTCATATTTGACATGGAGTTAGAGCATAGCCATCCGTATGCCCGAAAAACGGAGCAAGAGGTAATGGGCGCAAGGTTGAGATGGTGGTCTGGTCGTAAAAGGATGGTCAAGTAGCCGACTAATAGAAACTTTCAACAATACTGTCCTTGTTGGCGTTCATTCTTGCGTCGAGACCGGCTGGGCCTCCTTCTCCAAGTCTGAAGACACTCTCAATGACGCTCAATTCGGTCGCTGTGGTGTCCATACCCGTGACAGCCAGCCAGTCATTTACGACCATGCCAGCTCCGACCACGGGACTACCTCGATTAACGCTGCCAGCAACAAGGGGAACCTGTAATAAGGAGCTGAGTTCGTCCTGGTCCTGAATACTAGTTTTGGGATGAACAATGCCACCTTGATTGGAAAGAGACATGTATGAGCCGGTGAGGACATTGCCTGCGATGGTCTGTCGAAAAACCTCTACCCCGAGGGCATCTGCCACGATTTCTTCCGTCTCTCGCTCGATATCTGGATGGACCAGGGCGACATGATCGTTTGCGGCTATCACATTCCCCAGGGCGGAGAGACGTTCTTCAATTCTTTGAATCTTTACTGTGTCCGGTAAGGTGTTGCGCAAGTGCTGGAGTTCTTGATCGGTGGTGGAGGTGGGGACAAGGAGACCATTTTTGTTGCCGGAGGTCAACCGGCCAACGATTCTGGTGCCAGCGATGGTGCAATGTGCAATGGGGATGAGATCTGCGAGTTCAGATTCAAAGATGGAGTAGAAGTTTTCGGATGCGCCGATGGCGACGAGGCAATAGCTATTGGTGAGATTTGCAAAGACACCAACTTCGTTGGAGTTTTCAAACTATTGATGATGCGGTTAGAGAAGAGGGTATGACAATAACGAGTGTCAAGAGTCCTACCTGTGCTCGAACCGCCATGATCTAAGTGGTCTGGGGGTGTTATTGGACTTGGTCTAAGAGGATGGAGGGGAGTGGAAGAGAATGGGAGAAGTAATTGTTGGTGGGAGGAGGAAGGCGGGGGTGGCACCAGGCGCAGACAGGAATTGTATTTCCAATTAATCGATGTGTGGTGTGTGCGTGAGGTGAGTGTGACGAGAACTGGAGGGGAGGGAGGGAGACAAGAGGGTATATGTGTGTATGAATTTGACCGGAACAAATGTTGGAGTGAGGGAGGCGGGCAAGAGGCGAATCTGAATCACAAGAAAAGGATGTCGAACGTGGTCGACAAATATCTTCAGCGAGGCAAATGTGGGCGTTGTTGGTCTACCAAATGTCCATCCATCATCGTTCATCAGTCAGCGAATGCAATTGGAATCATGGGCTAGAGCCAATGACGACAGAGAAAACAGGGCTGAGTGGCCCAAACTGGGGCGAACAAAAGGCTGTGGGTTAGGTAGGCTTGCCGTGGCGTACTTTACTGGAGCTATAACTAATTTAGTGAGAAGCTAGGGACTGGCTGAGAGTTCTTTGGGCTAGGTTCTACCTAAGGTTCTTTCCCTAAAGTTCGTACTCTAGGGTCGCCCGTTTACCTATGCGCATGCTTGAGGGCCTACGTTGTTCAACTATCCCGTATGTACTCCGTACTCCGAGGCCCGATCACCCCCAGAACGGTGCTCTAAACTCCATTGGGAGACAATCTTGGCACATAAGAGTCATAACGTCCCTGCGCCTCCAAAAAAAATCCAAGGCAACATCTTCCAGTTACCAGATTCTTCCAACCTGAGTGCCTGAGTCCCGCTGGATCCACTTCGATGACTCCCTCTGGTGATGGTCTCGACTTGCGATCATTATTGTTACATTTTCCCATGTCTCCTGATCAGGCAGTCGACTGAACCACCCATACTTCATTATGGATCGACTGCGATTGGCATGCGAAAACGACTCCACCATATCTGGTGTGCCCAGCAGTTTCGCTTCATTTCACCACTTCAAATTGGACCCCTTCCCTTGAGCTGTTAGCACTAACCCTGCCCAGTTCTACTCGTCCCATGTACCAGTGCAAAGGTGCAAGCGAATCTTGACCTGGTCTGAGCATGCCCTCATACCCTGGAAATCGTCGTTCCATTTGTTGTAAATCTCGGCGCAATCCGCCTGGCCTGGCGCGCAGTATGCACCCGAGCAATCGCCAACCATGACGGTCGATGGATCCCAAAGCGTCATAGCAAATCCTTCATTGCCAAAGGGATTTCCTTCCACATTGCTGAGGTCGAAGAAGGTCTGTCCAAGGTCTGGTCTCCAGGTGTACTCCATCTGAGTCACCATCGGTTTAACCGCTGTGGGGTCTCGGGTGCACATAAGAGCAACCCCAGTGTCGACATCGTGGCTATGGAAAGAGTCAGTAATGACCTGTTGGGGCGATGTGAGGTGCCAGATCACACCTGGTCGATCTTCCTGTGGCGTCAAGTCGTCTGGATGGTATCCCACCACCGTGGCGCAATACACAGGATATGGGCAATTGTGAACGAGTTCTGCTTGCGCCAAATCACTGTCTCCAGCATGAACCAAGGCCGGGCCCAAGGAGGAAAGGACTGCCACGACAGCGGAGACCGCCATGGTTTTATTGATGAATCCCATCATTGTTTTTGTATTGTGTTGTCGGTATGAGTGAATTTTGTGTGGTGTTTGCTGACTTGCTCAAGCTATATTCTTGTGCACTGGAGTTAGAATTGCTTGATGGTGAGTTTGCGTGAGGCTCTTGTTTTCTGTTTAGCAGGGTGGAGAAAAACACAAACCTTCATTCCTGCGAAACGAGGATGCATTTTATATTATTTCTGTCGAGGCAGCGTGACAAACTCGCGACATTGTTGTCTCTGCCTTGGTGATAAAGAAATAATGCTGAAGTCACTGAATGGCGTACTAACTAGACCATATCACGCTTCTCAGCCAAGCTTAATCGTTACTGGAATTCCCTTTGACGTCTTTATTCATGCTGTCCTTGTTACCAGACAAGGCTGTGAATCCCCCCAGGAGCAAACAAAGGCATTCACGCCTCTCAGACCACTCTTCACTCCTCTCAACGGCCATACCATTAGACAGAAGTCCTCACGACCAAGTGAGAAATGGTGCACAATCCTGCTTGCTTCATTTAACGCCTGGTAGTCTGCCTCATGGCTCAATTGAGAAGGGGTAGCCAACAAATCGCGTCTTTGTTACAAGTGTAGTAATAGGAGACTTGTGTTCCAGGAATTCAAGGATGCCGTTACTCTTTCTCGTGTGTCCTTTAGTTCACATCACAACGCTCCATGAGTCAATCCTAGTTCCACAACTAACCCAAACTATAGTCAAAATATACGTAGCGAGCAGCAGCTGCGACTAATTCTCAGTCGCCTACAGAGCTCAGGAAATCACTCCAATACTCTCTCTCCAGCGCACTCACGTGGTACTCAAAGATCACTCGGAAAGACAAGGTCGCCAATCACCATTGTCATTATCACATAAATTTGCCATAAATCGGCGCCTTCTGGCCATTCATGACTGTTAAACAATGTGTGCAATTAATATCACACATCATCTCTACCATGGCTGCCATAAAAACAATCACAAAGATAGCACTAGTAACGACACGTCTCTTCTTGACTGATGAATCTGTGTAAATGTCACATGACCTGGTACCCACCCACCTTTATAGGGTGGAAAATGATGGAAATGTAGGGTGCAAACACAATTTTTACAATCGGACACCATGTCTCAACCATGAGGAAACCTATCACCCACCTTCTAATCTCTGATCTTTGGCTGAATGCTGCATTGTGTGTAGAAATGTATCTTAAGCTAGATTGATGCAAGAGGAGAGTAAAGAGGGAGTGGCACCAGGCGCGATAATTTTTCTGGCTGGTTACAGGGAACGTTCATGCAGCGCCCGGGAGAAGAGGATAGGCGCAAAGGCTATGCGGACAGAGATTAGGAGTTTGAGCGCTGGTTGTGGGCTTGAGGTTACAATGTGACTTTGGCATGCATTGGATGCGATTAACTATATGAGAGTGGATGGTGCCCCCCCAGTGTAGACTGTCATCAAAAAATGATTTGCAACGTAAATGTCCTCGTTCCATGTCTCAAGCCAAGTTGAGCGCACCATCAAGTCATGGCATGTCCCCAGACAAGCAGACACAAGGCTCAGGGTTTAGTGGTCTTTCCTATATGGCATCTATGCCTTTCTAGCGTCCGTTGTCATTATTGAAGAGCCAGTTGGAAGACGGGGGGTGAATGCAAGGCTGGTAGATTCTAGAAATCCATCAACTACATTGGGCAGGTCGAGCGAGCCTTTCGGTCCATTATTGGACAAGTTTAATGCTTGGCATGGCGAGTTTCCCCAGTTGCACAAGCAAGTGCGACCCAGTGTAGCTGCAGATGCGGGTGCAGCCTGGCTCCTCCCCTTCACTCTCAGAAAGTTGAAGGTCTTCCATGAGTTTCTTCCACTAAGATTTTTATCTCTACATAAACATCCTCCAGCCTCTTCCCCAATCCTGTCGGGACTCGTCTTCATCTTCAACCACTTTTCAATTCTCCCTTGTTTCTCCAAGACACTGCATTGTCCTTGTCACCTCCTTCTTGATACATACGCCTCTTTGGTAAGTCCTGTCTTTCCTCTGCCCATTGTATTTCCGCCCGATTCTCCAAATCTTTTAGTTTCGCTGTCTCCGCCGCTATGTGGGTTTGGAGACACCCCTCAGCATAATCAAAACTCACATCCAGTCCTTCCATTTAGACAATCCCGCATCGCAAAAACTATCGTGCTGACTTGAATTCCTTACAGACCACTCCCTCCTCACAGCTCTGCAGCCATGGCTTCCGAAAGCTTCGAGTTCCAGGCTGAGATCTCTCAGCTCCTCTCGCTCATCATCAACACCGTCTACTCAAACAAAGAGATCTTTTTGCGAGAATTGGTTTCCAATTGTTCAGACGCTCTAGACAAGATTCGATATGAAGCCCTCTCAGATCCTTCCAAGCTCGACTCCGGCAAGGATCTCAGAATCGACATCATCCCAGACAAGGACAACAAGACCCTGACCATTCGTGATACCGGAATCGGTATGACCAAGGCTGTAAGACACACTATTTCCCCAACTTTTGACAACATACCTCTAACAGATTTTAGGATCTCGTCAACAACCTCGGTACTATTGCTCGATCTGGCACCAAGCAGTTCATGGAGGCTCTCAGCGCCGGTGCTGATGTTTCCATGATTGGCCAATTCGGTGTTGGTTTCTACTCGGCGTACTTGGTTGCCGATAAAGTGACCGTCATCTCCAAGAACAATGACGACGAGCAGTACGTTTGGGAGTCAAGCGCTGGTGGCACCTTTACCATCACCCAGGACACCGAAGGTGAAGATCTTGGCCGAGGCACAAAGATCATTCTGCATCTCAAGGATGAACAGACCGACTACTTGAACGAATCCAAGATCAAGGAAGTCATCAAGAAGCACTCCGAATTCATTTCCTACCCCATTTACCTCCATGTCCTCAAAGAGACCGAGAAAGAAGTTCCCGATGAGGATGCAGAGGAAGTCGAGGAGGATGATGAGAAGAAGGCCAAGATCGAGGAAGTCGACGACGAAGAAGAAGACAAAGAGAAGAAACCAAAGACCAAAAAGATCAAGGAATCCAAGATTGAGGAAGAGGAGCTCAACAAGACCAAGCCCATCTGGACTCGCAACCCATCCGACATCACACAAGAAGAGTATGCCTCTTTCTACAAATCGCTCTCCAATGACTGGGAGGATCATTTGGCTGTCAAGCATTTCTCTGTCGAGGGACAACTGGAGTTCCGCGCTATTCTATTCGTTCCAAAGCGCGCTCCTTTTGATCTCTTTGAGACCAAGAAGACAAAGAACAACATCAAGCTCTATGTCCGACGAGTTTTCATCACCGATGATGCTACCGACCTCATTCCTGAGTGGCTTGGCTTCGTCAAAGGTGTGGTCGATTCTGAAGATCTTCCTCTGAACTTGTCCCGAGAGACTCTTCAACAGAACAAGATCATGAAGGTCATCAAGAAGAACATTGTCAAGAAGACCCTCGAGCTCTTCAATGAGATCGCTGAAGATCGCGAGCAGTTTGACAAGTTCTACTCTGCCTTTAGCAAGAACATCAAGCTTGGAATCCACGAAGACTCCCAGAATCGACAATCGCTTGCTAAGCTTCTTCGCTTCAGCTCCACGAAGTCTGGCGAGGAGACAACTTCCCTCACAGACTACATTACTCGCATGCAAGAGCACCAGAAGCAAATCTACTACATCACTGGCGAGTCTCTCAAGGCTGTCCAGAAGTCTCCCTTCCTTGACTCGCTCACTGAGAAGAAGTTTGAAGTTCTGTTCTTGGTTGACCCTATCGATGAGTATGCTATGACTCAACTCAAAGAATTCGACGGCAAGAAGCTTGTCGACATCACAAAGGACTTCGAGCTCGAGGAGACCGAGGAGGAGAAGAAGGAGCGTGAGGCCGAGGAGAAGGAATATGAAGGTCTTGCCAAGAGCTTGAAGAATGTTCTCGGTGACAAGGTTGAGAAGGTCGTCGTGTCTCACAAACTCACTGGCTCGCCTTGCGCCATCCGAACAGGCCAGTTTGGATGGTCTGCAAACATGGAGCGCATCATGAAGGCTCAGGCACTCCGCGATACTTCCATGTCATCATACATGTCTTCAAAGAAGACCTTCGAGATCTCTCCCAAATCTCCCATCATCAAGGAGCTCAAGAAGAAGGTTGAAGCGGATGGCGAGAATGACCGCACTGTCAAGTCCATCACTCAATTGCTCTTTGAAACCTCACTTCTGGTTTCAGGTTTCACCATTGAGGAGCCCGCTGGATTCGCCGAGCGCATTCACAAGCTTGTCTCGCTCGGTTTGAATGTTGATGATAGCACCGAGACTGCCGACGAGGAGGCCGAAGCTGATGCCCCGGCTGCCGAGGCCACTGGCGAAAGCACCATGGAAGAAGTTGACTAGAGAAGTCGCTATCAGATGTTCCACACCGACCTGCTCGACTACTTGGGCTTGTCTTTGTATCATCTCACCATGGCGTTCGGTATCTCTTTTGCTTTCAGCGATATCCCAGCAATGAATGAACCGGTTTGCAAGGGGGCTTTTGAGGCGGAGAAAAATGGTTGTCTCGTCAGGAATCTGTCTGTCCTTGCTGCCGTGGCTCGGGTAATAGACACCTTTTGCTTGTACTAGTGGTGATTGCAATTCCGTGGTATCCTATCATAGTTGCCCCCCAATAAAGTGCATCCACCTTAAATAATCTTTCCTCTTGGTTCCTTCACACCCCTTTCAGATGTGACATGATTATAATCTTTGCGAGTCTTGTCAGCTCACCCAAGGTACATAGATATCCGTTACGACTTCGGCCTTCGTGAAAATAATACTGTAGTACTTTTAGTAATCTACCTCTCGGACCGTCAATTGAGACGTACGTAGCGCTCGCGTACGGAGGCGCCAAATTTGGTTGGGCTAGAGAGTCTATCCTGCAGCTTGGTACTTTCACGATCTGCCTAATCATCGAGAGAACCAATTGGACCGTTTTCACAATGACAAAAGAAAACGGGCCACGACTCTAGACTTAATGAGGCGATACTTAGTAGTATACGGAGTCAAAACCCCATGCTCTCACAACTTCATTGACATATGGTCTATATATTTGCATCCCTGTGACTTGGTTGCAATGACATACATGATCACTTCTCTCAACATGCATCCTGATATCCTTGACCATGTGCCTAATTCGACTCCCTATGCTGCCGCTAAAGCTACATTTGGCCTCCTTGAGCGATGAACTTTGGGAAAAACGCCTTGAAGTTCTTCATCTCCATGGTGGCTAGCTTTTGTAAGTAGTCGTTGATCATGGCGTCATTCATGCCCATGTTCCTGAGTTCATTGTTCTGCAACCAGGTCAAATATTGCTGTCCCGTTTTTGTGTAGATTGTCTTCTGCAAACCAGCAGCCTCGGCGAGGGCTTGTCGTGCTTGCGCATCTTTGCTATTGAATGATGGGTTACTGGGAAGAGCCCAGCAGAGTGGAGAGAATCGTGTGATCATAAATTCGTCGAATCCTGCAAGCGCGGGGGAGGGAGTGGGCGTATCTAACGTGGTTTGACCTGTCACAGAGATGACATCAGGTCCTCCCCAAGTCGTGCACATCCGAGAGAGTAATAATAGCGCCATTTTGGCGCTTGGGAAATCTTCGACATCTCGTGCAAGGTGCTCAATCGAGCCAATGATTGATTCGAAGATTGGTTGGTTGGTGCCGCTGACAAGAACGGAGCCAAGTTCATTCCCGAGAATGACGAGAAGGAAATTGAGATATTCTCTTTTGAGCTCTGCGAGCTCAATCTCGTCATCAGTCCCCGACGTTGGTGCGGAGATTCCGGCAAAAACTCGCTCTATTAAGCTTGAAAAAATCGTGTCTAGGAAGCCTGAGATGTCATTCTTGAAGCTGAAGATGACCTGATCCAGTAGACGCAAAAACAAAGCCATCTCGTCACGGGAGGATGATTCTGTGAGAAGACCATTTACCCACTGTGGGAGCTGTTGCATCATTCCAGTGCCAACTATGCCAATCAGTCTGGAAAAGGCAAATCGAGCCGCTGTTCGGATCTGGAAGGAGGACTTCAGGGCAGTCAAAGCGACGAGTGTCGCCTCGGCGACTTGAGCAAAGGCTTGTTTGGCTTGCGAAGATGGCTCGGCACTAGCATTCTGTCCCGTTGCTCCAGGCGTGAAATCAGAGAAACCACGAGCTATGGTTCCAAGAGCCATGATCTCATGGTGGACCTGGAGATTGGCGAGTTCGTTCCCTGACCGTGCCAATTCAAGATTTCGTTCTATGTCGGAGAACATCGGTTGCATGATAGCTGTCACGTACTGGGCTTGCTTTTCTGTAGGGACCGAAACAGAGCCACAAACACAGCCGACGGCCTCAAACAGATAGAGTTGGCTGGTGAAGGTTGAGTCATTGCCGGAGTCCCCATCAGAAGACATGTCATCCTTGTCAGAGTCGCTCGGCAGCTCTGCTCGAACGGTGAGCAAGTCCTGCAGACTTTGTACCACCGCCTCGGCGGCGCCTCCAACATGAGATCGTAGTTGTCGGATCAAACGCTGGGTGAGATACCATGCTCGTGACTTGACTTTGAGACTGGTGTGATGAGCAAGCTGGAGAAAGTTCTCAAGCACTGGCTGAATGTAGTCTGTGTGCCTTTCGAAGAAGTTACTGTATCGGACACAAATTTCCATGTACTGCAACTGAATGGCAGGATGCTGATATGAACCAATGTCTATTAATGTTGGTCAGTATTGTACACACCCATGGTGATGATTGGAAGCTTACTCGATTGGACCATCTCCAGCATCATTTGGATGAGCTTTTCGGCAGCAGGAGAGTTTGGTTTGTTCTTCTGGTACAGGCCGCCTCCCCTGACAGCCAAATCTCCAATGAGGAAGATTTCATACAAGGCCAAGTCCAAGTCTCGCCAGTCTAACTGGGTGTCTTTGGTATGCAGTTGCTGCAAAGTATTGTGCACGAGTGTAGAGATTGCTTCGATATAAAGCTCCTCGTCAGCAGCCGCGATTACGGCTTGCAATGCTGCCAATCTCTTTCTTAGTTCTTGAAATTCAGCCTCATCCGTCTGATCGTCTTCTGGGTTCCAATCAGAAGTGTCATCGTAGCGCATCTTGGTAAAGATAGCTTTCAAGATGGGCAACAGCATGGCAGCGCGCTGAGCAGAAGCGGCTTCACCTTGAGAGGTGCGACGCAAAAACGAAAGGACGTCATTCATAGCGACTAGAACAGTGGAACAAACCTCGTCGAAGATGTCGGAAAAGAAGCGAAGAAGGTGAGGGAGGAAAGCAGCCAACAATTGCTCGGCTTTGGCCCAGGTTGCAGAGCTCTGGGCCTCAGTGTCCAAGACTTTGACAATGTCAACGACGACAGTATTGACCAGTTTTGCAACAGTCTCGGCAAGGTCGACATCGTAGTTAGATGCTCTGCTACTACTCAGTGGTGGGCAAGCCACCAGCCGAGAGACCACCGTTTCGAGGTTTAGAAATTCAATCACTGCGACTTTATCGGCTGCAGGCATCTTCTTTGCAACGGTTTCGGTGAAGACGTCGATAGCGGCATCGCGTGCTTCTTCCTCCCCCACCCGGGATTCGACCTTTTGGGCTCGTTCCAGTTGTTGAAACAATAACTCGAGCATCGATTGATTGACCACAAAGGAGATGTCAACCCAGCTGACCCACTTGCCGATGGCCTTGAGACAAAGTTCTGCAATGAAATCGTTCGAGGTGTGCCAGTGGGTAAGTATCTCCTGCCATGATTGAGCAATTTTCTGAACGTCTCTTGCCCTGATGAGGTCTTTGAGGGAGTTTGCTCGATCTTGTTCAGCCCGAGATCTGGACAGAAGTTGGTCACCAATCTCGTCGTGGATGGAGTTGAGGACAATGAGATAGAAGACCACACCAGAATAATTTGCCCTGAAGCCGGCTTGGGTGGATGTGAGGGCAAGCAGGTCATCAAAGCAGGATTCCCAGCCAGAGGCGTAGAAAGCCGAGAAGAGGTAGGTAATGGTCTGAGCAAACTTGTTGATCATGTTCCCGCTGTCTGGAGCGCCCTCTTGAGCCGGTGCGGTGTAGAACTTTTGTAGGTAGGCGAGGAGCTGCTCTTTCACGAGTTTGAGGCCTTGGTCATCGACAACGCCGGCTTGAATGGCATTGTTGACAATGTCTAGAGAAAAGATCCGAATGACAGGAGGATGGCGGGGGACTTGGAGGGAAAGGTTGAGGCATGGTTGCCAGGCTGAGGGTTCTTGCCTCAGTCGGTTGACGTAGTCAAATGCCTGTCGTTTGAGGGTCTGGTCAGCGGAAGGGTCGTATGCGATTTGAATCGCGGAGACGATCTGTAGGCGACGTCAGTAAGCGGAGGACGAGAGGTCTGGAGGGATGGTAGACTGACCTGGTCCTCCATCAGACAATGCCAGTGTTCCTTGCCCAGTGAGAGACTTTGGGAACACTGGTAGAGATTGCTAGTCACCGCATTTGTAGGGGAAACAAGGAAGCACGTGCTTCCGGGATTATTCCATGACTCGACTAGAGAAACCGAGGGGATGATAGAGATCTGGACAGTGACTTTTGTAAAGGACAGACGAGAGGATGGAACGGATTGTTAGGTGTGTAGTGGACAAGTCGTGCGAAACAAGTGATTTCATCAAGTAGAGTAACGGGCTAAGTAGCAAGATGAGGTGCACGGTTAACCAGTGGTGGGCTTTAAGCGGGCAGGCTGCAGGCGCTGGGTTGTGGTGGGGCCGTGATTCAATGTTCAGGGTGTCGGGTGAATAGAAAGGTGCCTGACCCTTAAAGGCGCCTAATAATCTCTACGTGCCTCTATAAGTACCTGAGTGATGAGTGTGGCAGACAATGGGGAACTGGATTTTCCGTGGGTGCGCCTATGATCCTGCCCAGAGAATATCTTGGCATTTGGGCGGATCAATCGTGCCGAGATATGCAAATCGGTTCTACAAGACGTTTAACAAGACATGTAACAAAACTACAGTCATCGTGTGGTGTATCTTAGGTATCTACTAGCCTGCCATGCTTTATTTCATCTGTCACATCTCTAGGTAAGCAATCATGGGCATACTTTTCTCAGCAATCTAGATATTGAAATGTCTATTTAGTCGATTTGAATGACCTTGTCTCAGAAGGCAATTTCGTCATCAAGCTGCGGGCAGAACACAGCATCGTCCTCAACATCGAATCCTCGGGCCTTGTCAAATTCTTCTTTGTAGCTTTCTTGTCTCTGTGGACCTTTTCCTTGTTGACCGATGGCCATTTGGAGCATCTGCAGCTCCACCTGCAGTGCCGCTTGGGTTGCTTGGTGCTCCTCAATCGCAATTGCAATTGCCTGTTGATCCAGTTCTAGATTTGTTAGTTCGACCTCGGCATCCTCAAGCTCGTTACACCTCACCATTTGAGCGATGCTCTCTTTTTGGGCCGCAAAATAATCAGCGACTGATAGCTTGGGGCGGGTGCTCATGCATTTGGATATGTTGATTAGATGCTTTCGCTTCGCTAGCAGCAGAGCACCTTTCTTTTGGACAGCATATGCGACCACCTTTTCTTCAAGATAGAGTTCATCTAACTTACCTTGCACCTCTTCGAGTGTCTGGTAAATCAGTACTTCGTATGATTGGTGATGGCTCATGCTTAAGTCGGTTGATAAGGCCATTGTAAGGATTTCTTCTTTGACTTTGCTTAAGCTCTATTATAGTGATGAGTCTTGTCCGAGAGACACGCGCAAAATACACCCCTGGCTGTGGAGTCTGACATGATGCCCGTTATATGTTGAGAGGTCATTGCCTCGAAGATGCCTGACCCACAAAGATTGAAAGGACAGCCGCGAGGACAATAAAGACATGCGTTGTTTGATTGTGTCACAGGGCTTTGAACGTCGAAGAAAGATTATGAGTTGAACCAGGCGCTTATTTGGCAGATGCGAAAACAAAGACTGTAGCTCTGGTGGCACATCAAATGTAAATGGCGCTCTGCGTTTGCTCTGCCTTGCGTTGCAACGAGCAACCTTCGAATAATGGAAGTGCAGTAGAAGATTGCTGTTTCCTTGGAAACACATGCTAATCTAACGTCCGAACCCACACCAAGGCGGTGGAACCAAATGACCGGATTAAGTAGGAAAAACGGCACGCCAATGGTGGATTAGGATTCATATCATGGAAACGAGTGAGGACAAACAACCAGGGAAGAGACGCAATGACGGTCAAAGCCTTCTCTGGATCATGCCTATCGATGTACATGGTGTAAAAAAGCTCACAGCTTTTGGTCCTTTCTTCCTTCGCTTCTGCAATAGTCAATGGAGGATGGGCTTGGTATGCACGGACAACATACTAAGCAAAAAGGTGCTTTGCTGCATGATCAATGTGATCGTCCGAAAAGGTTGCCATGGTATAATAGCTATGGTCGTAATCCGGCTGGAATCTGACATTGACTCCTTTTTCTTGACCAATTTCTTTCGCTGCAGCAATCAAATTCTCAGGTAGGAGTTGACCCTGTTTGTAGAAATTGTCACCGGTTCCCTGAGGACGAGGTCAGCTTGTCAGCAATTCAGAAGGGTGGCCACGTACCACGTCGATGAGAATATCTAGGGGACCACCTTTCCAGAGTTTCAAAAGCTCCGTAGAGTCGTGTTCTGCGCCCTTCTTCTGCCAATGCTCTTCACCAAAGTAGCCCTTAAATGCTTTTTCTCCCCAAGGGGCTTTGAGAGGATTGGAGATGGGGGCAAACGCGCTGACGCTCTTGTACTTTCCAGGATTCTTCAAGAATAATGAAAGGGCGCCATGGCCACCCATGCTGTGGCCAGTGATACTCACTCGACTCGAGTCGATTTGGTCAAATGCGGCAAACACGGTTTTGGGGAGTTCATCGGTGATATAAGAGTACATTTTGTAATTGTCCGACCACGGCGCAACGGTTGCGTCAACATAAAAGCCAGCACCAGTGCCGAAGTCGTAGGCGTCGTCTTCGCCCTTGATACCGAACCCTCCTGTGGCGATATTAGATAGCTGAGGCGCGCTTTTACGGGGAATAGATTACTTGGACTGGTGTCAGGATACAAGACTGCGATCCCCTTTTTGCTCGCACCATGCTGGAAAAACCCTTTCTCCGATGCATTCTCGGCTGTACAGGTCAATCCAGACAGGTAGATCAACAGCGGGACTTTCTTCGACTTGTCGAGTGCTTGCGGGGGAAGGTACAAGTTGAACTTCATTTCACCACCGATGACAGAGGACTGGTGAGCAAGCTTGAGAAGCTTGCCCCCAAATGAGGCAATAGTTGCAGTTGTGTTGACCGACATTGTGATGGGCTGCTAGAGAAAGTATTGATGAGGAGGTGGGGATTACGTGGAAATAATATATATTCGCGTCGGAAGACGCAGACCGGGTGAGATATTTGGGAATTCCGATGGAGGGTGTTTTGGTTCCCAAAAATGACGTGGGGAGGGAGGAGACAAGCCTCAGCCCCGCATCGATTCTCTTGGTCGCCTTTTTCAGTTGTTCCGATCAGACATGTTGATCCGGTCGCAAAGGTACGCACGCAGGTCCCTGAGATCATGCCCCAAGCATGAGCGTGACGATCAGAAGTTCCTGTTGGATAGGTTGGCATAGTATGAGCGGGACAGCATCCTTCCACTGTGTGTGAGTATCAAGCTGGAAATGTTTGATTAGAGGGGGAAAGTAATCCAGGCACGCAAGGCACATCAGGCACATCGGCTAGGGAAGCAGGCATTTCTTGGGGGAAAGACCAACCCTAGGTACCTAACAAAGGTAAATGGTCAACGCAGTTTTACTGTAGGTGCCATGGGCCTCAGACATGCGTAGGCCTGCCTCCACAAGATGAGGGGTTTGAGGGGCTGTTTATTAAGGCAATCAAGTTCAAATAAGTCAAGTAAGGTGCCCACGCCCATGAACTCAGGATTTCGGAATAACTTCGGCAGAATGCCACTTGCCACCATATCCATATTTCCAATCGTGCTAGGAATCAGTCTGGCTGCAACAACAACTCAATCCTGGTCCCTCGTACACCATTTTCAGGGTACGACAACTGTGACATGAATAGAATTGCTGCTGAAGAGTCATCGCAATCATTCTTGGCCACCTTGCACAGTGATCATAATGGCATCTGTGGCTTCAAGCACTCCTGCGCCTGTTCCCAGCGCTAACACCAAAATCCAACACCCTCCTCGACCAGCCTACAACTTCAGCTTCGCTCCTTTCCTTCGCGCCAACGGCCTTGCCGCCCTTACCTCTACTGTTCCAGTCTGTCCCGACTTCGCTGCCACCGGACAATGCCCCCGCGGACGACGCTGTCCAGACCGACACCCGACCCCATCCCAACAACCCCAACACCACTACGGACGCAACAATGACAACTACGTCTGCAAACATTGGCTCAAAGGGCTTTGCAAGAAAGGAGATGCGTGTGATTATCTACATGAATACAATCTTCGGAAGATGAGCGAATGCCAGTTCTTCAATCAGAACGGGTATTGCCAGAATGGAGATGAATGTCTCTATGTTCATGTCAAGGAAGATTCAAAACTTCCAATGTGCGAGGACTACAACAAGGGATTCTGCGAGAAAGGTCCTCGGTGCCCCAATAGACATGTTCGGAGGAAGATATGCATGTTTTATGTTGCAGGCTTCTGCCCAGACGGGAGAGACTGTAAACACGGTGTGCACCTCAGGAGAGGGACGACACCCAGCGACAAAGATGGCGATGCACAAAGAAGAGAGAGGGTTCAGGAGCTAGAGCGAAGGGAAGAAGATGCGAGGAAAGAGTCTAGTTTTCGTGGTCGAGGTCGAGGTGGCCGGTGGAGAGGGAAACGTGGGAGGTGAGGCGGTCACATATCTGTTCTTTAAGAAGCGGCATGGCTACTGTGTCGGTAGTCTCGCGATCCAGGAGTCTGTGCATATTTGGAGTTGGGAGATGGTTTGATTTCTAGGTATGGGGACTTTAATATCGACAACTCCTACCAACTAAGGTACCTATAGCGAAGCTCAATAATTGTAGTTAAGTCTGGACTGCCTGGCTCGCAATCGGGGAGAGCCCCCGGGCCCCTCTGCCCCTATCGATAACCAGAGCGTGGCAGGGAGGCCCCCCCCTCCCCCGCGGCCACCGTGACCCCCAAGACAGTTGTTGCCCCTCCAGGAAAAAGAACACCGAATCCTCCACACCGCCTTTTCTACAAGCCGTTGAGCCTCTGTCTGAGACTACTGGCCGAATGGCCTGGCAGACAAATGATAATCTAATAAACTCACCGCATCCTTCTTCAGTCCACCCGCAACACCTGCAACTTCGCCTTGCAGCAGATAAATTACATCGCATTTGAGTTGTATGAGCAGGCATTTGACAGGAGGTTAACTTAAAAACACGAATGTCAAGCCCGCACGAACAGAAAGTGGCCAAAGAAGCTTTGGGATCGACGCGTCCGCCATCTATCCGTGCTTCGAGAAGGCGGCACGGGCGGCAACCTACAGTATGAAATCATCATTCCCCACAATGACAGCGAGCGATGGCGTCCGACGAGCAACGTCCAAAAAGTATCTGACTACTCTATAGTCAATCTGGGCTGATGATCAAGTCGGTGGGTGAAGTTGTGGTTGTGCATAGCCATTTAGATAGCCTTCGCAGATGCGCAAACCAATGGATAAAGTGTTATGAGAATAGGGACGCTGGGTGACCGCAAGTTGGGATATTTGGGTCATTATGAGTTAGGTCAGTGGTGGCGTAGGAAACCTGTGTAGTGAATTCGGCCTGTTATTCCACAATGATGATCCCCATATCAAACCTGATGCCTACGAGTCTCTCGAGAACGAGAGCGGCAGTCAGAGGTCACTGTAGAGAAGGACAGAATTGTGTCTGTATGGCCAAGGACTGTTCTAGTTCGCATCACACTCGCTTTTCAAGCTGCAGAATGCGAGGACAGATGCCCAAGAATTAGCCACCAACTTGAGAGATTCGACGACCTGAAAGGATAGACTTGGAACTTTGAGCCCGAGAATTGCATGCTCAAAGGGCCGGTGTAAGAGCAAAGTGTGGATTGCGTTTGTGATGACCATCCATAATGGCTAGCCGAGAAAGACCAACATGGTGGTGCCCGTGGTGGTGCCCCCGGCACTAAGCCTGCACTCGCCTCATGATATCTCTCCTCACATTCTAACCCTCCTCACTCCCCCCCATTTGTGTTAGAGTTGGCACCTCAACAATTGTGAACATCACCACCAACCCTCATCTCCTGCGTTCGGATACTCATTCTTCTTAGTAATTTGAGCCCCAAATCAACCCTGTGCTTCTTTACTTCCTCTTGCTGGTCTTTGAATTCATCAACAACAATTCTTCCGTCCCTCCCAGCACCGCAACGAAATTGCCATTCCACTTTCGCGGTGGCAGTACCAGGCAGCACTTCTTCCTGCCTTACCATTACCGCAAAGATGAAGTGTGTCCGATCCCTCCCCCACCCCTGTTGTCATGCCTTGCTCCATGTCCGCATTGTGGAATGGCCTTCGTCGGTCAGTGGCGGTACAATACACAGCCAGCAGTGTCTGTGTTCGCATCAATTGCAATCCATGGAAAGAATATTGTACTGATGTTCGTCGACAGTGTTAGAACTCCTTCATTGTCTACTGTTTCTCGACAGTCCTTCGGCTCGATTGCATCTTCGAATAGCAACCTCGACAATACTGGTGGTTACAACTCGGGTGGCTCGAGTCACAACGACTTTGCCCTCCAGCGAATGTTACAGGAACCCAGGCTCGATGGGGTATGGCTTTCAGGCCAAAATGTGGCCGAGCGGAGGCGTCATCACTATGCAAGAATGAAAAGTATGATGCAAGACATCAGTGAAAGTTTCCAAACACATCGACAATGAATGAGAAGAAGGGGGAAGAGTTAGCGGTTGGAGTTCTGTTCTCTCTGTGAGTCTGCGACACCACGCCCCAGTATCTGTTGCTGATTTGAGTGTCACAACAAGATCTCATTTGTATTAATTTGGACCCTTCGTTCGGTCTTGTTGTCGGCCTCGTCTAATAAGGTGAAGAGGCACTCAGTCACACAAGTCGCAGCTTTTGGTGTCGACGCAGTGCGGCTTGGATTTTCCCAGAAGCCTGACAAAACACATCTTTGGACATCTGTCTCATGTTCTTGTTCGCCTTTTTCATAACTTCATACATGATGCCTCTCATGCCTCTCCTTGGCTTCGAGAAGGCACAACAGGGCGTCTGTCACGTGTCAGAAATCCTACCGGAGGAAAGTTGTTCCCTTTTTTTGGTGAGAGAGGCATGCCGGCAAGCAATCCGGCGGTTGCCTAGGCACCCCCATCGCTCGTCCGCACAGCAAAAACCTCGGGGGGGGGGGGGGAAGGCAACCCGCAGAGCCTCAATGCCTCCAGCTGTTTTGGGACATTTCAACCAGTGAGCTGTTCCAAGGTCAAGTTTGAGTGGACCAATCAGGACAAAGAGTTGACCATCAGGGCTTTGCTCTGCCAAATCGAGAATCGTCGATAATGCGAAGATGTAATGTCGACGATGATGTGTTGAACTTGCAACTTCAAGTTGTGTGAATTCTGGGTTGAGGAGGTGGCGGGAAGGGAAAATGGGGGTTCGGGACCGGCGACCTATTTGTGCAGCTCACACCCCCCTTTGTTTGCGAGTACCTTCTGGTCCAAGAAGAACACGAACTGGCCCCACTGACCAGGAAACCTCAAGCTCCTGGTCCGCTTGGACCAATCAATCACTGATGCCTCCATTCTCGCTGGGCAATTACCGGCTCATTCAAACTAAAATCAGAAGGGCCAACGCATTACGATGCGTCTTCGCTTAAGGCTGAAAGCCTCTGCACCATGTCTGGATCATTCTGCATCATGTCTGCATCATGCACCACTCTCAACAGTACTAGTACATGCTGCTACTCTGTACTGCCTGGACCTATTATTGGACCTTCCATTATTGTCTTGCACTGTGTTATGTGTGTACTTTATTGTACCAATAACCCCACGCGAGGGAGATGCCATTTCGACTCGCTCCTTCTCGTTACCGCACCAAACCCTGTAATGAAAGGATTGACACCCTAACAACTCATGCACCATTGGGTTTCAAGCCGAGGATACGATTGCCTGCGCAATCTGCATTTGGAGCGGCACCTGGTGACCTGATTTGCAAGGTTTATCGTATTCCGACGCACAATCAGATCGCCATCCAAAGAATGATTTTCCTAGCCTGCGCAACAAGCGTCGGTCTTGTGCAACCTTCCCAGCGCTTGTCCCTTCTATATGGATAGTCACAGTTGCACAAACAAGCGGTCACCGCGACCATGGTACAGATCGACGACTCGAGCTTCTTCTCACCTTAATCAGAAGGTTACTCGTCAGCATAAAGGCATTACCATTCCTCTTAAGGTCAGTCTCACATAATGCGCCTTGGTATTCCACAGCAGAGACTGCAATTGGCAGTTCGCTTGCTTTGTTGGCTCCAGAACACGCGGTTGATGAAGGCGGCGTGGGCGGCCACCACTCAACAAATAGGCCCACGGGGCGCAAGCTCTTCCTTGCAAGGAAGGGATGTGGACAAACGTCAGCGAGGTGGCACACGTGGCCCCAAGACCCAGGACTTCTTTGAAACCCTTGGAACAGGTTGGAACTCTATCGCCACATTTTTTTCCGAAATAGATTAATGGTCGGCCTGATGAATCTCGATGGCACGACTTACGACCTTTTCTTTAATTTCCTAGCTTCCCAATTTCGGGTCTAACTATAGTCCATACTGTTTCTTTAATACACTATGAACCTCTTCTAATGTCTTTATCCTACAGTCTACCAGAAATTGATCGTGAAATCGTCCAAGAGAGAACAGTTCGCCTGGTAGAAGACATGGTGCCTATTTAGTTTCAGAGCAAAGATGTACGTTTCATATTGATCAGACTCAGAATGCGACACTGTCTTTCGAATAGATGGCGATAGCATTCAGCTCCACGACGTAGTTCGATTATATACAAGTTGGATCATCGTTACAGGAGGTTGTCGCTTTCTGAGGTCAAATAGAGGAGCCTTCGAGATAGCTAACCTGTCGGGCTGAGGCTGCTTTCCCACTTCAATGAATCGAGCGAGATATACTCACCGGTATCTATCTGTGACTGCTTTGCCATGTCTGGTATGGGTCATCGTCTTTCTTCAGGATTTCGTGACCAATGAATCAACATAGGCTGGGATGCCGTTGTCTCATGTTGGTGCTGTGCTGGTAATGACCAGACTTCACTGTGGCTCTATACTGCGACACACAAGTAACAAACCAAGAATGTCAATGTCAAGGTCATGGATCTTTTTGGCTTCTAAACGAGGGTAATCGCCAACTCAAAAGACGAGATGTTCCTTTCGCGAAGCATGCTAATCCATCCCTCTACATGACTCCTCGTTGGCACAGTAAAAGAGCCCGAGAATTACTGACACCTCAAAAGTCCACCTCAGCACACAATCACTGGATTAGTGGAATCAAGGTCTTTCGGTTGTATTAGTATCACTCGTCATTGTTTTCTTCTCCTCCCCTTCTATTCAAGGTGGTCATTCAATCATGAAACATAACCGTAGTCCTCAACCGATGTTCAAACGTAGTGCGAACCCTTACTAGTGGATGGACTTTAAGTGCTCGACTAGTGCCTGCAACTGCTCCCTGACCTCATCTGTCAACTGATCCTCAGGTTCTCCGAGCACACTGAGCATGATGGGAGCTAGTTTCGGTGTCAACTGCTGTACGGTCTCGTCCTGATCACGGTACAGCTGGATAATCATCTTCCAAACTGGCTCGTTCTCTTGGAAGTCATCTTTGAGCGGTAGAATGCCGCTCTCGACAAGAACAGGTACCACCTGAGACACGGGAACTTTGCTCTTGTGCTTAAGAATCAGTCGAGACACACATCCGGCAGCGTTGTCTGTGCAGCGGGCTTCAGTAATATGAAGCACAGACTCGAGTTTTTGAAGGATCTGTGGGTATGCCTTTGTGATGGTTGTATCATCGTTGGACTTTTCAACCAACCTTCCGATGGCATATGCAGCATTTGACTTGACTTGTGCGTCTTCATCACTCAAACGCTTCATGAGGATGTTCAGGAGTTGAGGTGTGTATGGCGTAACCGCAGCGTCCATGCCAGTGATGATCTCGGCTAGGACACCGCACGCAGAAGCCCGACCAAGGGACTCTGGCCCACTTGCATATCGCAAGATCTGCTTCTCGAAGATCTTCCACAATTCGCCGAAGCTGGCCCCTAACGCAGAGGCAAGACCAGAAATAACGTCCATTGCACTGTCCACCACTACCCACTCCAGCTCCGTGCCCTCGACGTCTTCGTCATCGAATTCATCTTCTCCCAGATCTAATTGACAGGGGTGTTTCTTGGTAATGATGTTGCCGACAACTTGAACGATGCTGGTCAAAACGTCAGGATATGAAAGCAACGACGGACCAGTCATTTTCAGGTTCTCGGACAGCGCTCGGGAGATTTCGGTGACGGTGGCACTGCGTTCGTGGTCAGCATTCAGGTATCAACCTTAGCGAGACGGAGAGGAGGAAATGAGAATAAGGTTTCAGAGGGTTGAAGATCGCTTTCGCTTCATCCACAAAATTGTGTCGGAGTGAGCTGGGATAACGAAGAGTATTCATCATGATGGCGTGGGAGCCTAAGGATAACAGAGAATGGAGACAGGCCACTTACGTATCTTCCTCCTCTGGCCAAACGTTGAGGGTTGCCGCCATCAATACCTCACCAAATTTCTTCAGCTCGTTGGTAGGTTCAACCTGGAGTGGTAGTCCGGGTTTCCATTTCTGAATTTGGCCAGACTCTTCTGAGATGTCGTACAGAGCGGCGTAGGCCCGATGCAAGGTACTCAGGGTAGCCTTGCGAACATTCTCGTAGCTGTGCTCAGTCAAGGGAAGAATCTTTTCGATGGTCTTCTCGATGTACGGGAGATATGCAGTCTTTGTGTTGGATGCCAGATCCCCAATGACCTCGATGGCGATCTCCTTCTCGAGAGCAAGTGGAGTAACGGTTGCGAGATCGCCCCAATCGCTGTCGTCGTCATCATCAAGTTGGACGTCTTCGATATCGCCATCGTCATCTTCAGCGTCGCTTTCGGGGCCAGCGACTTTGACCTTACGGCCAGCGATGGTGACTTCTTTCCCAAGAAGATCTTTGGCGCTGTCACCTAGCTCAACCTCGAGATCGGCTTCTTCCTGGTCGATGCATTCGAACAAACCCTTGACAACGCCCCCAAGGAACGGGGCAAAGTCCTCTTCATAGACCTTTGCAAGCGAACCCCAAAGAATGTAGGTACTCTCCTTGAGCCTCGAATGGTCCAAGTGCAACGCCTCCTCGCTGGTGCGCATCAGAGGCTGCACATAGTCTTTGAATTCTGCCGCACCGACAGCCACGGCAAATTCGCCCATGGCATCGGTGCAACTAGCACGGAGTTCAAGTTCGTCCTCATTCTCCTTCTTGACAATGTATTCTTGCATAGCGTTCATAGAGTCAGAGAGATAAGGTAAGAATGGTGCCTCGACGGTAGAGGCCAATGAACCTAGAGCACCAGCAGCAAGAGCCTTGATCTTGAAGTCGGGATGCTTGAAAAGCTTTTGCAGAAAGGGTGCAAGCTTGTCCAAGTATGGAATTGCATCAGCAGCGTCCATACCATCAACCACGGCATCGATAGCACTAGTACCAGATTTCATGATATCGATAGATGGGCCTTCGTCTTCTCCATTGTAGGCACTCATAGCGGCGGTAAGGTTCTTGATCAGCAGCGGCATCAATCTCTCATGTTGTTTGGTGATGTCTTCGGGCAAATCATCCGCCAGTCTCGCAGTAGTTTGCAGTGCGGCTTTCCGCACGGTAACATCAGAATCTTCCAACAAGGCATACAAAATCGGCAAGACTGAGGCTAATTGAGAGCTCAAAAAGTCTGGGGCGCCCTCGACTACGAACCCCAAGGCGAGGATTGCCGCCTGGCGGTATTTAGGGTCAGAGTGGCGGGAATATTGTGGAAGGGCGTCAAGAAGGGGAACGACCACTTGACTTGCTGGCAGGCTCTGGGCCATGGTGTCAATCAGACCTAGAGCCGAGCGAGCAGGAGTGATATCGTCAACATCGGTGGACTCTTGATCAATCTCTGTGACAATCTGGAGCATGCTCTTGGTTAGGGACTCGCCCAGCTTGGCCCCTTGAACGCGAAGACGTCTGTAGACGACACACTGCATCAAGAAACTGATGGCCTGAGTCCTCGTCTCATCAGCAGCGTCAAGATTGGTTGCAATCTGATTCATAAAGGCCACGAGATCCTGGAAATGTTTCGACATGAGTTGATACTCGGCTGTCAGGAGGGTATTGAAGACCTCAAAAGCCAACATGGCCTTATCTTCAGAGCCAGAGTCAATGGTGTCTTTGAGGACGGCAACCATGTCAGGGAAGATGGCTTGAAACGACTTGATCGAGGCCGGATCTTCGTCGGCGTCAATGACGAGAGCCATCTTGGCTATTGCCAACAGGGTATTGACACGAACTTCTAGGCTGTCTGGATCTTTTATAGTCTTGCTGAACAAGGCGAAGAGTTCCTTGAACTTTGAGCTAAATCCATCACCCATTGTTTCGAGAATGCTGTAAAGCACATAAACGCCGATGGCACGTTCGGCGGGATTCGCGCTTGTTGCTGCCTGCTGCAAAAGACCTGGCAGCTCAGGCCATTCTCCGTCGTCGAGATCGACCTGGGCGATCGAACTGATCAAGCGGGAGCCAGCGTGCCTGACCAAGGAGGAAGATTCAGAGAGGGTGGCCTGGAACAGCTGCGACCTCGCATGCTGACGCTGGTTGGGGGAGATTTTCGTCCAGTGTTTGGAGACGAGAGGTTTTGCTTGAGTGGCAGCGAGTTGCTTCAGCTCCGGGCTATCATGAGAGATGATGAGCTGGATGAGGAAAAGAAGGGAGTCTGGCTGCTTGTAGAACTCATTCTGGAGGATATTTGTGGCAGTCTTAAGATTGCCTTTCTTGGGGTCAAGGACAATCGCCAATTGCTCAAGGAACTTCTGTTGGTCCATGGCGGCCCTGTGCAAGAACAATCTACCCTCAACCCAGGAGGGTTGGGCTGCTAGTGGGATCAAGTTCAGAGGTGGAAGAGAGGTGGTGGGATATTGACTGAGAAAAGATCCAAAGTGAATCCGCAAATGCAAAGACACCACAAGGATCAGGAAAAAGCAATGTGCCCTCGGGGGAACACGAGGTTCTGGTCAAGTGAAGGAAATGATGAAATTGCAGCAAAAAGTTGCCCAGTGTTGGGGAGAAAAAATATTTTGGGCTACAATCACAATGCGACGTAATAATGGACCGCAGTCTGTTGGCAGTTACACTGGAGCATCACTTTGCCTGGGGCCTAGGAACCCAATTCTAATCGTCTATGTACTCCGTAGTATGTACTAACAAGACCAGCGTCAACGGTAGCATTATCATTGGTTATAGTAGTTTGCTAATTCCCTAGCGTTCCTTGGTGTCCCTTATTGGGGTTTAGGTAATGCTATCCGCTCCGGCCTCAAGACGCTAACCATAATCAGTTGAGGGTTCTTTCAAAGACCAAATGCCTCCCGCAGTGATAGATATTCAGATCGTGCCACATTCAATTATTGCTCGAGAATGGGCATGTATGTTCAGCCCAAAATGTCTATGCTGCATCATATGAAGTGACCAGTCTCGGTTCAGTGATGGTGGTTTTGCAGACATCTAGATGAGAGCTCAGACTATCCGCAAGTGACCCTACCTAAGTCGACTTAGGTCTATATCAGTCATGTGATCTCAAGGACTGCGCGAGCAATGTACTCTCTCCGGCATCTACAAGGTGCCAACATCCCGAGGGTGGGATAGAATATTCTTCCCAGGGAGGTACAATACGTAGAGCCATGTGAGAGAATCAAGCAGGGATCTCGTCGATCAGTTCCAAGCGCCATTCAGCATCTAGACTTTCGGCTCATATCGAACCTCATCCAAATCAAACTAACTATCCGGATATATATCCGATCATCTGATCTGTGTATCTCCAAGTTACGGGTGCCCATCTCCCCAAAGTGCATCGTAATGCTATGGCCGAGGGGCCTTGTGTCTCCTTGGGATCGCCTCCACTCGTCCTCGTCATTGGACTGCAACCGAGTCAGAGTAGCAAGCATCAGTCAAGAATAGTCATGCTCTTCGAAACATCCCATATTCGGTGCATGACCTGTCAACTGGGACAGATCAAGTGAGGTTTTCATTTCTGTGCCTTGGTCACGGACACACCCTGTTTCATTGCCACCACGTCAAATTCACAAGCGGCAAGGAAAACCTCTATTCAGCTCATTGTGCTTCGTACAGGCGAATCGCGATGCAAATTATGGTGATATCCAGCTACCGCTCCAACATGTGTCTGTGCCACTGCAGAATGGAGCGATACGGCTACAGCAAAGCTCTCTCAAATGGACAGCATGGAAGCAATGTAGTCCAAGCGGTCCTGTCGGACCAGGACAATGGAATGGAGACCGGCTCAACAAAGATCGCAGTTTATGACCCCAGGCCCGTCTTGGCTGTGGCAAACAGGAATTTGGGACATCTTCATTGTCTTGATCCATTGGATGGGATTCACCACCGAGAGTCGCGGTTGTGGGTACTCTTATTGCTTAGTACAAGGGGGGGCTTCTCTGACCGGATATCAGGTCCGAGGTAGTTTTTGGGCTTCTCTGCCGCCTCTTGTCCTTGCGGCCACACTGCTCGACTGCGCAAACCCATTCCTGGGAAGCCATGGCACCAGGAAGAGAAAGTCTGCACTATTTTCCTTTTTCTTTTCATGATCTCCCGCGCTGAATATCCCTACAACCGAGCCGCCTGACCTCGCTCTTGCGTCTACAAATTGAGACTCTTTGAGCCATGTCCAAAGTGTCCATCCATTTCAATGTCTCAACCATTGGCTCCTAGGCCGCAGCATGAAACTAGCATACACGCTTCCGACATCCCTTCTTCGCAGCGATCTCGCAAGATTTCGACCGCCTGCGGCGCGTGTAAACAGCGAAAAACAAGAGTGAGTACAAAGCAGTAGCGCACGTTGTGCCCCAAAGAAGCGCCTGACAGGTCACAGTGTACAGGTGGTACTCCATGCGAAGCATGTACAACGAGAAGAAGCGCATGTCACTACGATGCCAGCTCGGATCAACGGCGCAAGATCGCGAACCAGCGTAACGTCCAAGACCTCGCATCCACGCAAAACGACCTCGAAAAGCATCGACACCTTCTTGGAGGTATCCTCGCCACGATTAGAGCCGGCAACGCTGAAGCAAACGCGGACCTCGTTCGTGTCATCAGAAGCGGCGTGGACCTTTCACAATTAGCAGCTCACGTTCGGAACGAATGTCGCGCCGATATGATGATCCAAGAGGCATTTGAAGCGATCGAATTCGTCATCGACCGGCCCAAGGAATTGCCTTCACCAGGGCAATTGCTCAACGAAACCTACCCTCCAGTCTTGAAGCATCGCAGCCAATCCGAGTCAAACAGTGATAATCGCATGACCACCTTTATAGGAGAATCGAGTGACGAAACAAGATAAAAACGTCTATCTGGACATATAGCCTTGGTCGTCGTGCTGAGATGAGACGGTGGACACGACCACGAGGGACATTGCTGAGCTTCAAGTCTAGCTCGTTGGTCAATACAGAACACCATGCAGACCACAAGGGCTCCCTGTGGAGTTTATGGTAGATGTCATGGATTTGTTGACGAACGACGAAGCGCTCTTTGGTCTGCCTTGTCCAACTGGACTGTCGCTGGGAAGTGAGAGTATGTGGATGTTGACGAGTCTAAAGGCTTTGAAATTAGGCCTCAGACCAAGCGAGAGAGAGAACAAGTGGTTCCAGACTTGCAGTCTGCTTCCAGGATCTGGAAAACTTTTCCGGCAGATATATTCGGTCGGCCCCTCTCCTCAAACCCTCACAATTCCCTAGCAGAGATCCGCAGATGATTCACAGCACATCTAAATGGCCACGATTGCCCAGGGGGATAACAGAGCCATCGAGCTTCAAAAGTTCGACCAACTGACGCCGACTCTAGCCTCGCTCTGACATATGAAGTGCGACCATGTGAATCCTTTCATCATCCACTATACTAAAGACGACAACAAAATATCAGAAAATGATGGGCCAGCTTGACTGAAATTGACACAAAAAATGGCTTACCGAGGGACAACCTTGACGATGCTCAGTTGGACATTGTTCCTCAGGTATGGCAGGCCCTAGTGATCCAAACCTGAAGACCTAGCCATGCACGAAAGGCTGCCACATCCAGGAGCATAGTTAGCAATCTTCATTATCCACCAAAACCAAAACAGGAATTTCCGTCTTGGCAAAACGTCCCTGTTTGTGCAGGATTGTTTTTGTCGTCAGATACCGGAAGTGGTCGCCGGTATTACATCACAGTGGGCTTCCTTGCTTCCTTGAAGCCACGCAAAGGCCCCTCCTTTTCTGGTTTCCTCACAGCCGTTACTGTACGTCGGCTAAAATCATCAAAGCCTAATGAAGTTGCTCTCAATGACACAACATGTCAAGAATCACAATGCGGCCGCAATTTTCATTTGCGTCAGGACGTGTCACATTCACACGTGTCGTCATTGTGGGCAAATGTGTAACGGATCTGCTATCACTGATGGCCAACCAGTTTCCCCCGGTCATAGGTTGTCCTCGCCGTAGGCAAGGGTTGGGCCTGCTCTTTACATGATGAGAGATACTCTTGCATCTAGACTGAACAGATGTAGTTCTGCTCTTGGGCAGCCTAAATATGGGCCTCAGGCACCCAGGCTCCTTGAAACCCCTGGAGGTTGATCTTAAGTGGTGACCACTATTCATGGATGATGCGGCCTCTAGCCCAGTACACAGCATCTCCACCACGAAAGATGTCGCAGGCTCGTTGTAAGTAATTTTTGTCATGCGCCAGGTCCAGATATCTTCCTTGCCCCACAAAAACCCCAGGGCCTTCACTTGACAAGCGAACACTCTATGGGTTTTGCAGAACGAGACCAAAGCCCAAGCGAAGTAGGCAGTCGCAGACATGGTGGATGGGACAGAGCAACGGTCACATCCAAAACAAAACCAGCCCCCCAATAGCCATGAAAAGATCGTAGCCAATTGCACTGATGGCGGAATTATCATCCAGAGCCGCCCAGGGAACTTTGTTTCCCGGCAACTGGAGCAATTGTAGTGTCTGCATACCCACAATGAGCACCCCATGGGTAACAAAGATTCGCTTGTAACCGTGGAGGACGCGAGCAACCCGAGAATTGGAAACCTTTGGGCCGGACTGCCGCAATGAAGGCTGCGATATGATGACAGGGGCAAACAGCAAAGCACGGATTGTGAACAGGACCAGGAAAAATAATGGCAAACTCTTCCGGAGCGCCGCAGGGGCAGAGGCAACGCCACCGACATAAGTCAGGATTACAAAGAATTGCAATCCCGATGCCGCAGGCTGTGTGTGTAGACGTCTGAGCGTCTGTCCATCATCGTAAGATTCTGTATTAGCCCGGAGCACCACCGCGGTGAGAAAGAGGTTCTGTGCAAAAGAGACCGGCAAAATCTGATCGAGGCAAAAATATGCCCAGAGATGTGGGATCGCAAGTCTTGTGCCTTCATTTTCACCGTCAGCTGAGCTGGTCATAGCATGGTCAGCCAGTGGTCGAAGGTCGCCTCACCTTCAAAGCTCATATACAAGTTCCATGCTATGGAGTACAGTAGTACAAGCTGTGTCCACCAGAACCGGCTGGGGTCGTTGCAAATGGCCTCCGCAAAGTCCTTGAAAAGTGTCGATCCTGTCGCCCATTTCCAGATCTCCAAGCTTCGGATCGTATCCCGGATTTCTCGTGGGTTGTAGTGGATTTGATATTGGAACTCATTTCCAACCAATATGCTCTCTCCGTTGCGCCACCGTGCGTATGAATGGATGAGAAATTTCAGCATGTGAAAGGATAGGCTCGCAAAGCTGAGGCCTGACATAACACAAAGCATGTTGATCTTGAAATTGGTGTGGGAATATTTGCTGTCACCAATGTGTTTGCCATAGTCGGATTTGGTCGTAGCCGTTTCCGTTTCCGTGAGGAGAGAAAGGCCCTGTCTTCTTGCATGCACAATGACCAAGTCATTGATGAGAAAAGTAGACAAAATTAATGCAGCGGCAATATACGAAAAGAAAATCACAGCACCCAGCACATTATCAGAGGTTTCTTGTGAGGGCAGGGGTTTGTTAGAAGACATGCCCTGGGTGTCTGAATGTTTGGACAGGTGCCTCAATTTTGCCTCCTCCACGTCTTTCAGGATCTGGTATTTGAGCCTGGCATCCAGACAGTCTAGTAATGCTAAGCTGATGGTATACTGTGGAAAGGATTGTGATAGGTAGCGACTCTGTAATCAGTGATGACTGATTAGAATGTCATCTCAACTTTGACAATACTAAGGTACTATTTAGTGACGCCATCGAAATCGACGTTGACTTCAAACTCACTTCCCCACATACCCTGTTTCCACATCAATCATCCCCCAGATGACTGTGAAAGACATAGGCGCATCGACGGCGAGCAGCAGTCATCTAATGACATACACTTCTAGCCCGGATTGATACAGCTACTATTCTGCAATCCTAAGATGGACTAGGTATGCTACTTAAGCAGTAAGGGGATCTATCCGTCACCAAGTACCCGAACCCCTCTCAAGCGATGAACCTCAGCTAGATACCGAGTCGCGCCAGACTTTTCATACTGGAATACCACAACCTTAGTTGCAATGTTGGAATACCCCCAAATTATGGGCTAACCTGAGTCCCGGCCAGGTCGTATTGACACAGTATGGTACCATAATAGTTTCCTTCGAGGTTGAGCCAACGCGAGGCGTTCGAATCTATTCAACAAACTGTTCCTCGCGCTTGATAGGATCATCCGTCTCGTCTGAAGACCAAGAGAACTTCAGTGTTGCCCAAGTCACATACTCGTGCATCAAAGTGCCGAGGATGCCAAAGATGGCGAGGTATGTCTGCAATACGATGACCACAAAGGCGCCAACGCCCCAAGGTGTCAACAATTTGACCCACTCGTCGGTTTGATAGACATCATTCTGCGATTGAATAAAGTACTTAACCTTGGGCTGTGGACCCTGCGGAGTAAGCGGATTTTCAGCTGATGGGAGCGTACTGTATGGATCCCCAGTCCACCCTGATGGCTTCCTTGCAGTGTTTGGGGTTGCCGCCATGTGCTTCTTCTTATTCTTTCCCTTCGTGTGGTTTGGGCGGGAGGAAGCGCTGACGACGTCGCTCCCTATCAGCTCTATTGTATCTGTGCCGACAAAGTCCTGGATGATTGCTAGGTCATCATAGGTAGGTTGCGGATCTGGCTGTGTGCTGAGTTGAAGGACCGTAGTGAGCTTGACGGAAGAATTGTAGAAGGGGACAAAGCGTAGCCTGATATTCTGGCGGAATGAGACGTAGAGCAGAAGGTTTTCCTCGTCGAATGCTATATGACTGTTAGATGAGAAGGTGCAAGAGACAGACGAGGTGGCCTACCAACACTTTCCACTCCAACTTTGAGATGCGAACTCAGGACTTTGCACCACCGATAGATCATGTGGATGGACCAGATTGAGCCAGGGAATCCCTGAATCCGGAAGAATGGATTAGTAAAAGAGGCATCTGAAGTGAAATAGTTTGCTACGACGTTGCGTTGGACATCGGGAGCTTCAGTGTATAGGATAGGGAGAAGGTCACGAATCTCGGTCACTGTTCGTCCACCTGTTAACGCAAGAGATGGTGGAAGGAGGACTTTAATAACCTGGATCCTCCATGATGTTCTGATCGCGAGTTGATGATGGTGTCGTGCTGCTGATTCGAGTCTGATGGCTATGGGAGCACTGGGTAAATGGTGAAGAAGAAGCAAAATCAACAATCCTTGGGAGTTTGAAGGCGGACACACATGGCACCTTCCCTATCAAACCCACCACGCGTGTTTGGACTTGTACCAGGAAGGAACCAGTGTGGGATAGAGAGTGTGAAGCGAAAAGGTCAGTTGGCCGAAGCAAATCCTCAATTCTGAAAGTGAACATTGTTCTGAACAGGGCTCCCCTACCGAGGAAGTCACTATCCCCTTTGACGCGTTCTATCCAGTTGATATGCTCAAGGAGAATCAGGTCAGGATATGTACAAAGGGAGTTGGGGAGTCGAATATATACTGTTTTGGCTCGACCCATGTATGTCTATTTTCCTTGGTGGCCATGACAGAAGCGTAACAACAGCCCAATGCAGTCTTGATACTGCCCAGGTGAGTCGGATCAGGGAGATATGTCGGTGGTACGCTTTTTCCATCATGACATTTAGGCCTCTACTTCAATCTCGGTACCAGTCTCCTGATGGCTAGATCCTTGAGGGGCGGTATCCTGCCCATATGGGTCAAAGCTCTTTGAGTTACCCGAGGGGACTGCATTGCCCAGCTGCAATGAGGAGGGGATTGGTATCTTCATTGGGTTTTGGCAACCTTGACCTTCCCAGGCCACCATCATCTCCTGGCACAAGCTCACCTGTTGATCGTGGTCGAACATTGGGTGCTCCTTGCCCCTTCTCCTGCGTGAATCCATGGTCTCGGTCAGAAACGCCTCAGGATCATCGTCTGTCATGAAGTCCTTTTCAAAAGTATACGTCCGGTGTTCGCAGTTTTCCCAGCCTGTAGACAAGAATCTGTCGGCGTGCTCCCAGTCGTCCGAGATATAGTGCATATATGCGCCATGAGCAACAAGCACAATCTCAACATTCTCATCACCCTGTTTGGCCAATTCTCGAGCCTTTTCACGTAGAAGGGCTCGAGCATCGCGAGCGCGCCGTTGAATAGCTGGGCCTGCGGGGGAATAGCGATTGGAGATTGTCTTCACATTCCAGTCTTCAGAGACGAGAGAAAGATCGACCGGCCAGCTGCGCTCTGCTGCACGGTCTTTCAACACATGCAGATCACTCCCAGTGTCACAAGGCCAGTCGGTTGTTTCTTGAGCATCGGGAATAGCAAGAATATGAGGGTGACACTTGCCATTGGATAGTGCTGAGACAAAGGTCGCATGTGCGGTCTGCAATGTCCGGGACATTGGTGACGCAGCAACAAGACTAATTGACTGTTGTCGTTCTGGTGGGAAATGTGCATCTCGAAGTTGGGCACATTGAGATTCGCCAAGAGGTGTCAACAGCGGATCTAGCAGGTCTGAGAACTCGAGGCCGAGGTTGTGGAAGCCTTGAGCATGTCGCACGAGATGAATGACGGCAGTCGACATCCTTGATGGAGGTTGAGGTCAGGGATTGTCTCGAAAGATGTTATTTCAACCAAACACACTCTGGGGAGAAAAATGAATGGAACAAACACTTGTGGACCAGCAACCAGATGCGGACCTGATTGGGGCCACGAACGATACAAGCGATCAAAGACAAGACTCGGCGAGCAGGGCTGACAAGGAGGACAGTGGCGAGAATTGCAAAGAGGGAGTGGGACAGGAGAGAAGATTGATATAAAATTGTTAAAATCTATAATGTTGGGGACTCGTGATTTGATGATGACTCAAAATGATATCGGACGTCGGACGTCGGATCAATCGGACATGACCGGCGCAGGACGAAGAACGATGGAAGGAACGGCCATGACTATATTATTCAGCAAACCTTGTCTCCCTAACCTACCTACCCACATACCTAAGGTACCTAGGTAGGTAGGTAGGTTGGTAGGCACCAACTTAGGCAGTCTGGCGAGGGATGCAACCTCCTGATTTAGGGGGGTCCCAATACCCTCCCCAACCCCCAAACACACTCGCAATGGTGGCCCTCGGGCCTAGTCTCCCACGAGAGTCACCCATTACTTTAAGCGCGGCGGCCCCCGGGGCGATTGACTTTATTGCGCCGGACATTGGCCCGTCGTTCACGACAATACAACATGAATCATGGCTTCAGAGAGTTGTAATGCGTCCGCCAAAAGACTCAGACGCTTCTATTCAACAGGAAACTGACAGGTCTACCTCGCAGTCGTGGTCTATCCATGTTCGTCAGTCATGCCCCAGGACGGACTATAAATGAATACTAGTCATTCTGCGCCTCAATTGAACCTCCACGCAGCCAGCCCATCCAACTGCCCCGGTTCGCCCGTTTCTGGGCCTCTTCCTCGGCCGTCTGCTCCTGGACCAATCTCAATGGCCGGAGCTGGTTCTGCTTAATCACTGCCCCAGGGATGCTTCCCTGGCCCTGGCCCTGGCCCTGAGAACTGCCGGGACCCGTGGAGCTGACCTCGGTCGTAGATCGCTGCTCTTCACTATGTTCGCTGTTGACACTGTTGGTTGAACTACCACCGGTGCCTCCAGAGCCTGAAACCGCTCGTGCACTCGAAGTTCCAAAGTATGATTGTCGATTTTGCGATTGTTGTGGGCTCAATGGGCGAATCCCAGGGCTCAACGGGTTTCCAGACACCGTCCTCATCGGCGATCCTCGGTTCATTTGATGCACCACCGCTGCCGCTCCCAGATCTGTTTGTGCCTGATCAGATCGCGCTCGACGATGTCGTGATCGCCCCATGGGGATGCTGGGCGCCGTTTCTGGGTTTTCGTTTGCGGATGGCACCATAGGAGTTGACGCTGTAGGCTGGGCATATGACATGGGCCGGCCCCTTCCCCCTGGTCGTGAAACTACTGATCGAGCTCGTTGCAAGAATCCGCTGGCAACCCCTGTGGCAGTAGTGGCGGCAGCTGCAGGTGCGGCTTGGTGATCCGGTATAGCCGGTAGAGCTTTCTCAGATGGAGTCTGTTTGCTGGGTGGCTCAGGGAGATTCTCTCTCCCTGTGATGATGTGCTCAAAGCCTTCGTGTTGGAGGATTCGACCGACAATCTTATCCACATACAGAGTCAAAGCCTTGTTTTCTTCTCGCAAAGCTCGTACTTCAGCTTCAAGCCGCCGGTCAGGGTCAGTCTGACCCTCGGTATCTTCTCCGGTGCCGGCCAGCTCGTCTGCAAGTGAGCTCATGCCGGCCATTTCACCACTGTGATCGCGTAGGAAGTCGCCTTTGAGTGTCTTCTCACTCAAGAGCACCTGAAAGCTTTCATTCTCCTCGATGAGTCGTGCATTTTGCATCTTGATCTCCATAATGGCTTTTTCCAACCCCTGCACCTGTCCATCGCCCAACTGTTCCTGCTCCGCAACTTTCAGTTGCGTTTCCGCCAGCTCCAGTCGCAGGCTCTCGATCGCAGCGTCCTTTTGCCGCAAAGCCTGGACCATAGCTGAAGATGACGATGTCCCAGCCGCGCCACTTTCATCGTCGACCTCGTTCTCATTCTCAGGCAACGACGCTGTCAGGTATCAGTAGTTGATCCATGGAGGGCAAAACAATCGGAAACTTACCAACTCGATCGACACTACTCCTCTCTAACCCTTTCGTGCGCAGCGTCTCGGTCAGCCGGTGAACTTTATCTTGTAGCTCAAGCTCTCGGCTGCTCTGCCTCTCGCGTTCTTGCTCAAAAAGTTTGCGTTCGTGCTCATGTGTTGATTCGAGCTCGCGACGTTCACGCGCCGAATCTCTTATCTCTGCGCGAAGTCTGTCGATCTCCGTTTGCCGCTTATAGTCTCGTTCTTCTCCCGTAGTCTGCTCGGCCGCGGCTTCGTCGAGCCGTCGCTGCATGATTTCCAGTTGCTTTCTGTATTGTTCCGACGCCTGTTCGGCACGATCGACCTGCTCCTTCAAGCCTGATATCAGTTGTGCATTGGCTGATTTGGTCTCCTCATCTTCTTGTTCACTGTCTGGCGCGACGAACGTGCTGCTCGTGCGTGAAGTTGGCTTCCTGGCAAGCCGAGTTTGTCGCAGCGACGGAGTGCGGGCGAGACCCTGCCCAGTGCTTGCCGGAACCGCGCTGCCAATCGCAGGCCGATTCGGGCTTTTGTCACCGTGGTTGCGGCTACTCGGTGTGCCATTGGTAGGGCCGGATATAGGTTTCTTTGCGCTTGGAGAGGACATGGTCGAATGGGTTCAGGGGCAGAGAGGATATTCTATAGCGTAGCGTGCATCGGTCGGACAAGCTTAACTTATGGCCGCAGATGAAAGAACGGCAGTCGACCCAGAAATAATAAGAATGAAGGATGGGCAAGTGGCAGTCGAGAGGGCGAAATCAAATAGAAGTCGTCGATGTCATTGGCTCGCTCGACCCCTGCGCCTCAAGAGTCACGTCCGGTGACGAAGGGAGAGAAACACTGCCAATTGCCTAGAGACCTGCGATGCGTTTTCTGTCTGTCTACTACGCAAATTGGGAAGGTGATGAAGTCGAGTTTTTCAAACAAGGTGTTTAATTGCGAATAGGGACAATCAACAGAGAGAGCAACCCAGACTTGGGACATAACATCCAAATCGAGGTGTGTGCACATGCCACTTGGATCAAAGGGGATTGCGCCCTGGGCCCTGACTCCCGCCCCCGGCCGCCAGACGGCGCATCTCCAAACTCAAACGTCTCAACCATCTCAACCATCTCGCTGGAACCCTTGACCCCAAAGGAATAAATTACTACCTGTTACCAACTATCTATGGTCTCAGGGTGCCAGCCATTGACAATGCCAGGTTCAAAGAATCTTCACCAGTGTCACCTGCGCCATCAACCGGCTATCCAATGCTCTAGGACCATCGTGTAGTGAGCACATACCAGGTTTGTAGTAATGGTCTGCCATACTGCATCATCACCGCATTTCCTCCACCGTAAGGGGACTGCACCCGTCACGTGAGTCAACCCGACATATGCCAAGGCTGGGAGACCCACTCCACTGGCCACATCCGACCAAAATTCGAAAATACTGCTGGTTGCGTTATCCTTCCCTCGTCTTCTCACACCCAAATTCCTCGACCGGAGCGCACTCAACTATTTTCTACTTGAACAAGTAGCGCGCAGCGATGGCACCCAAAAAGTCAAAGAAGACGGCCGACAGCATCAACTCGCGCCTGGCGCTTGTGATGAAGTCTGGCAAAGGTCAGTGGACAATCTGAAATCGTTAATTTCAACATTGTTGCTAACGTGGCTGCCAGTCACACTCGGCTACAAATCGACTTTGAAAACCCTCAGATCTGGCAAGGCCAAGCTGGTGATCATTGCTGGCAACACTCCTCCCCTGCGAAAGTCGGAACTCGAGTACTACTCCATGCTGGCAAAGACAAATGTTCATCATTTCGCTGGAAACAACGTAAGTGGAAAATAACAAGCCCCTGCGAAGAAGCCTTGTTCGGGCTTTGGAGGGACAAGCAGCTGACCTTTTCTGTCTATCAGATCGAACTCGGCACTGCCTGCGGAAAGCTCTACCGATGCTCAACTTTGGCCGTTCTCGACGCCGGTGACTCCGATATCCTCAGCGGTACCGTTGCATAGACGCATCCCATGGCGTGCTTCTACGTTCAGCCAGCTTGATCAATGCATGGCGAGTACGGATTGCGGGATGCAACTCCTCGCGTCAGATCCAACTCCAAGCAATCGGGAAGGCCTGTGGGCCGAGACCTAGTCATGGGTTGCAACACTTCCACTATCTCAGAGGAATGTCCCGAGCGCTCTTGCATCGGAAGGGTGAGCTTGTTCACCGTTTGTAGCGAATTCAATGCAGGCAATTCCAACACCATGCGTCTACTTTCTTCACTGCTCGATGTTTTTCATTCTGTAGGAAGATTCGTATCTTGCGACTTCAAATGAGCGGCCGGGAACATATGGTTCGTACTGCTCGTCTGAGCTGACCGCACGAGTCATGGCTTCTCTTACTCGGCATGGCTCGATTGCTCAAATCCATATGTAGTTCGTAGATAGCAATCAAATGCAGGTCGACTGGCTGGCTCACATGGCCAGTTTTTCGGCCTTGTTGCCACATTTGAACATGGGATGACTCACGTGAGACGCCAAGCATTGTCCATCTTCCACACAACAGTGTTCTGACAAATGCACTTTGGCTTTCGCCGCCCACGATCCCCTCATAAATTGGCCTTGTTCCAATTCTCTCTTCTTCACCATCACCACCACCTAAACCGAAACCCATCTACAACACCGTCAAGATGGCCAGAAGACCCGCAAGATGTTACCGCTACTGCAAAAACAAGGTCAGGAATGATGATATCGGCATTTATGTGCTGATGAACTAACGAGTAATAGCCCTACCCTAAGTCACGATTCAACCGTGGTGTCCCTGATCCCAAGATTCGTATTTTCGATCTTGGAAGAAAGCGCGCCAATGTCGACGAGTTCCCCCTCTGTGTCCACATGGTTTCGAACGAATATGAACAGCTGAGCTCTGAGGCCCTCGAAGCCGCCCGCATCTGCGCCAACAAGTATGTGACAAACCCACAACCATCAAGCATTGGAGGAGTGGCGTAGCTAACAGATCTCAACCAGGTATCTTGTCAAGATTGCCGGAAAGGAAGGCTTCCATCTTCGTGTTCGAGCCCACCCCTATCACGTTGTGCGCATCAACAAGATGTTGTCTTGCGCCGGCGCTGATAGACTTCAAACTGGAATGAGAGGTGCTTGGGGTAAGCCCAACGGTACTGTTGCTCGTGTCAACATTGGTCAAATTCTCCTTTCTGTCCGCACCCGAGATGCCCACCGAGCCACAGCCATTGAAGCCCTTCGCCGATCCATGTACAAGTTCCCCGGTCGCCAGAAGATCATCGTCAGCAAGAACTGGGGCTTCACTCCCCTGCGACGTGACGAGTATGTCAAGCTGAAGCAGGAAGGCCGCGTCTTGATTGATGGTGCATATGTCCAGTTCTTGAGGAACAAGGGAAGCATCGAGCAGAACATCAAGCGATTCCCCGGTGCCTACGAGACCGCCAGCGAGGCATAGATTTTCAGCACGACCTTGATTCTGATGAAATTATGGGAGTGAGAGATCGCGCCAGGACAGATTGGCAGGCATGGGGTGGTACGATGGGACTAGATAGCGCAACAATGAAGTCGGTCATCACCCCATTGATAGTGATGCGCTGGCTCGAGGAGACTATCACACAACGAAGTCATGCTTACCATCAAGTTCAATTCCAGGATGTACCAGATTCGAAGATTCTCTCCCTAAGGACTGTGTCGGAGGATGTGCAAAAGTAGTCTAGACTACAATGATGTACCACTGAGAAATTGATACAACTATCCTGCTAAAGAAACACAGGTGATGACAAGGCGTGCTGTATGTTGTTCCACTGTGTGATATCTGCTTTCATGCACGCCACAATCTGATGAGCCAGATGGGTGTACATGAGAGGTTGGTTGTGACATGATTCGAACGGCAATGGCGTGAGGGAAGATGCCTTTCCAAAACGAGAAGGCAAAGGCCCAAGTGCTAGCATGAGAAATTCATGTCGAGTAGCAGCGATGTCATTTACTGATTATGATTATCTCGATGAGGTCAATGGCCACGAGGACGAAACTTGAAGATGATGCATATGTACAGCTAGCGGATAGCAAACCCAGGCGCTGTGGGGGTCAGCCTGCCCAAAGATAGGCGCAAAGCCACAAGGTTCTCAAACCCCTTCAGGCTCCAACGATAACGATATTAGTAGGCAGCGCAGGCTTGCCTATGGTCACAGCTGCTAACCGACATTAGAGGTTTGCGTTCGATCTGTTTAGAGTGCCACTTGGGAAGCATGACGTGCCCTCCGTCATTGCCCATGCCATGCAATCTACGGGTCAGCGGGAGAATTAGTCTAACGTAGAGGCCCCTCGGCTTCCATTAGGTAGCACTTATAGCCTATAGGTCATTCATGCCTCTTCAGGCCTTGAAGGTTCAGGCTCCTTCATGTTGATGTTGGGGGTGACCACGCCCGCGCCCGTACCCACGCCCAAATTAGGTGTCGGGGCACCTTCGGGCCATTGCCTATTCGCCCCGGCTGTCCGTGCAGCATTCTAATTATTGAGAATGCGAGTCGCTCATGATCAAATCACTTTGTTGCCCCATGTTGCTTTTTGTTGGCCCTTTGATGGTTGCTTATCCCGCTTTCCCACTTTCGAAAAGCTGAATAGTATATTTGTATGCGAAGATGCTTTCAAGATGACTCCTGCTTGGCTCAAAAGGATCAATATTGTCATGTCAGTTGAAAATCTGACAAATATCCGCTTGAGATCCGTAAGGCGCCGGATGCAACCAGGGTTGATGTAATAATTATTAGGATTTGCTTGCGATGTCGGTCGAATGAGATTAATTAGAGAAAGGCTGCCAGACTGTCCAGTCACCCAGTGCTAGCTCAGCCGGACCTGGGCCTCGCGACGTGTCACCATATTCCTGATTAATCCTTGTCATATCGACACGACTAAGGCGCCGCCAACCGGTTACAAGATAACAGATGGAGCGATATCCATCCCACCCCCCCTGACTGAGACCTGAATGGCATCAACTCATCCTCAACATCTCATTATTCCTTTGTGTCTTGAGCCTCGTCCTTTTCTCTATTCTTTCCACTTCAGTTCGAGCTGCTGAGTTGGAAACTTGGACCTCTTTGTTCCAAGGCGGTTGAGATCACCGCGACATTTAGAGTTCCGTCTTTATCATCCCCACCCATCGACTTTGTCCGTGTGACAGTTCCACCTGTGGACTATCGCTTTCCGACTCCCCAAAACGCCGTACGCCCTCCGTCTGTCCTCAACGTCCATCCTCGACCCTGTCACCATCATCATCTATCACAGTCAACTCTCACCGTCGATTTTGACACGACCTTGTTATCCTGCACCCATAGGAGCTGGCACTCCGTCTCTAATTCTCATCCTAATGCACTCTGCTTCTTTACAATAGGCAAGCAATTGTGATAAGGTGGACAACTGACTCACTCCTTGATTCGGCTCAGTTTCCAGCCATCCTACCGCCCTTCAACTCTCGCGACGAGCTTCTAATTACTTTGATCGCCGCTATTTCCTACTCGTCGCCCGATAGTCCTCACATTTGTTTGGCAAGATCCAGTTGGGAGCCATGGCTTTCCAACAATCCGCTGCCCCGCGTCCCATTGTCATCAGCCAACCACGATCACAAAATGCATCCTCAACTTCTCAAGTTCACTCTACCATCGAAGACTCTCAAGAATGGGTGCTTTTCACACCATCCACCGCAGAGTCAACCATTACTCGCACTGGTACAGATCATACCATTGGCCTTTCGGTCAGAGCCAGCGAGGCGTCACTGAATACGGCTGCAAGGTCAGGTCGGCTTGGTTCTTCGGTGTTGGAAGACGAGGCCACAGAAGATGGCGATCTCGATAGCCTGGACGATGGCTTGCATGCGTTCAGAGACCCCCCTTTATACCCCTCCACTTCACATCAGACTCAAGGTCCCCTTCTACCTGCCCATGATGGTTTGGGGACGTTTCCTGCGTCAAGCCCACCAGTACTGGAACAACTCTGGCAGCACGAACAATTCAACCCAAAAAGAAAACACGATGGCTTCCATCGTCGACCTTCAAGCATCCAGCGACGACTCGACACCATTGATGAGATGGAGGCTCAAGCCAACGAGGAGAAGAGAATGCGAATAGAAAAATGGCGACTGGAACAGAGTCAGGCTTTGATGGAAGAGGTAGAAAGAGAAACACGGCGTCGTTTTCGCCGAGGCTCTCGGGTCTCTTCGAATCAGGAGTCCTTCATGTCATTGAATGACGATCTGCTTGCTTCGACGCCGAAGCAGAGCAGTTATCTACCAATGTCTGAAGGAGAAACTGCTGAAGACGAGCCATTCTGGCGCCGCATCACTAGGAGGTTCATCAGGGACGTTGTCGGCATTGACGAGCCTTTGCTCTCGGTTATTTTCGGGGAGAGCCTGCCAGAAGACGTGGAAAGTCGACCCCCGTCATCTGGTGGCACATTACCAACCATCCTCGAACAAGGACCAGAGGGACAGACGAGCGACGACTCATGGAGGGATCGGTTACTGCAGCGGATAGCCCGGGAGCTCGGTGTATACGTTCATCAGCTTACCCCCCATCCTGGCGCATTTACTTCATATTCCAGCAGCCCTGACTATGCAGGCATGCCTGTCTCATTGGCTCCCCAAACCTCGACAACACCTGAGATGGCAGAAGCGGCTCGCGTCTCCACAAGAGAAACAGCCGCTTCAGCTCTCACGCCCAATTTCCCCCCAACCGTCCGTGACGTTGCGCATGCCGAGAACTGGGGATTCGAAGAAGAACCATCACCAACAACCTCTCCTCTTGAATCAGCCATGAATCTACAGAAGGAGCGTGCGTATTGGGAGCGGGAACTGGACCTTAAGATGGTTTTCCGCTATCTGAAAGACCGGTTCGTCCCTAGGTCATCAACTGCAGCACCGCCTCAGCAAGCAGCACAGCAGGTGGTGGAAGATGCTGCGACACGGGCTGCCATTATCCGCCAGCATCATCCACTAGTTGCCCGAGCTCATCGGTCCCCCGTGAGGACGAGGAAAGATTCTCGGGCCAGTCTGCGGCGACCTCAAAGTAGTTGCGCGAGCGAAAGTGTACTCAGCAGCAGGAAGGCATCTCTCGCCAGGAGCAGCTCGAGCCGGAACTACTGGGACATTGGAGGTAGCGTCAATTCGGGGACTTCCATTCTCGCCAGTGGAGGGGCATGGGGAGAGGTATAAATGATCTATTTCGGGCACGACCTGCATCGCACATGGGTAACGCGACACACCTCTCACACTTCACATTTTGGGCATTTATCGCTGTTGCAGCACTTTACGACTGTATGAACAGGCATCATTTAACGACTCGGACACGGTTTTATTGTCTATCAGTGGTGTTTATGTCGTCGAGTCATGATCAAGACGGGTGCATTTGAAGGGGCATAGAACTTGAACAGTATTCTCCGTCATCTAGGTAACAATCTACTAGTTAGATCGCCTCAATTGAGTCGAAGCACCATGGTACGGACTTCTGTCATGAGAAGTCTCAGTCCACTGACTTCATCCGTGGTGTAAACATCATCACACCCCTCTTTCGTGCAACTCGTTCCTTGTATCTCGTCACTCTCGTTCACGTTCGCCCCTCCTCTCTCTGCCGATCGGTTTGTATGAAATACGTCATTCGAGTTCGCCACATTTGCCAAGACCGCCATTTATCACGTGGATATCACAGTCACATGACTGGTCCATGGTCTCTGTGATTGGCTGATTTCAGGCATCGCCGCAGTGGGGTTTCCTTGCTTTCTTTGTTTACATTCAGTGTCTTCTTCTTCGACACTCAGGCGGTGCAGAATAAACTGGCAACCTGCGACGTCGTCATTGTTACCCTGTCTTGCCATTCGTCTTACGACCACCTCAGCGCCTTTGGTTTCCCGCCTCTGACCGGCGACGCTCCCGCGACTTTCAATCGCAACAGCCTTCCATACCTGTGGGTGGTCGCCATGGCCGACGAAGATGACCTAGCCTATCTCCAACCAGGCTACGACCTGAATAGCCTCACCGTCCCCAAGCTGCGCAATATCCTGGTCAAGCACGATATCGATTTCCCCTCCTCAGCTAAGAAGGGTCAATTGGTTGAAGTGATACAGCATGACCTTTTACCACAAGCCAAAAAGTTGCTTAAGGCGCAGGATCGGGTTCGTCGGACTAGTCGAGGCATCACAGATGTTCCCAGCAGTCAGGATAGTACCGCGGACGATGAAGGCGGGCTCGATCGACAGCTGATGCCTCCTCCTGGTCCCAAAACCCCGCGCAGCCGAAAATCAAAGTCTGACCTTGCGGGGTCATCGACCTCGACAACTGCAACACCATCTACCTCTCGGAGATCAAAAACACCCAGCCGACGGGCGACGAGGACGCCACGCGCTTCAGACACAGAGCCTGATGTGGAAACTACGGTACGCAAGTCTCGCAAAAGTGCACCCGCGCAAGCCGTACTGGCACCAGCTGTTACACTTGATGAGCCGGATGCGAGGTTGAAAAGAGAGTCTCTGGAGACAGGAACTAGTCCATTCTCAGATGACAATCCTTTCCAGTCCGGCTCCAGTCCTACAACTACCTCCAAGCGATTGTCCTCCTCATCTCGCAGCAGAAAGTCCCTAGGCGCCTCCACCTCCACCAACAAGAGCCCTTCCAAACGTCGACAAACCAGCTCTCCCATCATCAAGCAAGAAAGTGCATCGCCACAACACACTTCGGTAGAGTTTCCCATCTCCAGACTCAAGTCTGATGACTATGTTCCAGTGACCGAGGAATTCACGGCCGAGGAGAGTCAGGAGCTAGCGGAGCAAGAGAGAAATGGACAAGTTGTGCCCGGTCGCAGATCGCAATTGGTGCGTAGACCCAAGAAAAAGGCGACCAACAAAGTTGTCAAGGCTGCACCATTTGCATTTCTCACCACAGTGCTCGCTGCGGCGGCTGGCTGGTACAGGCAAGAGAAGATCAACATTGGTTACTGCGACGTCGGTGACGCTCAATGGTCCTTGGCCAACTACCCTCAAGTCCCACCTTGGGTCCACGACCTGCAGCCAAGCTGCGAACCGTGTCCTCAGCATGCTTACTGCTCACCGAACATGGTAGCGGAATGTGAAAGCGACTTCGTCCTTAAACCGCACCCACTGTCGCTGAACGGGTTGATTCCTATTCCTCCAACATGTGAACCCGACAGCGAGAAAGAGAGGAAGATTGAAGCTGTGGCAAACAAGGCAATCGAGGAGCTGCGTCAGCGGAGAGCAGCATATGAGTGCGGAGGGGAAGTGCCTAATGCACAGTCGATCGGCACCGGGTCAATAGAAGTAGAACAGCCCGTCGCTTCATCTAGCTCAGCGAAGCTTGAAATCTCGGATGAAGAACTCAAGAAGACCATCGCCAAGCAGCGAAGAAAGGGGATGACTGACCAGGATTTTGACGCCCTGTGGGAAGGCGCATTGGGAAATGTTCTCAAAAGAGACGAGGTTGATGTTACTCACGACGGGTAAGTTGTTCACTCAAGCAGTTTTGTTCTCATCCCTGTCGTTTCCCACGTCCGCAGTTGGTGTTCCTGTCATCTCAAGCCCAGCGCCAATCTCATTTGCGATTCACTGACTGACCAAGTGTCCCAATTTCTTCCCTTGCAGATCTGGAACCCGATTCCTTAGCAGCTCCTCTCTCGCCCGACTCCCATTCTCCTGTGCCATCCGAAAATCGGTTCTTCGAACCATTTCGCACAATCGAATCCCTCTTGGACTTTTGATTGTCATCGTTGGAGCGGGAACATACTTGTACAGTCAAGCCGACGCCCGGAAGCGGGCTACGGCTCAAATCCCGGGACTGGTAGCCACGACGTTGGATCGTCTTGCGACACAGGCTGCCTTGAAGGAGGACGGTCGGACTTCAGAGCCATACATTAGTGTGGGCCAGCTGAGGGACGATGTACTTCGAAACGTGTTTAGTCCGAATGAGCGAGAGAGGGTATGGCAGAATGTGAGGAAGGTTGTCGAAGGCAATTCTAATGTGAGAGCGTCAACCCGCGAAGGTGGCAAAACAGGGGAATGGAGTCGAGTGTGGGAGTGGATTGGACCTCTTGATCTCGCTCCAGGTTTGGAAGGTCGAAGATCTGGTGGACTCATTCAGAACGCTGGTTCTGCGGTTGGCGTTGGTCCCGACGACGGCAGCGGTATAACCGACGTTCGACGATGGGACGAAGGGAGGGCGATTTATTGATTTCACGTTGCTTTTCTTGTGTAATACGTGCACGATGCATTTCTGGACGCGTAAATGGATTGGCTTCCAAGGTTTCCTGTTAATGCCAAACGAAGACTGTGCATGACTCGCTGTCGCACTAACTTCGTGAATACCTAGATCAGTCGATGATTGCCTTTGATCTCACTTTCTAAATGCCTACACTTGGGCTCCCTTGGGCACTTATACAATGCCAGAGTATTTGGGTAGCTGTGCGCTTGACTTTGCGATATGATTCATTTGGAGATAAAGGCGGGATATCTGCAACATGAACTTACAGTACATTGGACTTGTGGCACTCACCTCAGGAATGTACAGTATGTAGAGAGAGATATAGTAGGTAGGAAGGATTCAGCAATACAACAAAATAAAACTCACCTCATCAAGACTGCCGTAAGTAGTGATTATCCAAACCCTGATCTTGTCCGCACAATTCTCGATTATTATCGCAGAGATGTGGATCATACTGAACCCAGAGTCCTTGGTAATCGGGTATGTCCAGGCTATCATTCACTATCTTGTACACCACGAACTGCCTGCCTGCGTGAGGTTCTTTAACAGGGACTCCTTTGTCTGCCCGGATTCGTCTCTGTTTTCAGGCTCTAAAGGGAGTCACCCAGCAGCCAGTAAACGAACGCCTATCTCGGCCCCTGCCAGACCGTCTCGAAACGCAAAGTGTCAAGCATTGTACGATACCTAGTCTGTTCGGGCTTATATTGGGCAGCGCGCCCGAAAGAAACCGGTTTCGTATTCTACCCAAACGAGCAAAACTCCAGCTTAAGACCACGTCCTATTGAAAGGACTTCTTTTTGCACCAGGGAAACGCAAATCTGCCGCAACCCAGCGTGTCACATGAGGCGAGATGGTCGCTCCTGGCCTATCTCACGTACGGTGGTCGTGCCCGACCCCAAGAACAATCATGACCACGCCATCTGCTCTCGAGAATCTCTATTGCTGTCTATAATTCCACAGTTCATGGTCTTGCTCGATTTCTTGCGACACCTGAACATCAATCCTGTTACCAAGCCATCGTGAGTTCATGACCAGACGATACAAATACTTGCACCATCGCCAGGAACAGCTGAATCTATACCCCTTACCTCATTCCTTCGTTTCCTCAACAGAAGCCAATGCAACGATTCGAAATGGCATCTGATCCGCATGACCCTGCTGGTCTGCGCTGGCTCGAGACTCTGCTGCCTGGGATCTACATGTTGTCCGGCTTTGGAGGACTCATCACCTTCACTACGGCGGTGGGCATCTACGGCGGTCCTCGTCGCTATTACTCGGAGCTGCAGACCTTTATCTCGCTGGCCTGGCTCTTCTTCGTCCTCTCACTGGCCTTGGCGACCCTCACCTCTATGGCACTGACGTTCCAGCGCCATCATGTCAAGGACGCCTTCGAAAGAGGGTACAAATCCTGGCGCGGTGGCGCAGGCACTCGCACTGCTGGCGAGAGAGGTGTCGTGTTTGGTATCGTGGTGCTCGGGGCCGGTCTCTGGCTGATGCTCCTTGTGTGTCTTGCCTTTGTCTTTCTTAGCTTAAGCATTGCTGCTTACAGCCTGGCCGTTGGTTGGATTGCCGTTGTTGTGAGCGGGGCAATGTTGATCACCACTATTGTCTTCTGGGTGTTGATGAACCAGAAGGATTAGTTCTGCCCGAATCTCGACGGAGTGGCTTCTACTTTCACAGAAGACTGCCCCACAAAACCTCGAATGTTCAAGAAAGTCACCACGTCCAATATCACTCGGTCGGAGAACAACCCTAGCAGTGAGAAAAACGAGGCTGAGCTAGTTCATTCCTTCATTAAACAAAACAAAAGCCACAGGTCTCCACCAGAGCCCACTCTATACTAGTTCACTCGCACTCAGTGTATGACCAGACCTAGCGAGTGAAAGGCCACTGAGTCTGCATTTCCATCTCCAAGGCGCAGCCATTGGTTGCAAAAGGAACCACGGAATTTTCTTCCTGATTCTGCATCACAAAATGCCAAAGCCTACATGATTCTCTATGGCTTTGGTCAGTTTCTCTTCCAAGACCGCCCGCTGTCTGTACACCGGCAACAGCAGGCGGCCGTAACAGGTACTACTACTCGGCAGCCTCCCATCCACATCACCGTCGCCATTTTTCTGGATCACAAACGTCACACTGCCCAGACCATTGACGGGAACACGATCACTTGCGGTCACAAACTCGAGCAGATGTTTGTGCTGTTCGGGTGACATGTTGCGGACAATGGCCCAAAACCAGTGCATGTATTCCGAGTCCCGTTCAAAGTCGTCATAAGTCGCTGTGCGCTCCAGCTCGTTGATATCGATTTTCGAATGCCCTTCGATCACCAGCTTGAGTGCTTCAGGAGTGAAGATGCTCAAAGCATTGCGGTCCAGACATGTGTAAAACCCTCGGGCAAAGGCAGTAAACTGGGGAGCAACGGATTTGTGAACGAGCCAGTATATGTAATCGAGAACGTACTGTTCGCGATTTGCGTTCGTCACAAGTGGCGCCTCATCATCTTGTGGAGATGTCGGCATGTCTGACTCTTCGAGACTGTTAGGAGTGCCACAGCCTTTGAGGTTCAGTGAAGCAGCCCGGGAAACATGAGCCAGCCCAGTGTCAAGAGTGCATTGGTGAGGAGGAGACAGATGAGGCGTGGGTCCGAATCGGTTTGTAGGAGGTGGAAGTTCAAAAGAAGTAGATTTAGTTCGCTTCTTGAGGGCGCTGGTGCCATTTACACCATGCAACTGCGGCCAAGGATCCTCACGCCCAACACGCGATAAATCGATAGTGACAGCGCTTCCATATACCTCGTAGCTGAATTCGTATGTCCGCGCAATCACATCACCTACATCCCCATCTGACCATTCTAGTAGCGTCCTCAAACCTTTGGTCAATTCTGGCCAGCCGTCAGAGATATGATCAAGACTTTTGGCCTTGAGATTGAGCAGTTTGCGATAGAATGCCAGAGGAAAGGTGACAGGGATTGTGATACCGTTGTAGACAGCCACGGACATGAGAACGCCCAAGGCTTCGAAGCTGTAGAGCGGTTCCAGGGAGCCAGGCTGAAACCATGCCATCCTAGTGGTATCGTCGATGGTGAACATGCCCAAGTTTTTGTCTAAAGCTTCCGCAAACACCACGCGAAAGAACTCTTGTTGCACACCGCCATGATCTAAGCCGTCTTCCCCTTCATTTTGGCCTAGCCGGACGCGTAGGGGTCTCAATAACTCCATGCGTTCCCTGTGCCAAATTTGATCGATTGCATCTTTCAAGATGTCGTCCCGCCGAATCGTGAGGACGAAATATTTTGCCATGTGGGGGCGTAGATGCGAAAGAATCTCTTTTCCGCCGTACAACGGGATGGATGAGGCCGACATGAAATGCCTAGTTTCAGTATAAACGAGGGTAGCCTGCTCATGTGATTTGCGCATGATTTCAACGTTGATGGCTCGGAAATATTTGACCAGTGTCGCCGGCTCGAAGAGGAAAGAGAAGGACAGCAAGTGTGTCTGCCGAGTGTCGGGTCGAAACGCCAACCAGTCATTTGGCATAGCAATATCGTCAAAACTGTCGGCAATGAAAGGCATTGTGAAGACTTGTTCGTCCAAGTTCAACGACAATCGAGCCCTGTAGATACCGGCCAAGAGTTCCAGGGCGCCGCTGACTGAGCCAGCACGCTGAATGACGGGTTTCCGATCCCAGATTCTCAGCATAACCGTTCTAACCATCTCAACAATGGCGGTTCCCATCCAGCTAAGCGAGTCGCCATAGTCACTCTCATCATCTGTCAGAGCAACTCTGTCTAGGCGTGCAACTAGAAGATCGACAATTGTTGTCTTTCTCTCTTTTGGCAAATTCGCGCCCTTGACGGCGGCGGCCCACTTGGACACTGTGAGTCGATGACTGATGACATCCATGACTGCCTTGAGTAAGCGCAGAATATTCCAATCATCAAATGTATCGATAGATCTGATCATGAGACCGGCAAACCGTAAGACATCTGTGCTATAACTTTCGGGACCTCTGTTCGCCAGCTTGGGCCAGTGCGAATGAGCACGATCTTTATTGCGGAGAATTCTGAGCTGAGTAAAGGTGAACTTGTGAGCCCAGTAGTTGTCAGCTGTTATCAACGAGGCGATTGTCATCAACCCCACTAAACACAACTCGCAGACCTGAATATCTTTCAGTGCGGGCCGTGGATTCTCAATATCTTGCGACAAAATGTTGTGCAAGATGTCCAAGCTCGCAGATTTCGTCGCATTATCAAGGTTGAAACGCTTTGCTGGTTTGGGCGACCGATCACCGCCGGTACTGCAAGCAGGACTACTCAAGCGGGTGCTTTTTTGTAGCCAAGTGGGAAGAGCATACGAATACTGCAGTGCAGTAAATATGCTGTTGATGACCAAATCCCGCTGTTCTAGTTGGTCCAGATGAGCAAGAGACTTTACCAGCGACTTGACTTCGGTCCTTGTTGAGGACTTGAATGCCGGCCATGGGGTGGGGAGAGAGCGACGGAGTAGCGACTTAGGGGCATCTTTGCTAGGCGTAGGGTCGATATCCCCTTGGCTCACTTCCTCAACTTGGTTGAGGTCGTCAGGTCGGGTTGATTGCGTGGATCGTCCATAAGTGGCCTGCAAGGTTTTGACAGTCGTGACTAATCTTTCCGGGTCACTCAAACAGTAGATGAGACTCTGCTGAAGAAAAGGAAGAACTTGTCGATCATATGTTCCCTGCGAGCTCGAGGACTTGGTAAATGATTGTAGCCACACAAGGTGGCCGAATTCGAGGTTTCGAAGGGTATACGTCGGTGGACAGGCGGCAGTCATTGTGGGGGCTAACTCGTGCTGCTTGGCTTGAAGTTTGCATGGTTGAGTTTCATCAACATTGGCCTGTTTTAAGTCATGTGTGGGAGCCTTGTCTTCAGCGCCCCCGATTGAGGATTGGGCAGAGGTGTGCTCGTGCGATTGGGGAGGTTGTTGTGTAGCCATCGGTTTAACGCTGGGTAGCCAATTAAGCATTCGTAGAGGTAGCAAGTCAAAAAGTGTCTGAGTGAAGGAGGCAAGATCCTTTGTTTTTGCAGGAGGCGAAATCGTGGCATGATCAAAAGATTGGGCGTGGCGCAGGGTATCAAGAGTCGATGTATCGAGTTCTTTCAGGTCGTCGGCTGGCAGACTCAGGGGATCAGAAGCATGATCCATATTGAGCCGGGTTGCGCCAGTAGACATGTCTGGGTTGCGTAGTCGTCTTCCTGCCTGGACAATGTCCTCCTGGCTGGATCTCCGCATGGGGTGTTCGGTTAAGGGCGAAAGCTTCCGGGTGTCCTTAAGACGATGGGTGTTGGATGAAGGAAATGACTTTGCTGCATGACCGTTCTCAGAGGCATTGCTAGGGAGGCGCGCATGCCTCTCGACATTGCTCCGTCTCTTTTTAGACAATGCAGGATCTTCATACCAGGGCACCACCGGGTCGTTCTGGCACAAGCCACCGCGGGCATCGGCTCCAGACTTTACAAAGTCATCGATCAAATGGCAGGCCAAGGCACGGGCAGACACATCAGTGTACCGTCTCAAGGGACTTGCACAGTTCCTCTTTCTGTAGCTTAGGCATGTCGGGGTGGCGCAATTGACATTCCTGCAGCCATACTGAACTTGGTTTGTGTAACGTCGGATGAGCAAACGTAGCGTTCGATCACGTTGCGCGTGATGGGCTACGTAGTCAAGTTTCGGGTCGGGTAGAGGGATGATATCGGATAAAAAGTGATCTGGGACGTGGAAACCTAGGTCGGCCGATATCTTTGAGGCTCGAGAGAACTTGGAGTCGTGGGGTTCGGGGACGTGGTCATCGTGGGTCCCGGACTTGCTTGTCGGCTGCGCATAATGCATGACAAGGAGTCAAGCAATCAATGGCAAGCATTTGGGGAGAGAGAGGGTGAGATGTGGGATGAGCAGGTTTCCCCCTGGTGAGAAATTAGGTTGACAGAATATACACAGAATTGAAGGCGAAGGAGAGAGTCAATGGGATGGACAGGTATGGATCGCCCTTGCCCGTTTAGTCACATTGGTGACTTCTTGCCGCAGCAGGTCATTACAAGTCACATGCACATCAATCAAGGCAGGCACGACAGTCCAGCCTCACTGCACCTGCTCCTGCCCCATCGAGTCCTTAATTTGTGTTATAGACAAGAATCCAACAATACAGCACACGCACACATATTTCCTATAATCAAATAGCTAGTTGAGATGCGACTTCCATTGTGTAGAGAATCCCTCACAGGGATTGTGCTGGTGAGGCCGTTGGACAACCGGATGCAGTTCCGCAATATCTTCTTTGATACATTATTATACATGAACACTGAATGTGGGACAGACGACAATTCTCTTGAGATGTCACTTGTACAGCGTCAATGTCCACTCCAAGGGTTCTGTGCTGTCAACACAACGGCGGAACGGAGCGTGACCTCACTGCCGGAATTCTACCACCCAATATGTCACCACCACACCTGGGATCGTTGCTGCTCTGAACCCACGTCCGGAAACAAACCGTCTGTACGCCCGCTATGCATGCAAATATTTCATCAACCAAATGGAGTAGAGAAGTGAGCGGCGAATGCTTCAAGATGTGACTGGTGTTCCAGAAGGAAAGCCTCCTAGATGAAATGTGGAATGGTGGCGATCTCCAGTCATGCCGCGACTCGCCCAGCGTCAGGTGAATTGGGAGGGGGAAGCTGTTCTCGATTAGCGACAGATGAACTTGATGGTCGTCTTGTGGGTGGATGCTTACGTCCAACCGCGTACTATCAGCCATAAATCGTTGAATACCAATGCCTACACCTTCAATGACAGCAAGGAAGATGGCACACATGATGGCGCCGTTTCTCGCTGCTTTGTAGCCTCCTCTTGCAGCCAGGGCTCCTCCGGTGAAGAACCCTGCAATAATGGAGTTGTATGGATCCTCCTTCTTTCGAATGCCCTTGACGGCGCAATCAAAAGTACTAAACATGCCGCCCCAGACCCCAAAGTTGCCTCCTGTAACTGGCGCGCGTGCTTTGATAGCAGTGATCATGCCTATCCGCCGTTCGCCGTATGGGGAGTTTCTGTAGCCCTTGATACCGTGCCATAACGTTCCTTTGGCTGTGTTAGAATCTGCCGCAGCTCAGTAGATGGCACTCTTGTCTCTTACCTCCAAGTGCACCCATTGAGAAAGCACCTCCAAAATCCGATAGTGCCACCCATGGACACGGGTCTCTTGAATGATCCATCTTGACTTGGAACGGGAATGAAGGGCAAAGAGGGTGGATAGAATTTCGACAGAGATGCTATAGTCGGTGGTCGGGTGTACCAACCAAAAGCTGGGTCGGTGGGGTGGTGCAAGACTGCTGATTCAGGCGCCGAGGGAAGTTCTGAATATCTTAAGGACGCCTTGGAGAAGTCGGTAGTGGAAGATCTGCCACAAGAGCAACTTGGTTAGATGGCGAGGAAAAGCCAGAGCAATGTATGGTGAGGCTCTCTCGGAATCTTCTTTGATTGACGGCGCCCATCAAAAAATTCAGCCGAATCTGATCACGTGATAGATACGGTAGATCATTCGAACCAGCCCAAGGTAACAACCAATCAGGCATTCCGAGGAATCGCCATCCCCAGACAAGTTTTTGTATTAATCACCTATCAACATTTTAGTGTGGTTGAGCAATGCTAACCAGCTGATCTATATCGTGGTACGCTACTGAAAAATCGTATGAAGGTATTTGGGCATTTTCAACGCTCTTCATAAATCTCGTAACCTCATCCACCTATCTTGGAAAATGAAAACCTGATCCGGAACGCCGTCATCATATCCGCTGGTCCTGGGGCACACCATCAGGAGGTGTTAAGATCAAGGCATCCACCCGTGACTTTTCATTTGACCGTTTCTAGTCCCTACTTGAAAATATCCTGCGCAGCGGGCTCGGCTTGTGGACCTTGACCAAGGCCTTTTCTTTCTTCTCGGCCTTGCGCCGGCTGCTATGCTTAGAGTGTGAGGTGCTCTCCGAGTCCGCAATGCTCGCCATTCCATCATCATCTCGGGCTCTATGCTGATGCCTTTTCTTGTCACTCCGCTTCTTTTCACGACTGTCATCGACATCGCGCCGGGATTGGCGGAGATCTCGCACGCTAGCAGCTGCCAGTGGGGTGATGAACTCGCCTTCGACGCTGGTGGCAACGCTGGCAGTTTCAGCGCCCGGAATTCCCCTTCTCCAGTTGTCGATCCGTTCGAGTTCTTGGACATCCAACATTTCGTCAGCCCCCTCATTTTGCTCATTCCCAGAGGCTGCCTTGATCTTCTTGATAACTTTGTAACCGCCAAACATGACAACGGTGAGCCCAACACCGACGCCAACGGCAACAAGGAATTGGGGCGAGGCGAGGATGGCAAAAACGGCGGGTGCTGCGGTTTTGAACGAGGCTAGAGCGGCGGGAGCCATCTTGGTGGCCAGGTTACTGATTTCAGCTAGAGTTAGTGCTACCGCAGCCATGGCATCGGGGTTCTTCTGCAAATGTGCGACGATTGCTTTGACACTATGCTGAGCACAATTGGCCTCATCTAGGAGGATCTTGCACTTTGTCACAAGGGAAGACATCTCCTGTTTTTGCAATTTTTGTTCGACTTGTGGGGCGAGGCGGAGTGAGTCGGCATGATATTCACCATAGGCTAGATCCATGTCAACATGATCGAGTTCCGAGGTCGAATTGGCACGAGCCAAGGGAGGATATGCTCGGTGAAGCTCGACCGGCATCTCTGTGTTGCGGCGAACTAGTTGAGGACCGGGTGGAGAACTTGGTGCAGCACGTGTGCTTCTTTGCAAATCCTCGTTGAAGTCAGCGAGACCGACATGACGACTAGGTTGCTCGTGAACAATGGAGGGGCTGACACTTCCAGAATGGCTGCGGTGGGATTCGTGATAATCGCTTTGATGGCTTCGTCTTCTTAATTCTGGTGGGCGACGGGTATGTTCTGAGGGGCTTCGATGGTGACGATGATCTTCTCTTCGGTGAGACCTGTGCTTTGTCGGCCGTCGGGAATCTTGTGACCGGGCATCGTCCGCAATGGAAGCTGCCTTGAGTGCCTTTCTCAATTCTCTGTCTTCCCTAGCTCTTCTCTCGGCGACGATCTCAGCCTTTCGTTCGAGGTAGGCCATCTTGGCCTCTTTGAAGACATTCTTCAATTGCTTGCTTGTGCCCACCACTTTATTGGATCGATCGACAATTGCAATGGTCTGGTGAATGGCCGCCATGGTGGCACAGACAACGTTCGGCGATGCTTATGTAGATGCTGACGCAGTAGAGGAGAATATAGGAGTCTGGTGATGTGGAATGCTCAGGTTATTCTTGATAAGAGGCAATCTGAAGTTGGGTCTAGGATAGCATGTCTGCGGGAGTTGGGCGGTGAAGCATTAAGGACTTTCAATCAAAGTCAACAATGAACATTGATGGGGCTGGTGCGCAGGCACAAAGAGAAGCAGGCCTGCGGTTCTTTTTCCCACACAAGGCAAATTCAACGTAGGAGTCGGGCGGCAAGATAAAGAAGGAAGATGGGACGAATAAAACGTTCGGATTGGAGAAATCAAATGCTGGCATGAGTTGTCGCAGGCTGATTGCTTGAGGCTTGGGATCGAGGTGTCATTGGGAGAGGAAAATGGAGACACTGTAGTGGTCGCTTCGAGTTGTTCTGGCACGTTTTGGTTTGGGCACAAGGTGACGAGGCGACTGAGAGGAGACAGCTGAGTTGTAGATACGAGTGTTCTAAGGTTCGTAGGCTAGGCGGTGGCAGGGCGAATCCGCATAGGCGTGGGTCGACCATGACGATCGAGGTATAGACCCTGAGCCATTCCACGGCATGACGCGCGTTGCTTCACTTGACAGAGTGACAAAACCATCCATTTGAGCCTGGGCTTTGTGATCGTCAGGCGATAGCCTGGGGGTTGGTCCAGGCGTCGCAGGCTCGCCCCGGCCCCCGGAACCCCTCGTGTCCCTTTGGCGGTTGGATCAGCCCAGCGGCAATACCAGCAGCCACTGAGCGACAGTGTTTCCAGAGCAGGATTTGCTCAGCCACACAGCCACACACCACTTCGCCACAAGTGGCTTGACTAGCCCCACTATCTCGGTTAGAATTGCTTCCGTCCAGGCATTTCGTTGGCCGTGCTACTCCTCCATAGGAACATCCATTCTTGTACATATCGACAGAACTACTTATGTACATGTATATTATAAGTTTGTACCTCCTTATATCAGGTAAGCCAGATATGTTGGTACAAAAGAGACAGGGCGCTTGGGAACGCCAATATACTGATGTCACTGTCAGTGACTTTGTTTCATTAGTATTCCTCTATCATTGAACAATGCCACGGAGACAAGATGGAAGTACAAAAGCTAGTTCTCTCCATTGGGAGGGCTAGATCATGATTCGACACCTGGTCCTGCTGTGTCTTTTATCATCAATTGGAAACCTCGTGACAACGACAAAACATACAGCACATCTCTTCATCCGTCAGAACACTTTGATTCAGCTTGTTGCAATCCAATCGCTTGCAAATCGAGATGCATCTGCTCCCGGTAGGATTGGCCCGACATTCATTTGCCTCCGCACCCAGTGTCGTTGATACCACCTGGGTGCGGGTACTCGTCATCACTTTAGTGGTCTCTGGAGGCTTTGACGACATCGACATCGTTATTGTAACTACTATCGGTCAGTTCAAGACAAGACATGTCCAAGCAAGCCGAGATAATGAATGAAAGATCAGAAACAAGATCCGCAATGTTTCCACACTCAGAGTTTCCATCAGAATCCGCGTCCAAGGTGCCGATTTCAACACAGCCCAACAACCACCCAGACTTAACTGTCCTGTGTTCGTGGTCCTCTCAAGTTACCAACTCCAATTGCCGTGGTTATGAAGGTCTGCGTGGACGAAACAATCTCTATCGCTGTCACTAATCGGACTATGTTAGTATTGCGACAGCAGAACCTCACCAAGACACACGCACACACCCACCTAGTCCAAAACCCATACACCTGATCGCCTTCATCTCCACTCAAACTCAACGACACAAGGGCGTATACGGAGAAATTCAAGCGATAGGAATAGAGAAGCCAGGGATCCAAATAAGAGATATGTACATACCATGATTGTCTGGGTTTGAAGCTGTTGTGGTCAGCGTCGAGCTCAATGTGGTACTGGAGACCACGGTGCTAATTGCTGTTGCGGTATTCGTCATGGTTTCTCGCGTCGTTACAACAACGGTCTGAGGTGGAGTATAGGTCGCCGTTGATAGGGACACAGTGGTCAACCATGATGTCGCCAGAGAGGTGGCGGTGGTGGTCTCAACTTGAGTTGTGATCAAGGTGCTTGGTTCAACTTGCGATTCCAACACTGAGCTGGTGACAGTGACTGTGGACACGCTTGGCCCGGACACCGATGCAAGACTTGTTTCAGCCGTGGAAGGTCGTTTCTAGAACTCAATGAGTCTTAAGTTCGAATCCATCGCATGACTGAACAGATATGATCATGGACCCCTCACCAATGCTTGCACCACAATCACCCCTACTAGGATGATGATGATGATCCAGCTCACGATGGAACCGATCTTGTAAAAAACTTCATACTTTGTCTTTTTGGCAGGTCTCTCAGGAAGCCAGACAGTATTGGTTTCGGGGTCAACCACATTCAGTGGATACATGGGTCTCGTCGAAGGGATTCGTTCTGCCATCTTGTTCAACGGTGTCTGATATCGCGGCGGATGGTCACGGTAATCATAATGTGTCGACATATGGAATCCACGAAAAGTCTCTGAGCTATTAGGATTCAAGAACAATGTTAGCTTCTTTTTGAGACGCACGCTTTTAAACCCAAAAAACTTCTGGCAAATCAATCAGGGATTATATCAAGATGTGCATTAGTCAGGATAGCCAAACGCACTCACTGACACTCAATATCCGCGCACGCATTTCCGTATCTTGGTCGCAAACAAATCAAGTACTCTGACACATAGAGTACTCACTAAGACACCTCACTGCGTTGTGAAGATAGCAGACAAGGGCGACCCTGTATGTCTCCATTGGCCTTAAGCGCCGAGAAGTCAACTTATCGTATTCTGGTGACATGCTTTACAGGTCTATCATTTCGGATAGCAAATGGCTTTGTTTTCTGGCAAGTGTGGCTATTGTCAGGTATAAAGGTAAGGCCATAAACATCGCGTGATAGATCAAACTGTTAACCACCGGTGACCTGTTCACTAGCTTCTAGGTGCAATCGAGATCTCGAAGATACTTGATAGCTCCCGTCTCAATAGACAACCAGAAGAAGCGAAGGAATCTAGGATTCAGGTGGTTGCATCACAAGGATATCACATTTAGTGAAGAGCTGGAAGGATGAGATCGTAGTGATTGTATCCATTTTATATGGTGACTGCATGCAAGTCGCCATACACTGCCACAATTCCGACATCCCCAGACTAGTCTAACAAGTAGATCACAAGACATACTTGTAGTCTGGATGGTGGTCACCCAGTTTGTCGAGTTGATCCGCGAAGCTAAGATCACTGATATCACCCAGTAGCTTCTGCCTATACTCAGGATCCTCCTTCTTTGTATTCTCGCGATGAAGAACCCACATAACCGCAGCGGTAAGGAATAGGAAAATGACGTTCATCGAAAGCATGAATCTGGCCGCAAACAGGTAGTACGGTGCGTCACGACTAGGGAAGATCCACGTGCTGATGATACCACCAACATTATTGCAAACGCAATTCATGGCAATAGCTGTGGCTCGTCGTGTATGTCCGGCTGTATTATTAGGCATCCATGCAATCAGGCACGGTCCATTCGCATAGATGCCCCCCAGGAGCAGGAAAAGCCCTGCGTACCGTACCGGGACTGATCGGCCGACGTAGAAGATGATGACCCCGGCCAAGGAGAGCAGCAGTGTCAGGATCATGGGAATGCCACGCATCTTGTACTTGTCCGAGAAATAAGCCACGGCGATACTAAGGACGAATGCAACCGCATAAGGGGGGACAGTCATTAACTGTGTACGGATCGGACTGTACCCCATGCCACGGACGATAGATGGCGTGAAAAGAGCCAGGCCGAAGATGACGCATCCAGAGCAAATGGCGCAGAGTAAAACGAGGATGATCTGAGGATCCTTGAAAATAGACAAAACCTTCCTAGTCGTGACCTTTTCGTTCTCGAGAATGTCGACGTCAAGCTTAAGGCGCTCCACGCAGCGAGCAGCTTGTTCCGGTGTGAACAGTTTTACCGAATGAGGACTGTTGGGGAGGAATACATAGACGACGACAGCCCACACGACGGTGAAAAGGCCTTCAAGGAGGAAGATATACTGCCACCCGCGCATTCCCCCAATCCCGTCCATTTTAGCGATCGCTGCGGCGAGGAGGCCTGAAAAGGCACCGCTGAGGGACGCTGCGGACCAGAACAAGGCGATGCGGAGCGACAAGTCTTGACGGCGATAGAAACTGCTGAGATAGAGGATGATGCCTTTGCATGTATGAGTATTTGCTAAGCACAGAGACTGGCAGCGATGCTCACCTGGAAATAGGCCACCTTCCATCAATCCGAGGAAGAACCGACAAGCGAGAAGGCCGCTGTAGTTGTGCACTTGGCTCTGGAGTGTCGTCACGATGCCCCAGGCAAAGCAAAGGAAGGGAATGTAGCGTCTTGGTCCAACCCTTTTGATTATCAAGTTCGATGGGACTTCGGAAGCAATATAGGGAACATAAGTCACAGTGATGGCTAATTCAAAAGTTAGCCATAAATGTACTCTGTGGTGATCATAAACATCGTCTCACCGGTCTGGTACTGGTGATCCGAGATGCCCAGGTCAGTTTGAAGGCCCGCCTAATGTGTACGATGGTCAGTTACGCTGGACAGGCCATCAAGAGATTTCAGAGGAAGACACTCACGACGCGTGCATTTCCAATGTTTGCTCTGTCCAAAAATGCCAGGAGACTGTTGAGAAATGAGTAAGAATCTAGCACAAGACTTCATCCTTCAAATAAACAGGCACTTACTAGACCATGGTCAGAAGTGGAATGATGAGCAGATCGAGCTTGAGAATCAGGCTCCTATCGAATGCTTTGGACTCTGCATCCGAGTACTCTGGCGAGGTTCCACTTGCCCCCTTTGTTCCATATTCTTGTTCTTCGACGTTGAGGTCCACGCCTTCTTTTTCGACTGTTTTGTCCGGAGAGGACATCCTGACAGGTGCGAAGATGATGCAATATGATTGCGGCTCTGTTTTAGTTGGGTGTTTAGAGGAGTTGTGCGATTTCAAATCCCGGGGTTCTCAGACAGAAACTAATATATAGACAGAATGCTGCGACATGGCTTTCTAGTAAGATCTGTATGCTGTGGTCAAGGAAGACGTTACAAGTCGTCAATTAAGCTGGCCAAGGCGCGTCTCCACAATATTCCGCATAAGATTCACTTGATACCCCAGATTACATGGAGTCCCCACGACCTGTTGTACACATTATTAGGTAGGGAGAAGATCTCAAAAGTTGCTACGAAATTTTGTCTGACGGCTGTCTGCGTTTTGCCCCGGACTTTCCTTGGCCAGAACAGAGTCATTGCCGACCTCACAATAATCACTCGACCTTGTGTTTGTTTAGACTTTAGTAGTGCGAGTAAAAGTGGGCTCTATTCAGGAAGCGAGACGAAGAAACCTCTCAAAGACCGCATAGGTGCCGAGCACGTGACCGGAATCTCTATCGGACACGGCACCCTACCAAAGCAGGGCTTGCATCTTCATCCCCACTGACCGACAATCATCCAAAATGGTCAAATGGACTCGCATCATTTCGCGAGACGCGAGCCGCGAGCCGTTGGGTTTTTCTCCAACACAGAAGTCAAGCTGTCCATCCGTGTCACTTGCACGAATACTCTTTCGTAGCCGCCATGACCTATCCCACAGAAGATACTCTAAGTTACTGACCGGCACTGGAACCGTGGACCAGTGTGTATTCAACTACATACCCCAATTCTCCCGGCTCGCGATATCGTAAGGGATTTTAAATGAAGAAAATCTACACAGATGGCTGCATACTGTCTTCTATGCGATGCTGTCACGTGATAAGGCTCTTGCCCCTATTGCACCCAAGTTGAGACCGGGCTCAAGCGACTTATGTTGAACAACTTTCATCTCCACCCAGATAGTGCGTGCCATTTCCTGGATCAGTAGAGAGACATAGTTTACTTTTGTCCTGCCAATGCTTTGCTTGTTGACATGTCTTCTAGATTTTTGCAAGGCACAAGCCACGTTGCCACCCGCAGTGTCGGTGTCTCTGAAACCGCACTTGATCAAGGCAAATCCCGAAATGCTTTATTCAGATCGGACAATGAAGAGTCCCGCAGATTTTCCATACTGTCCGCGGACAATACTAGGAATGTGGCAAAGGATAATGGAGAATTGCCCCTAGAGGCTGACAAACCGCGGAAAGAGTGAGTCTCCCTCATGGCTGGTGGAGTAAGAACTCATGCAGGGCCTGGCCACTGCACCTAGACGAACATCATAATTATCGCCACATGAAGGCATTGTTCCTCTTTCACAGTCTCGTGGGGCCACTTCCGGTGCATAGGTCTCGGTACCTGCCATTGTGGTTATGTGGTAAGACGATATTATTTCAGACGCGCCTGAACTTCATCAACATGAGGGGTGGATCATTTCTAGCGAGACAGTCCTCGAGAGGTAATTGATGTCTGCCTCCTCGCCATACATAGGAAGCGGCAATTATCTAAGGTCTGTAGGGTACGTTCAAAGTCAGTCCGTGGGACATCTCGTCACTCTAGAAGCTTTATCTTGGGCTTCGACTCATCTCAGAATTCTATCAATCTCCAATCGGTCCTGTTTACAAAATTTTGCAGGGTTAGATGGTCTCTGGCTAAAACTTAGCCCATTCGGGATGACAGCTGATGTTGACAGTCCTCTTCTATTCACTTTCACGCAAAAGTGTTTGTTCGCGCCTTCATGTAGCCGTCATCTTCATTTCCTCGCAGCATACTTGAAATGTTCATAGTGGCGTCTTGCAAATATATTTATATCACATTGTCCGGAGTCGTTCACAGACGGGCTGCGGCGACCTCTTGAAGACCGTATGTTTCTGCGACCTTCTTATAACCAAGTTGTCCTACCAGATATGCAGTCGACTGGGTATGATTACTGCGAAGGGTTAGTCCACCAACTGATTTATGTACTTGTCACGAAGGGAAACTTACTTTGTGATAACCGGACAAATACTCAGATCGACAACTCGAAGCCCTTTTACCCCTCGAACATTCATGTCCGTGTCTACACAACTGCTAGGGTCATCGTCACGGCCCATTTTGACAGTTCCAACGCCATGTAGGACTGACATAATGTTGGTCTTGACCCATTTTAAGATCTCCTCATCTGACTCCACGCCGGGCACGTTCACGGCTTGAACGATGTACTTCGATAAGTGGGATGATTTGATGAAATCAATAACTTCCCGAATTGAGTCGACACAAGTTTTGCGGTCATAAGGATGTGCCAAGAAATTGACATCAATGACGGGCATATCGCTAGGATCCTTTGACTTGATCGTCACTGAACCACGGGATTGAGGGTTCATCAGCATGACTGCAACTCCAAGGGCTTCGTCTCCGTTCTTCTTATCCCACGTTGAAGGCAATGCTCCTGCGAGGAACACCTCGAATTGTGGCGTGTCCTCTTGTGCAATCCAATTCTTAGTTTGTGGATCTAATTTGTCGAGCTCCTCCGTAGAGTATTTTTGAGGATCGAGTTTTAGAAAACCTATCAGGTTCCCCAGATGACGAGTGCCATCAGGACCTTTGAAGTCTTTGTTCCATTGTTCTCGTGCTGCAGCGACAAGCTTGGGGTTGAATTCAAATGCTGTCCTGTCTGACAGCTCCGATGTGGTGCCCCAACGAAGGACAACATAGGAGTGGTCGATCAGTTCCTTGCCTACATTTGGTAGATCTTGCCGGCAAGGAATTCCCAAAGCTTGTAAGTCCTGGACGGGGCCGATGCCGCTGAGGAGTAGTAGCTTTGGCGTGTCAACTGTTCCTAGTGATAAGATTGTTTCCTTATTTGCACGGATCTCCCGGCCATCCGAGAGAACCACTCCAATGGCTTGACAGGAGCCTCTTGCCAGTGTCTCATCGAAAAGTACGCGATGAACTGTGGTGTTTGTCCATATGTCGAGATTACTTGGAGCACGAGCGAGGAATGCCGAGGAACTCGTCGTCCTCCTCCCGCGATACGTTGTTGTTGTGACCGAGCCAACACCAACTAGATGACCACTGTTCTGGTCACGATTGATTGGCCATCCATAATCTCGTGCAGCCTTCATCAAGATATCGGTGCCCTTAGGCCACTGCTTCCTCGAGAACAATTCCAGGTCAAGAGGCCCATCAAAAGAGTGGGCGCCGTCTTTCAGCTTCACCCATTGCTCTTCATCTCCATCGTCTTCGAAATGAAGTGCTTCGATCTCTTTGTACCGTTCCAGGACATTTTCCCAGCTATAAGCATCATCGCCAACCATATGAGCCCATGTGTTGTAGTCGGATGCGGCGCCACGAATATAGCCAAGGAAATTGGCAAGACTAGACCCTCCCAGTCCCTTGCCTCGAAGATAGCCCAAGACTCTCCCATCGAGATGCTTCTGGGGCACTGTTGAGTAATCAAATGATATTTCAGGGTGAAGATAAACATTAGTGAATCTGTCGCATGGCCTATAGAGATCATCATCTTGATTATCGCCGCCAGCTTCTATCAAGAGGACCCTTGGGCGGCTTTTTGAGTTCGCGATTCTACCAGCAATCACAGCACCCGAGTTTCCTTAGAGCCCGTCAGTCTCGTTCATCTTTGGCGTCTCGGAAACTTACCAGCGCCGACGATGATGAAGTCGTAAGTCTCCGCCATGATGTTCCGAGTTGCGCTCTGTTCGTTTGGAGACGACTTGAAATGTCGATACCTTCTTCCGCCTCTTGACCTTATAAGCTCTTCAGAGATCTTCAGGCACAGTCTGAGGGTTGTTCTCCCGACATATCAGGTGATCGTCCAGTGCCACATCGCCGTCATATACAAGGCAATACCAGTCTGTTTGTTTTTAAAGAAGCAACGGAAAATCAGCTTATCAATTTGGTGTGCCGGGACAGCGAGCGGACACGAATCTCAAGGTTCGTGCTGTACGAAGCCACTCTGGAATTTCGGCAGGTAACTTTCTGGTGGGTGGATTCAGAAACCCACTGTAAATTGTGCCTCGGATAATTTACACTGCGGGTGGTGTCGGTCCATATGGTAGAGGCAAGTGACCCACATGGAGGACCTTCTCAGACTCCGTCCCACTTGACCAGGCGACTGAATATTCGCAAACAAATTCCGTTCACGTGCTTGGAAACGAGTACTCTATGCACGAATCCCGTTATCTTTTCTTCCTCAATGGGCGCTCATACGGACTGTATCGACGTAGAAGCAATGCGGGACCGCAACACTTGGCCGAGCACCTACTAGCAGGTCAAGACCGGCGCCTCGCAGGACGATCCTAGTGATTTCCCGGAGTACTCAGGGAGCCCTTATATTATTACCATGACTCTCCAGCTTCTCAGCCAGTTTGGACTAGACACGAAGACTGCCCGATTTTCTCTGCCATTGACTGACACATACAATCGTCATGGGGTCTACCGAAGTGCCCGCGCCCAAGAAATCACCTCTCAGATATGAGGCCATCACTCGTTTTCCTCTCTCCTCGGATAACCCAGCCCATCTCTTCGACGTCCATAATCCAGCCACGGGGGAAGTGATCACAACAGTGCAAGGTTGTGGGGAAGAAGAAGTACAAAAGGCGGTCGCAATTGCTAAAAAGGCATTCCAGGAGGATTGGCGCTGGAGGTCAGCTCGAGAGCGCTCGCAGTTACTTCTTCGGGCAGCGGATCGCCTAGAAGAACATGCCGATGAGCTAGCGCGTCTGCTGTCGCTAGAGAATGGCAAACCAGTATCTCAAGCACGACAAGCCGACGTGACCTTCGTCATAGGTGTCTACCGCTTCTTCGCCTCTCTCGTGGACAAAATCCCCAATGAGATGTATGACCAGCACAGCATCTATGCTTCTATTGTTCATGAGCCATACGGTGTATGTGTAGGCATTCTGCCGTTCAACTGGCCGCCGATTCATGTGGGAGGGAAGACCGCACCGGCGCTAGCAGCAGGAAACACCATCATCATCAAACCAGGCGAGCAGGCGCCATTGACAGTTATGCGAATCATCGAAATCATTTCGAGTGTTTTGCCTCCTGGTGTTATCCAAGGTATTCCCGCCGCCGGTACAGCAGTTCCAGCTGCCCTTGCAGGGCATCCAGATGTCCGGAAAATCTCCTTCACTGGCTCAACCCGAGGCGGGGCAGCTGTGAGCAAAATTGCCGCTGACAACATCACCCATATGTCTCTTGAATTAGGTGGGAAAAACTCTTTCATCATCTTCGATGATGCTGATATCGATTCTGCCGTCCGAAGTGCCGTCGACGGCGGTTACTTTAACCAAGGAGAGGCATGTACCGCAGCTTCAAGGATCCTTGTGCAGCGAGGCGTCGCCGAGTCAGTTATCTCAAAGATGGCGGGTGCAGTAAGGCGACTTAAGGTTGGAAATGGAGCAAACCAAGAAACTCATGTTGGACCGCTGATAACGAAGGAGCACCAACAGAAGGTACTGAAATACATTGAACTAGGGGTTTCCGAAGGAGCAAAGATTGAGGCACAGGCGCCACTACCCACCGATCCGGCTTTGCAACAAGGGTTTTTCGTGCAACCCACATTATTCACTAATGTGACACGCGACATGAGAATTGCAAAAGAAGAAATGTTTGGTCCGATTGTGACTGTCAATGTTTTCGAGACATACGACGAAGCCATCTCAATTGCCAATGACACAGATTACGGCCTTGTGACTGCCGTCTTCTCTCGAGACACGACAAAGGCTTTGCAAGCGGCACGTGAGATCGATGTTGGAATGGCTTTCATCAACAACTATAGCCGCATGGCGTTGGGAACTCCATTCGGTGGAGCTAAGCATAGTGGTTACGGACGTGAACATTGCATAGAGACATTGCGAGAGTACAGTCGACCCAAGAGCATGCGGATTCCAACTGGTCGAGCCACCATTCCACAGTGGGCCAAGGTTGCAGAGCTGTTTGATGCTCCTCCTACCAACGGCGCATCCAATGGACATCTTTGACAGGTGCCTAATATAACCGTGGGTGGAGGATCGCTAAATCGGACATAGAAATGGGTTTGGCGCTATGCAGGCAGCAAGTATCGTTTCAGTCAATTTTATCATATCGGACTCGACAACGAGACTAGCATTGTTTGATTCCCATCGAGCAGTTGATGTAGAAAATTGAGTATCTAGTAGTCCCATACTCTACATAACTGGGTTGTCTTTGGCATGCATGTGGGTGCTTTCGCCCTTTCTGATCATGGATTCAAACTGTGACGGGTCCAAACTTGCTTGAATCTGCATCAAGTGCAGAAAGTCATGCAAAATATCTATGCTGTAATCATTGCTGGCGACGAAATCGTGAGCAGGTTGGATGTCAGACGAGGCCGAAGACCCGTAGTCGTACATAACCTTGAGTCCTCGTGCGGTGCTCAAATTCCCGCATAGTGAGAGCACATATGAAGCCTTATTAGACACTTCAGACAAGACATGTAGTGCATTGAACACGACTGACAACATGGTTTGAGCAACGAGCGGTAGAATTTCGGCCGCTCCAAGCATAGAGAATATGGCGTTGCAAGTGCGCAGCAGGACCTCCGCCATCAAGTCTGGGGCAGGGTCGAGAAGCAGTTTGCTCTTGCTTGTTGAGCCACCATTCGAGTACCTATCGTTGTTGATCACGAGGCTGAGCGTGTTGGTGATTGCTTGACAGGCATATAATCGAGACAAACAAGGTTCTTTCAGCTCTTCAGGGGAGGAGTCCAAAGATTCCACAATATCGGCAAGAATCAAAGTGCCAAGGTTGTAGTGAGCTATCAGCAGGACTGTGGAAGAGGGGAATGTTAGCCAAGTGAGCATGATTTCAAGGTGAAAAAGAAAACAGCCTACGGTAATTCAGCTGTGCCTCTTCTTTGAGGAGCGTATAGTCTCTTGCACACATGAAGAGGAGATGATCAAACACCTGGTGAAATCGTCGAGATTCATCCACAACATCCTGAGCATCGTCCTTGACCGACCACACGTTGTGGTAGAAGAGTGAATCACATAGCTGGTTGATGACACTCAAGTACATAGTCTTGCAGGCAGTAGCATGCTGAAGGACCACTTCGGCAACATCACCTGGCAGTGGAGATTGAGAACCTTGAAGAGTTTTAAAGGACTGATCGAATATTACAGTTCTCTGGCGTATAAACTGCCAGACTTTGTGATTGGCGGAACGAGCAGGGAGAATGACTGAAGGAAGTTGCTGGACCAATGTGCGGCTGCAGCTGCTGACCACACACAGCCAGAAGACGACATCGCGATTATGCTGGTGCTCTTCGCTGTATTGTTGAGTGCACCCTTGGAGGACATTACCTTTGTACTGCTCAGGCATTGACTGTGGGAATGATGCCGCACTCACTTGCTGTGACATTCTCCACTTGACCGGTGATCTCAGGGTGTTCAGATGTCCGAAAAGGGCATGATTACAGAGTTGAGCAAATCCGATGTCGTCAGTTTGAGCAGGCACTTCTGCTATAGTGAGTAAGAGCAAGGCCAAGATCGACCTGTAGCTAGGTTTCGTCAACGCAGGCATAACAGCACGCTTAGCCCGGCGCCAGACGTAATTGCGGATGTCTTGTTCATTCTGCTGGTTTTCCTTGATATTCGACGATACCGAAGTGCCATGCCCTGAGCGGGTGTGCAGCCATCGGATTGAGTAAGCGTAGATTGCATATCTCAGTGCATCGTCCAGCAGTAGATTGCTTTCTGCATTGTTATGTTTATCACGCTCCTGATGATGCGGTGCCTGGTACCGGTAGGGCAGCGAATTGGGCTCATGGGCATTCTCATAGGCATCCATTTCTATTACTAATCTAGAAATCGCTGCCCGAGGCTTCTGTAAAAGAGGTCATTGAGTGGATTTTCTGGGTGTGTGAAACGTAGCGGACTCACAGGTGTCATCTCGAGGTACGGGCAGCAGCTATCACCCAACCAGATAGCATAACGCATTTCAAAGATATAGAAGTATATGCTCCATAGCATGTCGTTCAACATGTTTGCTTGGAGGCGATGACAAGCCGAGCCTTCTATGCCGGACGAAATCGGCGTCAACGGCATGAAGTCGTCAAAGTCGGGCGGCGTCATGGTCTCCAGGAGCTGCGACGTCGTGTCTCTTTCGTCAGGATAGTGCCCATTTGATGGGGTTCTGGTTCGGAAATCAGATTGGGCTCGAATCTGTACCTGCTTGTCAATTATTAGTTATAGACCAGTGCGGCTGAGGTACACTCACAACACTTTGTCTGTTGCGTGGATCTGAAGCGATCGACTCAGATTGAGATGCGACATCACACAGTCGTCCTCGTCGAATACAGTTGCTACAGCGAGATGGCCTCTGTAACGCTGCATCACATCCAATTCTTGCAAGTCGACAAGGGTTGCAACTCGTTCTTGGACGACGTGTTGCCATGATGGTGACTGACCAGGAATGGTATGCTGTTCGATTGTTTCTCGTCTGATTATCTGTCACCATATGCAAGTCATCGTACAGCACTTTGGGAGACTGAGATAGTGACTACCCCGCGTGTTGCCGTCGTCGTCAAGGTCAAGGATCAGCGATCGTGCCCCGGAGTGGAAACAGCAATTTACGGAGTAGTTGTTGAGGGATATGGGGTCCGGGAGATGCCAGTGGGCGGGTAGAATTATCCGTGCACGTGGACGCTATCTCTGAAAGTCTAAGGGTTTGGGAGAGGGGAGCGTGGGCCCGAGGCGGCCGAGGGGCTCGGGTGACTCTACGCCCAAGAACCAAAGAACCGAGGACAAAGGGAACATTTGTACCCTTGGGGCCCCCTCGGCCCCAAGGCCCCACAAGCTCCAGTTGGGGGGATTGCTAGCTATTACGGAGTAATTGCCCAAAGTTCCCTGCATAACCAATCCTTGGGTTGCGCTTGCTGGGCGGTGCGCCGCTAAACCCGGATGCCTTCATCCTGGTGGGCGCTTCTGTGCTCTCCAATGTAGTGAGTCATAGCTTCTGGCCCAGTCATGAAATTTGTAGAAGAGGAACCCACACCTGCGACTTGACTAGTCGCGTGGGTTGAATAGCATGGTGATGTCCTTCTGCCTCCAGAACCATCCTGCTGTCAGTGTCCATGTATCAGATGGGGACGCCCATTCCAAGTCGAATCTCCTCAACACTTCTGGAACGAATTTGCAGATCTCGAGCAAAGCTATGTTTTTGCCAATACAACCGCGAGACCCATGGCCAAACTAATCATACTCAGGCACACGACCACCAGCACGGTAGGATATGGTGTGGACTTACCGTGGTATAAAATCTTTCCATGGTCTTGAGGTGTTCCGGATCAGCATTTATCCACCTCTCTGGTCGGAAAGTATCGACATCATCGCCAAAGACAGCTTTGTTGCGGTTGATCAGAGGTGGTAGGACGCCAACCACTGTACCATGTGGCAAACTGTAGTTGCCGATTCTGGCGCCTTCTTGAGGAACCACTCGCTCCAATGGGAAAGCTATTGACGGATGTAATCGCATAGCCTCTTTAATGACTGCTTGCCTGCAAATTGTTAGTCCTACCGATCAGAGGCGATGACAGTTCATGAGCTGTAAAGGCAGACATACAAGTATCTCAGAGTCTGGCTTTCTTCGTATGTGACGAGCTCAGATAGCTTCCCATCACGCTCTGCTTGGTCGATTTCTTCCCGAAGACGCGCATATACCTGAGGTGTCTTGACCAAGAAATAGAAAATCGCTCGAATGGCGATTGCCGTGGTGTCGCTACCAGCCAATCTGAATAGGGATTAGTCATGAAGCGCGCCTTAACTAAAGGTCCTCACATGTTGTTCGACAGATGATTCATCAAGTCTCGTTTGTGATTTAATCGGTCAGGGTCGTCTTTTCTTCTGAGTTGTTGCAGGAAATCAGTGCGACCTTGTCTCTCTTCGCGGTCGTATTGATCAATCTGTTCAGAAATAGTCTAAAATGCATGTCAACCACAGCCGCACGTCTCACGTCGATCATGCAATTGACTTACGGCAAAAAGAGTGCCGTGAGGATCTGGAGTGTTGGGGAACATCTTCTTCATCAGCAAAACCATGCGTCGATTGCCGAGCAGATATTGATGTAACCACGGCACTTGCCCAATAAAGGCAAAGTATTTGGCACTGAATGTGCGCGTTGACACCATGCCCAGAACATCGCCCTCATTGTCGAGAAATCCCAGACGTTTCTGGAAGGTTATGCTGGCGATTACATCGAAGGCGTACCAGTGGACGTACGTGACGACATCCACCGGTTTCCCTTGCTTTTTTTTCATCAATTCTATGAAAATTCTGGTGCATTCGTCCACATGAGGCTCGTAGTTGCGTAGATTGGTCATCGAATAGACCTGGGTAGTCGCACTGCGCAGAAGTCTGTGCTGTTTGAAATCTCGGACAGTGAACATGTTATCAAGCGGCTTCCCTTCGTAAAACGGAGGAGAGACACTGTAGAAGTCTGACTTGAATGGGGTCAGAGAGTAGATTGAGGCTGACATGACGGCTTACCTTTCTAAACTTGCTTGAAATACCATATATTTGTTGGATGGCGTGGGGATCATTTACGGAGACATGACTTGGACCAACTCTGACTACATCACCAAACTCCTCGTGCAGCTGACGGTACTCCTGGACTCCTTTCCCCTTTGTGACCATGGAGATGCGATAAAAGATAGTAAATTTGGCGAGCCATGGCCCAGGAACCTGTCTGATGCCGGCACGGAACGCCGTGTAGAGTGTCCTTAGAGCGAGAAAGGCGAAAAGGCTGAAGAGGGCGAGCGCAAAGGAGCCTAGGAATGACAACATAATGATTACCACAAATGCCTGCCTGGTTATGAGACCATGGATTCGAGGTCGCGATTCTAGTCTTTGCCCTGTGCAGTGGCCGTCAGATGTATATAACTCGTGCGGACATTGTATCGGTTGAAGAGTTCCTGTTTGGCCTATTGCACCACTTGACAATGGAGCATTAGCCAGAATATCTAGAATTCGCCAAGCATCAAAGTTCTCGTATGACCGGACCACTTTACATGGCACCGAGGGCTAGGCCTCTGAGCAGGAACCAGCGAATGACATTGCATCCATTCCCCAACCCTCATTCGCGATGCCCCCGACTCGCGTATGCCTCCAGCATAGAAGCTTATTCTTGCCGAACACAGACTACGCTCCTTGGCTTGACAAAAGTGCCGCTCACGTGATCGGATTCAATTAGGGAGCCGACTATGTAGCATGACAAGGCGGGCAAACTTCGTACACGGTTGTACACAAACCAAGGCGTGCCACCTGAGCGAACACCTCGTCTTGTGTGTGGCATTGCCGACGTGATAGGTTGACATGGTGTTACTACTGTAATGGGTGGACATGGCGAAGGGTTGCACATCACTGTATCCAGCGTCAAGTATTGTCAAGACTCCCTCGCTCCAGTTGGATCTGGCCGGAGTCTTATCACAATGAGCTGATACATACAGTCCAAATCACGTCCTGTTAAGAGTTGCAAGAGCACAGACAGTCCATGAAGAGCGAAAGATGGTCAAGAACATGTGGTAAGGCCGTACTCCACTTCGACTAGCACAGTAAAGTGGCCTAGCATAGAACCCCTTTCTCCCTCCGACTATCGAGGATTCCACCCACTGTTCTCTATCTATTTCGCTAACCTCATTCTTGCCACCACATTACGCATACCCTTTTCCTGGTCTTCATTTTCACCCATCATTGCCACTCGCGGGTATCTCGTGCTGTCCAGGTGCGAGAGCTTCCTTCAAAGCCGCCCCGCCCGTCTCAATAGGCTGGCAGTCCAACAAAACGAACATCATTCGTGCCCACTGGGTCTTACTAGGATTTTTCCAGGCATGCATGGTCCCACGTTGGACTGCAATATCACCTCTTTTCATCGCACGCACCTCCCCTGAATCCAGGATCATCTCAACCTCACCCTCCAACACCACCCCATAGTCGAGGCTTTTCGTTCGGTGCATCATGGGATCGTTATCGGGCCCAAAGTCCACCAGCCGGCATACGCTCCCGCCAGACACAGCCAGCCCGGTGCCGCCCTTAACCATTCGACTTTCGTGTGCCTTTATATCAGCCTCGCATGTTAGTTGTGCGGGAAACTCCGACGTAGTGTAGACAAGGTCCAAAGCCACTGTATCATTTCGCATTGATTGCCAATGACCAGGTTCGGAGGAGTAAATGATCGCTTTGCCTGCATCGTTGTGTGTAGTAATGTGTCGATGTACGGTGGGAAGATCCGAGGGTGATGAAGATGATGGCAGAGTCGAAGGCATTGCGAATACTGATGGGTAGAAAACGGTGAGTCAAGAAAGTAATATTTCGTGTTCGTCGATTGTGAGATCCCCGGAGAGAAATACACGGAGCCTTATAACAATAGCTTCTCTTCATCTTAAATTCACAATCCTTGCATGGATGGCTCACAAAGCGCTGGCCATACTACTCCTTTCAGCCAAGGCATTTCCCCGCAGGAAATTGGTCTTGAGAGGCAAGCACATTACTAGGCGGCCTCCGGTGGCTTTATTTCTTGAAGTCACTAATGGTGGAACCTCAACCTCCGCAGTTGGCCCCATCGGAGGAGGATTTTGATTTTCAGCTCACGTGACCTTACGCAGGTGGACTATCGAGGTACAGATCCTCATCTCCCAGGAGTCTTGTCAATCTGTAGAATCGTTGGAATCGTCGCGAAGTATAGACAACGTTTCCAATATCTCCAACTTATTCCCGTTTCTTCGCGATCCTGTGTAATTTCCAAGAGCCGACTCATGGACACCTCGATTTTGCTCAAGGGCGGTGTCGCTGTCATCCATGATGAGAAAGACCAAGCCATCCCTTCACGGCTTGATGTTCTTGTCAGAGGCAATAAGATATACCAGATTTCAGAGGATATTGACCCTTCTCCAGGTACGCAGATAATAGACTGCAAGAACAAAATCATTGCTCCTGGATTTATCGATACCCATCGCCACATGTACACCATTGGTCTCAGGGGAAGACATGGGGACAATTTGCTCGAGGACTACATGGTCGAAGGTGAGACTCAAATCAATTTGATACCGTTCTTGCGGTTCATTTCAGTTAGGTATTCTTCAGGCCTCGAGTTTTGACCCTAGCGAGATATTCTGGGGCCAACTTGCAGGATGCGTGGAAGCAATCAATGCGGGAACAACCACTGTTGTTGATCACAGCCATTTGAACTATTCTCCAGACCACCGTAAGTCATGGCCTTGTCCTCAGTAGACCAACGTTCAAGCTGAAAATTAATATTAAACAGCCAAGGCAGCGCTGTCTGCGACAGTCTCTTCTGGTCTACGATCCATCTATGGCTACTGTTTCAATATTCGCGTCGCTTCTTGGGCTCCGTTCGCCACCTACCCAGAGTTCATTGCTCCTTGGGCGCTTGAAACCCTAAGAGATTTATCCGAGAAGGTTCCATTAGGAAACGGTCGTGTATCCTTGGGTGTTGCATTTGATGCCTGGTTCTTGCCAAAGGAAAGTATTTCAACTCTTTTCGACGACATCAGGCAAATGGGCATCAAATATTTGACAACCCACAATTCTCCAGGACGACCAGGTAAAAGCTATATCGATTTCTCTGTCAGTGTGCCTGCTCTAATGCCCCTTGCCAGGCGTCCCATCGTCAATCTCGAAGATGAAAGATTGCGGGGTTTTGGATTCCGCTATTCTCTCGCACGCAAACATGCTGTCTGAAGCGGACGTTGGTCTTATTAAGCAGCACAATGCTCATGTATCATCAACACCTTCAATAGAGCTACAGATGGGCATGGGAGTTCCAGCTTGCTTCGACCACGACAGAGATCTTCAAGGATCCTCCTCCCTGGGCATCGACTGTCACAACGCTACATTAGCCAGCGTACCAGCCGAAATGAGAGCTGCACTCCAGACCAGCAGAGGCCTGTACAACGAAAAGTTCTTGAAACACGGCAAGAAGCCAGCCCGAGTTTACAAGACGGTCCAAGAGGCATATGCTCTAGGAACAATCGCCGGCGCTCGGGCCATCGGGATGGAGAATCAGGTAGGAAGCCTTGCGGTGGGGAAACTCGCAGACATCATTGTCCTGGATGGCTTATCACCGAACATGATATGTGGTGCCCAGCAAGACCCGGTCACGGCTATTGTAATGCACTCAACCCCGGCAGATGTGGTCATGACTATGATCGATGGCATTGTAAGGAAACAATCGGGCCGATTGGAGCCTATTCACACAATCGACTCAGGCCTCGACTGGTCCCCAGGTACATCGAACTCAACCCTGAAATGGTCAGAGCTGGCTGAGAAAGTCCTGGAAACGAGAAGCACCCTGCAAACAAAGATCGACCGCATCGACTTGGCAGCTGCAAAACCAGCGGTGCTAAAGGCATTCGGTTATAGTCCAGATAGAATTGTGGAGTCAATCTGAAATCTCGCGGAGGAACGGGTGTGACCCCGAGGTTCCAGAATATCTCCAAGTTAGCCAAGGTCATTTGATCAGAATCGACTAAAGATACTATTAAGTTCATCAGAAATGTTTTGAATCGAAGACTACATGTGCCCCTTTCAGACCGCGGTCATTGTGCTAGATTCCACCTGGGAGATCGGTCAAATAATGCCGAGCGTCTGCTTTCCAGCCACGTGAGCGGGATCTGTAGTTAGGAGACCAGCCGAGATGGTATTGGACTAGGCATATGGGTTTCTCATGTAGGATCATACTTAGAAACCTCATTAAGCGATATCATAGGCAACCTAGCCATCAAAATGCATGGCTTGTGAAAGGCTCCTGTCCATGAAATATTGCAATAGAAATTTCGTCACTGACTACGAGAAATTGGTTTGCCGTAGGACACACACAATGCGTGGCAAAATCATTCTCGAAGAGCATGTCTGCCTTCCAGATCAAGACCTGATTCCAGGTTTGAGCCGGGCGTCTCGCAACGGTAGTGATCTTTTTCAGGCATTGGTCGATCTGCATGGCGAGAGGTTGCAAGAGATGAACGCCAACGGCGTCGAGTACGCCATCATTTCGCAAAGCCCAGCCGGGCCTCAAGGCATTCATAACAGGGTCGAAGCAGAAAGGTTCGCAGTCAAGTCGAACAATTACATCGCGGACCTAGTTGGGAAAGCCCCCGAGAGGTTCGGTGCCTTTGCCTGTTTGTCCATGCATGATCCCGAAGTTGCTGCACAGGAGCTTGTCAGGTGTGTTGAGACTTTGGGAATGCTGGGAGCGATGTTACATGGCGGGCAAGAGTTTATTGGAGATGATGGGCAAGTTGACGAATTCTACTACGACGAGCCTAGGTATGAGCCTTTCTGGGACAAGGTTGAGGAATTGGGAGTTCCTATCTACCTACATCCCAAGAATCCACTTCCACGAGACATGAGACTGTTCAAGACCCGACCGTGGCTTCTTGGTCCCACTTACAGCTTTGCGAGAGATGCCAGCTTTCAGGCTTTAGCCTTGTTTACCAGTGGGCTTTTCGATAAACATCCGCGTGTCAAGATTATTTTGGGTCACATGGGTATGTGCATGAGTTTGCTGTCCCCTTTTGCATATGGGAGGTCCAAGTTCCATGGTTGACAGATTTCAGGGGAAATGATTCTCAATCACTTACACCGAATGGACCACTGGCTAGAGAAGAGGAACCGAGGGCGGAACTTACCATCTCAGAAGACGCTCCGCGAATACTTCGAGCAGAACATCTACGTCACCACAGCAGGGGATTTTTCAACACCAGCCTTGATCCACGCAATCACGGAGATAGGGGTTGGAAGGGTGCTTTTCTCAGTGGATACTCCTTATGAAAACATCACGGAAGGGGCGACGTGGCTAGATACTCTACCAATCAGCCATACAGATGTCGCCAAAATTGGACGGATGAATGCCCTGGAGTTGTTTCCCAAACTTAAGGTGGGTGTGCTCAGGACGTCAGAGACAGAAAATCTACAAAAAGATAGGCAGAGGTGTTTATTCACCACAAATGCTGGCTTTGCTTAGGTCAAATGACGATCAAGTTCGGCCCGCTTGACGGCTCGTTTTATTCGGTCTATCATCTTAGATGGATATAGCGTGTCAGTTACACTTGAGACACCCCACCTCACGAGCACCGGCTCTGCCACGGTTCCATCGTATTTGTACTTACTCTAGGCAGTATCTGATCCGCCGAAGAGGATATAAGCAGCCATAGGCAGGAGATCGGTTCCCTTCATCATGGTTGAGAAGCAAGAATCCTGCCCTCGCAAGATCCAAAGCCAACAGCACCTAAGCCATCCCGGCCAGGTAGGTGAGCAGTGAAAATTACGTTGTCCCCATCCTCCAGAAATGTCCGCTTCAAAGTTTGATTGTTGGGACCGAGAAACTCTGCAGAGTCAACGCCATCCCGAGTCACCTCTAACAGACAGCCATACTCTGAAGGCCGAACACCTGAGAGCGTTCCAGTGGCGATGAGATCTCCCGTTCGCATGGGACATCCCCCGGCTGTGTGGTGGGCTAGCATTTGGGCGAAGGAGAAGACAACATTTTTGGCGTTGGCTTGTGCAACAACAAAGGTCTCGGAGTCGGCTTTAAAAGTGTTAGCGTCGACAAGTCGAAACCGTCAGGATCACGCACCTTGGATTTGAACGTCGATGGGAATATCATGAACAGAAGCCTCTTTCTTTTCATCCAAGTATCCTAGTAGAGGTCCCTTCTGGAAGAAATTAGACTTGGTTGATGTCACTTGAGCCAGCATTACATACCTTTGGCAGTGAAGATGCACGGTAAGGCTCGATGGCATCCAGTGAAACGATCCATGGCGACACGCTGGTAGAAAAGTTCTTCCCATTAAACGGGCCAAGTGGCGCCGCCTCTCTCCGTTGGATGTCTCTGGCTGACCAATCATTGAGAAGGACCAGCCCAAATATGTAGTCCTCGGCGTCCTCGACATTGATTCCTTCACCTGACGCATTTCCCTGTCCAATAAAGGCAGCAAACTCTACCTCATAGTCCAGCTTGTTACTCGGTTCGAATACAGACCTGCCGTCCTCTGTCACAAATTGTCCTTTGGGCCTTCGAATCGGCGTGCCGGATATCACAACAGAAGATGCACGGCCATGGTAGCCTAGAGGCTGTTGGAAGAAAGCAGGAGGCAGGCTTTGTCCTGGTCGAAAGATGTTTGTGCACTACAGCCCAGGTATGGGTTAGCTCATGTGTCAGTGCGACCTGCTCTACATCAGACGTACATTTTGTGCATGGTATGGGACCACAAAGAAATCAGTGTAATCACCCACGGCCATGGGGAGGTGCAGATTGATGTTCGCTCGTGGAAGGAATGCAAGATTCCTCAAGGTCTCGTTATCCCGCAGCACATGGCCCAAAGAAGTATTCACATCCAGCAAGTTCTGTAATAACTTGCGAACTTGGCGGTGGATCGGCCTACCCAGTGCTGCATATCGATTGAGATTCTCTTCTTGCAGAGCAGTAACATCGAAATCTATTGCTGAGAAGACGGCATTTTCGGCCAGGACTTTCATATCGAGAGCATAGCTCCCCACGGCAACCCCAATTCGTTGATCCCGCCCTTCACATGAGAATACTCCATACGGAAGGTTTTGAAGGGAGAAGTCAGAGGCCTCGTCGATATGTAACCAAGACATGGCTCTTCGTAGATGTATTCTTCGCGGTCGAGGAAGAAAATACCGAAGTGAGCGGTGGATGTGTTGAGAAGAACCACCTGTGTCCTTTGTCCTTTGCATTCACTATGCAGTATACCGGAGCAATGGAAATGCATCGCTGGTGATCACGGGAATTATCTCATTCCTACAATCTTACCTACCACTCGTGTCACTACATAATGGGTATCCATATGTGGCATCCATAGAGGCTCCACAATTCTCCGGGTACTCAGATCGGAGTTTCGCGACACGTGAGCTGGTTTTGGAACTCCACAATCTTAGAGACCTTATAGGGGTGGATTTGGTGGAGCGAGCGGGGAGGGAAGAAGGTTGTCATGCTATTTCTCCTTGAAGCACTTATGTTACACGCACGCTTATTACAGCTTGCTCAGAAGTTGGCGTTGGACAACAATGCTTCTGCAACGAATGTCGCATGATGGATTGCGAGCCTAAGGGACAACAAATCTAGACGAACAGATAAAACACGTGACGACTATTTATCGTCAAAGTACTCCGCCGTATCCACTAAACCATAAATGAGATGATGCCAAGAGTTTGGCCGGATTGGACCTGGAAACTCGACCATGGGCAGGCTGCGAATAACCACCCTGCGGTCAGCTTGGAATGGAGCAAATGGCCCCTTGAGCAGCATCAGCCGCTGAAACCCGAGTTCTGGCTGTCCTCAGCAAGAGAAGGTCGACTCTTTCCATCGCTACACACTGAACCTATCCCGCGAAACCCAACAAATACCTCCTAAGATGGCGGGTCGATTCGTCCGCTCCTCCAAGTATCGCCACGTGTTTGGCCGCCCGACTCGAAAGGTTGCCTTGTTTCGCTCAGAGGTTAAAAGACACCGCGCTAAGAGATTCAGGAACAATGTTATGACAACGTGAGGATCTCTAAGAATGCCTGGGATACCAATTTGATCAAGGTACACCCCCTCACGGCCACCCTTACAGCGCTCTCCTGATCCTTTATTTCCAGGCGAATCCCGAATATCTCGCGGTCAACTGGGACAGCAGTGGAGGAGGAGCTTTTGCTGTGATTCCCACGCGAGAGAAAGGCCGTCTACCAGAACGGATTCCACTGTTTCGAGGGCACACGGCTGTGGTATTAGACACGGACTGGTAGGCGTATTGGCACGTGAGGATGGAGGGCAATGCTAACATGGGATAGGAATCCGTTCAACGATTCCTTGGTCGCTTCAGGCTCTGATGACGGCAAGGTACATGGTGATTCCGCGACAAATAATCTTGATGCTCACAGTTACAGGTCTTCTTATGGCGAGTTCCCGACGACTTTACCCTCCACCTAGACATTCCTGCCGACGAAATTGAAGATATTGCCCCGGTTGGGAAATTGAGCGGACATCCAAAGTCAGTCATGTTGCCACGGTGATGTACCATAAATTGACAACCCGCAGAAAAGTAGGTCATGTGTTGTTCAACCCTGCAGCCGAGAATGTTCTTGCTTCAGCTGCTGGCGATTTCACCGTCAAATTTTGGGATATTGAGGCTGGATCGTCCAAATCTGCGATCAAGGTCGGCGATGTCATTCAGTCGCTCTCCTGGAGCGCTGATGGAAAGCACCTTGTGACGACTTCTCGAGATAAGAAACTAAGGATTTGGGATCCCCGACAAGAAAGGCCAGCGCACGAAGGGCCTGGACATGCTGGGGCGAAGTCCAGCCGAGCTGTCTGGCTTGGTGAGCACGATCGAATTGCCACCACTGGGTTCTCGCGGATGAGTGATCGCCAATTGGCATTATGGGACTTCCGGGCAGCCGGCGAACCTCTTGGCGGGTTCCAGATGCTGGACTCGATCTCTGGAGTGTGCATGCCCTTCTGGGATGATGGCACAAGCATGCTCTTCCTCGCCGGCAAAGGAGACGGCAACATCCGATATTACGAGTACGAGAACGACGCGTTCGAGTACCTGTCAGAGTACAAGTCTGCCGACGCCCAACGGGGCTTTGCATTTGTCCCGAAACGAGGGGTCAATCTCCACGAAAATGAGATCGCTCGCGGCTATAAGACGGTCAATGACAGCTATATCGAACCAATTTCCTTCATCGTTCCTCGGAGAGCCGAGACGTTCCAGGAAGACATTTATCCGCCGACTGTTGGATTGAAACCTGCAGTTAGTAGCAAGGAATGGTTTGGTGGCGCCGATGGGGTTCCTCCTAAGATCTCCCTAGAAGGTCTATACGATGGCAGCGGGGCCAAAGAAGTTCCAGCGGATCAACTCCCCGTCAAAAAGGCACCCGAGCCTGTCAAGGCACCGGAGCCCAAAAAGGAAATTGTCCAGCCAGCACCAGCCTCAAAGCCTGCTTTGATATCGCCGCCACCTTCGATGAAGGAGCAAGGCGTCGGTATGGCGGCTGCTGCCAGTAAGTTCCAGGACGCCGAGCCAGCAGAGGAAAGTGGCGACGAGTCACCATTTGAGGAAGTGCAGAAGCCGGTCGAGCGTACATGTGCCGCCAAGCCAGCACCTCTTGATGCCAGGCAGGAGCCCCGAGCCTTTTCTCCAGTCAAAGCTTCTACTGTTGAAGTGCCACAGCCAAAGCCATCTTCCCCATCTCAGGTGAGTATCTGTGTCGGACGCAATTAAGCGCAAAGTGCTAACGGATTAAAAGGCGGAAGCAGAACCGACTACCGACAAAGACGTGAATGAGGTCACTGCTCACCCTGAAAGCCAAGACTCGATCGACCGAGAGATCAAGAATCTAAAAGCCCTGGTGGCACAGCAATCCAGACAGCTGAGCACCTTGACCAAGACATTGTCAGAACTCGTTGCCGAGGTCAAGACCCTCAAGTCTGCTTGACATTCGATAGCGTCGTTTTGTCAATATGGGCAAGATAGTACTATGCCGGATGCCGAGTAGCTTATTAAATCTTGCCACATACTGTCCTACTCACATCATGGGAAGCGTTGACGATGTTGTGGCTGTTTACCAAAAATGATGATCTTGGTCGCGGGGCTCGTAGTGAATAGGAGGGCGACGGCGTCGTGGGTGCACAGGGATAGACAGAAAGTCATGATAAGCGAACACTTTCAAAATGTAGATCTTGGTTCTCGGCGTCAAGGATCAACCTCTGATCGAGATGAATCTTTCGCTTTAGGTGCAAGCAAGCAGCGGTTTTGTACTAGCGCAAAGGGACAAGTTCTATCCGAAGAAGGGTAGACCGAGTCAGGGAAGTGAGAGGTTGGTGATTGGCCCAAGTTCCTCTCTACTTCTGGAGATCTTCATCGTTCACACTTCAACGATGCCAGATGGGCTCCAAAGGGGGCCCCGGTCGAAAATTTGATAAATCTAGCAGGATTTTGCGGCAATAGCAGGAAATCCAAGACATCGCATGCGAACCTCTGCTAAAGAAACAAAGTGCTCACGCAGCATGCATCACATATCACGAGATATGATTTGAGGCTCCGACAGAATTTTTGCGAGTAACGAGATCGCGGAGTGGACATGTGGCTGGCTCTTCGTTTGTCCAAGACTCTAGACCAGACAAGATTAAGCCCAGAAGGTGTAAGCTATGCGTAAAGCAAGATAAGGCGGAGTAGATGGAGCCTGTGAAATGCTTCTGATAAAGAGCAGATGCAAAGATTTGGTGATGAAAAAGATAAGAGACTTGCCAAGCCCTGGGCTCCGCTTGGTCCTATCGGTCGGCGCCGGGCCAATCACAGACCGTAAATCGACCCCTACCGTGCAATCCAGGGTCAAGGGTCCTCCCTAAGCGATGCCTCGAGACCAACGTTCATGGCCGGCCCCGACACTGGATCTGGAGGTGAAAACTATGTATGTATGGGTCTGCCGCTCTTGTGACTGGTCGCCGTTGCCCGCGATGGCTTGCCCCGGTTGTTGAATCGAACACACCACGAGGCTTTTGATCGGCATCTACCCCACCAGTCTAGATACCGGAGAGGTTGTTCTGTGGATAGGCGGACCCTGGCAGTGTCCGATGGACATGTCGACTCTGCTGGCCAGCCCTGTAAAGACGACATATAATACCTCTCCATGCCTCCCACCCCTCGAGTTGTATCCATTACCTATCCAACGACGGCATCTAGCTCTCGTAGTTACTCTTCTCTACCAAGCATTAACGTCAAATCTCAATCATGGGCGAAGCAGATCAAATCGGCCCTAACATAGGCCCTAAACAAACTCTGGCCGACCGAGCAAATCGTGTCCGCAAAGCATTCTTCACCAAGGAAGGCCTTATTGGCAACTATGACTATGCTTTCCTCTTCCGACCAAACATCCCCTTTCTCAAAAAGGCTCGACGCGCCAGCCCTTTCTTCGGCCTCCACGATAGTATGCCGGTGTTTCTGGCTCTACTTTTAGGGTTTCAGCACGCTCTCGCCATGTTGGCAGGCGTTATGACCCCTCCCATCATTCTCTCTGGACAAGGCGGTGTCAATCTCGATACCGACTACCAGCAGTATTTGGTGTCCACGTCTTTAATCGTCTGTGGTATCCTTTCGTCCATCCAAATCACCCGTTTCCATATTTGGAAGACTCCGTAAGTGTTACCATCTCGGGCCCTTCAACAATGCGCTGATCCTCCCACAGTTATTTCATCGGCACAGGATTGATTTCCGTGGTTGGAACATCTTTTGCCATTATTCCCGTCGCCACCGGTGCCTTCAATCAGATGTATGCCAATGGGTTTTGCCAACTTGCTGAAGACGGCACTCGTCTCCCCTGCCCAGATGCATATGGCGCCCTCATTGGAACCTGCGCAATCTGTGCGTTGACCGAAGTTGCCATTGCTTTCATGCCACCTAAGCTTCTCAAGAAAATTTTCCCACCCATTGTCACTGGACCAACCGTCATGCTGATCGGAGTCCACCTCATCGAGACTGGATTTATGAATTGGGCTGGTGGAAATGGCCTCTGTGCCGCCAAACCGGATGACGGCTTTTTCCGACTGTGTCCTAACATCGCTGCTCCTCACGCGCTCGTCTGGGGTAGTGCTGAGTTCATCGGGCTTGGATTCCTCGTCTTTGTCACGATTATACTCTGTGAAAGATTTGGTTCTCCAATCATGAAGTCCACCAGTGTCATCCTCGGCCTGCTTACAGGCTGTATCGTTGCTGCCGCCACTGGCTACTTTGACGACTCGGGAATCACCAGTGCTCCTGTGGCTTCCTTCATTTGGGTCAAGACCTTCCATCTGTCACTCTACGGCCCTCTGGTCTTGCCCATCATGACAGTATTTATCATCTGTGCCTGCGAAGCTGTTGGTGATGTCACCGCAACTTGCGATGTCTCCCGTCTTGAAGTTTCGGGTCCTGAGTTTGAGTCTCGCATCCAGGGTGGTGTATTGGCAGATGGCCTTAATGGCATGATCGCTGCCCTCTGTAAGCGCCTTCAAAACACCGATCAGTCTGGCTGTCGCTAACACAACTATCACAGGTACTATTACCCCAATGTCAACATTTGCCCAGAATAACGGTGTGATTGCACTGACTCGCTGCGCAAATCGAAAAGCTGGATACTGCTGTTGCTGTAAGTCGAGGTCCAGGCGACTGAGTCATGAATGACGCTGACCTGATTCCAGTTTTCCTGATTGTCATGGGACTATTTGCCAAATTTTCCGCAGCTCTAGTTGCTATTCCGAGTCCTGTCTTGGGAGGAATGACAACCTTCCTCTTCTGTGCCGTCGCCGTGTCTGGTATGGCCATTGTCAACCGAGTACCATTCAACCGACGCACTCGATTCATCCTAACTGCGTCGCTGGCGATTGGCTACGGTGCCACATTGGTGCCTACCTGGTTCGACGGTGTTTTCACTTATTCGGGTGATAACCACTCCCTGCGAGGGTTTTATGATGCCATCACCCTTGTCATGGAGACTGGTTTTGCGATTACGGCATTCATCTCTATGATCCTCAACCTGATTCTACCCGAGGAGTTTGAAGATACCCCAGAGAATGTCGAAGACGATCGCGCTGCAACTCCCGAGTCCAATGAACCAATCACAAAGTCTGAGGTCGTCCCGCCATCCAAGGAGACCGTATAGATCGAGTGTGGTCGATGATGTGGGTTCGACCAAACAAGCGGTATTACAACTAGGTATAATATGATGATAAACATCTCTGTTAAATCATCACTGTCATCAACGGTACTCCATAGATTTGAAAATTGATCGTCCTATGCTAGTTTCGTTGTCCAAGCTTTGCTCCCTGTGTGGTGATCAACGGGTGACCCTTGAATCACAGCCTCGTACCGATACAAAAATGCCGAGGGTAAATATTGGATCTCTGAGTATGGGAGATGCACTGTATAGGGTCGATCGAGCTAGATCTTGGTGGCCCTCAGCGTCCATCGACGGACTTCCCTTAATAGTAGCGGCGTTCGTGTAAGATAAGCCTCGAGAAAAATGATGACTATAGAGCATGGGCCACGGCATTTCCAGTGACGTGATCGGTGAGCAGTCTTGTCCGCGTTACGAACTTGCCAACGTGATCCCTTCTGACCGAGCACTGTATCATTACGAAAAGAATAGAGTCTTGACCCCTTACTCCAGATGAATGTCAGAGAAAGCTTCGGAAGATCCTGCACACCCCTCCGGAGTTTATCCACATGGTCACGAATTTAACCGGTTGCCACGCTTCTCTTCTCGGCCAATGGAGCCGAAAGCAGGATCGTGAGAGAAGGGTTCCTGAAAGCCCAGCGCCGAAAACGAAACTGTTTCCTCTGATCAGAACAGCCGATTAAATAGTGAGCACGCATTAAGCCTCCTTCACGTCGGTTGGAATCTTAACGCCATGCCTCCAGCCACATTTGCACGGTATCAACTGGACACAACAAAATGGCCGCGAAGGTGGCGCAACATTTTGACTTTGGATTTTAGCCTCTATCCTACCTCTTGGACGTGAAGACCCAGAGTTTACGTTGGTGATCCGGGGTTGAAAGTTTAACAGTGAAGCTCTAGATAATAATCAGGAATGTTCTGAGTGCGTGCAGGCACTACAAAGCACATTGAGTTTCTAGATTGCCTTCAAATCTCCACCTAAACCGTCCAATGACTGGAGTTACGGGTGTGTCGGCGAAGCTGGACCTAGTTAGGCTCATCAATCAGATGAAGTTCTTCTACTTGCTTGACCTCTCTTCTACTTTAAATCCCAAGGCGGATGCATACGCATTGCATAATGCAGACCGATGCTTAGATCCTGCCATGCCAAGCATGGTTAGCGTATGACCTTGTCAGAATCCAAGATCCTCTAAAATGCTTGAATCGAGGTGTTGAAAGCTCCCTATTATCGCTCTGAACCTTTGACTGCTCCCGCTCGTTCGCAACGCTTGACTCCCATCATCGTCCAAAACGGCAAAGAGGGATGTTGAGGGGCTGGTCGTGTCGAGGAGCCCGCACTTCACTGTTCGAGTGTTTGGTGGAGGCGTGTGGTCCACAAAGATCAACTTATTGGCCATACATGTCTCTTGTAATCCACTGATCCTAGTCGCCTTGTATGAACTGAACCTACCAAAGCACCTCCCCACCTCGTGTTTAGCTTTCGAATGGAACCACGGCAAGCATTCCTATGGACTGTCAGCGGCATGCTTCAGCTAATTTGGCTTTCGTTGCACTCCTCCTATTTCGGCATACTCTTATAAATGCCGGGCCACATAGAACCTCATGCCTTATCTGTGGTCAAAGAGGTCTCTACGTGGCGTAGGGTCTTGTACCTCTCCATGTTTAATGCTAGTTCTCCAGATCTCCCCGCCGCAATTCACCCGGACCAGCGTCTCTGGGTAAAAGGCCGTCTCCATCAGGGAAGCCTACAGGATGTTTCTGGGTTTATGGTGGACTTCGCCTGTAGAGTCCGCCTACTATAAAAACTCCTCGTGCTCCTGAGAGATGATTTTGTCAATTCTCTAGCCTCTAGCACCAGCATTTCAATAGCAGAAAGCTATAATCTGTCTCTGTCAGAACGAACGACCTCGGCCATCTGTCAAACATGGTCAAGATCAAGATCCAGAAGACACCAGCCCACACCGCAGAAGCGCAAGTTGCCCAAGCAGAAGCACCAGAGCTCGAGCGTGTCAACTGGCGAAGGGACCCCGGCTTGAGGAAGCTCTATTTTTATGCTGCCATCATTTGTGTGGCATCGGCCACCACTGGTTATGATGGGTGAGATGCATACAGTTCATAGCATACTAACGAGCTGTCCCTAGGCTGACCAGATGATTGTTTAGGTCCATGTTGAACAATATTCGAATCTTACCTCAATGGACAGATTATTTCAATGACCCTCAGGGGTCTAATCTCGGGCTCCTGACGGCTTTGTACAGCATTGGAAGCATTTCAAGTCTGCCATTTGCGTGAGTAACGCCCTGGTCTGTGATGATCATCAGTAGTGACTGACTAATATTAGCCCTTTCATTGCCGACCGATGGGGTCGCAAGGCCGCCATTGTGGTCGGATGCGTCATCATGATCATTGCCGCCGCCATCCAGGGAGCATCTCAGAACTTGGCCATGTTCAAAGGTGGACGGTTTTTGATGGGTTTTGGCAATTCCATGGCCCAGCTGTCGTCACCTCTTCTTCTGACGGAACTTTGCCATCCCCAGCATCGCGGTAAGGTGACAGCCATTTACAATTGCCTTTGGAATCTGGGCGCGATTGTCAACACGTGGCTGTCGTTTGGCACCAAGCGAATCGGATCGGAATGGTCATGGCGGATTCCCACCATTGTCCAGGGACTACCTTCGATCATTCAACTAGCTTTCATCTTTCTCTGCCCCGAGTCTCCCCGTTGGCTGATCTCGAAGGATCGCGCTGACGAAGGGCTGGCGATATTGGCCAAGTATCATGCAAACGGCAACGCCAACCATCCAACCGTCCAATTCGAATACGCCGAGATCCGTGAAACGTTGCGGCTCGAGTTCCAGTACAGGAAATCGTCAAGCTACCTTGACTTCCTCAAGACCAAGGGTAATCGATATCGCACCCTTTTAATTGTGTCGCTCGGTCTTTTCTCCCAGTGGTCTGGCAACGGGCTTGTTTCATACTACGCCACCGACATTTACAAGTCCATTGGCATCACCTCCACCGACACGCAGCTAGGTTTGAACGGTGGGCAGACCATTCTCGCCCTCATCGTCTCAGTCACGTGTGCTTTGCTGTGCGACCGTCTCGGACGACGACCTCTCTTTCTGGCTGCCACAGCTGGTATGTTGATTTGCTTCATCCCCTGGACCATTTGCTCGGCTATATATCAGGAGGACCAGAACAAGGCTGCGGGCCAAGCTGTGGTGGCTTTTATCTGGATTTTCGGGGTCGCCTACGCTCTCGCCTGGTCTGGTCTCTTGGTTGGATACACGGTAGAGATATTGCCCTTCAAGATCCGTGCCAAAGGCTTGATGATCTTGAACTTCTGGATCCAGGTCGCCCTTGTCATCAACCAATATGTCAACCCACTGGGTTTCCAGCATCTTAATCCGAATTGGAAACTGTATACGATATATACTGTGAGTTGATCTGTCAGCACCTTAACATGCATCGAGTCTTTGCTAACCCATTGCCATTAATAGTGCTGGATTGCATTTGAACTCTGCTTCGTCTACTTCCTTTACGTGGAGACACGCGGGCCGACCCTCGAGGAGATTGCCAAAATCTTTGATGGCGAAGACGCTGAGGTTGCACGCATTGACATTGACAAAGTAGGGGAATATTCGATTGAAGAAAAGCCTACTGTGGAACATCGCCAGTCGGCTTGAGATAAGAGGGAATGTGACATCTAGACAGTGGAGGAACTGCGGTGCGTGACACGTTAGTGGAGCCACGAACGTGCAGTGAGAACCCAGAGCACTGGCATCACTTCCATAGCCACGGTGAGATTGACCAAGTGCCGATCACCACAACAAAGTCGCAGATTGGATAAATTATGGCTGTGGTGAAATCCCATCAAGATACCTTGTTCTTATTCATTCTTATTTGGTTTCTTTTTCCTGAGACGAGTGGAAAGTACAAGTATCGTACAGTTCTATAGTGTCGCTCCTTCCCCAGATTTAGAATCCACCTACCTTCATTCGGGGTAAGTGCGACCGACACAAATCTGCCCCTTTCCTCCGAAGTTTCCCGTGGTTTCATTTTTCTCACGCCGCGTCGGAGGAACGATAATCCAGGGGAACTGCACCATCATTATTGAGGAAACTGGGTTTGCTGCTCTGACTGCGCCAACCTCTTCCACGGCAGATCTTCCGGTTTCTTTGCTTTTGTTTGCTATCTTCCACGCAACAACCGCGCTCGATAACGTGTCAACGTTCTCAAAATTTCTATCACAAGAGACGCACATATACACCCACACCCTCCACTTGCCCCAACCTGTCCAGAGACTTTGCAGGACGTGATTCTTCACCAATCTCGTCGGTGCTTCTGTCACTCCGCTTATCACGCGACATCATCATCACACCACACTGACCACCGTGACATGTGCTCAGCCTAGGACGATAGTTTCCCACGATCCTTCGGCCCCTCGTTTTCATTCCTTATTGTATAGGGTTGTCGTCGTTGAACGCCATGACCATTATCGACAATCGTTGATTTTGGGCACGAATCCAACGACCTTGGTCATAGATCGTCCCCAAGATGGCCTTCAACTTTAATTGGTCTCCTCTGTCGACAGATGTCGGGTTCCTTCCCCGGGCCCAAGAACTTCTCACCAATGCTCTCAACCGGGCGGATCCGAAGCCTGCAATCATCGTCGACGACATTATTGTCAATGAACTCAACCTCGGCGATGTTCCTCCAGAGCTGGAGATCCTCGAGATTGGCGATCTCGCAGAAGACCGCTTCCGCGGCACATTCAAGATGATGTATCGAGGCAATGCCTTTTTGACATTGAAGACTAAAGTCCAAGCAAACCCTCTCAACACCTTCCTGGGAACTAGGTCGCCGTTTGCCGCTCCCCAACCATTGGCTGCTGACACTGGACTCACGATCCCACTTCAGATCACCTTGTCGGAATTTCGACTCTCTGGCTTCATCATCCTGGTCTTTTCTCGACAAAAGGGCTTGACGCTGGTGTTTCGAAATGATCCGCTCGAATCGCTGCGAGTTTCTTCGACCTTTGACTCGATCCCATTCGTCGCAAACTTTCTACAAAAGGAGATTGAAAATCAACTGCGAGGCCTGTTGATGGATGAGCTTCCAGCTATTATACACCGGTTATCCCTGCGCCTCTGGGTGCCAGACCACGAGACACGGGAAGAACGGGAAATGAACACAACCAACAAGGCGAATGACGAAGTGGTGATTGATCCTTTGGCCAGCCCTCCCCAGGATCCTGTTGATTCTACTGGTGCCGTATTAAGTCCGTCAGAGATCGCCGCACTCTCTCTAGATTCGTCACTCGAGACGCAGTCGTTGTTTTCTCAAAAGAACTTGATTCGACTAGCCACACTGACGGATTCCAACCGCACTCTATCGCTCTTCACGCCAACCATCAGGGAAGCCGTATTCCGGGCGTGTACTGGGCCGTTGGAAAGAGGCGAGATGACTGGTCTACACAGTCGGAGCGCTACACCGGCATTATCGAGGACACATTCGTATGCCGCCAGTCTTAGTGCGGCTACAACATCTACATTTGACACTTCACCGCAGAGCCGGCCTGGGTTGTCCAGCTTCCAATCAGCAAGTCATGGGCTGAGCATGGGCGGAGGCCGGCATGGACAGGGTCATCGCCCGCGCAAGAGGAAGAAGAGGGTAGTGAATCTACGGCGACAGCCCGAGACTGGTGAGATGGAGCTGATCAGCGAAGACGGGTCGACGGCAGATACGGCAAGCGTCGCTGATAGTACGTCGGCACCTCGATCAGTGTTGTCGGCTCCGGCAGCTACCACGGCATCAGACCCTACACGATCTCCAAACCCCGTGACACCGCCCCAAAGTCCGGCAGCCACGAGGCATAATTTGTCTTTGAATGACGATCACATGAGGGGAGCACGAAGTGTTAGTCAGAATGGGACAGCCTCGACGCCCTTGGTCGAAGAGCCTGCCGTGGACATACATAAAACACCCAGGGCATTTCATCGCGATGCGACGATACGTGTAAGGTCGAGGAAACCGCCAGCCATGACATTGGATGACGACCCCACACCAAGAGGATCAATGCTTTTGCCAGAGCACACAGAGTTGAGCGGACAGATGGCGAGCCAAAGGGCTACAGGTTCGTGTGACAAGAGCCCGATCGAGAGCGAGGGCGAAGGCGGATCATCACGAGCGCCGATCCCCAACTTCTTTCAATTTGTGACCGACCCCTCAAATGGGAGCAGCATCGCTGAAAGGGCGTGGATGATGAAGATGGCCAGCGAAATGGCCAAGAGATATGAAGAGGAGAGAAGCAAAGGGAGTTTTGGGCCCTTTTCACCTTCTGCTGACGAGCGACACCCGCCACCAGCATATGCGAGGTGAGACGGAATTGTCACAAAAGGCAGGAGGCGTTGAAATTTGAATGATTGAGCGTGTTTGGATGTAATAAAAGTTTAACGAGGCATACGATATCATGGCATATGCGTGTAGATGGGTATGTGTGGGGCAGCGATGTATGCGTAATGGATTGGTTTGAAAGGATTGGGGTTTCTATATAGTGTGCATGATGGACAGCGACCTTGGGTCTGACAACGAGTGTTTGTAGCCATGTTGAGTGGCTGGTGTCCAGGATGTCTTTGTTACACGAGCAGTAAGCGACATTGTTGTCATGGTAGGAAGAGTAGAACATCCCTACATAAATATAGCTACCTACCTAGGTACCCAGCGAATGACCACTGTGCCCTGTGCCACTCATTTGTCGATGAGAACATGTGTGGGATGCCTATGCGGGGCGAATAATGACTGAAGATGAGATTGAGAAGAGTTGCGTTTTGAGGGGCCCACTGGGGTGTGTCAGTGTGTAGAAGTTTGTGGGATGTGCGAAAAGCCTTGGCTGTCAAGTTTTGTGGGCAGCATGCTTGTCGAGTGGCTGTCGATGTACAGAGTATGTAAAGCATGGCTGGAGCTATACTCAAACATAGATACAGGCACAAACTGTTTGAGGATGTACGGAGTACAGTAGTCACAAAAGTACAGCTGATGGAGGACGGAGATTTATGTAATTCGATCGAGATGTGGTCGAAGCCCCATACTCCGTACATTTCATCTCATTTTGCCAGGTGGTCGATTTTGATTAGATACTTTGATTAGGCCGAGAGGCGTGGGTGGAAGCATGGCAACTAAGCAAAGTGATTGTGGGGAGTGCCTAGGTAGGTACCTAGGTACCTAGGTCGGTAGTCAGTGGTAGTTAGTTGTCAGTAGTACTCCGTAGTCAATCTGGCAATGCAACCCACAGTCGCCAGTCGCCAGTCCCAGGTCGCAGCTCAAGCAACTCGACCGAGACCACCGAGACCAAGCTTAATCATCTCTTCCAAGCCATCCTTTTGCTCGATTCCAGACTTCAAGCGTCAAGGCTCAACAGGATCATTGACTTGCATCCTAGTGATTGACCGCTCACTTGTCTGCTCAAATTGTCCAACATGGACTTTGTACAGGGTTTGTTCGGTGGCAAGCCCCCGCAGGCGCCACTCGCCGCCGAAGACTCTGGTAGGTCTCTCCCTTGTGTTGGACTGGGACTGCCCATGACAATATCAACTACCTCTCGCTGAGATTCAGACTGAGATTAAGATTGACGAGCTAACCATGCCATCTTGCAGACTTTGCAGACTTTGCCGCAGCACCTGCCCCAGTTCCCTCATCCATTCCAGCCTCCCCCGCGGATGCGCAGGCCGCCGCACCCACAGCAGGTTTGGGCACTCGTGGAGTCTACACCAAATGGTACCGGGTATGGGAACGCACACAGCCGTCCGACTTCTACATGGAGGCCATTATGATCCCCATCCTCCTGGTCGCTCTCCTTGTCCATCTGTGGGGCACTACCAAGAACCGCAAAAAGGCCACCAAGTGGGTTGCTGTCCATGCTCCTCTGTTGGAGCGTGAATTCGCCTTGGTCGGCTACGGCCACACAGCAAAGGTGACTCCCTACGCCGAGGGAGTTCAAGGCGACAGCTTCCTGGAGGCCAGTGCCAAGCTGACTGGCGACAATGTGTCAGAGGACTTGTACAAGAAAAAGGCGGCTTGGGAGTATGAGATGTATGCCACAGGCCGCTTGAACGTGGCATTTCTCGACGCCAAGATACTGCTCAAGAGGAGGATGAATCCCCCAATGTTGATTGCCGAACAGATCACGGGCGCTTTCTTCGAGTCTCTCAAACCCAAGGGCGAGAGAGTGGAGATTGTCATGTATACCTTTGATGGCAAGGAAAAGGAATTTGTCCCTCCCGCTGTGCCTGGATCTGAAGAAACTGGCAAGCTCAAATCGGTTGGAAACTCGGTCTATGATCCATTTGTGTTTGGCATCGTCAATAAACTGAGCATGCGACGTTTGAGGGACGAACGATACGATCTGTCGTTGACGTTTACAAAAGACCACCCCAAGCTACCCGACTGGGCGACGGTCATGAGCGAAAGTGCCGAAGTGACGGAGAATTTCCTGACCCCCGATCTGGTGTCTGCGGTCACCAAGGCCGGAGATCTTTTGGAATACCTCATCATCAGCGATCAACCAGCTGACAAGCCGACAACGCTCAGTGAGACCACGCCCAAGAAGCGCCTCCAACTTGGGTTGAAGCTCCCTTCCAACGGAGACTATCTACCTACACTGCCCATCTTCCAAGCATTCCTCCGCCTGCCCGACTTTGTTGTGGGCATGGGCCGACTACGACCCGAGGTCTTGAAAAAGATCAATGCGACGCGCGAGAACGAAAAGGCCAAGCTGAAGAAGGTCAGCGATAGGGAGGCCGAGGAGGAACGACAGAGACAATTGGAGAAGATGAAGAAGGATGAGAGAGATCGCAAGATGAAAGGGATGAGCGCGGAGGAACAACGCAAGTTCTTGGATCGCGAGAACGAGAAGCAGCGGAAGAAGCAGGAGAAGAAGATGACTCGGAGAGGTTGATCTGCTGATGGGGAGAGCATCCACTTGTGGAAAACAAGGTCGGTGGAATGGTGAGCGTGAATGCAACCAAAAGTAAATAATCGTCAGGTGTAAAGATGCCACGACTAGCCGCCAGACAAGAACCAACAAGCTGCCAGGCCAGAAGTGCACACAGATTGATTGAAATATGGGTGGATTTATTTACATTATAATCCTTAACCAGGACATTGTGACTTGTGTGATATACACTGACGGGCCTCGGTTTTCAGTCACTATTCGTATCTGCAGGGCTTAGAAGGACGGGAAATAGCGAGCACGACACGTAGTGCTACGGAGTATACTGACAAGACCAGTCGACCCAAAAATAGGAGACAGAAAGGATCGCCGAGTGGGAAGAAGACTTAAGGCTCATGCTGGTTCGACGGATCCTTGGGTCCAGGTGGCCGTGCCAACGGACAGTCACAACATTTCTCGTATGAAGGCGAAGGAGAAGGGGGCCGGGGGCCGAGGGCCTCGTATGGAGACCCTGGGCCTGAGGCTCTGTCCGTCTGGGTGCGTCAGGGTGCGGCTCCAGCTGTAAATCTGTACGCTTAAGGGCCGTGAGGGCGGTGTTAGGTACCCACGTACCTCCGCATATACGGACAGAATCCACCAATCTGTTTGTTTCATTTGCCAGCCAAATCCCAGTTTCAGGGCCTGGAGATCGCTCTTTTGGCCACGACTGAGAGCACTGGTCCTTACTAGGTACCTAGGTAGGTACCTGACCTAAGGTACCTACGGAGTATAGGTAGGTACGGAGTACTGCACCATGCACGCCTACCGTCTGTCCCAGTGGGCAGGTAGTTCGTCCTCTCGGTGCATACCAGGCGTCCGTTCTTCCCTGCCACTCCCTAGACTCTTACATACTCCGTAAGGCCCAAGGCCCCTCAACCCCACCTCAACATCCTGTGCCTGACAACCATTAACCACTGACCAGTCACCAGGCACCAGGCATGTCAGGCAAGGCTTGGAATAGATTCTTGTCTTTTTTTGGTGCATTTTGGTGTCTTTCGTGTCTCTGACTGCGCCTCGTCTCTCAAACCACAATCCTGAGACTTATGCCACTCCTATCGCTCCTGCTTCAGCTCTTCGAGTCTCGAATTGGACCATCAAGGACCACTCCTGCCAATCCACTTCCCTCATCGTTCCTTCCCATATCCACAATTGACGTCTGCTCTTGCCCTCTAGTCCACGCGTCCCCAGGTTTCATCCTTAAACTCATCTCACTCACCATTCACACCCTACACACTCACACTCCCCTACCTACAATGTTCAGTTGAGTCTTTTCTTTCTTAGACTCTCTTTCTTGACATCCAACTTCATCAAATCTCTCTAGTGCGGCCATGCTCATAGCCCGTCTGCGGTAACCTCATTGAACTACTGCCACAACGCCCTCTATCCCACCAAGTCCTTGCGGTCTACACATACATCCGCCCTTCCTCCTTGTTTTCAAAGATCCTTGACCTCCAGCCATGCTCCGACCACTCTCCGCCCTCGTCGCCCTTCTCTCCATCTCCTCCGCTTCCTTACTGAGTCCCTTCAAGCGCCAGTCCACTGCCTGTAACAACTCACCCGACCTGTGCTCCAGGGCCTACAACAACATCTTACATCTGGGAGCCCACAACTCACCTTTCCGACGAGACTCCTCAACCCGCTTCTCGACTTCGGGGAATCAATATTACAATTCCACCGTGCAATTGAGCGCCGGCGTTCGCCTTCTCTCCGGCCAAGTCCATAAACAAAACGGAGGCTACCATCTGTGTCACTCTTCTTGCGACCTACTTGACGCCGGAACCCTCTCCAAGTGGTTACAAGAAATCAAGGCCTGGTTGGACAACAACCCAAACGACGTCGTCACCATCCTCCTCGTAAATTCTGATGATGCTAGCCCCTCGGATCTTGCTCAGTCTTTCACCTCGGCCAACATCGTTGACTACGCTTACCGACCCCCCTCCACCACCGTCGCTCCCGAGTCATGGCCCACCCTCCAGAGCCTCATCGACGCTGATACTCGCTTAATGGTCTTTGTCGCCTCGCTCGAACCATCGCAGATCTCGGCGTCAGAAAACTACCTCATGGACGAATTCACCTTCATATTTGAGAACTCCTTTGATAACACTGCCATGTCAGACTTTAGCTGTACCCCTGATCGCCCTTCATCCGTCCGCGGCAACTCCCAAGCTGCTGTCGCCTCCAACCGCATGCCCTTTACCAACCACTTTTTGTACGAAAAGGCCTTGTTCGATATCCAAATTCCCGCTGTGGACAACATCACCGTTAGTAACGCTCCAGGCTCCGAACAAGGAATGCTTGGCGCTGCCCTGTCCGCCTGTCGTTCCGAATATGGCCGCATCCCCACCTTCACCTTGGTCGATTTCTTCAACGAAGGCCCTGCCATTGAAGCTGTAGACACCATAAATGGAATCACACCTGTCGGAAGAACCGAGCCCCCACCCCGAGAAAATAGCTCCAGCGTCAGCGATGCCCAGCAACGTTCCTTTGCCGGTGTCGTCGACCTGAACAATCAGGTCCAAAATGGTGAAGATCCCAGCCTGGGAGCTTGGATCTGGGGCGCTGGGAGATGGAGTTTTGGTGGCATCAACCTCAGTGGTGGTAATGTTTTGGGTAAGAAGTGATGATTGTTCCATCCGAGTTCTTCCATGGATCCTTGGGGCCGCTTCTTTCTCATGAAGCTCGGGCTTGCAAGAGATACCACAGCCCTAGCATTGGGGGATTTGTCCTTGGCCGACATTCTCTATGATGACCTTATGATATGGCGATGCCGCCTTGGAAAGGGGGCAAATCACAGGTTTGCTCCAAAGACCCGTTTTGATGTGTTCGAATGGCCGGTCATGGCTCGGCAGGGTTGGTTCTAATTTGGAGCAAAAAAGTCACATTCGGAGCGCCACCCACGATATAAAAGGTCTGCGATTATCTGGCATCAGCATGGCAACGGCGTTGGTAACAGAGATGTTGACACGGATACCCGCACTCGCTTCGACACTCGAGGGGAGTTGGGTAAGAAGCAGTTCGGAGACTTGGTCATCAGGGGAAATACAAATACAACCGACACGCCCTCATTTCATGACATACACATCCATGATATTCTCGGTTCTAGCGTTGACCATCCGTCGTCAGCTCAGCCGACACGAGCACGACTTGTGAGATCCACTTCAACTTTCGAGATCATCTTGATCAGGTGACACCTATGTGCGCTGTCTACAGCCTCACATATATATATATACCTATCCGGCTATAACCTACCATGCTAATTCAAAACTGTTTGCTGAGGGAAAACCATTGTGATCACAACAATATCACCATGCCCTCAATAGCCTTATTCAGTGCTTAGCACACTTCACGTCCGTCTTGCTCGATCATTGTCGTCCTTTATGCCATTTCGGTCTATTTTCACACCGTGTCTATTTGAGATGCTCTTGTCTCGCCCGTAGAACCATCTCAATCGTTGAGACCGCCATCTAAAACCCGGCTCCGAAGTCATTCCTGCCCATTTTCCCCATGGTCAAAGACAAGAGAGCCTCTGATCGCTGCAGTCATTTGTTGACCCACCTGCTGGGCCCTTATCCATGTTACAAAACGGCAAACACCCGCTTCAGCACCTCTCGACCTTTGTACAGATTCTCGACCCGCATCCGCTCGTTGTCCAGGTGAGCGTTGTCGCTGGCCTGGCCCATGGGAAACATGGCCGCTGGCGCATCAAACTCGTGTTCCAGAAAACTAATTGCCGGAATTGAACCCCCTTCGCGGATAAACAGCGGTTCTCGTGGCAAGTTGTTCATGGTGAAGTTCCCGTGCGACTCAAGTGTCGACGCTCGTCGTTGTGTCGGCCGATGTGGTTGCTGCTGATCATATTGAGTGCCCTTGGTCGAGGTCGAGCTGGATGTCGAAGACCCTGCCAAGTCGGTGTGCGGTAAAGCGTGTTGTGTGGTAGACTTGACATTGCTGGTCGATACCACTTGTTGGGACATGGACCCACTACTGGCCATAGGAGCCGCTCCAGCAGACGAGGTTGATGATCGGGATTCTGGAAACGACCGTTGTGAAGCAGCCGAGCCGTTAGGGTTCCACGCGTCAATAATCGCCGACTTCAAAGCCGTATAAAGGTCCGAGTTGACGTCTCCCAGCCACGGGTCGGCCTTGGACCGAATGTTGACATTGAGGGTATTGGAGCTTTGCAGTCGGGAGAATTGATCATATAGATGATCCTTCAGGCTAGAGGCTATCTGTTCTGCGGTCTGAGAGGGAACGATGCGGATTGAAATGGTTGCTGTCGCTGAGCCGCTGATTGTCACAGCTGTTTTGGCTTCAGGTACCTCGATGCGGTGAACGGTCAAGTTGGGGTAGCGCCACCGCTGCATGAGAGACAAAGCAAATGACTTCTCGTTGCGAATCTCTGGGTGGCCCGGAAGAAGAGACGAGGTGATGGCAGCATATGCCCTCATCTCCGCTTCCGACAGTTCATCGACCGTGTCGTAAAAGTTGGGTATTGTCACTTTGGTTCCAGACGGACCAATGAGATTTGCGAGGAGAAGCGTCAAGTCTTTGAGGGGCTCATGTTGGACGGATTTCCCATCCATGCCACTGTGTAGGTCTGGCTTGTTAGAGTTGATGGTGATGGATGCATGAATCACCCCTCGCATGCCGAAAGTGAGACACGGAATGTGGTCGTCAAGCCAGTAGCTGTTGGACAGAAGAATATAATCCACTGGTCCGATTGCCCTGTGCGCGGATTCCACCGTCTTGCGGAATCCTCGTGATCCTGCCTCTTCGTCGCCTTCGATTAGAAAAGTCACGTTGCACGAGAGAGCACGCTGTTGAATCAGGTCTGCTACGGCGTAGACTGCGGCCAGGATAGGTCCTTTGTTGTCGGTCACGCCTCGACCATATAAAAACCCGTTGAGAGGCTGTAGATCAAACGGATCCGCAGTCCAGCTTGGATTCTGGCTGGTTGGATCATACTCTGCGTCGACGACATCATAGTGACCGTAAAAAAGCACTGATTTGACAGATTGTGATGGCTGAGAAGCTGGAAACTTGGCAAGTAAGATGGGGTTGACGCCTTGATCGGGAGACAACAGGGTCGTGGTAGCTCCAAAAGCATTGCACTGCTTGCGTAAGAAGGCCACGGCGTCGTGACAGTCACGAACACACCCAGGGTTGGCTGCGACAGAACGAAACGAGACAAACTCCCGGAGAGTGTTGACCAATTCATCTAAGAGAATAAGTACTCGATCTAGCGAGGGCGGATGACATACCATTGCTTCGGGCAGGATTTGCCAGAGCGGTGTGCGAAGCACCTTGAGCATCCCAGAATGACAAGATATTATCGTTGCCCCCGGTAATCAGAAGATGATGCTGCCGATCCGTTGTCAAGGCCATCGCCAGGACCTTTCCCTCAGCGGCCTTCCAACATTCGGTTTGGGAAAAGTGATCGTTAAATCGCTGTCGTGAGTTAGTCAAGTCAGCAACGAACATTTTATTGGGTCAGGGCAGGGACACTAACCTTGATCATGCCTCGAGTTGTGCCGCAGAGAATACCGTCAGTGCTAATGAGAATCTGGCTTATATCGCCACATTCAAATTGCAATCTCTGCACAAGCTGGTTGGAGGCGAGGTTGTAGACATTGGCCACTCCATCGGACAAGCCAGCGTAGAGGAAGGATCCTCTGTACGAGAGACTGAAGACACTAGAGCCGGGGGATTTGAATTTGGCCATCTGAACGGGCCCAGTAGATGCGAGGGAATCTAATGACCAGATTTTGATGGTGCCATCGCCACCACCAGTGACGAGGACCTCTTCTTCGCGATCGTGAGTGAAGAGTCCTTTGATCAACAACATGGCGTAGACGTAGCTTTTGTGTGCGTACGGCAGGTAATTCCGATTTGGAATGGTTAAGACTCGACCACCGTGACTGTTGAGCAAGAGACTGGCGGTGCCATCTTCGTCTGAAATGACATTGACACTTCCACCGGGACCAAGGGAGTCAAAAAAGCGGTGTTTCCTAGCGCCCGGGGAGAAGGTGGCAGTGGGAGATTTAACAGTATTAGAGTCGGTGCTGATGTTGTACCACTGTACACTTGAGTTCTGAGCCCCCCACAGCAAGGTTTGGTTCTTGGTAGAGTGGACCACGGAAAAGATGTCGCCAATCTCAAAGGGCGAATGAAGTGAGTACAGACGCTGTAGCGTCTGAGTCGACCACACATTGACGACAGAGTCAACACCAGTCGAAAACAATAAGGAGCGATCATCAGACAGAGCGAGGGCTAGCACACTTTCTCGGTGGGCGGGAATGGTTGCCAGTAGCTCATACGTGTCGAGCGACCATGCCACAATGTTGCCCCCTTGGACGCCGGCAAAGAGGACGTCGTCATCAACCACGACGGCCTGAACACTGCCGGGGGCTTGGATGCGGTGGATGACATCTTTGTCACTGAGCTCATGGAAGGCAGCTACGGACGGTGATAGTCGAGGATCTGCTTTATCAGAGGTCCGCTGATGGGACAAGGTGGAGGAGTTGGAGGATGACGATGGCGATGGTGATGGGGATGGGGATGTCGAGGCTGGTTCACGAGTGGTGCTGGTGCGGATGGGTGGCAACCCCTGTGAAAAGTCTCTGTCAGCCGTGGCCATCCCAAAAGAATGGCATCAAGTATCAATCAAGACACATGAGTTGTTATAACAAGAAAAAGGGAAGATGGACGTTAATGAACGATGTCAACCAAGTCGTTCTTGCTGGTATTTCCATCTTGTAGTCGTACCTTCCCGTCTAACTGAGTTTGGCGCGGCGCCGACTGTGATTCGCCAATTTGACACATGCTTTTCTCACTCTTCTTTGGACGACTTCATCACAACTTGACCTAGAAGGAAGATAGCCTTGTACTACTGCTCGAGTTGATCGTGACGTTGATACATTGCATCTTCCCAGAGATCGCCAACCAAAGGGATTTCGAGAGCCTCGCTGATTTTTTTGTATCTGACAAGCCCTGGCTACCCCCTGAGCCACTAACAATCACCGCCTTGAGCCCGGCGATGGCGTGATGGGCGCCTCAGGTTGCACATTCTTTTGCACCGAGTCACATCCCTTAGACTAAGTACTTTTTACTACCTAACACCTCGGCCCCCAGCAGGTCCTGGCTCAGGTCCTGGCCCAGAGATAATCATCCAACAATCTCGTTGGGCCAAAGCTCCATCTACACCGCTATAGTAATTCTGCCTCACTGCTTTGATGCCAGGCCACCATGACTTCACAAAGGAAACGACCACTTGATTCCGGTCCTTATCGACCGACGGTCATCCTTCATGGTGGCGCCGGAGCTCTCTCGAGAGACAACCTCCCTCCAGCTCTTTGGGCTCAATACAAGGCATCTCTACTCAAGTACCTGACAAGCACCCGCGACTTGTTAGATGCAGGGGCTTACGCGCTGGATGCGGCTACCCATGCCGTCACTCTTTTCGAAGATGATCCTCTCTTCAATTGTGGCCGAGGCGCCGTCTTCACAGAGAGTGGATCCATCGAAATGGAAGCCAGTCTCATGGTGACTTCCATTGACCCCAAAGGACCGCCGCAAGGCTACGTCAAGCGCGCTGCAGCGGTAAGTTTGGTGAAGAACACTCGGCACCCCATTCTCCTCGCCAAGCAAGTTTTGATTGCTTCTGATGATGACGAGGGTCTGGGCGGGACAGCTGCGATGCACACTCATCTCAGTGGTCGACAACTCGAAGAATGGGGTTGGAATGAGAAAGGTCTGGAGAGGAAACCAGATCATTGGTTCTGGACCAAGAAACGGTGGGAGGAGCACCGTCGCGGACTGTCAAAGTCACCATCTCCCGACCTCTACACATACGAAGACCTGCTCGAATCAGTTAACGCACCACAACAGAATGGGGAGTACAAAACTGTGTTTTCTGACATTGATTTGGACGTGATCGGTATTCCAAGTCAAGGTACTGTGGGCGCCGTCACCCTTGACTCGTGGGGAAACCTTGCGACAGCAACTTCGACTGGTGGTTTGACCAATAAAAAGGCCGGGCGAATTGGTGACACTCCCACCGTCGGTGCAGGGTTCTGGGCAGAGTCATGGGACCAGCATGCAGAATCTTGTTTTGCCCATGCGTCGCCAAATTCCGAGATATCTGTACTTCGACAAATCTCCGAGACTGTGTTAAGGAATGCTCGGGCTGCCACCGAGTGCTTTGACGTCTGGCAGAACCCTTTGATTAAAACCCACCGCCCTGCAGAATTGCCTCCTCCATATGCTTTTGTGACTCAACAACCCGCGATCATCCCAAGACACATGTCTTTCGCGGACCAACCTGGTCTTGCGCTACGCCGTCGCGCTGTTGCTATGTCCGGCACTGGAAACGGCGACTCGTTCCTCCGCACCAATGCCGTTCGCACGGCAGCATCCATATCTCGATTCTCCTCCAATAAGTATTCTCTTTCTCATGCCGTCACATCGATTGCAGGACCAGGTGGTGAATTGCAGCGTTCTGCTAGAGAACGATGGGGTCGGACAGGTGAAGGCCAGGGCGGCATCATCGGAATCGAGATCGACCAAGGATTGGAAACCCATGGCGCTAGGAAGACAGGCAAGATTGTGTTTGACTTCAACTGTGGTGGTTTGTTCAGGGCGTACTATCAAGACAATGAAAAGGGTCAAGAAGTGCCACGTGTTGGTGTGTTTCGGGACGAGTACTGATGTCTGACCACTATGGTGAGTCCATGTGTGTAGGTGTTTGTTTGCGGCATACCTGTCTCACGGGCTATCTTTGGCACTCCCAACAGCAACACAGCAATATGATGGCCATGACTTCACTTTTGATGCAAGACGTGTTGTTAAGACAAAGAGATGCATTGTGGCACCGCGTCACTCGCGCCTGCCGCCTAGTGTGAAGCTCCTGCCTTTGTTTGACGATCAAGATATATATCATTTTAAGAGCTCATACATTCATCCCACAGACATCTGTACCTCTGTTCCAACATCCAACATCACTGACGAGTACATCTTAGCTCGTTCGTCACATTTATCTCAGCTCTTGTTGAGACGATAACTTCACCACAAGGCTATACCGCCCCCTCCCTGTTCCACAGCCAGCCCCCAGCCTCACACGAACATCGATATCATCTGAAGAACGCAAGCAGACACAGCCAATTCCAAAGCGCAAAATGACTTCAGCCTCCAATCCTTCGATCAATTACAAAGGCATCATTCTTGACAGATCCCTCATTGAACAATATGGCCTCAACTTCGCCGATGTTCAATCAAAACCAAGCCTCGCCGACGCGTTGATCGAAGTCGTCTCCAAGACTACCAAGCAATGCCTATGGTGCAATCGAAGCATGACGGGAAGGACTGGTAAAAGCAGGAGAGGGCACTTTATTGATTGCAGAAAGAAACACGCAGAGTAGATAGCCAAGAGAGGGGGGGAGGTGGTCAAGGATAATGGATTCATCCAGAGAATTACGACAAAGTTGGGCACACGTTTTGTCAGGGCTCGTGTCTTAGTCTCTATGTACATTGCTAAAGCATCCGGCGACAAATGTCCTTGATGTTCATCTGGTCATCGTCGTTTCTGCTTTCACGTCTCGAGTGCCATGGGCCATGCAAGAGGCCATGTTCCATCACACTCAGTAAGATTGGCGCCAAAGAGAATAGAAGTTCTCTTTGCCAGGGGATGAGATGTTGTTCATCTCGCTTTCTGGGAAAGCCGAGCCGATCGCGGCAATCGTCGCATCAATGCCATCGAACGATAGCTTTGCTTAAATTGAGAGAAAGACAATCCAGAAATTTGTGAAGATGTAATTGACCCTAATAGGTACTCTTGGACCGTTCGTTGACTGTATAAAACGTCGTAGCAACCTCAATAATACTCTTAGAACTCCAGGGTGCGCTTCAATGCATCATAAATTCTCGCAACATCGGGAATGTTGAACTTTTCAAATATCAGGCCAGTATGCGTACTGAATCCTGTCACTCGTGCCACAGGCGCTTCCAGTCGAAGAAACGCCAATTCCTGGATACTAGCCGCCACCTCGGCCCCAACGCCTGCATTGTACATGCTTTCGTGGACAACCACGGCTCGCCCGGTCTTGTTGACGCTCTCCATAACTGTCTTTCGATCCCACGGATAGATGGCTTGGAGATCAATCAGCTCCACGCTGAGCCCCTTGATTTCTTTCTCCAAGGCCTCAATAGCGGCAGAACACAGATACATTGGCTGGCCATAGGAGATGACGGTGATGTCTTTCCCCTGTTTGACCACGTCGGCCTTGTCCAGAGGGAGGGTGTATGCTTCCCTGGGGACATATTCTTCCGCAGCTCGATACAGGATCTTGGGCTCCATAAAGATAACCGGGTCCTTTGATTCCAGGATCGAGGCAAGGAGGAGGCCTTTAGCCTGTGCTGGTCCTCGGGGGAAGATGACCCGTAGACCAGGGATATGCGTGAACAAAGCTTCGGGGCTTTGACTGTGGTACAAAGCGCCATGACCCACACTGCCACAGGGCATGCGAACCACTAGATTGCCGCAGTTGACGCCAGTGGCTCCTTCTCGATAACGTAGCTTGGCCGCCTCATTGACAAGTTGGTCAAAGGCAGGGTAGACATAGTCGGCAAACTGGATTTCTGCCACCGGCTTCATCCCTTCTGCGGCACAGCCGATGGCAAACCCAGCAATACCCTGTTCTGACAGCGGTGTGTTAAAAACTCTGCTAGCACCGAACTCGTCGGCGAGTCCTTTGGAGCACCGAAACACGCCACCGAAAGCGACATCTTCTCCAAACAATAAGACGCTTTCGTCGGTTTTGAGAGCGTGGTGTAATGAACTGTTGATGGCGCCGTGTAGGTTCAGTAAGTCCACGGGCGCGTCGTTCGCCAACCCAAAGGCAGTCCTCGCACTGGCCTGGGTTTGGTGGATAATGGGAGTTTTCCTAAAGTCGATCGGCTTGTTCAGACGGGCTCCCGTGGTTTGACTTGCAAAACGAACTGAACCACCCGTTTTGAGCGTTGTCGCCTTCCTCGATAGAATCCTGCTACAATTCATCGTGTGCGTAGAGCCCCAGAGATGATTTGACCATGAAGTCAACGAAAATGAGTCCAGAAAAACGAAAGAGACATTGGAAGAGGCCGGTAGTATATCAGAAAGTACCCTTGTTGTGGTGCATCCGAGGATAAGCGAGACTGCGGATGACGGGACGCGGCACAAAGACCGGGAGGACATTCACGTGATCCAAAGCTGCAGTAGAGTCACACATGCTCGACACTATTGATCTTACCTATCTAAGTTTAGTGCATGGGCCTCCTCATCATGCAGGAAAATCTCCACGGTCTGACATCGCTCTCGACTCATTTATCAACAAGGCTGGTCAAAGGCTGGACGAAGCTTTCTGAAAGATCTCTTGAACACCGAGAGTCCTTATGGAAGGGCAACTTGTGGTAGAAACTTCTTACAATGTATCAGCCATTTCATATATTTTGTTCTGCTTAATGAAGGTTTAATCAATGGGACCTGTACCTGTCCGCATGTCAGTTGAGAGTGCGCGAGACTGAGATGCCGGCCACGCCAAAGTTAAAGGCTGTGATGTCAGACGGCGGATCACAATACGAGCCCCTTGATTTGACGACGCAAACTAAGGCTTAGGCCTACTACGGAGTATTGGTTGACTAGTCCTGAGCTTGAAAGAGTATCGGGGAAAGCGCAAGAATGACGATCTTTTGGTGTCCGTCGCAGCTGCACCTTTGCCATCCACTGCGAGAGGCTACGGAGTAGACAAAAGTATGCGGACCTGATGCTTCTCTTCACTTCCAAACCAAACCCTCAACCTCGACTCTTTCTTATTTGATCACCTTTTCCCCCCAAGCCTCTACACTCTTACTGTCCTCGCTTCTTTCACTTCCACATCACTTGCACTCGCCATCTTTTCTCACCACGAATCCGCCACCCGAATTTGCCGGCCCTATTCACATTTCACGACAGCAGCGGAGGGTCTTTGGTAGATGCAGCTTTCCACGTCACAATGTCCAAATAGTCGTCTTAGGCCGATTCAAGTCATGGCAAAGCCAGCTACGGCCTCTTATCTGGCAGCGCGGCCCCTCGTCCTCGGTCTAGCCAAAATCCTCTCTCTTTTCATCACACAACTACCTCTCGCCAACGCCGCACCCATCTACGCATCTACCTTGTTCCATTCATCAGAAAGAGAGGCTGAGGAAGATGGACGACAAAACCAACAACTATGGCTTTACCTGACTGTTGCTGCGGCCCTAGTCCTCCTCGGAGGCGCTTTCGCAGGGTTGACCATTGCTCTCATGGGACAGGTATTACTCCAGCCCCCCACTGTAACCCGTTGGGCCTTAGAAGCAGAAACTGACCTTTAGCAGGATGAGATCTATCTTCAAGTCATCAGGGATTCTGGCGAGGGGGCCGAGAAGATTCACGCGGCCAAAGTGTTAAGACTACTGAAACAGGGTAAACACTGGGTTTTGGTCACCCTCTTGTTGAGCAACGTCATCACAAATGAAACGCTCCCCATTGTCCTTGATCGATCTCTGGGCGGCGGCTGGCCTGCCGTTCTCGGTTCCACTGTGCTAATCGGTATGTTTGCTTCCTTCTCTCGTCTCATTATCCCCACTCACTCTTGACAGTCATTTTCGGAGAAATCGTTCCACAGTCCATTTGCGTTCGATTCGGACTTCCGATCGGAGCCTGGATGTCCCCCTTTGTCTCCACACTCATGTACATCATGGCACCCGTTGCCTGGCCCACCGCCAAACTCCTTGATTATCTTTTGGGCGAGGACCACGGAACGGTGTACAAAAAGGCAGGACTTAAAACACTCGTATCATTACATCGAAGCCTCGGAGAGGTCGGCCAACAACTCAACGCCGACGAGGTCACCATCATCAGTGCCGTACTCGATCTCAAGGATAAGCCTGTTGGAAGCATAATGACTCCCATGGACGATGTCTTTACGCTGTCTCTCGATGATATTCTCGACGAACCCACCATGGATGATATTCTGTCTCAAGGCTATTCCAGGATTCCAATACACCACCCCGACAACGACAACGACTTTGTTGGAATGTTGCTGGTCAAGATGTTGATTACCTATGATCCAGAGGATGCCAAACCCGTCCGAGATTTTGCCTTGGCAACCTTACCGGAAACTCGTCCCTCTACAAGCTGCCTCGACATCGTCAATTTCTTCCAAGAAGGGAAGTCGCACATGGTCCTTGTTTCTGAATTTCCGGGCGATGATCACGGCGCTTTAGGCGTGGTCACCCTCGAAGATGTCATCGAAGAACTCATCGGGGAGGAGATCGTGGACGAGTCCGATGTCTTCATTGATGTTCATCGTGCAATCCGCAGAGCTAAACCTGCTCCCACCCGGAGGATCTCAAGAAATCATTTTGTTGCAGATCCACCCAGTGTCCAAGCCCCTGGTGCTGACCTAATCGACATCAATGAGAGCGACGCGCTGCTGACCGAAGACCTCCAACGGACGACCACGACCGGTGATCAGCAACTTGTCAAACACAAGGTCGTGTCCAATCTTCGTCGCCGGTCCAGTGCGGGCAACAGCGTCGGCAGTGACATCAAGGGTATCAAACGGCCCTCGACCGATGAAATCAAGGAACATCTCAAACACCTTGGTCCATCCAATCTTGCAAGCCGACCCAAGACCACTAGATATTCCGCGGTCAAGATCAAACCAGGTGCAGAGAATAGCACGACTAAATCGAATATCGACGGAGTCGCGACTCCTGCCCGAAGGGTCTCTGAAACATTTTCGGATTATCAGGGTGGCATCGGCCAAGGTCTGTTGAAGTCGGGTGGAAAGCCGGCCAGCGATGGTGTTCAGGCGCTCCAACAAGGCTATGGCACATTAAATGCCTCGCCAGATCACCAACGGCCTCTGCATGCGACCAAGGGTATCCAGGCAGATCTACTCTCGCCGACCGATGTCAGATCACGGAGTCAAGGAGCTTCTCCGCCGACACAAGCCAATCTGAAAAAGTCTGCCAGCCAGAGTACGCTCGGAAGCCTTCCTGAAGCTCGTCCAAGGTCTCGAAGCCCTTACCATAGCAAGGGTCCTGCCCGAAGCGGAAGCATTACTGAGAGCATCGTGGATACGAATGGGTTTCGGAAAGTCGTTCTCGAAACAACGTCGAGCAGTGACTCTAATGAAGATGAAGATAATAGCGGGGCCAACAGAGCTCACTCCAACACTGAGAACGGGAAAGCTTCTCAAGGCAAAGACTCAAACCCACAGATTGAAGCTCACAGTGGCCTAGACGAGGCGACGAATTCAAGTTCCAAAAAGAAGAAACGCAGGCGCAAGAAGCGTGGTGCTAATGCCAATGCCGAAGATGAGACGATGCCGTTGCTTTAGCAATGACTCGTCGGCGATTCGTTATGATTATTGTGTAGGTATGCTAAGCGAGGTTTTTACTATATATTTGAGAGGGACATGTTACCACGGACCTTGCTAGAGGCCGTTAATGCTACTGTTACTGCTGTTGTTGCTCCGTTGAGGCCTGGTCACTTGGACTGTGAAGCAGGTGTCGGATCGACAAACGAAGAACAAGGAGGCTGTCACTGTACCATTGTGATGTGTTTGGCAGCTGGCTTGCATGAGGACGCCTGGCTTGTGACTCGTTGATTTCTACCGTCGACATAAGGAGTATTCATGGTGCGAATAGATGTCATGGGTGTCATGTTTTTAATTTTTTTGAGTGTGGTGGAGTGTTTGGTCTACCGGAGAAATTTCTGGTGTTGTGAATAAAAATTATTCATTTTGAATCATCGCTGTGGCTGATGATCAAAAACTTCGAAAAAGTCGCTTACTTATGCCTACGCTCAAAGTGCTATATGTACTGCAAAGAAAACCAGACAGACACACAGAAAGTGCCGCCCATCATGATCTTGTGCTTCCTCAAACCAGCAATTACCAAAGGGCTGATGAAGCATGAATGACCCTCGATTATCATAGAACGAAAGGTGCGCGTTAACCAAACCACCACGTCTCTTGACTTGCCCACCCACAGGTGCCTAAGAAAACAACAACCACATCACCAAGCCGTCCCTTCCTCCTGAGCCTGTTTCAGTTTCTCATAAAACGCCCAGGGCCAACCTTTCATCTCTTCGTCCTTTGGCAAACAGCTCGCCCCATCGGCGGTGGTCAGCTCGCCGCGTGCACGCATGGCATCCTCCCGGCGTCTGCAGTAGCTGACCACGTTGCCTATGACGCGACCCAGCATGTCTGGGCTGATGGCGACCGGGTTGAGAAACGGGTCCGCGTCACCCAGCAGCTCTTTGATGGTCGGCCGTAGGGCTTGCTCCCGTGTCAGGCATCGTCTCAACGTCTTGATCAGACCGAACGGCACCACCGCGCCACCCACCCCAGTCGTGGGGAATTGAATTTCCACTTTGGGATTGGGAATGCTCATGATGCGTTCGAATTGCTTGGTGATATGTGCAAAGGGTGGCTGTCCATATGTCATTTGATAGAGGATACAGCCCAGACTCCACACATCACTGGGCTTGCCGAGCTTGAGAAGTTTCGTCCCTGGTGCGGCACCAGCGGGCGTGTGGCACACAAGCGACTCGGGCGACATGTAGTTCGGCGTGCCAATTTGATTCTCTCGGTGGACATTGACTGTGTCGTCTTGAATGGCGTTGGCAATGCCAAAGTCGATCAGCTTGAGCTGCCCTTTGACCAGCAAGAAGTTGGCCGGTTTGAGATCCGAATGCACAATGTCATAGTCGTGGACGGCCTGCACGCACTCCAACATTTCTTTCCAATAGTGTCGGGTAAAAGTGATGTCCAACCTGGAGCCATCATTCTTCAGCTGCTCATTGAGCATCTTGTTGAAATCTGATTCTCCAAGCTCCATCATGACACTTAGAATCCCCTTCTCTTCATTGATATCGTAATCGTACAGTCGAATTACGCGATCAACATTTTCCAACTTCTTCAGCAGATCAATCTCGCCCTTGTACCCAGCGATCGCTGCCATGTCTGCGTCTTCGAGATTGACCCGTTTCAAGGCAAAGATCTTGTAGTTCTCCGCCATGATTCTGAACACTCGTGACGATCCGCCCCTTCCAATGCAGTCGAGTCGTCGGTAAGTCTTGCCATTGAGGACATAGTGGACTGATTTTTTGTTGCGCGAGCCGGCATTCGAAGTGGCCGCGTCGAGTAATGACATTTTCGGCGGTGGGGCTGGTGCCGGCCTGTGAGGAGTGTTGCTCGACCTTTGTCCCAAGGGCGCTCTCAAGGGCGAGGCATGAGTGGCGACAAGGTCGGCGGGCTTTTGCTCAACTTGTAGCTCATCTTCGTGTATCTTCAAAACATCAGGGGTCGGCTTCGTTCTGCGAAATGTCGGTGGTGGTTCATTTTCCTGGTCTTGATTGCTTGGATTAGGCAATGGTGGAACCTTGAATATAGGCCTCTTTGATGAGCTTGATGACTTGGAGGATCGATATGATAATGGGCCTGCCGGTGTTGGTGTCGGCCTTCCATTTGTGTCTGGCAGCGACCGAGGGAGTCTTGGATTGCTCTGTCCTTCTGGAGATGTTGGTCGTGAGGGAAATGGGACTTGCTTGGGTTGTACAGGGCTTCCTTGTAATATGAGGAGGTCGTCTGGCAGGTCCTGCAGATCCATCTCCTTCGCCCTGCGACCGACTTCCATCTCAGGAGTGCCCTGCTCGAGTTCTGGCTGATATGCCTCTAGTTCCTCCTCTTCACTCTGTCGTCGAACCATTCCCCTACGGACAGGCCGGTGGAGCAATGCACCTCCAATACGTCGGACACGCATAGTGCTTTGAGGTCCATTGTCCTCACCACGTCGTTGGCGCGTTACGGTCGATGGAACGGCGCCGTATTCGTCATCTGGATTGGCCTGCAACTCTTCTTGAGGTGGGCTGCGGTTGCGAGCGCCACTATGAGGCTCTTGGATTGGCGATTCGTATGCTGTTGGACTGTTTGGCTTTTCTGTCGGTGGTGATCGCGAAAGCCGTCTTGAATCGCTAAGACGAATTCTTCGTGGTCCGGGCGCTGGCGTCTCCGTAGCATGCAAAATATCGTGCGGACGCGTTGCTGATCTGTCATGAATCTTGTACATAAAAGATCCATCTCTCGCAAGTGCCGAGGGAGGGCCAGGTCTTAATCGTGGTGCAGGCCGGATATCCCGCGCTGCAGGACTCCCGTCGTGATGTAACTGGGGACTTGATTCTTGTACAATGTCAACGGGGTTTACTCTGCTCAGCCTTTTGGAGGTGCTAATTCTTGTTCGTCGCGGTCTGGGCTCCAGGTTTTCCTTGTCTGATTCGAGGCGGGCATTGTCTTCACCCAAGATTGCCTGAGCTTCGGCACTCAGCTTTATTGGAGCAAGATCGTCGTCGTCGGAGCTATCGCCCGTCAAATTGGAGCGCATATGTGCATTGTGAGGTATCGTGGTGGTTTGAGGGATTGGATGTGGGTGGAAAGGAGCTGTGCGCGTGGTTGCCCTGGGATGAGACCTTCGTGATGCACTGAGGGAGGATGCGAGGGCAGCAGGAGTGGGCGACAAGTGAGCTGACATGGCGTAAGACTATAATTCAACAGTAGTGATAGCAGTGCTAAAGCTCATCATGCGCGCAAGTTGGTTCTATTGGTATACATCAGCATCGGACGCGATCAATTCTGTTTAGAGAAGGCCAGAAAGCTGAGACGTGGAGTCGACTCGGGCGAGGAACTGGCGGATAATCTTCGGAATTCTCCGAAAACATACGTTGTCACGGCAACCACCTCAGGCTTTATTGTAAATGCATGCACCAGTCTGTCTCAGTTGCATGCACCACGGAAGATATACGAAAGATGTACAGGCACTTGGAATACCGGAAACAGTCTTATGTTGTTGCCATCCATTAATTAGCCTAGTCTTTCGACAACGAGTCCGGATGCAAAGACTCAGGCCTTTGACACCCAGTCAATAACCAGAATATGCCTGCGCCTCCGCCAAAATGCTGTGACAAACGCTTTGCTCAAACAAGAAAAGATGCTTTCAACTGGTCAGACTGCCCCAACCATACCTGACATTGATGACAAATTGAGGATTCCACGCTTTTGCTCTCTCCAGACTATAGACCGAAAATGACGCCAGCAAAGATGACGGCACCGACGGTGGCTATGCCATACATGCGACCTGCTTCAATCAACATCCTGGTGGGAGCCGAGTTGGATGAGCTCCCAGATGCAGGACTTGATGTTGCAGTACTACTGCCGCCAAAACCAGTGTATACCACCCCATCGGACACGGTGGACGCTGCTCCTTGTGCCGTGGAAGTGGAAGTGGTCATGGTTGAGGTTGATGTGGTGTTGACTCTTGTCGGGTTCGTTGCACCACAGGGGTGGTCTTGTATGCAGGCAGCTGCACAAGTGTTGTCCAGGCCACAAGCCTCTTGACAATTGGTATTGTATTGAGTGCAAATATAGTAGGGAATGGTGAGGGAATATTCTGTAAACGGTATCAGCAACGGGGTCTTGGTGGGTGACAGTCGGCCAACCTACCAGAAGCATTGGGAGACAAGCCGTTGCTGCAGACGCAGCTGTAGGACAGGGTCACTGGATCACACGTGTTTGAGAAGGTGCCTGCGCTGTTACCCTCCTCTTGTAGACAGATCAAGGGACATTGGGCTTCTTGGGAACTGCACCAAGCCTCTTGTCATCGATATCAGCAAATTGCGAGATGATTAACGTGGAGAGATGAGGTTGTACATACCTCTTAGGTCTAGGGATACTGAGTTGGGGTCGATGGTTTGTGAAACCACCAATGTGGCCATGGCAGCCAGAAGAATTGAAGGTAGTGAAGTATGCATGTCGAGAGGGTGATTGATCACGTTTAGAAATTCGACTGATGTAGATAGAAGACACGGCGTTGAGATTTAAGGATATAAAGAGTATTGGTGCAGAAGAATGAGAAGAGGCAATGAAGAATTACTAACGATGTTGATGTTGTGGAAGGAATGAGCAAGGGAAGAGGACGCAGAAGGAGCAACTTGAAGCACATGGACAGCAGATGGTGTTACATACAGCAAGTCGTACAGTCACTCCTCCGTAAATACCTTCGGATATTAACAGAAAAGGAGAACGTACCCTACTGGCATGGGATAATCCTGGATCAAATTGTCCCCATTCAATGGTTAGGCGAGAGATGGTGACCCGCCACCCGGCTCTCCAGACTCCAGATCATAAAAAGACAAGAGTTTTGAAGGATCGAGGAAGCACACTGAACAGAGGACGGCAACATTGTGGATGTGGTGTATGTGGTGGCGGTAGGGTGACTTGTCTCAGTCGTGCGTCGGCCGTCAGACTTTTTGTAGACAGTTGCATGCAGATGGACGTTGTGAGGACATGATATCGAGTCAAGTCATTTGTCTAGACCCAATCACCACAGACGCGGCGAGAATCACTCTACGGAGTAGGTGACATGGGGAAGCTAAATAATAAGGATGCCCCCGTCGTGCCCCCCGGGGCACCTCGGCCCTCCAATCCAGTAAGCCAGTGGCTCTAGGCCCAAAGATCTATTGGCTTTAGGCCTGAGGCTTGCCTGAGTCTCTTTTTTCTTGGATCCCACCGCCCGGCCACTAGTCTCAACCACTCCGCGAGGCTCGCCAAAATTAGTTCCCAGCGGCATTTTGACGTGCTATATGCATACGAAGTTAGACGTGGCGAACGTCAATGGAATCTGATCAGATTAGACGTATATGCTATGTGATCTGCTGGGTATTTGAATAAGGAAAAATGTGTGTGAATGGGCGTTATAGAGCAGCTCAGCCTACAGTTACTGGACGTGGTGGATTATGAGTTCTTGAAATTAGGGAAAAGGAAGGGAAAAGAGGGCCCTCGGGCGCAGGGAGACGTCGACGGACTGCTTATTTATTATTATTATTATTATTATTATTATTATTATTATTATTATTATTATTATTATTATTATTATTATTATTATTATTATTATAAACGCTCCCAACTTCATCACTCTGTCACACCGTCTTGACTGTCTTGCTTGTCAATTGTAAAGTGGACCTCGTCTGGTGGCTTGGCGCCAGGTTAGGCTTAGACCCGAGGTCGGACTCAGCTTCCCGCATCTGTGGCGAGACTCGCTCATCCATGCTGTGCCAGACTGTCTTGTCCTTTACAGCGACGCCATGCTTTTAGTTTTCAAGTGTCTCTTTGACCCAAACCTCCGTCCAGACTCCAGACTCTCAGCCAGACAATATCATCTCCGCCAGAACGAACTGGCACGTCTGACCAAGTCTTTCGCCACCGAACCACTCACACGCATACCATACGTCTGTCTTCCTGGTTTGTCCACCCAATTCATGGCCAACACGATCTCGTCGACCCACTCCCAACACAGGTTGTTACGTCTCTAGCGGGTGCGAACTCATGCATCAGCCACATGCATGGCCGACAAAACCTCTACTCCCAATGATGCCGATCCAGGCCCCGGTTTTCCGAATCCCAACAATCCAATGACACCAATATCAAACCATACTCCTCCACCTTATTGGCAACACAGCAGGGGACCGTCATACAGCAACGATTCCACCTCGGACCATCTCCCCGCCATCATTCTTGAGGACAACACTTTGACCAAGCCCACGTCGAGTAGTGGCTTGTGGGCGAGATCCATAACCATCGACGACTATGTCATTGTCCACGGCCGTCACTCGATTGGAGCCTATGTCGTTTGGAACTGCAAAGTGCAGACTCTCGACGGAGGCCCCATGATGATCCGAAAGCGATACTCGGAATTTGATGAACTGCGCCAAAAGCTGGTCGCCGCCTTTCCGCTCTCAACAAAGTCATCTCTGCCCCCGTTGCCTCCAAAAAGTGCGATATACAAGTTCCGACCTAAATTTCTGGAACAGAGACGCCAAGGTTTGGCTTATTTTCTCAACTGTGTTATGCTCAACCCCGAGTATGCGGGATCAATTATTGTCAAGGACTTTATCTTCCCACCAGATCTGTGAAAACAGACAACGGATTCATTTGAGCACACCACATGATGCATGGACCAGGTTTGACGATTTCACGCACTGATGTACTTCCAGTGTCATTCACTATTATCCCGTTTAATTAATTCTAATGTCGTTGCGGACTCTATGACTTCTGGGCATCATGGCCCCAGTTCTTCAAACTTTTGTATGAATTGCTCTCTGTGTCCTGCTTGGCCTTCTCTTCCTGAGCGAGATGTCTTTTGTTGTAAGCTGCGACCTTTCTCATGTGGGCAATGTCATCCTGGTCGTATTTGGATGGATCCTTTTTGGGGTTCTTTTGAAGGATTGCGATGATTTTTCTCCCGCTGTACACAAAGTCAGCCTTTCCAAGTCACCAGAAGATATCTTACCGCACCTTGTATCATCACGTCACTCCACGCTGAATTCTGGAAGGAGCACTGCTGGGATTGTGGTTGGTCGTTCCTACCTCTCGTGTCCGACACTTTCCCCCGAGCCGTCATCCTTGGACCAACCAGAATTCTGAGATGCTTCTAGCTTGAGCCATTTCTCCAGCTCGTCTGCTGTCATGTTGACAGTCTTGTTGAAATCCCTGTCGTATCACTCATTAGCAGGATACCACAGCGATGCGTTCACGTTTCACTTACTTGATGACATCTTGGTCGCTCTTCACCATATTGGAGTGTACGCGGTTACAAGTACCGCGGATAGGAGGCTTGGTATGGATACAGGTAGTATGTGGGATCTGGCAGTCAGATACCTGGAGATGAATTTATGTATGGACCCATGACCTCCATCGGGTATCTAGTAATGTAATCCGTGACACGGCCCATCGAGTCATGACGTAAGTCAGTGATGAAGTCAAAGCACTGCGAATATTTATACTTGGTTGTGGCATGTATACCGTGTGCACGATGCATGCCACAGCCTTGAATCTCTTTATGATTTCGCCCTGGCTGCTAACATACAAGTTGTCTATGATAAATGTCAGAGGACACATATCACATGACATGGGTGCAAACTTGAGGCAAGGAGTCGACCCACATTCGTCAAGGATAGTAAAATTCATGCCTCTTGTATATAACAAACATCATCATGACTCTCATTATTGAGCCCTGCCAACAAGTCGACAGAAATCGGCAATGTGCTGAAGTCGGCGGCTGATGTTGTCCGACAGCAATTTCAGCAGCCGCGTGCAGTCCCACCTGTCGTAGTATGAGACGGATGTGGCGCCCGCAAACATCAAACCGTGACGTGACGGGATGTGGCTGGAGCTCGTGTCGAACCACAACCACGCCGTGGCCATGCGTATGACAGGTCTGGGTCAGAGGCTTCTTCGGCTTGTTGATGACATGACGACAATCCTAGTCAAGCTGACCTACCACCATCAACCGCCCCAGTCCAAGACTCTGTTCTGCAGCCTCGAGGTGGGCGAGGGGCCGTGATGGGTCTAATAATTACCTACCGTCTCGTCACACTCAGGGTCTTCGGATGTCGACTGACTGACGAGGCAAGGGGAAAAAAGGGATCCTCGCACGAGTGCTTTAGCACAGTAGCTACTATAGGTAGGTACCATATGACCTAGCCATCTTTGTCGAAAAACAATATTGGTTGGAGAAAAAGGGAAAAGCCCGCTCTGGTCCCTGGAGCCACGATGCTGCCCAGACCATGTTGTCCAATTGATTGGGCCAGTCCCAACATCATCCACCAAGCTGTGGAAAGCAGAACTCCTGGACACTGATCCTGATCCTCTGTTTGGGCGCCGATGGACGTTGTTCATTTGTTCCTGGCTGCCTGGGCACCAGTAGCACCAGTAGCACCTCGGGCACCCGCTCGCCTGGGCATCCAAAAGATGACTTGGCCTGATTGAGTGCTGTTAGGGTGCCAGATTGGGGTTTCTTCGGGCTCTGGTTGGTAGTGCCTGGTGTTTGGTGGCACTTGGTGGCACTTGGTGGGTGCCCAGTGGGTGCCCAGTGGGTGCCCAGTGGGTTGCGTTGGTGCCCCTCGATGCCCCTCTGATCGCCTGCTACACTTCTATGGTTTTAGGTTCGGCCCACTTATGATTAGCCTCGAGGCCCAGGGCCGAGGGGGCGTTCCGGGAGGCTTGAGGTCCATCAGAATCCCTGAAATTCACAAACCATTAGGTCAGGTCGACACGTCAAATGAACGAACGCGACTCCTGCAACTTCATCTTCGAACCGTTGACCACCGACCCTGACCACGACCACAAACACACAACACACAACCACACAATCCAACTTCCATCCATTCACCTTGCCTGTTTAGTTCTCGTTTCTCCTTGCCCTGGTCATCCTTCCAAAGGTACTGCAGCAGTGCAGCCATTCACTTTGTTCCTTGCAGCCGGCCATTTCTCGTCTTCTCATACTATCATCTATTCCAGTTCATTCGCAGCCTGGCCAGCCCATCCTTTTGTCTCGTCTGCCTTGTGCGCTGTCCACTCTGCCAGCATCCACTCCTTCGCATTTTGCCCCGACTTCGACATCAACATCAACATCAACACCCCTCGTGCGACTTTGATCTCATTTCCTCAATTTACCTCGTGTACCTTCTCCTTTCGCGAGTTTCGACATCTCCCCAGTCAAGCGCCTCATCTTGCGCAACTGCATCTGCCCCGGCTTGGGCTTCCAGCGTACCCCCTGAGCCCCAATACGACTGCCTTTCTACGCCCTCCAACTAAATTTACACCTTTGCCAGACCGCAAACACTTCACAGACTCACTGCTCCTTTATCTCCGCAGTCCGCTAATTCTACCCTTCGCCAATCTCTCCCGCGACAGATCACATCAAACCCTTTCCGCAGCCATCCCGCTTCGTTCAATCTGCTCTCCAACTGTAATGAGGACCGGCTAGGACCCTCGATCGATCCCTCTCGAGACCACCTGAAAGGATGCCCTTCTTCTCAAAAGTTTTCAAAAGCAGGGATGTCGGCGTTAAGAAATCCACTGTGCCCTTGGCCAAGGGAGACTCGCAGAAAATACCCCAATGGTCCGATGCCTGGATTAGGACGAGGATCGACCCAGAAGAGGTTGTCGAGTTGTTGCATTTGTGCACCGTGGAATTAAAGTCAAGGGGTCAGTGGATCGTGCCTTGAAGTTGCAATCTATACTAATATCTCTTCAGCGTTGGACGTTCCCTTCCTTCTCCTTCCCTTTAGGCCCTCCTCAGACCCCTCCGCCGCCAGGACTTTTGTGCGCAATTTCTTCGTTCCCCCACAAGATCGAGAGCAGTTACAAGGAACTCTTCTGGAAAATGAATTGAGGATGACAGAAGTCATGGTAGGCTGTTTGGTATTCTGCGATAACCAACCCGCTAACTCCTTCAGGTCTTGATCAGTGTCATGAAATGGTGTTGGGCACGACTTCCAGGAGGTATTGTCACCTGGGAAGTCTACGAGGCTTTCAGGGTTGGAGAAAAAGGTGAAATATCGTCGCCTGCGAACCGCAAAACACATGCTGACCATGCCCAGACTCGAATTTTGCCCGCGATGCTTTCAGCACTTTCATCCCTCTGAGCACAGATTCGCCTGCCCGTGTCCAGATCATTCAGGACTTTTTCGACCTGCTCGCTGCCGTAGCAGCACACGGTAAAGCCAATGGCCTTGGCGGTCATAAACTTTCAAGATTTGCCGGCTGGTGGGCATTTGACCACTATGACGATGGGCAGGGCTTCGAATCGGGATACAAATCCTGGTCAAGGTACGCTGCCTCAACGTCGCATCCTCCCCTGCTAACCGTCTCCAGTGCCGCCGATGCCTCCTCGCACTTGTTCTTCGCCTACCTGAGGTCACTCTCTGGGGGACCAACACAGTCTGGCATAATGACATTGCCTCGCTCCCTTCAGCAGTTGCTGGATGCCACAATCTATCCTCCAAAAAGTGCTCTTCTCTCATATCACACAACAAAGGTCGTTATGATTGTCGATGTTGTGTCTCCTACTCCATATGCCTTGTTACGAAGGACCAAACACTTTGAGTACCGCGACGATGATCGCGCCTTGCAGCAGTTTTCAGATTTCGATGACCCTGTCGCGGCCTTGACGGACGAATGTAGGCGGGTCTTGAAATCCATTTCTTCCGCTAATCAATCGCACGTCTCAAACTCCAAGACTTCAACCAGCCTGACAGACCCTTCTTGGTCTAGATTCGAAGATATCGGCTTTTCAAGCTCGTTGACTGACGAGGATGATGAAGATGGTGACGGGTTACTTGGACGCAGACCCATCGTCAGCAAAGCACCACGCAAATCTAATACAGGGGGGTTTCAAGACCTGGCACGCCCAACAACGCCATCGTGGGCCGACTTCTTGTCTTCTGGATTTGCCGATGAGAATGGCTCCAAAGCTCAACCACCCATTCTGTTGCCCCCTGACAAAATTCTCCCTCCTATCGATTCCATCATGCCCAGGGGACAGAGTTCTCAGTCTCACCGACGCAATCTGGATACTCAGGCAAACCTGGATCCCGGTGAACTTGCAAGCATCACACAGATTGACATGGACGATGCATTTTGGTGGGTATGGATCAGTAGCTTGGCCCCGGAAGAAGTCACGAGTAGAAAGGCTGTATTTGGCCGATGTGCATTGATCGAGACTACTTTGGAAGATGGTCAATGGATGGTCATGGAAGAGCAGGTCAAAGGCGCTGCGCCAGAACCTGCGGTCGGAGCATACATTGCGGAGAAAAAGACGTTTTTGGGCTTCACGACTAGACGAGGCCGTCTGACCCGAAGAAGATCTGGACACAAAAAGAGCCCGCTTTCACCTGATCCACAGCTTACAGGTAGCGTCCGAACCACTCTTGCTCCAGATCAGCAGGCCAAGATTCAGCAAGCCGCAGCAGAATTGTCGAGGAGAAAAGCTGCAGAAGAGAGCAGTCAAAAGGCAGAGCTCGCAGCTCGTCGTGGTCGCCACCAGGACACCGATTACGCCTCGAAAACAAATAGCGTCTTTACCCTGGGCCCTCTGATCAAAGATGAGGCTTCTCCGGCGCTGCAATGGGCGAGTCGATACGACAAGCAGGCAATCCGAGCCAAGTACTTGGGTGATTCGATGGCGGGCAGAGGCTCCCGAGAGCTCCTCAATCTCCCCTCCAATGGCCTGGGGGTCACTCGGTCTGCCTCGTCCCTTTCGAATGTGAGCAGGAACAAGGATCTCCCAGTGCCGCCCCAAGAAAATGGCTCGCACCCGGCACTGGAGAAGAGCCGTTCCTCGGAAGCGGTCACCAGGCCGGTCGTGATCGAAAGTGCCGCTATGCCTGTGGAGCAAAGTATCCCCGTGGACGAGACTGCCGCAACAGAAGCAGCTGAAGTTCCTTTGCCCCTTGCCACACCAGACCCGGCAGACCATAAACATGTCAAGCATCAACCAGCAAAATTGCGCAAATCGGTAGATGGGAAGAGAACGTCCCCCGAGCAGAAGAAGCCTCGAGTCAAGGCAACCCCTGGGCCGCCTCCTGTGCAAAAGAGTAGCGGAATCAGGCGGCTTTTTGGCACAAAGCGAGGAAGATCGCAAGAGAACAAGCACTTGGAGTCAAGAGCGTCCACGACAGTCCTCCAACAAGAGGACGAAGCAGCCGTAGCTGCTGCGAGACGAGCACTCGAGGGCGAGCCTGCACTGCCGTCAGACGCGCCAACATCGCCGCCTCTAAGTCCCAATCATTTTGACCGGTTCAAGACGGCGAAAGGGAGCACTCCTCAGCCGGCGTCAGTGGACGAGAGAGAAGCGTCACAGGTGACAAAGGCAGATGACCAAGAAGGTCTGGTTGAGGTCGAAGCTGCTCAGAGTATTCCGCATTACGGAGAACTGAGTAGAGATGCGCCCGAGCCACCACGAACTCGTCGCGATGATGAATACGACCAGCTGTCAAGGGTGGACACCAACGAACGCGAGCATGCTGATCGCGAATTCTCTACATTCGATCAAGGCCCGTTGCTGGACCAGCCCGCGTTTGTACCATCTGAGACACCACCAAGAAGTGAGTTCCTGACGCCGGCGGAAGAGTTTCCACCTCGGCAGACGTCTGCGAGCGTGCATTCGTACCAGCGAGGAGAGCCTGAGGTGATTGAGGAAGAGCCGCCCGAGTTTGAGAAGCAGGTGAATCCGTCAGACCGGTGGGCGCAAATCCGCAAAAACGCGGCAGATCGCGCGGCGAGGCAGTCGGAAGAACAGACGACACGAAGTCGCACTGAGACTCGTACTGATGACGGCGAGACGAGCGGTGAAGAAAGTAAGTATACGTTAAACTGGCGTATCGAGGAGGTTGGCTAACATCAGTCATAGCCATCGAGTCGCGCGTAGCACGCATCAAAGCGCGTGTGGCAGAGTTGACAGGGAACATGGACGCGGCCAGAAGGTAGCATATCTGCCTTGAGGCCGACTTGTAATTGGTTCACGACGGAGCGACTTGATAATTACACCACACCTTGGATGGCTTCATCGACAGCAACGATGACTTTTTTGCTGACCATTTTAATTCCCATTGACCGGGCACAAGAGGCTTCCGATGGGCTTCCGACGGTCAACAGCGAGGCGTTTCTGCGGAGATGACGGTTATCTTTCCTTGTATTTTGGGACATTGCTTATTATATTTCAGAGTTGGTTGCTCTGCTCATGTCTGCTGTACAAGAGATACCACCTTGAGCGTCACATACCTTTGCGCGTGCATTGATTGATTGAGCAAGACTTGCATTGATGCATTCAACAGCCACGCCCTCAAAGTAGAATTCTCTGTCCAGCAAGCAAATACCGGTTAGCGCATGCTTGATTGTTTTTGTGGAGGAAGTGGGCGGAGGGCTTGAGATGGGGTTCGATCAGTTCTAGAGAAAGCAATGTGCGAGACGGGTGATGCAAATCAAGACGATTGAAGACTCTTAAGAGAAGCCAAGATATGCGTCTACTATCGTCCAAGATATTGTGGATGATACGGTGGTGCATACGAGTATGTTGATGGAGTAATAATAATGAGTTAGAGCCATGTCTGCTGCTAAGATAGAGGGTAGCCGCACAGTCATGATAAAGCAGCGTGAGATTAATACAATACGACATGGTGCACACAGTCAGGTGCGGAATCAGAAGCACAGATACAAAGAAGTACAGATGCGGCTTTGCCGATATGAATGTTAATATCCGATTCGTCTAAGGATAAGTTGGACGACACACAGGAGTATACTACGATACTACTGTGCGGCACTGGCGGTCATGGTGGTGGTGTGAGATGGATGTGAGTGGATGAGGTCAGGAATGGGATGTTAAAAACAGGGCTAAATAGGTACAAGCTTGCTGATACCAACTGCAAAGGTTCTTGATTCTTGCATGGTGGGATCCATCCCGTGCATTCCCACGTTAGGGAAAGCGTACGAGAAGAGCCTCTCTTGGGATAGTTAAGCATGGCTGACAGAAACGAAGATTCTTGGGCCTTGAGATGACAGCTACATATGACAGTCTGACAGGTACTAGGTCCGGGAAATGCATGAGGGACAATGTGATGAGTCGATGAATGGCTGACGGAAGTGCAACAATGGGTGTGAATTAGGTACATACACCTACTAATAAGATGCTGGAGCATCAGACTACCTTAGGTACCTAGAGGAGGTACAGTACTTCGGACTCCTAGGCGCAGATGCCACCCTACTCGACATACGAGAAGCACCCTGACACGACACGACATGGTAGGTGAACGCATTCTATCGACCACGTCACCAACTTGAAACGCTAGTGAGAGTTGCGGGTCACTTGGCTTCACAGCCACCACAAGCCACTCTGGCAGCACTTGGTCACCGGCACAAGTTTGCTGGGCATGCTCAGGCGCTTAATTCGACGAATCCTGGGAGCCTGTCGGTGTTACCTATCAGTCTTCTGCACATAAGGTACATGCCTATCAAGGTACTGCTGTATGTGCTCGTTATTCGTACCACCACAGCATGTAGTGGCCATCTATAGTCTCCATTATTATGTGTACGTATTGAGAAATGATTGTCCATCATACCGAGATGCTGAAACAAACGCCTTATCTAAGTACGAATATGTAAGAGAGTACTCTGTGGGCAGGCTCCCCTGCAATCACACTCGAGGCTACCAACAATCTCGAACAGTTCGAATCAGAGGATCGTGATGGTGGCTTGTGTGGGCCAACCTCAGTGAAGTTGAGGAGGTTCGAGATTCGTATGGAAAGAATTCTCCGGGCACCTGCGTCCAGCGGGAAAGTGGCAGAGGGTGTCAGAGGGGCCTAACGGCCAGCTAGCCAGTGCTTGATAACGACAAGTGGTGCAGTGCAAATCTCCTCAGAGTCACATCTTCAATCAATTCTTCGTTAGGTAGCCACTCCACTCCATACGACTTACTTTTACTCGTAAAACTCTAGAACTTAACGCTCTAGTTAGCACAGTAGTATACCCTATGGGCGACAACGACGCCGGCAATGGAGGGAAGTTTTGTTGACACTGTCTTACCCATGGTTGTCGTCCATGACAAACGAATCAAGTACGTGCCTACCCAACGGGCGCAACTGTGGTTGGTCGTGCTGGGATTATTTAGTTGGCACCGCCTACCAGCAAGGACACCCTCTAAGCCTTAGTATGCCCCGAAACTCGGGTGCTTCTGGGTCCTCCGGGCCGTGGTGGGCCTTAGGGGCCCAATGGAACCAATTACCACAGCCACCGTCAACACCTGTCTGCGAGATGCTGAGATGTCCAAGCTGACGCGAACCTGATGAAAGAGTCCAGCACCACATCTGATCACTGCAACTTGCGCTTGGACCAAGGGGCGGAGGGGCCGAGGGGGCCATCGGGCTCTTTAGACCCTCCGGGCATCAGTCTTAGCAGACTTTGGTTAGTTGGGACGAGATGCATGCATTGCAGCATTACAGTACAACAGAAGCAGCATCTCAGCTCAACGATACTCAAGAAGGCCGAGGGCCTCCAGGTGCCAGCCTCAGTATTGAGCACGGAGCAAAGTCCTTGCTCAGCGCCCATAGGCTCCTCCTACCCTTCTGCCCTCATACCCTCCGACCCTCATAGGCCCATTATTCCTCGCCGCTTGCCTCCCATCATTCATCCTCCACCCACCTCGTCTTCCCTCTTTTCCTTCCACGTCGATTCCTCCAACTCTTCTTTTCTATCTTTAGCAATCCTTCATACCCACATCCGCTCCAATACTCATCGCGCATATCCCGCCTACCAAACTCGTCCATTCCTATCCTACTTGCTTCTTATTGACGCCCCTCCATCTAGACCCGCTGCTTTGGTAGCTTCTGGTCTTTTGCCTCGACCACGCCATTCATCCTTGCCGCACCCCAGGGTCTTGGTCGTCAAAGCGTCATTTTACCTTGTCCTGCCGCTCTCTGTACTCCTGCGCTCTCCAACTACACCCATCACAAAGCCATCTCGGCTTGCTATCGTGGCAACAGTCTTGTCAAATCTTCCGCCGCTACCTCTTTGTTCGTCGCAACCGCTTTGGGTTTCACTCTGTTCCAAAAGAGCCCTCGAGCCCATCCCCGCAACCGGCACTTGCTTTGAGAGAATTCATCCACACACGACTCGTAACATCCTTTCTCGCCCCCCATATTCCTTCCTGACGCGCATGCTCAAAATATTTGACAAATATGGGTCGGAGGAAGATTGAAATCAGAGCCATCAAGGATGATCGCAATCGCTCAGTGTATGATGAATCACCTGAACAGCCACCTCAAACCTCGATGCTAACCACTCTTTAGGACATTCCTCAAACGCAAAGGAGGTCTCTTTAAAAAGGCATATGAGCTCTCCGTTCTTTGCTCCGTCGATGTCGCCGTCATCATCTTCGGTCATAACAAAAAACTATACGAGTTTTCCTCCGGCGACATCAACGAAACCCTCCGACGCTACTCATATTACGGTCCTCCTCATGAACATAAGGGTCCGGGAGACTTCAAAGGAAAAGGCGGAGATGATGATGACGATGAAGATGAGGATGATGATCAGCCTTCTCACGCCCGGGAAGACTCGTTACCACCGGCGCAGGCGATGCCGCACGTTTCGCACCACAACGCTTTTACCCATGTCCAGCAACCAATGGCTTCAGTCTCACCGCCCATGCCCAATGGCGTTTTCCAGCGACATTCAACCCCTCAACCCCAGCTGATGGTCTCGAGGCCGCCCTCTCAAAACATGATTCGAAGAACGAGTTCGACTCTGGTGCCCATGCAACAGCACCCGACGCCAACCCCGCCCCAAAACGGATATGCCTACACTCCCAATCCGCCCATCTACAACCCGAGCGCAGGTCCCAGCCTGCCTCCTCACCCTTCACCTCAGCCTCAATACCAACAGTTCCCTCCCCAACAGCAACATGCACCTCAGCCGACTCCACCCCCAACCCAGATGCCACAGGCCCACCAACAGTATCTACAAGAGCAGCAGCGCCAGATCCATCCGCCTCCCGCCGTGACTCAACCCACCCTCCAGCCCCCTGCTCTCCCTCAAGCCCGCACCTCACCTCGACCAGAAAACCAGTCCCTGCGGCCGCCTCCACAGACAAGCCCACCTCAGTCGAAGCATGGATCGTCCAAGTCTAGGAGTATCTTCACACCCATCGACGAGGGAGGCTCCGTCTTGGCTCAACATTTCTTCGGAGCCCCTGATCCCCCAAGAAGCCAACGCGAAGACGATGTGCCGTCCCTCGATATCAAGCCTCCGCCCCGAAGCATCCCATCTCCTCAGATAGCCCTTCCCACCACTCAATCCGCTATTCGATCTCATACCACCTCTGTGCCTGAATTTGCTCCCCCACAAAGGACCAACACAACAGGGTCCAAGTCTGGCGCTCGACCCAAATTGAATTTACAGATACCTTCAGAGGCCGAGGACAACGACTCTCCCACAGGAGGATCACCTTTGCAGTCAGCGGGCCCATCCGCCAACCCGGCCCGGAGTGGAGATCATATTGTCCTCCCCCCTCCGTCGCCGAGTGCGTCGGCGGTTATGTCGGCTGGAGCGAGTGGCCCGCCCAATCCATTTGCACGACCCCCTCCGCCAGCTTCTAATCAGAACCGAGATGCATATGGGGACAACCGTAATAACATCGAGACACCCATCTCAGCCCTGCCTAGTCGTTATATGAACAACGACCTCCTCCCGAGTCCGAGCAATTTCTTCAGTGAGTGGTATGACAATGGTCGGAATTCTGCAGTCCTGCCAAGCCCACTGGTTTTCCCGACGCCTTCGAATGATCGGGGCCTAGGTTTCGGCAGTCGAGACCAGGCAAATGAGAGCAGCGGAGAGAAAAGGAAAGGGAGTGTAGATGAGCGAGAAGGCGATGCGAAAAAGGTCAAAGCTTAGAATTGGTTTGCCGAGCGACAACGTTGATGATATGTGGTGGGATATTGAAAACATACTGCGATGACGACCTATTACGACTTGCACATGCGGAATTGGAGGACTCAACTGGATATTTGTTCACCAAGGAATTGGCGAGGTTGTCTTGAATGCGTTGTGACAAGGCACTACATCAAGAGCTCCAGTCTGGACCAGGGATGCTCTACTATGCATAGCGTGGAGTGTGGAAGATGTTTTTTTTTTTGCGAATGAATATCAATCAGATTGGATCGATTGGAAGAATTGAGACCCGCTCAGAGTCTCGTGAGAGGGCAGAACGGCCGTTGGAAGGATTGTTGCCCTGATGCGTGGGGATGTGGTTCTGGACGGATACCTCCACAACCATAAGCAGGGATGATCAGATCAGTAATTGTTGTTTTTCAAAAGGAGGCCTTGGTACAATCAAGCACGTCACATTGATCTCAAGATCGAGTTGCCTTGGGCGTTTCGTCGTCATTCTGATTCGTAATCTTTAGTCTTCAGTGTGTGGAATGAAGCCTATAGCCTATAGGACGAGTCCGGCAGTGATCACTCATCGGGAGGGCATCTGATTTCTTGATCAAACAAGACTTGCCACGGTTGTCTGGTACCAACCTACTCTGTTCGGGCTGGTCAGATGCTGTTGTTGATGGAATCCTAGTTCTGACAATTAGACGAGCTGTTGTGTGATTCGATTCGGCGGCTGACCTCGTGACTTGACGTGGTCCGTCAATTCTCAGCATCAACTCAAGTATCATGACAATTGACAAGGTTTCCATCTCCTCGGGGCACGTTATTCTTCGTTGTCGCCGACACACTATGTAACAAACGCCTTCGCTTCGACTGTCTACCCATAAAGCTTCAAGTGTAGAACAGCAGCCATGAAGAGGATCATCCGCTACATGCAAGACCAAGGTGAGTCAGTCCATCTGGGACTAAACATGGACTTCACTGTTGGACCGTGGACCATATCTGATTCTGCCATGGTTCCCCCTTGAGAGAACAATGACTAACAGGATGTTGTAGCTGTTCAAGCTGCTGAACAAAAGCACTCTGGCACCGCATACCTGTCGCCGCGAGAACAAGAGCCCGATCATGACTCTCGGCCTCCCCATCACGAGACGTCCACGTCTACGGATCACTCCAATCGAGTGCCGCCCCAAACCAATCACACCTCTCTACCTCTGAATCGGCCGCTGGATCATGCCAAACAATTCCACACTCACCACCGAACCGTCTCAGCGTCGACCTTGGAACGACTGCACCGGGACATCACCCGCCACCAATATGCCGCAGATAACATCTGGCAGTCGTATGAACTATACCTTCCTAGCCACACCGTCGACCAGAGCCCTCAATTCTGGATCCTGTATATCCACGGAGGCTATTTCCGTGATGACAGTGTCACGGCCGCCAGCTTCCAGCCTGCCCTCGCCCAGCTCATCAAGACTCCAAAATATGGTCTCTCGCTGTCACATCTGGCCAAGCTTGGCGACGATCAGGAAGACATATCTTCGTACGTGGCGGCATACGCAAGCATCAATTACCGGCTGAGTCCACGCCCCCAGAAATCGCCACAGGGACCCAAGACTCCGGCGTATGAACTTCGCAACGCAGAATGGCCAGACCACGTGCACGACGTCCTCATGGCCATTGCGCACCTGCAGAATAAATATGGATTTGAGGATCGTTACCTGTTGGTTGGACACAGCGTTGGGGCGACCATGGCCCTGCTCAGCACGCTGAGTTCGACCAAGCCTCTGACCTCCGACATCTCGGTCTGCTCGCCAAGGATCCACCCTCCACTCGCCGTCCTCGCTGTGTCGGGCATCTACGACTTTGGCCTGCTGCACGACTCGAACCCAGACAGTGGATACGACGAACTGACCCGAAACGCTATCCGCCGACCCGAGGACATAGACCTTGCCAGCCCAGCGAGATACCCTCTGACCGACTACAACGAGATCTGGGCACACAGCGGCAAGAAGACGGCCCTGATCGTGGCCCATAGCAAAGACGATGGCCTGGTGGACTGGAAACAGGTCGAAGCCATTGAGAAAGTTTTTGGTCATCCCAAGGGTAGCGACCTCAATGTTGGCGAGCAATCTGTCCCAATTGGGTTTCAGGTCATCGAAATCAACGGTGCCCATAATGATATATGGGGCCACGGTACGGCGCTGGCAAAAGTCATCCGGACGGCCATCAGGGTGATGCGGACGCTATAACTTGACCAACTTGCTCTGCGATGCTTGATGCATGTTTGGTGTTGTTTCGGCTTTTTCACAGGGGTGAGATACCATGTGGTGCGACTCATCCATGGTCAATTCTAGAGCTCCAGAGCATCGATGGGCTGAACGGGAACAGAATCTCCGATGATCCCTTTGATGGGATGACAGGTGCTGTCAAGCAATGTCTTGATAAAGGGTGAGAGTAAATCACGTGATTAACGCCAGCTTCCTGCTCCTGCAGTGTCCCATTGCCTCCAATGATGTACCTTCCTCGGTTGACACATCTGCCCCCCCTGCCGCTCCTTCCTGCTTGTCTCATGTCCTTCGCACTTGCTCTGTCGACATCAATTCAACCACAAAATTGAACTGGCAAGAAAAACTCCGCCAAACTCTGCCTCTTCATATCCCATGTGTCCATGACAGAGAGCGAAATATGATCCACAAAACACTCCTGAGGGGCCCCCTCTGCCCATGGTCCGTGCAAACAGTCCTGTCTCAACTCTACAGAGGACAAGCATCCAACCTTGTTTCTGGTTGACAGTTCCTGACACCACTGTCACAATGCTTGAGACATGCTTAAACCCTTACCCTCGTAGCTTCTGTGCGTCCCTAATTATTGCAGACGATCATACTCTTGTCCGTTTCTTGTTTCGATACAAGCAAAAAAAGTCCTCCCCTAGCGTCCCTCTCCATCCCATTCCTCAACCATGACATTCGTGTAGAGATCGACAACGCTTACTCCTGCTATGGACAATCTCGGCGTCTTCCCATCAGGACATGGCCTTTCAGTTCCGAGAATGAAAGCCTCAAGCACGCGGATCTTCACGTCCTCAGCCCCTCGTTCATCGAGCTTGAGAAGCTGAAGCCTTTTGACAGCCGATTGACATGTCCAATTCCACACATGATATCGCTGCTGGTGGATCACCACCCCCTAACGACCATGCAAAGAGTTCCGTCTCTCGAGGAAAGGGATTCAAATTGGATGCCGCCCAACACTGTGGTTCCTGGTACGCAAATGTACAACATGGTATTAATCTGTGTTCCCAGTCCCCTTCTTCCGTGAATCTCCTCCATATTCGGCTTTTCACCGCCCCTCCCACCCTTTGAGCCTTCAAAACAACAACCAGGCGGCCGTGGGTACGATGGCGGCTTATGTGCCTCTGGTGAACCAGGGTCTAGCTTCGGGTGGCGATATGGTCGAGCCCTGGACATTGACGTCGGAGAGAAATATGTATCGAGGAGAAATCGTCTCAAGGCACGACTGATCGCCTCACTACCTCGCTTCGCACAGCCTGGTGGTCTTAGACATCGCAAGATTGGCCCGACATCGTATCTGGACGCTCTGCGGGGCTACGCAGCCTGCTGCGTCTCATATCCCACTCATTCAACTCCGAAGCACCTACCTGGCGCCGACAGCCTTTTGTCAGCATCGTCTTCAACGGGGCTGGCATGGTCGCACTCTTCTTCGTCATCTCGGGTTAGGCCCTGGGCTGCCGCATGTTGATGATGATCCGGAAACGAGTCGGAAAAACTCCTCAACTCGCTCGCATCCTCGACGTTTCGCCGGTACATTCGCCTGTATTTGTCCTCCATCGTCGCCATGTTCTACGCCATGGTCCTGGTCCGGCTACAACTGTACAATGGAATGCACCAGCCCATGTATCGCGATACTCTGTGGCTACAACTCGTGGATTTTATGGGTGACGTGATTCATTTTATGAACCCCTTTGGCGACATCCGTGGCTGGGTCAACCCCGGCGTCTTCGACTCAAGCTATCTGGGCGTGCTGTGGTCCATCCCTGTCGAGTACCGTGGCAGCATCGCCCTTTTTGCCTTTTGCACAGGAGCATGTAAAATGACTACCCGGGCCCGCATGATCTCGACCTGGGTCATCATCGTCTTCTGTTACATTTGGCAGGCTTGCTACATCTCGGGATTCATGGGCGGTTTCTTCATCGCCGACCTCTCCCTCAGCCGCCACCCCGAACGTTACTCGAATCTACCTTGCAATCCCGCCGTCTCAGCAGCCTCCTCTTCGACCTCATCACGCCATCAAAGCCTCCTCTCCAAGGTTGGTCACATCATCCTCCTAGTCTTGGGCATCCTTCTCCTCGGCCAGACCGACTTACACCGACTCGGCATATGGGGTGCCTTCCCCTGGGGCTACCTGAGGACCTGGGAACCCTACTGGTGGGACTGTTCCGGCAAACGCATGTTCTGCGTCGGGCCCGGCGCCTTTTTGTTGTGTTATGCCTTGGAGTTCTATCCTGCTCTACAACGTCCCTTGCATTGGCGCTTCAGCCAGTACCTCGGCGACATATCTTTTGGCATCTACGTCACCCACGTGCCCACCATCATAGCACACCTATTACAAGTTTCTCGTTCCCTGGAGAGAGGCGACCTTGGGCAGCAGCTATCTCGCTTTTTTCCCAGGCATTGTTGTGGCCTTTGTAATAATCTTCACTGTTTCGGATTATTACTCCAGGGTCGATGCCGCCGTGGTCAAGTTCGCCCGATGGTCGCAGTCAAAATTGTTTATTCAGTGGCATTGATGTTTAGCCACTGAACGTGGTTCTTTCCTGGTTTTCACGGATGGTGACTGCATATTGCATAGAAGAGCTGTGGTTGGGCCCATGGTCTAGATTCTCATCCTTTTGTCATGGGTGCTTGTTTCATGTAGTCGAATTTCACGTTGGTGCCTAGATGGCTCAAAATCTCACCAGCAAAATGAGATTGAAACTGCTGTACCAGAGTGATCGCGTGTTTATCAGTAGAGAATGTGCGGCCGATCAAACCCTCTAAATGGTGTCCTGATTGGGGATCCCAATACACCGATGTCAGGTGCCCATTTCGTCTCAAGTCCAGGAAATATCTGTCTACCACTCCTTCCAGGATGCCCAGCTTCATCGTAATCGTCATGATTATCAAGCTTACTTCCGATTTCCGGCTCAACTATACTCGGTTGACTGGAAGTCCATTGCCGTTGATATTCTTCGTCGCGAGGCCTTGTGTTGAAATGAGGTGAAACTTGGACCTCCAAATGTTCCCCGGACTCCGTATCAAGCAGCTGCTTGTCAAATAAATCCAAGCTGTTAGAACTATCGTGACCTGGGCTCATACCCAGTGCTGGATCCTGTTCAATATCATGACAGCAGGACATCTCTGAAGTTTGTTCGATGGATGGACATTGATATCCGTATGTGAGCCTGCATGGTGATCGTAATGGAGGAAGCTCGGGTGTATCAACGGCCCCAAGACGTCTGGTGTAACTCAAAGGTAGACCCATTTGGCCTGTATAACGCGCCTGGTGGTGAGTTTGCGTCTCGGCTGTGGCTCTATCAGGACGGTAGGCAATTAAACCTGACGTTTCAATGATTCCTTGTGCTCCGCGTCGATACTCCCTACCTGCTTGTATGCTACTGCCGGTATCAGTATAGACACTAGATCTGTAGTGGTCGCCGTCTCTTCTGAAACCCACTGAGGGAGGCCTAAGTTGTTTGCTTTTTGATGGATAACCTGGACTCCCTAAAACGGGAACAAGCATTGGACGTTCCTCTGCTTCCTTGCTCGCAAGGAGGAACAAGTCTTCCAAGGAGAGATATCTCTTCAAGGGCTGAGTGCTGGAACTGATGTCGCCAAAAAGCATTTTGTTGACCTGGTCCTTGACCATTTGGTTGCTCGCTGAACTCATTGGATGAATCGTCTCTGGGCGATCTGCCACCGAACTCGTCCATAATCTTGAAGCATTGCCATCGAGCATGTCAGGCCGCTTTCGTGGTGATCGATGATTCATTGGTTTAACAGGTGAGAATGACCATGGGGCGACCTGCACTGGTTCTTGAGGGTTTGACGGCCTCGAATGGGGTGTTTGAAGCATGCAATGAACCGATGATAATTTATTCATAAAGTCCCTCCTGCTGGTGATCGCTGGCGGGGTGGGGTTATCAGCTGTGTAAGCAGGCGCATTTCGTATTCTTGAAGAAGCATCGATCGATCGGGAAGAGAAAGGGTCAACCCCTTCGTCAGGCAACTTGTTCCGGGTCACTGTCTGTGGCTGCCTAACGGAGCTTGTGTTGTTGGTATGGACGAGATTGAACTTGTTGGCGAGGAATTTCATCTCAGAAAAGATGAGGTCTGGGAGACCTCTCTGGCCAACCTGTGCTGACGACCGAGCCTTGTTGAACAATCCTGGTCCAATACTCGGTTTCAATGTCAATCGCTGCGTGTGGATGTTGGGAGCCTCAAAATGGTCTATCAGCTCGGGCCCAGACTTCTTCCGCCTCTTTCTCCTAGCGCCGGGGTTGGTCGGTTGCATTTTGTTCACTTCTTGGACATTATATCTGTCTTTTCTGGTCGGGTGTCTTTTTTGACGTGCATACTTGGCTGCAGGATCTGGGATATTCGCAGACTGATCATCGGGAAGCTGGTGGCTCGGATGTTCGGTGGTTGTGGGGTCTATGGCATGAATCAATCGCTATAGAAGTATTGCTCGCAGGAGATGAGGATTACCTAAGATAGCAGGCTTCTGGAAATTGTGCCGGTCCGGTGAGTTGTCATGCCTCCTAGCTGAGTTTTGATCTGGGTCTCTGCGACCAAAATGCTCATCTGTACGGACAGTGCAGTGGTCGGTAGGGCTGTTGGGGTGAAAGTCATTGCTCATGGATGTGTGTAGCCATCTCTCAATGAATTCATTCGCGTCAAAAGGAGGCTGGCGATGTTGGGACGACATCATGAGGAACGTGCGGGTAAGGAGGGTTCCCTAGTAAGCGAGGCGCGAAATAGAGATTGGTGTTGAAAGGAAGATACAGGCATCTTGAGGGACGCATGTTGAACGATGTGATGGTCGCCTCCAAAGAATGGGAAAGAACTTGAAGCGTGTTCGGCCCAAGTGGGTGTAGGAAGGTGCGAATGCATCATGTCACGTTGGTGGCTGCCTTCGTTTGAATCATGAAAACAGCACACCCACAAGCATATATCAGCCTATATCAACATATATCAGCGCATACATCGATTGTTTACCTTGCAAATGAAGACTCTTTTCCCTTCATGACTCCAGCTCTTGTCATCGTCGGCGATATATGACGTGGCATCACTCACTCCACTCGATTCCCTGGATCGATGCACTCATTGTATCTCCAGCATTTTATCGTATATGAAAGAAATTATCAAAAGCTGTCTCCTTCGTCAGAGCACATACAGGACAAAATGGGCATTATGGTGTCCTGCGAGATATTTCGTCGGCGGTGACTTCTGACGAAATCACGCCATCCGCAGGGGGTGAGGGCGAATCAACTTGTTCGTCTTTGGTTCTGACGAGTTGAAGAAGCCGACGGTTTGATGTCGAGCGTGTCAATCAATATGACGTCCTTAAAATTAGCAATGCGTCTCACAGAAACAACTTGGGCATCGTCATTCGTGGAGAGTTTCGTGCTTCCTTCTTTCGGGCAAAAGCCCGGCCAGACGAAATGATTTTGATGCCAACAACGCCTAGCATCTAGCCGGTTTCCCATGATGAATTGATTCTTCTGATTCATGGGGACAGGGCACGACCTTTCCCAATTTAAACCTAGTGGCGGCATTTGATGGAGCTACTTTTCGAAGCGAAGCCCCAGATACGACTCTTCCTACACTCTCGCTTCTGCAATTGGAAGATCAGTGGGAAGACCAAACATCTTTAGCTTCGAAGGTCTGCATGGATTTTCGCCCAAAGGACGGCATGAAGGTCCAGTGGGCTCAATTGCCTACATGAGCCTCAGCAATAATTCCTCGAATCCATCGGTCGAGTCGACAACTAGCGATCAGGAGAGGCCGCCAATCCCCATTCATATCCAGCCGTTGAGATCATGAGTCTGTTTATTGCCGAATAGCTTTCAACTTGAACCTTTTCCCAACGCCTTTCAACGGCGATGGCGTCTCGCTTATAAACGGATGACATGTCAATATAGCAAGTCGCAAGATGCCCAATGGTCGGCGCTCACGTTCATTCTGGAACGGAACTACCTTCCCTCTGGCCCGATTAGTTAAATGATCGACCTCTGAATGGCCGGGTCGACACAACACAAGGCCAACGAGGGAAAATTTATCTGCACAAGCTCCACGATAGCGTTCCCCGGAGGGGTCTTTGGACAGCGACCGTCTCGCGCCATCGCGGCGGGCATCACTAGCGCATCTGCTGAATTGCACTCGGCTTGGTGTGCGTCACATGACGCTGTCCCCAGGCCATATTTATCCCGGTTGTGTCCTTACCCCTCCATTTCTCAACCATAGATAGTGACCCACCGTGTGTTGAATAGATGCTTTTGTGTGAGCGAGACTGGCTGGTAAATAGGGTGTACATGGGGTTCCAGGCAAGAGACCCATGTGGGCAAAGTGTTTGAGACCCATAGTCTGGAATGAGATTTCACATCCTGCGCAGCGCTATGACAAAAGTAAATGTTCTGTCAGCCTTGCCTTTTCATTCTTCGAGCAGTTGGGAGTGGCTAGAAGCGACCCCAGTGGATGCGTCTTCCCTGTCCCCCCCGCGAGAGGGCACACCGTGCAACAAAGTAGCTTAGATGAGGGGAGGAAGACGAATCGGCATTCTTGACCTTCCAAAGGGTGTCAAAATCTTCTGATCTGTCAAGATCTTGGTGGACGACCGGCTTTTGCAGCCAACAAATGACCTGTTCAGGAATAATATCGTTCCCGAAACCTACCAACGCGTCATTTCGGGGGGCGTAAAGAAATCCCCGATAGTTACTGTTATCAACAAAAGTTGGACTGGGGCACACCAGGGCCAGTGCCAGGGCCAGGCTGATCCAGTATACTCTGCTGATGGCCACCATGATGATCATGCGGCCGTCGAACACGGAATGGACACCGGAGTTCCAAATAGGTTCTAAGCAAAGTCGACCTAGCAGGAAGACTGCAGCAGCCGCCACAATGCTCGGCCAATCAGTCTGAGCTGTAAATCAGGCTTGACCGGTATTGCCCTCCATCTTCAAATACCCACACGCCTTGATCGAGGTCTGACGATTTGCACACATCATCAATCACTGCGGGTGCAAAGATTCTCAACGTCAGCTCGGGGTCACGTCTGCGTTGCAGAGACCATGGCAAAACTGTTCATCGGGTAGGCTCAGGCTATCCCGACTCTGTCGGACGAGCTAACAGATGGCTGCAGTGGATTAGCATGGCACACAACAGATCAGACGCTGTTCGAGGGGTTTCAAAGATTTGGCAAAGTCGAGGAAGCCGTGCGCCGTCCTTGAATCGTCTCATATTCTCTAACATGATCGCTGACGTCCGAGTAGGTGGTGGTTAAAGACCGAGACACCAATCGTAGTCGTGGCTTTGGATTTGTGCGCTTTGCTACCAGGGCTGAGGCTGACGCGGCGCTGGAAGGGATGCACAGCACACAGTGGGCCAACTTGGTTGAACGACCCGTTCGAAGGTATACTGACATTTTGTTCAGGTTCGACGGCCGACTGATCCGTGTAGACCACGCGCAGGACAATAACAGAAACACCGCCGGAACGCGTGGGAGCACTTTCGTTGGAAGAGGTGGAATAATATCACATCAAGGCCCCACCGTCGGCTACATGCCCTCAACTCCTCCAGGGCGCAACCCGCCACCCTATCCCCATGGTCGAACAACAGCATCTGCACCCACGTACCGACAACCATACACGCAGCAACCCCAGCCAGGTCCTCAATATGGAGGTGGACAGTCTCGTGGGCCCGGTCATCCGCATGATCAACAGGAGCCTAATTAGGAGTGGATGCGTAGGATAGGGCGGAATGTTGGGTCATTTGGTGATGAAAAGACGTTTCCTGGTTCATGGCTGCATTGGTTGGCTTGCACCAGTTCTTTCAAAGTCTTGCAAATCGTGACCCCGAGGTGGTGGCAATCAAGTCGGTATTTGCTAGTGAGCATTCGTAGGATCACTTCGGGACACATCTTCTCCTTCAGCTTTTTCGATTTCTTCTTGTTCTTCGGTGCTGTGAACTCTCCTCAAGGTGTTGTCAACTTGAAATGACGTGGAGACGTTGCGGTCCGGAGCAGTCAAGGCTCGGACGCGTCTGGCAAGATCAGATATGTGCTCATCGTGACTGAGGGGACTGAGGTTTTCTAGTGCGTCTTCGAGATGTAGGAGATATTCTCTATTTTCACCACTCGGACCTATGCTCGCATTGATCGTTTCGGCAATTGTCTCGGGGAGTAATGGCCCAAGGAACTGAGGATTGTTGGGCAGGCCAATATAGACCAGGCAGTTCAGGTCGGGCGACGCCGTATCAGCTGGGTGGAAAGGGGTATATTGAATGCTGTAGCCGTTGCTATTGCGATGAGGATTAGATCACCAACCTCAGAAGACTTGGAGCCAGGTAAGATTGGTACGAGGTGTTGCCAGTACAGCGCGGTTGACCAAGTGGGGCAGACAGGGGCGTCAGGGCGTCGGGTCCAACGAACTCACATTTCGCGGATGTCAAGATATTCTTTGACTTCAGCAACCTTGGAGGGAATGATATGATAAGCAACACCCCAGACCCGGTCGCCTTCAGTGAGGCGTTGCTGGTTCAGGTCAGCAGGAGGGGACGCAAACGCAGAGGTGTGTGGAGGGGGCATGATGAGGTCGTACAGGGTCGTCAAGCTTTTCCCAAAGCGACCTTGAAATCAACGTGACCACCCTCCCTGGAGATTCGGGAGTTCCGCGATGGTCTTCACTAAGAGTGGTTCAACAGAGCGACGAGAGCGAGACTGGATGCCTGAGAAATCTCACCTAGCCTAAGACATTTGGATCAGTCATTCGAACGAGATCGACGATGTTGCTCGTCCTCCGTACCTGCCAGAATCGACGGACGAATCCCTTGATGTAGCCAGGAACCCTCTGGTCTATAACGCAAACAGGAATGTAAGCAGCTGTGACAGGTCGAAAGTACCTAAGAGGTGCACAGCAGTGCTCGTACCAAAATATGGAGGCGGTTTCCAGATCAAACTCCTGAAGAATGTGACAAGAAATGAGCAGCTGTGTAGCAAAGGCAACAAGAGTTGTAGTGACACAATAAGGCAATCACTGATGGTGGCATCCTCTGGTGCTTCTGACTTACCCGTAGCCAAACAACCAAAAGTCCTCTGAAGAATTGGTCATGGTCAGCCCTTCCTCTGCTGGGCGAATATGGGATGGGTGGAAAGAGCGTTGAGGTGTCGTCGAGGCGTCGAGGCGTCGAGGAGTCGAAGGGTCGATGAAGCTATGGTAGGAATGAAAAGAACAATTGATCTGAAACACAAAACAAAGTGGCTGGGGTTGGGATTCGTATCTGTAATGTGTACAAACTGGGGAAGGATGAGGCCATGTTGGTGCAGGAAAACATGTCATGGAAGATGCAGCAAGATCAGTCTAAGGCCATGGCATGCAGGCTTAACCATTTAGCGAGGAGCACCTGAGAGATATTCGGCTCTGTGTGGCCGAAATTGATGCCTAGGCACACGGAAACGCCAACCGCCATCGCGGAAGCATACTTCCTATGCACGAGCACAGCGGCACGCCTTCTTGGAGCATGGTTCTGCGCATCTCAGAGGATTGTCTTGTCGAGGACAACACAACGAAATGAACTAAACCAGCATGCCCAAGGGCAAGGGAAAGGATCTCTGCCGTGACGCCTGAGCCGCAAGCCAGCCAGGGCATGGTATGAATGATGATCGAATCTACCCTGAGATCTTGAATGTGAGGTGAGTATACTGATGCTATCACTATGACAGCCTTGCTTAATCGACTGGCTCTGACATTGACCTTGAGAAAGTTCTTGAGAAGTTCTCGAGAAAGTTCCCACCACCTTGACGTTAATAAACATGCCTAATAATTGCTATGATGGTAGAGATCTAATATACTGCTTCAGGACTCAGTTTATGACCTACAGAGAATGTATGCATACTACACAAGAGAAGTACCAACTTGGTAGGTACCTACTTGGTACCTGATTTAAGTAGTAGTACTGTGAGTAGTACCTCAGGCAGCTCCTTTGGACGAGACAGACTTGCTCCGTATTCATTTGGTCTGATTCTGCGTCAGTACTCCGTACTTACTAGGTAACTTACCTAAGGTAGGCTACCTGGGTAATGTTGCAATATAGGTAACCTTAGGGTAAAAAACATGAAAATACCTGATGACACAGGCTGCCCTTCACTGCCCTCTCCTGTCGTGACTGTCTGCTGCCCACTGCCCACTGTCAACTGCCAACAGCTTGCCCTCCCTCAGGTACCTGCTACTTATTAGCGCCACGGCGCCATGAAATCATCCAAGGTTTCGAGTCCACATTGCGTCAATGCGGCTTACCATACAAGCCCCAATGATGGTTGAGAGGCCCCGAGGAGCCCCGACTCGCCTAATTCAGCACCCCCGTGACCCCCCGTGGACCCAGAGTGGCTCAGCTGTGGACTCAGTGGATTGGCGCGCGGGGGCAAGGCTGCTGAAGGCATCCGTACCATTGTTTCTTGACTTTCTGCTCGCTACACAAGAACAGCGAACAGCCAACGTTCAAACATCAGTCACAGCGATTATTCTGTGCACTCTAGCCCAACGCGAAGGTGAAACAATCCATGCCATGACTTGTCCATAAATCCACCATCTCTTGCTTCTACATATTCTTCTGATTCACGCCCTTTGCCCATTCTCTCATATTCCTAATGGCTTACAACAAGGCTTTCAATCCTGACGCCCTCCCTGCGTATGTCATCAACCCCGCTACTTAGCCTTCCATGTTCCAACAGCATCTCCCATGTGATCCCCCGCAGCTAACAACACCTTGATCATAGTCACGCAGAACCGGAGCAGGCTGCACAAGCTCTCAGCCAGCTCGATGGTAATCGACGACAGCAACAAAGTCCTCCTCAGACGCAGGCGAACACTGGCCGAAGACCATCTCCTGCAGGGATCGTGCCCCCGCCACAATCCTCATATCGACCTCCTCTCCCTCAGACATACCATCAACAACGACCAAGCCCAAACCAGTCATATGGCGATGGTCAATATAACCGTTTGACATCGGGGTCGCCTGGCACCCCAAGCTACAACTATGGCTCCCGTCCACCGAACGACTCGTTCGCTGGCCGTCGTCCCTCTAACGAGCACGGCCATCCCCCACCTCCACCAGCATCGCGCCCCCTCGACCCAGATTCAGTCGACCTTGTGCCTCTGTTTCGAGCGGCCAATGCCTCAGGCACTGGCTCGCTGACCACCTCCGAGCTCGGTTCTGCCTTGTACAACGCCGACTTCACTCCCTTTGACGGACGCACAATCACTTCCTTGATGCGCATGTTTACCTCCTCTCCGCCAGGACACCCCCAAGGCCCCACCATCACCTTTGTTGAATTTGAAAGCTTGTGGGCGTTTCTTGCCAAGTGGCGCGAACTGTTCGAAAGGTTTGACTCAGACCGCAGCGGCCGAGTATCGTTGGCCGAATTCTCCACTGCAATGAAAGAGTTTGGCTATCGCCTGTCACAGCCGTTCGTCGGAGTCTTATACAACACTTTCAACGACCGAAGTCCTACGCAAGGTCAAGGCATGAACTTTGACCTGTTTGTGCAAGCCTGCATCAGTCTGAAACGTATGACGGATGTGTTCAAAAAATATGATGATGACCGTGATGGATACGTGACCTTGAGTTTTGAAGAGTTTCTGACCGAGATCCTCCGCCTGAGAGACTGATCCAATCACTCTAGAAGCCTCTTCCTCACCACGTTTCGATCGAGCATCGGATGGCTAGTTGTGGAGTAACCCTCGACGACGCAAGCATGCCATTTCTTGACAACGGATGCTGGAGTGCCGAATTGTTGCACCAGGGTTGAACCCATGATCGAAACCATTCCCAGATGCTCCTGCTTGGATGCGTTGTGGGAAGCAGTTCCATACAGGACCAATGATGGGAAGCCCTCGCTCGACCAAGGCTCTGTCCGTCTCAGCTTTCGAGGCCGGGTTCTGACGTTCACAACATCGGTAGAACCTTCACAGCCTTGGGCAAGCGTCATCCCCAAAACAAGTCACTAGAGCCATGTCGGGACTCGCGTGAGGCATGTCTCTTTCCTTGGGTGCCATCAGAACACTCCACCGACCGAGTGACGTACAACCCGCACACCTACACAGCTGGGGGAATTAGTAGAGATGCCCGAACCTCTACCGTGGGGGTTGTATTGCTGGCTTGATACTGTAATTTAGACGGAAATAAGGTGAATCGCAACTCCAAGGACCCCATGGAATTGACTTTGAACGGCACGAGTGGTAGTGGGATAACTACTCCGTACTCAGGTGACGAAGGTCACGGGGGAGACCGGGGGTTAATTGGTGTGGCACCCAGGTTAAAGAATGCCAGTTTGGCTATTCTTGGGCCGAAGGTCGGCATCGCTGCTGGCCCTGCTGGACCTGCTGGGCCGTTGGCCAATATCCTTTCTGATAAACGAGCGTTGAATAGTGATGCAGATGTGACGAGGTGCTCTGATAATCCCACCTTGCACCACAAGCGTTTGCACGAAGTGGTCTGCAGCTAGAAAGAGTGGGCGGACACTCGGTCGAATTCACGCTATGACGAACCCTGGGCAACAATGATGGGCAAATCATGCCCCTCACCAGTAGTGATCAACGATCCTTAAGGTCCCGACATTTTCCAGAGATGCTCAGATGCTCGCTTACCACTGGCTAGGGCGCTAGATTCAACCACGTTCGGTGAATCAAGCCGTAAGCCGTGGCTTTTCAGGCACTCAAACGCGGACATCAATCTTTCTTGGTTCTAGTTACATGCACTTTAGTCGCGACATCCAACCGCCTTGTATGCGGGCTCCTCATTATGCCCCTCTGATGGGCTGATGGGCTGATGTGCTTCCCCTCATTCGGAGTGTCCGTCGACGAAGTTTCAGGGTCTAGTTGACAACCTGCAACACGATCACAGCAAATGCCTCAACAAGAGGAATGCAGGACCATCGACTTTCTTAATCAACTGTGGTAGCTTTCCTCATAATTTGTACTCAAATCGTGCTCTGTCGTTACTACAAGGGCTGACTTCTAGGGATGGGTACTCACTCGGGTGGGCCGAGGGGCTGTTGAGGGAACCGATTAGCAATGCTGGCAAGCTCCACACGCATATGCCGATGTGCGGGCTATGACGCTAAGCACCTCTTTTAGCCGTAATAGACCAGCCCGTCGTGCCCGTCCCCAATAGCTGGGTCGAATGCTCCAGGGGGTTGAGGGGACAGCCGCCCCAGAGTGCCAATCTGCCACGCTGTGCCCCCAAAGCCTACCTAGCTTGCCACGGGCCACTACTGACAACGTGTGGCAAGGTCGCCTGCAGGCTGCAGTCGAAGCCCGCAACCAACCAACCCGAATCCCCCCTCGTGCCCCCATCGGCCTCTTCTCTCCACAGCGTGAGCGGCACTCGTGCCCTGGACGCCCCCGCCCACACCAACCACGTCTTTGGCAAAAGAGCCAAATCATGGGGCCTTTCTACTTAGTGCCGCCATTAACCATGATCATCATGGTTACCGTATGGTAGCAGTAAAAGTACCTAACTTAGGATTAGTGGTGCAACTGTTGGTCGGTCCAGCCGCAGTCGCAGTATTGGTCCACTTGTCGCGTAGACGACTCCTACCGCTACCAACAAGATGGCCTCCCAAGACCGTTTGGATTTGCCTTGTGCTCTCTCACATTTCGAAGCTACAAGCATCACACTCCTACCCATCCACCTCTAATCACACCAGCCTCGACTGACCCAGCTCCTTTCAGTTTTCTTCCTACACATTTGTTACAGTTGCCACCCTTCTCTCGACTCCATTTTGACCTGCGTTCTTCAACCGCAGAGTCCCGCACTCGCCGTCTCCTCCTGCGCCCTTCCTAGATGCACCAGTCTCAGGTGTCACCGTTGCCGCACATGTCCACGGGCTTCTGCAGATAAATCACCTTCACCATGTCGTCTTTTTTTGGGAAACGGAAGAGCCAGGTGCGTCTTGTCTATATTCTGCCTGTGCCCAGGACTGCATGCAGTCCAGGTCATTTCCAGTGTGACTTGTCGACTCGACTCAGATAACAACCTGCCGCTGCCGCCTGGCTAACAATATCTCTGTATAGAATGCCACCACTCTAGCAGTCGGTGCCAACCCCGCGAAAAATCTCAATGCGCCAGTCCCCACACCCCTCGAGCGTATGCTCATCAATGCTGGTCCAATCCGTAACGATGGAAGTGACAAATTCTTCGGCATGGAAAATGTATGCACCCCTCCCTTGCTTCCCCGATCATCTTGTGGCTAACCGTGACCCTACAGTTTGGGAACACTTGGTCAGTGCTGAATTGCATCCTCCGACCTCATTTCTAACCCCGAACAGTTATTGCAATTCGATACTGCAGTGCCTCTATTATTCTGTTCCTTTTCGAGAAAGTGTCCTCGCATATCCTCGACGCTCCAAAGCCGAATCCGTCGCCCAAGCCCAAGCTAACGCCCCAGAGAGGATTCCTCCGAGTACCCAGTCCAATGGCGCACCTAAAAAGCCTCCTGGCCCTAGTTCCTCACGAAGCGCTGGTACTCAACCCCAGCAGCCGAAGCCAGAAGACAAAGACTCTCCCGAATACAAGAAAAAGCAAGCATTGTTGGCTGGGCCCATTTTAAACATGAGCTACGAGAATTCCGCAGATTACGGCATGCCCGAAACACTCTTTACCGCTTTGAAGGACATCTTCGAAGCCGTTGTCCTTCAGCAATCCAGGAGTGGCGTCATCAGTCCATCTCGCTTCCTCGAAACTCTGAGGAAGGACAACGAGATGTTTCGTTCAGCGATGCATCAAGACGCCCATGAATTCCTCAACCTTTTACTCAACTCTGTCGTCGAAGATATAGAGGTACACGATAAAACTGTCAAGGAACAAAAGAGCCTGGAGCCAGCTCCTCCGCCGGAATCCGAAGAACCTTCAACGGACGCTCAGAATGAGTCGGCCACCGTCTCTTTCCCTTCCATCCTCCCGATGCCCTCCACGACATCACCCACCAAATGGCTTCACGAGCTCTTCGAAGGTAAACTTACCTCCGAGACCAGGTGCCTAACCTGCGAGAATGTCTCTCAGCGTGACGAACCTTTCCTCGACCTGTCGGTCGATTTAGAACAGCACTCATCCGTCACAGCATGCTTGCGACGATTCTCCGAAGAGGAAATGCTTTGCGAGAGAAACAAGTTCCATTGTGATAATTGCGGAGGTCTTCAGGAGGCCGAGAAAAGGATGAAAATCAAACGACTGCCCAAGATCCTGGCCCTTCATCTTAAACGATTCAAGTACACGGAAGATTTACAGCGTCTCCAAAAGCTGTTTCACACAGTGGTGTATCCATATCACATGAGACTGTTCAACACGACAGATGATGCCGAAGACCCCGATCGACTGTATGAGCTGTACGCCATAGTCGTGCACATTGGAGGCGGCCCGTACCACGGTCATTATGTTGCTGTCATCAAGACACAAGATCGAGGCTGGCTTCTTTTCGACGACGAGATGGTCGAACCGGTTGACCGAAATTTCGTCTTGAACTTCTTTGGCGACAAACCAGGTCTTGCCTGCGCATATGTCCTATTCTACCAAGAGACCACTATTGAAGCTATCCGAAAAGAGCAGATGAGTGAGGGCAAGCGACGGGCCTCGCAAAGTCTCACCAATGGAATCAGCGTTCCCATTGAAAACTTGGCCGACCTCCATCGCACTCAGACGGTGAGTCCAACCATGTCGCCAACCTCGGGAGAGGCGGCACAATATGCCGTCCTCGACCATGCCATGACCGCTCCACCACAGCTCAAGTACAATGGACATGTAGAGGCGCCACGATCTCCAGTCCTAGCAGCTGTGAGACCGTCGAGTCCGGTGATGCAAAGCAAGAAGGAAAAGGTCAAGGAGGAAAAAGCCCGAAAGGAAGACGAAAAGGCGAGGAAGCAAGCGGAAAAGCAGGCCGAAAAGGAGAGGGTAGAGGCAGAAAAACAACGCCGCAAGGATCTGTCGACCAAACTACAGGAGGCACACCGACGGCAGGAGGCCGAGCTCAAGGCCGCGTTGGACGCGAGCAAAGTCTCCAAGGCGGAAGAAGATCAGCGTTTCGCTTTGGAAAGGGCCGAGACGCATCAACCCAACGGGTCGAGCGGGTCAGGGCTGGACCGATTCAAACGATCGAAGAGCCTACGTTTTGGATCGCTAACCAAGAAGAAATCGAGCGAGGAACACAGCGGGAGCACGTCGGTGGATGTCGACGGGCCTTCCCTCGGCAAAGACAAGGACGTGGAATATCCTAAGGACAAGGAAAAAGAAAAGAAAAGTCGATTTAGCATTCGGAAAAAGTCATCGGGGAAATTCCCCTGAAAACTTGTGGCATCATGGCACTCTAACTTCGCACGCCACTTGACGAGGCGAATGCATCACCAATTACCAGCATACAACCCAGCGAGCTTGAGCGAAATGCCATATCGAATTTTGACATCGCCAACGCATCAATGGGAGGGTGGAGAGAGAGAGTCTCTCCAGCCACGTCCATGTCGAGTTGACGAATAGACAGCATTCATCATGGCGGTTTTTTTTGAGACACAGTTGGAGACCAAGGCTGGACCTGTTTTCAAAAATCACGTCAGGGCGGCGCGAATTGATTCGGCCATGACAAGTATAATGGCTCAATAATGACTGGATTATTACGATTCAGGCGTCTTTGGAGAGTGAGAGGAAAATGTTGATGGTATTGGGTGTCTCATGGGACAGCGTGACAGGAGGGACCATGTTGTGGCTAGAAGACTAGGCTAATGATGGGGATGAATAGAGGGGATTCAGTGCCCATATCAACTAATGAAGATTTATCCATCATATTTTTGTCCCTGGCACGCCTCATCCTGGCCCAGTGAATCCGTAGTCCTCAGCTTGCTGTCTCCGGGGCCTAGGTCAGTCTGCTACGCAGACGAATCTCGTGAGTCCCTCGCAGTTGCCATGTGTGTTTGCTACCTGAACCCCACGGACGAGGCAGGGCGTTGGTGCGTATTCGACATATATCTCTTCTTGATAGACTTGGGGAAGTGGGCAAACCACCGAGTTATTGGCGTCGGATGGAGTCGCATCCTGCCCTAACTTCTGCACTCGATGTCCTGGTGCGGTCCTTCCATATGGATCTGTGAAGAGGATGGCTGTCGAAGTAGCGACAGATTCTAGGCGACAGTGCGCTTTAGACTTGCCCGTATGGTCTCGCTTTTCGAATCACCAGGTGTGGAATTGAAGAGGGAGTCGAGTTGGAGGAGGCAAAAAGTCGCCGGGCTTCGCTCCAGGCCTGGAGGGAGACTTTGTGATCCTGGCTGTGGTTGATGTGTGTAGACCAGGGTGTTTGGCCAAGGTCGACAATGGCATCTTATATGTTACCCCAGGAGAATTTCGTAGATTATGATGACCAAGTTGACGCCTATGAGCGGAACTGCAGTAAAGAAACCAACCCTCCGTGTTAACTTGATTCCTAATTGACGGGACAGCTGAGGCAGAGAGGGGGAAACCAACCTCGACACAGAGTGCGAATACTGGAAATGAGATTTATGCCCTTGCTACGAAAACTCTCAGGGTCCTGGCCCACTGCACCAAAGGAAACTCCGCTCGAAGGATCATTGAGAGAGGATTTGCCCCAGCCAACTTTGAGTCATGTTAGTACTTGCCGCGCTTGCGACCTTATACAGGGACGGACGGTAGGCGGGGTGCGAGCAGGGACCTACTTCGTGCGAGGAAACGGTCTTCGGAGAGAATTGCGACGGCATTTAAGAGGAGACAGCTCGCTAGACGAAGAAGAACAGTGTCAGTGACTTGAGTGTTTGGTCGACGGGTAAGACTCTCATGGTCGTAAGGAGCCGTTCCAGCGGACTCACCATAGATTAGTGGGCCGAAGCCAAAGAGACTCAGCATTTTGTCCTCGGTTAGGGATTTTGGACGGTGAATGCCAGAGGAGGGCAATGTAATTCCTAATAGAATAGTGGGTGAGTGAGTCGAGATCAATTGTGACACTTGAATCAAAGAATGATGTTGGTAGAAGGACAGATTGGCGGCACTTTTGATGTTCCTCCAGGCAGCTTCCCGTTTCTGGAGTACTTAAGTTAGACCCCGTGACTCTCCCCATCTAACCACCACAAGAAAGTCCACAACCTATTTCACTTGTCCACCCATTACCATCACAAAGAATCTCGTCATATTTCTTCGAAAGTCCTCGTTATGCTCATCATCTAGCACAATTGACCACCATCTGTTATCACCAGCTCCAGACCATTATGCTGACAGAAGGTCGCGGTCTGCCTCAGGATCGTCAAGTCATCACGTGATATCAAGTTGCAACTCCTTTTTAACACTTGCTGACTTCTGATTGACTTTCCTCACCTCACCTTTGGACAAGTGGTGAATTTACACTCAATCAGCACCTGTCACAATGGTCAAGCTCGAGGGCTGGCATCTATCCTATGTCATATTCCCCCTCTCCATCCTTGTTCACCTCTACATCTCCCCATACACCAAAGTCGAGGAGTCCTTCAATATCCAAGCCACCCATGACATCCTCACGTTTGGTGTCCCAACCAAGAATGTCCATCTTCGACTCAAGGCCCAGTATGACCATATGACATTTCCCGGTGCCGTCCCGAGGACCTTTGTCGGGGCTCTCATCCTGGCATCGATTGCGAGGCCATTTGTGTGGTTAGCCAACCTCAATGACCAAGAGCAACAATTCTTGGGTCAGTAACCACCATTATGTCTATCATCATGTGTTGCTGACATCCGCAATAGTCCGTGCCCTGCTTGGGCTCTCCAACTCATTCGCTTTGATCGTTTATACTTCTGGGGTAAGACAGTCGTTCGGCAAAGCAGCGGCCAAATGGTTTGTCTTCCTCCAGGCCAGCCAATTCCATATCATGTACTATTCCTCCCGGACCCTTCCAAATATGTTTGCATTTAGCATCAGTACGTCGTGCTTAAGCTAGTCTCACTCTTTCAAGTTGAGGCCTGCGAGACTAAAACAGAACAGGCACCATCGCTCTTCGATTCTTTCTCCCATCTCCTACATCAACAATGTCCCCTACAAAACGAACCCGGCTCGCACTCTACCTCCTCACCTTGGCCACCGTTGTTTTCCGATCTGAGCTGGCTTTACTGCTCGCCGCCCATGTTAGCTACATCCTGTTCCGGTCCAGCACAATCGCCAATGCTGTCTCATTGGTGCGAACGACATTTATCCCTGCGATCGCCGCCGCCATGGTCGTTGGGCTCTGTCTGACCGTGTCAATCGACACCTTTTTCTGGCAGTCCAAATCACTCCTATGGCCTGAATTGGCATCCTTTGTCTCCAACATCTTTCCTTCGGACCACAGTCTCGGAGCCTCTGCATGGGGTACTTCTCCATGGCATTGGTACTTTACATCAGCCATTCCCCGTTTGGTCCTCAATCCCCTTTTGTTGTTGTTGATCCCTTATGGCATGACAACGCCCGTGGCATCTTCTGTCGCCCATTCCCTCACCCCTTCACTGGTATACATTGTTCTATACTCGTTCCTCCCCCACAAAGAGACACGGTTCCTATTCCCCATTGTACCGCCGCTGACAGCCTCCATTGCTATCATCGTCGGCCATATCACAACCCGAATTCCACAATCTGACGCCAAAAAGCCCGTCAGCGCCATGACCAGCATTGCCAACACCCTTGTCTCCGACATCCTAGTCAGTAGCACCGTCCTAACTGCTCTCGTCTCCCACCTTGTCCTGCTGCCACTTTCAGCTCAAACATACCCCGGCGGCCACGCTGTATCGCTGTTGCACACTAGCGTCGAACACCAAGAACCCACCACCGGTCAGCCACAAATACACGTACACCTAAGCAACCTCGCCCTACAGACTGGCGTCACACATTTCCTGACTCCGGCATACCCGTTCCAACAGACGTCTTCATCCCGTCCCCTGCTCACCATGCCAGGCTCGGCCGACGGCAGCAAACCCCCACTAACATTTCCAGCGCCCATGCGCCGCACACGGTGGATCTATGACAAGACCGATGACGAAACGTCGTTACACACGCCGGCGTTCTGGAATCAATTTGACTATGTCGTGGTCGAAGACCCCGCGCTCGCCATTGGAGCCTGGGATATTGTGAGCAGTGTGCCTGGCTTAGGCAAGATGCGCCTTCTCGCGCCCGACGTCGGTCGAGGCCTGCTGGTCTTCGATGGAAGCCAAGGCGACGACAAGACCAAGTTTAGGAGAGGTGACGACGGACTAGCCATGCTTGTCGCCGAACTATACGGGCAAGGGCCCAAGTATCTCTACGGAGTGGTACACGATCTACTGAGGGAAGGCTATGGACTTCCCTCCCCTTTCAGTTGGACATCCGGCTGGTGGCTTCATTGCAGTCTGGAGCCAAAGCTATATATCCTCAAAAAGTCACAGAGTGGAATCAAACCAGCGTGAACGTCGTACCATTTTGAATGACAAAAGTTTGCGTCTTGGATTGGATAACAACTGGGACAATCTTTGGTTGCGAATTTCATGATTTGATTGTGATTCCCAACAGGTAGGAACTGACTTCAGGAGTCAGGCATCTGTCATTCGTATATAGAAGGAGAAGAAAATGAAAAGGAGACCACGAGGATATGCTTATGTGTCACCTCCCCTTTGCTCCCTTGTCCAAATCCCCCATCCTTTCCTCGAGGTTAGCCACCATACCGCCCACGACCTTAACATTATCCCTCATGGTATGCTCGAGGTCTTTGATGCCGCTTTCGACGCCGGTCACGGCTTCTCTCCATTGGGCCACCTCGGCCTTGAGTTCCGCCTGTCTCTTCTCCAGCTCGTCGAGAGAGTTCTTAGCCTCGGCGGCCCCAACGTGTACGATGTTCAAGCCTCGTAGCCGCTCTAGCACCACTGGCAGCAGAGGCTGAAGACGTTGGATTGACGGCAAGGTTTGGTACAGCGCCGTGATACGCGCCGATTGGTCCTCGAGGAACAATTTGGATGTCAAGGCTTGCGACTCGGCGTCGGGTCTGTTCAGCTCGCCAATTGTCTCTTGACCTCGGTCCCTGTTCTTGTCATCGTCGCCGCTGGTCCCACCAACACCGGCCCCGCTGCCGGCACCTCCGTAGCCTCGTCGAGGCTGCATACCGTGCTGAATGCTAGCTGAGATGAGTAAACCGGCCCGTTTTTCCTGCAACTCGTCCAGCGTGTCACGTGCTTTCCGCCGGCTTTGATCTAATTCGGCTGATTCACGCGTCAGAGTCCGTAACTTGGCCGAGATGGATTCGAGAAAGGCAGGGTCATATGTCGTAGGTGTTGAGGTCGTGGTATTGGTAGTAGCGCCATTGCCATCTTTGGGGTTTAGTGTTGTGTGAATCGTGTTGATTTGCGTCGAAAGCCGTTCCAAAGTGGAAAGGATCGAAGTCGCGGGTGAGTCGGTGCTGGCTGTAGAGACACCCAATGCAGATTCCAAGGACGTCAGTCGGTCCGCAAAGGCTGCAACTGCAGACATGGCGGATGATTTAGAGTCTGCATCAGACTGAGGGGGGGACAGTTCGGAATCGGGCTGTTTGGTGGATTCGGGCTTTGTTGACCTTGAAGTGTCGTTCAACCGGGAAAGAAACCGATCTTCTGTGCTCTTTCTTCCGCCGGATCCAGACTTGGAGGACAATCCATCGAGAAGTCGACTGAGTTCTTGAACCTGATCCCTTTCTGGGTAGGTATCGACTGTGGGGGTTTGTTGTTGCTGCTGTTGTTCGAGGCTATCCACAAACTCGCCTTCAGCGTCCTTCTGGTTTCCTGCCTCTAACCTGTCCAACTCAAGCCGCACTTCCTCAGCCTCTCTCCTCAATCTAGCGATCTTTCTAGAGACGGTCTCTTCCTCTTCACTATCGCTGGACTCGACAATGTCCTCGCCTTCAATGTCGGCTCGTCTTGCCCGCCTCCTTCGCCTCGAGCTTCGAGTGCGATATGACCCTCTCGTACCACCGACATGATCAGAAAAATCGACATTTCGAGCATCGACCCGTGACCCGGCAAATCGACGTCGTGCTTGTTCGCGATCCAGAGGTCTTCTGTCGAGGTTTTGTCGGTTGGAGACTCGTTCGCCTTGGTCATCGTCGGAGGCGTCGGACCCATCTGAAGAGAGGGTGCGGAGAGTAGTGGTCTAAGTGAAGGCAGATTCAATATCGACATTTGGACCAGAAGGAAGTGCAACCCGGGCTTACCTGTGCTGTCGAGACATCATCTGCTAGATCTGGAGTCTCGTAGACCTCGGGGGCGGCATCCTTTTACGAAGAGGTCAGATAGAGGGTTGACATGAGGCGGGTGCAGGGTGAATTGGATGTCATACCAGATCTGGTAGACCAGCATACTTCTTACCCAAGGCCATGTATGCGGTCAATATCTGGGAGCTAATGAAGCAGGCTGCAAGGCAAGAGTACTTCCCAGTCGGTGCTTGTAGATAGGTAGTTGGCTCTATGCAGCCACTTTGATGGAAATGAGTCCTGTCACTGAACAAAACAATCTTGGCAGTACTGCGCGTCAAGCGTCGAAGCGCGTGGTAACTCACGTGGGCGCGACCTGAACCCCGCGCCGCTTTTAATATCACCAACTGTCAATATGCACACATTGACATCAGTGGGTAGACGTCTCTTTCTTATGAGTACATAACAAAAAAAGGACATCGAATTCACCTTGAACGTGGTTCGATCGTCATTGCAAGACCCAACTTCTTGCTGCAGCACATGCCAGACCAGACCAAAAGCGCCACCCAACCACATCCAAGCATCGACAGCTCACACGTTGGAAGGCGAACGACCTCTTTTTCCCTGAAATGTAGTAAGATGCCTGGATGTGGGCAGATTAATAAAAGGCAGACAAGCAGGGCTCAAAGCCCAACTGTCTTGCTGGATCCTTTGAACGACAAGGGAGATAGCACCTTCTGTATGTGTCCCTAGATCTCCATGGTCTCTTGGGTCTTGACTGCTGTTCCTGCAGCTGTCAATATGTACCCTTCCCTATCACACTGCCAGCCTGGATGATCAACATTATATAAATCCCCTCTCTGATACTTGGCAATCCTGTCGGTTGTGGCATCTCACTTGTTGCACTTGTCGCCACCTCCGTACCGCAGGATCTAAACAGTTGCTCAGACTCAGAAATAAAGTGTTCGATGATCTTCGAATTCAGAGTCATACAATTCCTCCAGCTCATCCATAAGCTCTGGGTGGAGAGGAAACCTGAAATCAAAATCATAACCGTACTCTTCGTCGTATGGTCGATCCAACTGTAAGCTTCCCGTTTCTGAGCGAGCGTCCGCGAAAGGATCGGTTGGCGCTAACCCCTCTTCCACGAAGCATGTCGACTCCTCGGTAAGATCGTTGATGACAGTCCAGCTAGAATCGCTTAGCCTTGGTTGTTGAGCAGAATCTTCAACTCGCAGAGTGTATCCCTCTTCGTAGTTCCGGACAGCCAACGGATGTAGTGGACATTCGCCGTCGATCTTTGCTGTCACCCATCGTTGTAGTCGAGACTTGAGGCTGGTCGGTTCCGAGGGAGATTTTTTCACCGCCCATCGTTGACTAGGCATCTCATCGGCCTTCCAATTGTAGAGAAGGCCCCCAACCTGAACGTCGGGTATCTTGCATTTCCGCAACTCCTTGAAGAAACGTACCCAGCAAGACTCCCGATCAGATGTATCTGGTTGCAATAATACGATTGTGGAGAGGGATAGAGTTTTCAGAGTTTTTTGGACCCCTTGCACAAGTGCAAGTAGCTCCTCTTCTTGACAGAACATGGATCCCAAGGACAAATGCTCCAACTTGGGGAATCTCGGAGTCACGCAAAGATCGTAGTTTAAGTCGCGGACGAGCGATGATAGGCAAGAGTGGCCGTCGGGGTTGTCATGTGCGATTCGAGGATCTCTATCTGGAAACTCGATGTGTAAGACACGAAGATTGCGTGCCAATTGGAGAATGGATGCAATGCGATCGAAATCCTCCTCCATATCCCCAGCCATGCAAAACTTAAACGACAGATCGAGTACAGCCACTCGAGATAGGAGATTACGGAGTAAAGCGAGTTCTCTACTATCATCAGAAGATACTCCAAAGTGGAACAATTCTGAATCGACTCCCATCATGTGAAGGTTGGTGATTGGCTTGCGACTGGCCGACAGAGCCAGCAGAGCCACCATGGAGCCCGAGTATCCGAGCGGGTTTGTATCTCGCGCCCAGGGTACTGTGGCCGTTATTTGGGCTGTCCCCAACATGCGGGTAAAGTAAGAAGGAGCCAGAGTGGTATCATGGCGAGGCCATGTGGAGACGTCTGACTCTAAGATTCGGATGCTTCGTAATGCAGGAAGTACCTGGAGGCAACTGACCAGAAAGAGTATCTCAAGGGCTTGATCGCCCCTGTTGCGAAACCCCACAAAGGCTAAATCTTCGAGTAATATGTCAGAGTCCAGGCGAACATGAGGTTTGCGCAGGGTTCGCGATACAAATCGCCATCTGGTGTCATAGATCAAAGTGATAGTATGCCTAGTGACACCGGATTTGTCAAAATGAATGAATTCTTCGAGACAGTCTTGATAAGGCACGAGAACAAGTTCTCTGAAAAGGATTGGCTCAGCCATTGAGGCAAGCGTTTTACAGGCAAGGCGAGCATTTTTCAGATCGACCTTTTCGAGATTCTGTACAATGAGTTGGAGCACTTCGTTTGGTAATGACGGGGTCGTGTTTGTCATTTGGGAGGCGGTAGTTCCAACAGTGCCGTACAGCTTTGGATCGTCAGGAGACCTTGAATTAGACAACATCATATTCGAATGATGTGGCACCCGCCGCTGCCGAAACGGGTCTGTGAGTTGATATTGATGTCTGGACCGTCTCAAGTCTTGTTGGTGGGAAAAGGCACGACGGCGAATCCACCAACGCGTCCACCAACGCGTCTACGGTCGCGTCGCGTGTCCAAGTGGTTGTTTCTTCAACTTGATTGGCTGGACGGCAATTACCTTCCCTCAGCCAATAATACTGATGCTTCTCGCTGGCCTTCGGTCAAGAACCGGTTGTGTCCAGCAAGGAATTGATGGTACTCGATGAATGTGCCACCATAGAATACAACGTTTTGCAGTGATTGCTCTTATATATTTATACATGTCTACTTCAATTCTTTGTGGGCTGTAGCCCAGACTCCATCTGTAGATCTAATTCTTACCCCATCGCCCAACGCCTTTCCTATATCTACGCCATGTCCCCAAATATCATGCTAATTGTTCATACATATAGAGTGTTGTATCCACTGTCTGCGGAATGCTGCCCACGGGAGCGAAAGCTTGTGGCATTTCCATATTTGATCGTGACCGGACTTGGTCCACGGCAATGAACCAACACTGGCTTCGCCTTCTGAACAGGCTCGTATGTTCGGATTTCGCCGTGTTCATAGTTTTCGTCGAATGGATCATAATCAGTCTGGGTATCCGTGTTGGAGAAGTCAAATGCAAAGGTTGAAATGGTAGAAATACTAGCCAAGGTTGGAACCGTTGAGCTAGGAGAGGATGAGAAGGTATGGCGTGCCGAAGTTCTGTTGGACTCGGCCTGATAGATGCGGGGACGAATCTGACGTCCGTGACTGAAGGGTAGAGAAAACGATGGAACATTGGGTCTTGACACGGCATTAGGTCGAGCAAAAGCCGCAGCCGGCCGAGGAGCGGGCGTCGGAGTCTCTTGCATCGCTGGAATCGGTGTCTCAGCCCGGTCAGGAGAGCTGGGTACCGACCAATCCGAATCTTCACCTTCATCAGAATCAAACATCAGTTCTGGTGGAGATGAGGCCGACGGAGATTCATCCACATTCGTCAGCGTGGTTCTGAAACGGGCTCGAGGCACAGCCAACAAGCACTTTGTTGAGCTTACGCTAGGCTTTGGTTTGTGCTCACTCTGTCGCCGTCGGAAGTTCTCGAATTCCTGGGACGAACAGGTCTTGCAGAGTAGAACACCAGGAGGACACTCGCATCTCGACGCCGAGTACGATGATGGCAGAGTGGGAACTTGCGCACGAGTTTTCGAGGCTGCAAACTGAGGGGCGACATCTTCGTAGTAGCTCAGGGCTCGCTTCGCAGGTTCGCTTGCAGTAATCTTCAAGCCTTCAGGTTCGCCACCAAGAGTTTTTTTACACCAGCCATAGTTGCTTTCTGGTCGAGGACTTCGAAGCGCCGGAGTCTGGAAGAGATCGTCACTGTCCACGGTATCGATGACCTGAAAAGAAGAATCCAAAGCTTTGGTGAGATAGATGGAGAGTTTTTTGCGGTCCACCTGACCATTGGGATCAATCCACTGGCTATTTCGATAAGACTTGCGTTTTAACAAAGGTGGAGCGGATGGGGTCGATCGAAGGGGATCATCCTCTGTGACGAACGTGGGCCATGGCGTCAGATCGTCATTTCCCAAAGATGGAGAGCTGAGGGGCGTTGGAGGAATGATTCCGGGAACCGGGAAAGAGAAAGGCTGTGCAGGGACCGCTGGCTCAGGTTGAGCAGTGAGGTCGACAACGGATTGGTCTGGGGTCTTTGGGTCAGGATTGACGACCCTAAGCGTTGGCTTCGCACTCGTGTGCTTCTGCTGAGCGGATCGTCTCTTCCGTAGTCTCAGTGGAGCTGGTCGGAGCCGGGATTGAGTCTTCTCATGAGAATCCTCCATCAGATCGTCCTCAACTTGAGGCAGGGCCTCGATGGCCTGTTGCTGCTGATCTCTCCACAGCCTGACAGCACGTTGTTTGTTTGCGGGGGGCGTGGGCGGCAGAGGGAAGAGGGAAAAGCCGCTCTGGTGTGATTGGGCCATGCTCGAATGGTCCGCTGGACGTAGCGAACGAGCAGCGAACGGGAAGCCGGCGTGACTGGGCACGAGTCGGTGGGAGCGGTGCTCAAGGCTCTGTGCAGATCAATGTTATTGTTATTGTGGACTGTTTTGAAAGTGCTGATGGGAACAATCGATAAAGCAGATTGGGAAGAACATTGCTTTTCAATAACAAAGGCTCGATCACCAGGGCAAGATAGGGGATGGGTGCAGGGGAAAGTCCGTGGGGACCGATAAGACGTCAAGGTAATTTGCCAGCGCCTCGTGGAGAAGTGGTCGCGGTCGACGAGATGAAGAGAGGAAGAGAGGACGGAATGAGAAATCCGGCCTTGGAGGAGGCCATGATTGGTGACCGCAACGGGAGAGTGTGGTGGATGTGAAGGACGAAGCTCGACAAGAAGGTCTGTGTAGAGTTGATCTCACGTGGAACGGGAAATGAGAAGAGCCACCGCAAGCTTGGAAGAAGCATATGTGCAATCAATGTACCTGCCAGAAGACAGGACGTCGCTTCCACTTGTGGACGTGTCACTTCCTCTTTTGGTAGGATTCCCCAGTGGATTGTCCGAGATAATTTCAAAAGACGGTCCATGCGCTGGATCTGACGGCGTCACCAGCTGTCTCGAGCTGTCATTCCTACCTCGAGGTCATCTGCCTGACAGCGTCCGTGACACGGTGCAGCAGTCACTTGCTGATAATCACAACAAGACGCCTGGGACTGGCTGCGTATATCAAAGACCACGCATCCCGATGTTCCAGATCCTGCTTGAATTCTCGATTGGAAAAAACTCTGAACGCCTTGACCAGAACCTATTGGCCCTTCGCATGGAAATCCTTAGGTACATAGTTAAGTGCCTGTTTCAGGTTGAGAGACCTCGGCCATAGGATGCTGCAAATGACCTCTGGCAGCTGTCGTGCCTGTCTGGGGATCTGCCATGTAGGCACACTGTTGGAGACGCGGCCATGATATGTGACGCGGCAACCGCCCAAGGCGTCTTGACCTTCTCGACAAGGCTACCTACTTTCGTGGCTTTGGACAGTTGGGAAAGCGAGAGAGGATTAATAGTAGAGGAAGAGCAAGTTAACCAAGTCATGATGCGTGTTGTTCCAGGGTGTAACTGGAAGTCAGAACTAGAGTTTCTGCTACCAGTATTGGAGGAAGGTCTGGCGGGTACTAACAGCTGAGAGCCTCGGTGGGCAGACGGGCCGAGGGGCTGTCTTGGGAGCTGCGGGGGCGTTACAAACCACCTTGACCGCCTAACTTGATTTGTTGTGGGCATGGCTGGCCGACGTGAGGGGAGGAATTTAATCATTGTAGAGCCCAGACTAATGCCTGGAATATTTTGATGCCCCGGGGCTGGCTTTGTGTCTTTGTGAAAACCTCAATTGCTATATACCTACCAAAGTACTTTTGTACTTGACTGATGATCCTTCCTGCCTTGTAGGATTCCCAGTAGGTACGCCATGGCTAGACTTTTACATGAGGTCTTGTCCTAAACTGAAACCCTTTTGATCCTGCCCAATATCTACCTTAACAGACACTTTCAAAGTCCAATCCATCATTATTATTCCATGTCCAAGTATTTCCTTTAGGGTGACGACCAAAGGCAGAGTAAAGATGGGGAGAGAGAGAGGAGAGAGAGGAGAGAGATTTAGGAGAGAGATTTAGGAGAGAGATTTAGGAGAGAGATTTAGGGGAGAGATTTAGGGGAGAGATT